GGGGCTCTACTCATGCAATCGAAGTCGCCTGACTGCAAGGATTAAAGTGAAAGACCCACCGGCGCGGCTTGCAAAATTGTCAAGTATTGCTTATACCACTTGACTCTAATTGTAAAATGGATCTGCTTTCCCATGAACCAGCTTACAAGTAGAATGTGCGTATCCAGTTATAACGCCGGCAATATGCGGGCGGCTTAGCAGAGCAGAAGAATAATTCAATTTCGAGCATGCATCCCGTCTTACTGGCCCTGCAACAGCTCCCTTACCAGGGAACTGCCTCGAACGTTGAGCCTTAAGAAAATCAGCAATGGGCAAATAGCCAAGGAGTTCACGGATGTGAATTTAGGTAGTGTGCCAGCAGGCTGGCCGCCTGCCGGTCGTCCCGCGCACCGCATTTTGCGGACTCCCGAGTTGCCTCCACGCAATGCCTTAGGAGGTCAAAACCCCACAGTAAAGAGAAAGTGAGGCGCAAGCGGATAATTTGACGTAAAACGGAAAAGTGCAGGGACCCATCAGAGCGTCTAGACACAACTCTATGTTATTTCCGGAAAAGGATGTGAGGTGGCCCAAGTGATTTAGCGTCAAGCTCCAAGCAGAAGTTATTGTGGGGGGAAGTGTCCGATGCCTAGTGCTACCGCTCTACTTGACAACCCACACAGATCAATTGTCTGCTCGGTATTTGACCTGGCAGAGACCTTCCCACAAACGCCCATTCATCCTGAGTCATGAGAGATATAAAAATGTCTTCTCACATTCATTCACAAACTCAAGGATACCTGTATTCCGTTTGGGCTTGTGGAAGTCCCGGCTGAACTACAGCCACAAGCTAATCAGAGTTTCAATGAGCCCAAGAAGGAGGGCTGGATGGTGTCTACATGGACGACGTCCATGTCTCCACCCAAAACATTCAAAATCGTTTACTGCAAAGGGGGTAAGCAGTGCCATATGAAGGTACACAAGTTTTTGCTTTTTTAAGAGTAAGCTTCTTTCTGGACTTCCATACTTTTATTGCATAAGTTAAGTCAGATCCGGCAAAGTTGAAGCAGTCTAGGCGTAGCTTTTACCTAATCGCACTTGCAAGGATGCTGCAAGAATATACAGGCTCGTATCTTGTTATCGAAGCTTTATTCCTGGATATCTCGGATCGCTACTCCTTTGACTAATCTACTGCAGTCTTTAACCTGGATAGAGGAGACTGACGCTGCAACAAGGACGCGTTGCGGCCGCCTAACTACTTCTCCAACACTGTTGCTGCCCGCCCATGAGTGCCACTTTTCCTCTCAACGGAAGCTAGTGATGCAGCTGTGGGTGTCACTCTCTTCCAACAGGCGATTACTTAGCCATGACACCAAAGTATTGCTTCTTATTGTCATCGATTCATCAAATCAAGCAGCGGTATCCAGTAGGAAAATAAGAGCTTTCTGCGGTGTTGCGGACTATTTAGAAATCACAGCAGGATTAATGGAGTTGTCCTTTAGCTAATCCGACCGACCGCCAGTCTGTGATGTACAAACTAATTACATCGGTACTCCCCTCCGCAGCGCCGTTCTGCGCAAAGCACAAGATCATGCCCTTTGGAGCCGTAGTGAGATTCAAATTACATTAGAAAATATCTCCTGGTCTTCTTACTGGCATGTCCTGCGACCCGCAGCTAACGAGTGTTCACAATCACGCTTAGATTGTCAGCAGTTAAAGCCGCAAAGTCGTCCTGAGCTCCCCCCTTTTGCAAAGACCTCCAGTTTCTGAAAGGATTTGGACTACTGTGACTATGTGATTTAATGTTGGACTAGAGGATATCAAGGTTAAAGACAGCATCTACGTCGTTGTCGGCAAACTCCACATGAATGCCAGTTTCATCTCTTACTCCAGCTTTGCCACGGTTCAGAAAGTCACCCAACAAATCTGAGCCCATGCCTAAAAGCTTTACGGCTTTTCAGGAATATATCTCCGGAAAGAGAACGGAATTTTGTTAGTGCCTTCTGATGTGCCTTCATGACCCGCCTAGACATTGGCCAGGTTGTGGCAAATGCGAACCAGCCTGAGGCAGACGCGTAGGCAGAACACGCCCACCGCACTCTTCTTCGATTTGGGGGACTCTACGCTCACGCCCCCCATTAGCTTGGCATGCTTTTCTTCCTTATACCCAGTGGGTACATAATGCAGCAGTGCACTTGTCTATGTCCCCTCATCTGCATCCCCGGTATACACTGCGGAGCCCCTGCCGTAGCTGGGCCTGGACCTGGTGGGGCAGGGTAAGTAGCCACTTTTAGCAGCAAAGAAATATAGGAAGTAGCCCAATAGTGCACGCAAATGTATGGGCGAAAACGCCACCACATGGAATGGCTTGCGGCCAGGTGGCTGGAGACATTTGCGAATCCCTCGCCACTTAGTGCTTCTTTTACTCTGTCAATTTTCCCTCTAAAATTTGGATATGCCACAAATCTATATATGAAGGTTTTTAATAAATTTTCTAGAACGAACTAATTGGCGGATTTTGCCGCGCAGCCAAGTGATCCGTGTAGCTGCCGAGGATCCCCAAGAAGCCGTAGATGTGCTAGGTATCAGGATTCTTGAGTGTTGTGGACAAATTGAACGGGAACTTCTGGTGGAAAGGGATAAAAGCTGCCATCCTAATTGGCTGACGGAGGAGCACCTGCAATGTTTGTTGCCCCCAAGAGACTTCGCGGCTCTGTTTGGTAACAACGCTAGTCGCAATGGATGGTATTCCTCGCGTTCCTTGGTGGTTCTTCCCAGTGCACGCGTTGCCTGGAAGGGCTACCGTCGACATCAAATTTATACGCTAACACTCTCAGCCGTCATGCCTCTAAATGGTTGCGTATGCCGCTTTTGGGTCTTGGAAATAAGCTATGCTGCGTGCACTGGCAGTTCTTATATGCACACATTGCTCTATACTATAGGCACGGAAGCACTTCTGGGTCAAAGTATATTTCGTTTTTCTCTAGATATCATACTTGTGGCTATGTTGTGTTGTGTTAGAAGGCTTGAACATTCGAGCGCTCAGATGAGGGCAAGCCATCGCGCTACCGCGGTCATGTAAGCTTGGTCTTTCGGTTGTTCTGTTTCGCTTTTCTGCTTGCCGGGGGACTGGCGATAGGGCGAGAACTTTTTTGGTGTCGTGCAAGACAGTTGTTATCGATGAACGGCTACAGAACACGATGGAATGTAGTTTGAATTTGGCGGGTGGTGGAAAGGGAGATGCTGCAAGCTGAGATGCACCTAAAAGCTTTCTGCCCCACAAGGTATATTTAGCAAAGAAATAGCGAGAAACTGGCTAATTGGTGTATCCATTCGAAATGTGTTACACAATACAAAATATTGTTAGTATAGCACAGCCAAATACAACGTTTTGTACTAGTGGGTCATGCTATGTGGAGCTCCTTGTGAATTCCGGGAGTGCTCCGGGTGGAGCTTCTCGCAACCTAATCTCCCCTGTCATCTCAGGAACGTGGAGGAGCGCTTCCTGGGGAAAGACCGATTCTCCTGAGAACGATCAATAACCTTTTAAGGTTTGTTTTGAGATATAAGTTAAGTAATTGCCTACGAAGTGTTCAGAGTTACGTAGATATTGGATGGAGCCGTACTACCCCATCCTTCCCCTGCGCATACCCCTCAGCGTTCTGATGTGAGGGGAGAGGGGCAGATAGGGTCAGTATAGATTCACCCTCCAAGCACTTTGAGTAATCACAGGTAGTCTCACACTGCATGCAGCGCACACGCACCCAAAGTTGCGTCTTGTTTTATCGAGCTAGCGACACTGCAATAATACGAGATACGAATTGACAAACTAGTTGGTCAATTTTTATTCACTCTTGGCCAAATGAATGTAGTATAATGCAAGGTGTTGAAGTGTAACTCAGCCTGCTGCAGCGGAAGTGTACAATGGTTTAATACACAACTAGTTGTGTACAGGCTGCACTTGCATTATTCGGGCGAGAACCCGGTTTGACTGACAGGGAGAGTGGTGGCACGATTAATAATGCACATAACAAATCTCCACCATGCCCCTATCTTGTAGGGTTTGAGGTGCTGTGGACCGCTTCAGAGGGCGCAACTGTAGAAAGTTACAACCTACATCCACCGCGGTTACAATTTCTTCACTGGAGGACGCTGTTGCTAAGCCAATGTGTTACACCAGCAGAAGTAACGAGACTGGTATCTCAGTATGAGCTAGGCATGCGATTCCGCGTCAGGCGTTTGGCTATAGGGCTCAGGGTCACTTAGTAGTGTCTTACACTTCCTTTTTAAGGGGATGCTGCAAAGCTGAGGTGTCTATCTAAAAGGGAGCAAAAGTGGAGTGCTAGAAGTAATAGCTTGTTCTGTCCCTGATCATTTTCGTACAGTTTGTCTTATTAATGGTCCTTCGGGTATCCGCTGCTGTCACTGCATGCTGCAGAGGATGGACAACCGCGAGCCGGAAGCGCGGCAGCAGGCCACGAGTCTGCAAGGGGGGATGGGGTAGTCGTTCCTGATTAATCTTTTCGAATATTTCCCCCCTTCCCTTCCGTGGAATGTCTTTTTACTATATGTTTCTATTCATCGCCTTACTACATAGTTGGATTGCTCTGTGCTGTCTCTCATGCTGCCCCTGGTCCGTCACGGTGTACGCACCGCAACGCTGGGGCTTCTGCAGATACAGCTACAGACAAAAACTGCGTTAAAGCAACGTTTATTCATCTTGCGCAGCTTCTTGGCTAGGACGGGCCCCGACGCTGCTTCTGCAGCACAAGCCGTAGCGGCAGGCTCACCGCGAGAAACGGAACTTGAAGGGCGCTTATATAGCAACAGTACCAATAGCACCACAAGAAGGGACACTACAAGTGGTTCCCTCCGAGGTTTGACAGCACCCGCAGCAGGAGCAGCAGTGGTCTGGAAGCTTTGTGCGGGGAGCTTGGAACAGCGTCGGCAGTAGCAACTGTAAAGCCGTACTAGCACAACCACCGGAGGGGCAAGGCAACAACAACACGATTTTTGCTGTCATGATGTCTCCGTATCAGTATCTGTTCAAGTATATCATCATTGGAGATACTGGTTGGTTTCGTACCGTGTAAACTACTGACCACCAGGATTCAACTATATGTCCTCTCATTCGGCTGTAGATAGAGGTTTCCATCCGTGTGAAGCATGTAGAGCATCGTACTGGATAGGAGCCTCTCTAGGGGGCCTATTTAGAGGCACTCTAGACCTTATCAAGCTGCTTTGGTGTTTTATATTCCCTCAGTGAAACGCTTTCCAGGCAGCATGGGAAGTTGGCCTAGACTGTAAGCCATCAGCCGTGTGGTGCGCGTGTTAGGTGTGGGCAAGAGCTGTCTCTTGCTGCAGTTCACAGACAAGCGCTTTAGAACAGACCATGACCTGACCATTGGAGTAGAGTTTGGCGCGCGTCTTATCAACATCGATGGCCGACAAATCAAGCTTCAGATCTGGGACACGTAATAACCGCACAAGGCCAAAGCAGGAACTCCGAGCTTCGTGTTTGATTCCTCATGTAGCTTTGCTTTCTTTGAAACAGCAGCAGCTTGCTCAGAGCTGGGGAATAGCAGATCTCCCGAGTTGCCGCCTGGTGCCTCTCCTTTTCATCAGCTCGTTTGGACATCGCGCGCGGCTGCGAGTGATGCTCTTGTGTATGCTGCAGTGCTGGCCAGGAGTCATTCCGGTCCATAACCCGATCCTACTACCGGGGGGCAGCGGGAGCCCTTCTGGTATACGATATTTCGAGGTGAGACTCTGAACTCTTTCTTGAAAAGAGACGGCCACGTCAACAGGCGCGCCTTTATAATCGTAGCAGTCAGCTCTAATCGTACTTGGAACCCATGCTGGTGCCAATCGCTCTAGGAGGGACACGTTTATTCATTTGTCTCGATGGCTGGAAGAGGTTCGACAAAACTCCAACCCGCACATGACCATCATCCTCGTCGGCAACAAGGCCGATCTTGAAAGGAGAGAAGTTACCTTCCAGGAAGGTCTGGTCGTATTACATGTGCCTCCATGATGCCGCTTTCGTTACTCCCTGGCGCTCCCGCGACTGCACTTCTTGCACGTTCGGTGCCGGTGTGGCTGCTTGTGGGTTGCTCCGGCTGCCGCTGTTGCATCGGAAAAGGTGATAGTACTGTGGCTGTTCTGATAGTCTTGCATATTATAGGATCAGGGCGTAGATTCGAGGGTTTGGGGCTCATTTCCTGAATCTTCAGGGCAAGATTTCGCGCGGCAAAACAATCTGATTTTCCTGGAGACGTCCGCAAAGACATCGCAGAATGTTGAAGAGGTGAGAAGCCAGCCTGCTCCGCAGGGGTCCATCAGGTTGCCGCCGCGACATACCACGCGGGGGTGGGGGAGGGGGAGAAAAAGAGCTGTCCTGATTCCAAATGTAGCTTTCATCTTTCTTCACCGTGAACGTAGAAGGTCCCTGTGGGCGTAAGAGAAGGAGGGAGGGAAGCAGTACTGTGAAGAGCAACAGCGGTTCGAGACACTGCACGCGTTGCTTGCGCTGGCCTGGGGTTGCCCTCTAGGCGTTTATTCTAACAGCTCGGAAGATCTACGAGAATATACAAGCTGGCATTTATGATCTGTCAAACGACGCGCATGGAATCAAGTGCGGGCCAGTGGTCTCTCAACAAGCAACCAGGCTAGGTACATCAATGCGTGGCATTTAAAGACTGCGGCTGCCGTACCTGATGGTATTGATATTGTCTCTATTTAAGTCACTTTGTAGGCCCTCAATTTGTTGAAGCTAAATACATCAGGCCCCTAATGTTTGCTGCTGGTGCTGGGATTGCATATTTTGATGCCATTGCTGCTGCGATTTGCCTTGCAGAGTCAAACCGGCAGGAGCATCGCACTTCTTCTTGCTGCAGCTAGGGGCTTCCTGAGCCTCTTATAGACGTGGCTCTTATCTCGCTAGCGTTAGCAGCAGCAGCGACCACAACGGCGTAGAGCGTTATTGTACAAATGGAAGAGGCACGAGCTCGAGAGGCTGCTTGTTTTTGAGTGTTACCTGCAGGCGTGCGGTATTCTGTTGCAGTGTTTGTCTAGCAGCAAACGCAGCAGTTCGAGTAAGAGTATCGTTACGAGCACTAGTTTTGTTGATGCTGCTTGGTCAAGTCCTATCTGCACATGTAGTCGTGGCTGTCTGGCTCTCTTTTACGCCTCCAAAATAGGTGTTTTCGCAGCCCCGGCTGCAGTTCCTGCTGCAGACAGCAGTAGTAGTGGTAAGTACTGCAGGCAGCAGCGGCGGAAGCGGATGCTGTACGCAGCGATAGCAGCAGCACCAGGAGCTGCTGCTGCGGCAGTTTGCATTTCTTTGGAGGCAAACGTACAGGCAGGGGGCCTGGTCCCTCCTTTTGTTTAGGTGCTATAGTTTGGAGTGATGGGGTGTTGGGGTGTGTGTGTGCCTTTGTGTTGGGTCACCATCCGCTGCATATATACATTTCCATAGTAGCTTGCAACAGCAGCAGTGGCAGAGGATGAGTGTAGTAGTAGGGCTCTTATTTGCTCTGTGCTTAGTAGGCCTTTAGAACGTAACGACACGCGTTACGTAAATGAGGTAGCAACAACAGCTGCGTGAGCTGCGCGTCTCGGTGCCCATCGAGGTGATTCTCGAATTTCAGTCGTATTGTTGGCCAGTCCCCTTGAGTGTTGGTGAGTCACATACACTCAAGGGGACTGGCCGACAATACGACTGACGGCGGAATACCACTCCTACGATCTCTTGCTAAGTCTAGTGCTTAGCGTTTAGCAAATTCTTTGGCCAATTAGATTTGGTATGCAGTTGCCCCTATGAGAGCGGGAGTTTCCAGACTTGTCTGGCTGGAAAGACAGAACTTATCTGCTGAAAGCATCTAGGTTGGAGGCAGAGCGCATGGCCTTGACTTGAGGCTGCCCAAGAGCTCACAAATGCTTCCTGGTCTGGGGGATGTGGGGTTGGGGGGAAGCACTGGAAGCGAACGGTTGTGTCGTAAACGGGATGCCCGTGCACCCCACATGGCCCGGGTAGCTGGACGAGGTGTCAAGTCTTTGGCCAGAGAGAGCTAGAAGGATTGGTATGTGCGGGTTTAAGCAACTATTGACGTGATCTGCGTGTATGCTTCTATTCGCATGAATGCCACGCTAGAAAGTGCTACCCTGGCATTGCTTTTGCGCGCGCCCGCAAGTGTGCTCAGGCGGGCTCAGATCCCTTCGTTGCAGCATGCGTGCCATTCATAATCGAGTGTAGTCCTTGCGAACCCTTTGTCCACAAGCTTATTTGGCAAAGTGGGAAGAAGAACTGGTGAGGTGAACCAGCAATCCTGTGGAACACGTAGCGGCGTTTGCCCCCCTGTTCCCTCTAGCATGCTATAGGAGGGTTTAGGGGCGCACTGTTAAGCGTGCTATAGTTTAATCCGAAGACTGAAAAGGGCCTCCAGTCTAGCCATCGCTAGAAGTCGGGCTTACAGGACAAGCGCTAGAAGAATTGGGCGCCTTGGAGGCACTCACTTTCAGGGCACACAACAAGCACGAGCGTTCGCAAATGAAGGCTTTTGCGCCTTCGATGTGCCCTTCACAGCGTTGCTTTCAATAAACCGGTGGGTCTTCCTGGCTGGGGGCCATTTGCTAGGGGGCCCCCTAGGAGGGGCCCCCTGCAGCAATGGTGGATTCTTTGAAGCTCCACGAATTTCGTTTACCAAAAATATACGCGCCCACCTCCACAATTCAAGCTTAGGGCTTGGGACCTACATCGCTAGGGAGTTCCAAGTTCTTTACAAGGTCTCGATAGGCTTTCGATTCACTGGCTGCACATATTATGGCGCTGGTTGTTTGCCTTTAGTGGGAGTCGTTCGTCCACCTTCTAGTCCGCTAGTAGGGGCTAGAGGTGCTGCACATTTAGAATTGTTTCTGCGCTCGCCGATCATGTGCGCGCTTGGCGGGAACCCAGGGGAGCACTCAGCCTTTGAAGGCCTTTCGGGGGGCCCCCGTGTGGACTTTGCGAGGTCGAGCGCAACGGGCAGTGCAAAGGCTGTTGCAATCTCGGAATGTGGGGAGCTCCTATTTGCTGGAGTTGCCAACACGATTAGACTCTACCGAATCAATGTGACGGCTCCGCAGGATCGGGGGCCCCCACGAGGCAGGCACGTACCTGCAGGGGCCCTTGGGGAGGCCCTTCTATCTTGTCTGCACACAGAAGGAGAGTCCTTGTTCTCGGTACCATTGGGGCCTGCTGATGGGCATCTAGCTCAGCAGGAATCCCCCCTCGCCGCTGTCTTCTTCAGCCCGAGTGAGCACGTGCTCGGCCTCACAGAAAGCAGGGGGCTTCTCGCCGCATATGGCACTCGCCGACTTTCTGTCTACGCTATTGAGGGAAAGGGGTCCACATGGGGACTCGTGGAGGCCCCAGCGCAAGTGAAGGAACCCGTGCGACTGCAGCAGATCTTACTCGTCAAAGACACGCGTCGAATCCTAGCGGCGGAGTTTTTTTTCCTTGCATCAGCTGTACAGACAGCTCCTTCGGCAGCAGAGACAGCGGCAGTAACGAGGGCAGAGGGTTCCGAGGTCTCCGCCGCACAGACAGCACCGAAAATAGACGCAGGGTCACCTTGCTGCCGTCAGGCCTGTCTCCTTGTTGTTCTGTCTGACGGGTGCGTACGGCTGCTGCATGTAGCTACAGGCGAGGTGCTGCTTGAGCGGCAGTGCAGCAGCAGCGCGCTGCAGCTGCAGGCCGCAGCCGTCACACCCGTCGTGGTGCAGCTGTCTGGTCATATTACAAGTGCCAGCTGCTGCACGTCTTGCACTTGTTGCAGCAAAGGCTTGCAGCAGCGCCTGCTGCTCCTCGTGGCGGGGGGGACAGCCTTCTCTGACTTGCTCTTGTGGCTACTGCCAATCGACATGGCCCCAACTTCAGAGCAACCTGCAACAGCGCATGCAGCCTCAAACACGCCCCTTCAGCTGGTGCAGCGCCTAGAAGGACACAGAGGAGGCCTCTTTTCCCTCGCTTTCGCGGAGGGGGGCACTATCCTGGCTTCCGCTTCCGATGACAGGGAGATACGACTGTGGGCTAGCAAACCGTGTACAGCCGCCTGTGAAGCAGCAGCTGCAGTGGCAACGGCGGTGGATCAGAAGGCCCCTGCAGCAGCAGCACGTGCAGGTGCAGCAGCACTCGCGGAACTCCGGGCACTGTGGAGTGCGCCCTTTGGCGAAGCGTCCTGTGCAATGGGGGCCCCTTATAATGAACCCCGAAGGGCCCCTTGTGACTCTTTCCAGAAGCCGTTTACGTACCACTGCATCTCCGTGTTGCGCGGCCATAGGTCTCGAATCTGGATGGTCGCCTTCCTAGACTTGCTTCCTGGCTTACGCTTTCCGCAGCTCCAGCCCCACGCACTGCACCAAACCCGCAAACACCAATCGTCGGGCAGCGCCCAATGCAAAGGAGGCCTCTGCGAAGATGCGGGGGGGAAGGGCAGCTGCTCCTGCGGAGAGCTGCTGCTCCTGCAGTCCGCGACGTGCAGTCTGCTCCTCCTGTCTGCAGGGGAAGACTCGACCGTAAGAATATGGTCTCTTAGAGGCCCATGCTTGTACACTCTAGAAGCCCACAAGGGCCGCGGTGTCCGCTCACTGGCCGTATTAGGGAGCGCGTTGGGGGCTTCGCGTCTTGCGAATCGGCTTGGTTCGAGCTATTCCAGTGGGAGTGCGCAGCGGAGCGAGGCTGTGGGTGGAGAGAACGATGGAACTGGAGGCCCCTGGGGTCTCTTCGCAACCGGGGGAGAGGACGGGTGCATCAAGGTGTGGCCAGTTGAAGCACTGCATTCTCTGTGGGGAGCTCTTCAGCGACACGTACACTCCAGCAGCTTGGAGCTGCTAAGGATGTTGCGGCGCCACCCGCTAGATTCGCAGACTCTATCGGGGCCTGGTGAAAACGGCACGCTTGCTGCTGTTGTTGCTGCTGAGGAAGGCACAGCAAGCGCTGCAGCAACGGCCCAACTGGCAGACGTTTTTGCAGCAGGCGTCAAGCGGAAGATGTGCCGACACAGCCACCCGCCGCAAGAGCCGTTGCATCAACAGACGAATGTGCCGCAAGAGCCACGGGATGAACAAGCCCTCCAGCAGCGAAGACAGAAGCAGCAACGCCGCAGGCCAGGGGATGGGCAGGAACACCACTTGACCTCGGCAGCGGCCGCAGGGGGCTTCGAAGGCTGCACCTGGAGCTGTAGAGTGACGCCAACAGCAGCGGTGCAGGCAGCGAGTAGGGCTGTCTCGGCAGATTCAGGTGAAGAGACAGGCAAGCTTGTGGAGACGACAGGCCCTTGGGAGTTCAGCTGTACGTCCGCTGCCGTTGCCGCACCAGCAGGGCTAAACTCAACGCGCAACACCAGAACAAATGAAACAGCAAGGGTTTTACCGCCAGAAGCTGGATCAGGAGGCAGCCACCATCATTCGGCAGCAATCAAAGCTTCACTTTGCGGGGGACTGTGTGGCTGGTTAGGAGGCAGTGACAAGGATTTTGTCAGAGAAATCTTCTTCTGCTGGGGAGAGGAGACTGCAACAGACACGCTTATTCTGTCTACAAACTACGGACACGTTTACCTAGTGTGGCAGTGTGCAGCGACCTCAGGAGAAGCAGAGGTGGCCGCGGAAGCAGAAGCATCGACAGCAGCAGGAGGCGTTTCAATGGTGCCATTGGATGCAGCATTCACAACGGCAGGAGTGAGACAGGGCACTCAAGCAGTTGCAAGAGCTGCAGGAGCGGCAGCACGTACGTCGGGAGGGGGAGGATCATTTTGTTGGCTGTTGCTGTGCTGCGTACCGTCACCGGTGACTGCAACAGGTGTCTCCGACGAGTGTCTCTGCCTCGGGGGAGCCGACGGCTTCTTGCGGCTCTGTCACCTCCGGCCTCTCCGCCTTTCGATTGCCCGTATGCGGCAGCATTGCCAGCAGCGGCAGTGCTGTGACGATTCGCAAGTGAGGCCTGCCGCAGCTGGAGCCTTGACGGCAACAGAGGCCTTCAGCGATGCTCGCGTTTCCTCTGCCTTTGTGTTCTCCTTGGGAACCCTACAGAACCCGTCCTCTTTGGTTGCTGGGGTCTCTAGCAACACTGGAAATGGGAATACACTGCTGCTGCCGCTGGCGCGGTGTAGCAAGAGCAGCAGCAGCGTCTGGGCAGAAATGCGGCAAGCAAGGACAACACCAGTCCGCCCGCCCCACACAGGGGAAGACTGCCTTGGGGGCTTTGCTATTGCTGGCGACCATACGGGTACCTTCCAGCTATTCTTTTGGAATCTTCAGCAGCAGCATGCATCAGATCCTGCAGCAGCAGCAGCTGCTGCTGCTGCTGCTCCTGGGAACTGTCCTTTGAGGTTGGAAAGACTGGCAATTCTGAATCTTCCACGCCACAGACAGGCCCTCTCGGGAACGGCGGGTAGAACCCCCGTGCCGCGCGTCACAAACCGCTTTATGTGCTGTATCGCTTTGGCATCCTTGGCATCAGCGAGAACCTTCGAGGGCCATCAGATACTGTCAACGGTCTTCCTAGTCGGTGATGAGCACGGCACCTTGCACGTCCTGCTGCTGCAGGTTCCAGCTGTACGAGGGGGAGGCGCGGCAGAAGACAGAGGGCTCCCGCTCCAAAGGCAGCAGCAAGAGGCGCTTGAGTGGGATTGGCCGTCTTCGCGTGTTTTGGCACAGCAACCCTTAGCGGAGTTGCACCCCAGGCGACACGTTGCGTTGCTCACCTGCAGTAACGGCTTTGTTTTCTGCTGTGGCGGGGACGGGAGAATCCTTATTCTTCGCGTGTCCATCGGCAGCTCGAGGTCCAGCATCAGCAGCGTACCAGATCTCTGGGTGCCTCAGCAGGTTGTTGTCGAGCAGCTACAGGCTGTGAAGGTCTCTCAGATACGAACGTTCGTGTGTCTCCTGCCACAAGACGGCCCCTCTGCGTGTGTGGCTCCTTGGTGGGGTGCTTACGCCGCCACATGCGCGGCACCAACGTCCGCAGTGCTGCTGCCGCCTCAGCAGCAACAGCAGGATGGATTTGCGCTGCTGAAGCAGCATGTCGCAGTGGGCGTTAGGGGAGGCGACCTTGTGGGGTTTTCTTTTACGCAGGAGGCGCCGCTGCTGCAGCTGCCATGCGGAGACAGCAAGCGCTCCTTCGCTGTGGGAAGGGGACGGCTAGGAGGCCTCCGCCTGGCCTTCTCGAAGGGAGAGTGCGTGCACATCTACAGCAGCAGCAGCAGCAGCAGCAGCACTAGCAGCCAGAGCAACAGAAACGAGGGAATAAACGCCCAGGAGGCGGAGGAGAAGGAAGAGGCGGGACTGTTGCTGCACAGGCCGCAAGCGCGCTGCTGTGTCTCCTATAATTCGCACAACCCAGGGGGGGACATCCACGCCATTTCTTTCCTGTCTCCTTCGGTCATGTGCGCTGCTGCAGAGGACAACACTCTCAGCCTGATAGCATGCGAAGCGCCCCCCGTAGCAGCAGCACTTCCCCCAAGTCGCTGGAGCTTAACGCACAGTCTGAGCGTTTTCTCCATCACCACAAGGCATCATGCAGCAGTCCGTGCAACCGCAGAGCTGCACCAGTGGCCGCACGCTCGACCATACCCGCAGGCAGGAGGCCCTCTTCCCCGCCTCCTGGCTAGTGCTGGGGCTGCACAAACCCTGAATCTCTTCCAGCTGCTGACTGCAGCATCCACCCCAGCGTCAGCCACAAAGGGTGTACGGGCAGAAACCGAACCGCCAGAAGCTTCAGACGCTGCATCGCAGGGGCCTTTAGAACTCGCACATTCTGCATCCGATGCTGCTTCTGTCGGGATTCTACAGCTGGGGACGCTGTGCTTGGAGGACAGAAATGCCAAGGGCCCCTCCGCAAATGCGCGCTTCACCATGGTTTGCGGCTACGTGTCTATGCTACAGCAGCAATCGCAGTCGAACTGCGACGCCTACGTTCTTGTGGGGGTCTCGACTGCCAGGCTGCTTCTGGTGCGCTTCCGCCTGTCCGTCGCAAATGACCCTCCAGCCGTGGCCGCACCTGCATTACCAGCTAGGACCGAGTCTGTTAATCAGAAACATGGAGCTTCGCGGAGCAGAGCAGTGCGCGCACTGGGGGGCCCCCAGGTTGTCTGCTCCTTAAGCCTGAATGCCGTTCCCCTGTGTTGTCAGCTGGTTCGCCTGCCTTCTCACGCTGAAGCAACACAAATTCGGCCTCCCGCGGCGGCCCCAGATGCGGAAGCCAGCTGCAGCAACAGAGGCTTCGTTGTCTTCGGACAGACGGATGGGTGTGTTGCTTGTGCATTTTTAGAACAAAGAGACACACCCCCTTTGCTGCTGCCCGTAGCGGCTTTCCCAGCGCACCAGAGAGCCGTTACTGCCGTTTGTGTAGAGGTGCTAGAGCAGCACCCCGCAGCAGTAGCATCAAGCCCTGCAAATTCGGCAACTGAGTCATGCCGTCTCCTCATTTGCACTAGTGGAGATGATGACGCGATTTCCCTTGCTATCGTTTCCCTTGTCTGCTATCCAGCAGGGGCAGCAGCGGGGACAGCAGCAGGAGCTCGAGAAGGCGAAGGAACCAGTTGCTGCAGGTGGCGTTTACGCCTGCTGAGTCGTGTGATGCACCCAAATGTTCATGGGTCTTCAGTTCGCTGCCTCGCGTTGTGCTTCCCGTTTCTTTTTAGCGCCGGGTGGGACAGATGGCTGCAGGCTTGGATACTGCATAGAGGCACCGGCACTTGCTTCGACAATAACCGCGCTAGCAGCGGCAGCCATGGAAGCAGCGGAATGCGGACGTGTGTGCTGTGTGAGGAAGGAAGCGTAGGAGGAGCAGCACCAAGTTGCTGCTGCAGACCAACAATTGGGTGCTTTGCTTCCTTAGTTGCTGGTGCTCCTCGTTCGGCTGCACAGCAGAATGCGTGCCTTCTCGATAGGCAACTGGAGGCGCTTTGGAAGACACGAGGGTCTCCCGTACACCAAGGGCAGCGGCAAGAGCAGCAGGAAACTGAAGTTTTCATGCTACAGCGCATTGCATCCGTTCAGACGGGGGTTGCTGAGGTAGCTGCCCTGGCTGCTTGCCCCCTTGCAGAAAAAGACACTCCTAGGGGCCTGCAACGGGGCTTTAATAATGCAACCATCCGTCTGGGCTGTGCCGGTGCTAGTGGGGGTCTCGAGGTGTTTGAATTTCACTACAATCGTACACAGCAATGAGCGCAGACACGACCGCCGAGTCTTTTGTTTCTTTTTTCCCTATAGGGAGTGTCCCTCAGCGCTCAATGGCATGCAGATAGAAATACTAGTAACGTAACATACAGGTAGGTTGAAGAGTAGCTATGGGGAGGCCCTTGCGTACTGTGATGTGGATGGTCGTCCTACGGGTTTGGTCAGGCGCAAAGGAGGATGTGGCCTAGCAGGATGATGCGCATATACTTCCCATGCATTACAAATTGATCATTGTAATCCCGTTCACCTATTCAGAGAGCCCATCTTCCGAGATCGCTGTGCTATTTAGCCGACTGCCTTGTGAGGTCGCTGACTCCGGAGCACGCGATGTACCTACTCACTGGGCGTGCTAGCCACTCGCTAGGCAAGCTAATCGACGCCACCTCTATGCAATCAGTTTTCCAATATGCACGATCAAAGCTTGCGTTTTCGAAAACAGCAGTGCTATACGGCGCTGGAGGGTCGGGACAGAAGGCCGCGCTAGTACCGTTACAATCGGCGAAGTATTGCAGCTTATGGAGCCCCAAAACAAACGCTCCCCTCAAGGCCCCCTATTTAAAGTCTGTCGCCATACTCTTAACCTCTGTGCGCCTGTATGCCGTAGTATGGTCATACCTTTTGGCGTTTTCTAGCCGTACTGCGAAGGCCCCCACCCATTTTACATCCAAGATATGTACACCCCTCCGCCAGCGAATATCGCCCTTCCGCACCTCAACGGATGATATTTCAAAAGGCTGTAGCCTATGGGGGCTTCAGCTGAAACCCCCAAGAGAGGAGCATTGGCTGCGGATTTTGCCGCTGTTATGGAGAACAGGAGGGAAAAACATAAATTACGGCAGTTTTCCGAACACTATGGCTTTAACACTACATACCAGCTGCCGCGCTGTTGACTCCTGCCTTTTTCTGCCATTCGCTATGAATATACACCGAAAACCACCCCAGCAACAACTGCAGCAACAGAGGGCCCCCCGCGAGTCCCGCCCGGTCACCAGCCACTGTGCCACAACAGCAGCTGAACGATAATGCCTTTGTGCGTACATTTGCGATTAAAATATTTTATATTTCTTGGCATTGGCTTTAGGCAGAATTAAATCCAGAAAATTGGCGGTACCTATGCAGTTGCTGCGGCTGCTGGTGCCAGGGCGTGTCGTTGCTCCGCCTCGGTGTGGCGTGTCTAGGTGGTAGAAACCGCCCCCCGAGTACGACATTCTACTGACTCTGAATGTATTTGGCCCTACTCCATTCCCTCCAGACAGGGGCGAAGAGCAGTCCTACTCCCGCCACAGCCGCAGCGCTCCTCCCTCTCGGTGATCCCGAGGTTCAGCTTGACGAGTTCCTTGCGCGGTTGCCGCGAACTGCCGAGAAAATCGGAAACGGACTCGCCTCAGCGGCCTATCTCACTCGCAGCATTCCTAGAAGCAGGTGGGGGAGCGTTGGAACCGCAGCCGCAGTGTTCACCGCCTTTTTACTGAACCCCCGGTCGTTGACAAGAGTATGAACACCAGCAGCAACTCCAGGAAGCGCAAGGCCAATGGTGACCTGCCAAGGCTGTGGAGAGCCTACTGCATCCCGTCTCTGCTGCCCTAAGTGCACGGAGTGCGGTCGCACCTCCTTCTTCTGCTCACAAGACTGCTTTAAAGCCTCGTGGCCGTCTCACAGCAAGCTTCATGCTGTAATTCAGAGAGGAGCATTCGCCGGAGGGAGCTTCGTGGGCGGAAGGGCGCTCCTTGGAAACTCCCTTGAGGGCCACCTCACCGAGAGCACTGCGGACGGCAGAGACTGGAACAGCGCGCGAGAGGATTCCCCCAGCCCCGATGCACCCACGCACAAAAACAGCAGCAGCAGCAGCAGCAGCGGCAGCTCCAGCAGCCGAAACGACAGGGAGGCAGCAGCAGAGAGGAGGAAAGAGGATGAGGTGTCGAGCTCGTTGCCAGTTGTCCCTTCCCGCGTCTCTCGAGGCCTCAGCCTCATTCAGGCCCGCGGGGTCGCCCGCAGCAATATTAGCACCAAAGCTGGCAGCAGCGGCACTCCGTCGAAAAAGACGCTGAGCAGCGGGCTACTGTGGTCTCGTCTATTCGGCGGCAACAAGCCTGTGGAGATTCCCCTTCACGTCAGGGGAGACAAGAGGGACATGGCTGCGAAGGCGTGCCCGAGTGGTGCTGCTGCAGGAGACGCTTCAGGATCTGGAGTTATTTTGTCCCCTCGAGCTCCTCTGTTGCTTTTGCTGCTGCTGGGAGCTCTCCTGTGCTACATCACGTTCGGCGGCCTGCTGTTTACGTTCACCGGAGGCCTTCTAGGAGGACCCCCGCTTTCTGCGCAGCAGCAGCGTGACACAGCTGCAGGCGCCACAGCAGAAGCACCCGCTGATACGCCTACCCTGCAGGCTCTTGGGCAAGCTCTTGTGCAGCTGAGAGAACAGCTCTCAACAGTAGAAGGGGTGTTGAGGGAGCACGATGCCCTTCTAGGGGCCTTGGCCCCCGTCCCCCCGCTCAGTGTTTCCTCCGCTGCTGCCGGAGCCTCGCGCTTCCAACGAGCTAAGGGGGGGGCCTTGGGAGACAGTGTGGCGAGCCATGGGGTTGCTGTCGATCCCGCAGGAGCTGCCCTTGAGGCTGGAGCAGCGAGGGCTCAGCCTCTCTTGCAGTTGCTGGAGAGAGCTCGAGAGGCAGCAGCAACACAGGGGGCCTCAACCCAAGCAGAGGCGCCTTCCTCTGTCTCCCCTTCGCTGATGCAGAGGTCCTTTGCGGCCGATGTGGCCAGTGAGGGAAGGCATTCTCTTCCTGCAGTGTCGCAGCCTGCGATAGCACAAGACTCCGCGACCACCCAAGGGACTGATGGGTTCGAAACTTTGGAAAGTGCATCACAGAAAGAGGAACCCCATGCAGCGGAGAAGGCACAACAGGAGATAACGGAGGCGCAGGAAACTTTCGAGCCATCGTTCGGGGCAGGCGAGTCCGTGGAAGTAAACAAAGAAGACTCTCCGGTGTTATCCGGCGCAACAGACGGAGGAATGGCAAAAGGTAATGCAGAAGGAGGGGGAGGAGCAGCAGTAGCAGCAGCAGATAACGCAGAGGCTGTACCAGCAAGAGCAACTGCTGGATTACCCGAGGCCGAACGTGAGACAAACGTTGCGTCGATAGCCTCTAAAGCCAATCAAGCAAGCGTAAACCGTGGCCTGGGTGGTTCGGCTCTTCTTGGTTTGGGGTTGTATATGAAGCGTAACAAGAGGGGGCCCTTTATGCCCTAGTCGGGGGGTCTGCCTGACCGGGGGGCCTCTAATTCTGCATGACGACCGGTTCTTTCAGCCTGTAGTGAACGCCTAGTGCACGCACTTGTTGCTGCAGTCGTGCAGCAGTAGGCACGTCTACCGCTGTGTTCTGCACGGGGTACTCCACGAGAAGCTGGTGGTGTCTGTCTCAGCTTTGCAGCACTGCAGCACTTTTCCTGAGCAAAGGATACACAATAGTCACCTTGGCGAGGATGGGTACAGCTCTTCTCGGTAGTAGAGCAAAAGAGAGCAAAATAAAGAAAGAGAGAAAGCGAGAAGGCTAGAGAAAAAAGATAGAAGGAGCGAAATCGTGCCACATATACTTAGCGGCAAAGGGTTCGCCTCGATAAATGGCTTCAAAGGGAACAGCTCTTCTAGAGGTTGAGTCTGCTGAAATGATGTTTGGTCGGCTATCACTACCGCTGCTGCCGTAGCTGCTTTCTCGGCGAATGCAGGGGGTGCTAAATAGCATTATTGCTAAATCACCATGTCTGCGTAATCGTGGTTGCTATCGCAAGCAGAGAGCAATGCACTCTCGCCTTTCATCCATGAAGGGTATATGGCGTTTTCCGACATAAGACGAAGCACAGCGCAGGGACCCAAGCGAGCAGTCAAGGCTCACATTTGGGCAATTCAGCGTTCACTGGGAAGGATGAAACGTAGCAGTCGACGCGCTCGCTAGCGCACTTCTCGAATCGTGGCCCTGACCTCGCTAACCAGGTCCACAATCTCATGCAACTTCTGTGGGCAGCTTGGCGAACTGCTCTCGAGGAAATCTTGTCGTGTAGCCTTGTTGTGCCCGCGAGAAACATAGACAGGTGGTGCTTGGAGTTCTTGTCAGCAGCCAACGGCAGGGGCACAGCCTGCTTGCACTGTGAACTCCCCCCTCCCTTAAGAGGGTGGCGACCGCCCTGTGGCCTATCCTCATCCCTAGGGGCCCTCTTCATACTACAATGGGAGAGACCGAGGCCTAGGCCGCCGTTTCAGACACGCGATTCCACTAAACGTGGCTTGCCGATTTCTACGGAGCTGAGCGTTCGGACAGCAGGCTACGAGACACCGGCATGCTGAGACAACCCTTTCACTCCCGAGCCTACTTATTGCCCTTTTTTTTTGTTTTCTGTCTGTTTGCATTTGCCGTCCGCTGTTGCTATGGCCTCCTGCTACATAAGGGCGATGCTGCCTCCTCTTTGTGGGGTCTCGACAGTCAGAAGATTCTCTGTCCCTATAGGACGCGGCTGAGGCCCTGACGAAACTCTTCTTTGCAGCTGCCTAGGTCGCCCATAGAGGGAGGGGAGAAAGGGTAATAGCTGTAACCCTCAGCAGCAGAGCAAGCAGGCGGGCAGGCGTAAATAGGAGTTTCGGGGTTGTGCCTCCTGATTTAGCTCATCCCCTGCTCTGACTAATCGGTGATATGTGCGCAACAAAAGATGCGGCCTTTTAATTATTCTCAGGAGGAGAAGGAGGTTGGTAACTTGATTTGGTGCTGTCCTAAGGCACGCCTAGGTCACCCCGGAAGTTAAAGCCGGGGCCTGCCCTTGGGCAGGCTGCCAAAATAAGATGTAGGTACCCCTGGTTTGCGTGTCTCACCCCCTTAATGTTACACGTTCCTGCTTCCTTGCATGTTTACCTGCCGATATAACGGTTGGTGTGGCAGTTGTTGCCCCGTGCAGCAGCTCACGCGCTTGAGGGGGGAACTTTATAAAGGGCTGCCGCCAGGCTCGCTGTGGCGGCTCCTACGGCTGCTGCGGGTATCACGGCCGTTCTGCAGCTGCACAGCCTGTTTCATACACAAGCTAGGGCTTTAATGCCTTGATCTCATTGATGTTTCTCCAAACAAACCCCATAACAGCCTCAACGAAGCTTGCGCGAGGCCCGTTGCAGGAGCAGCAGCAGCGGCCGCGGCAGCGGCTGCAGCTGCTGCAATTGTTGCTGCGTGCAGCAACTGCCACCGAGACTTTTTAAAATCCGCACGCACAGTACCTTCAGATACCACTTTGTCTTTTCTGCTGCAGCGGGGGTATCTGCAGCCGCAGCAGCGGCGGCAGTTCGTGCCGCAACGGACGGAACTGCGGCACGAAGAGACACACCGAGCAGACTCTGATTGGATTTGTGAGTTCGTGGTGTCAACAGAGAGGCGAAGCAGCAGCAGCGGTGGCGGCGGGTGCAGGGAAGCGGATCGGCATTCGAGGGAAACACCCGTGGAGGGTGACCTCTGCCAAGGAGGGGGGTCGAGAAACACGAGTTGAATCCAAAACAGAGGGACTAATTCTGAAGATGGGCGGCCAGGGCAGTCGCCATGCCCTTGCAGGGGGCTCAAACTTATCCAAGGAGAATTTAAAGCAGTACCTGAAAAGGTTCGATGGAGATGAGGTCGAAGTGCTCAAGAAGGTGTACAAAAGCCTGGCTCTAAGGAGCGAGACTCCCGGTACGGTGCCGCCCCATGTAGCAGCTACTATTTGTGTTGCCTGGTCGCTGAGAAAACTGCCCTGCCCGTGTTGATCTTACGCATATCTGCCTCACATACCGCTTCATGGATTTTCCAGCCACAGCCGTGGAGGAGGCTATTGTTGTTGCACGAGTGACCAGCAGGCGCTTAAGGTTCCTTTCCAGCATTTTCGAGTAGGCTGTGGGCTGCTGTTTCTTTCCTAGGGATTGACAAGGAGACTTTCCTAAGATACTTCCCGTTGCCAGGACTATGGGGAGAGCGACTTTTTCAGAAATTTGACTACAAAGGTGTGTGTTCGTGATGCAGCCACGCCGCATGTCCTCTTTCGAGCTTATGTGCTGTGTGTCTTAAGTGTTGTCGGTGTATCGGATCACTTGTGCAGTGCCCCTCTCTTTCGGCTCCCCCCTACCCGCTATCCCTTTGCAGTTGAAGCTTCTGCAGTGTAGCTCGAGTTAGCTGTCCGCACTCTGGCGTAAGCTCGCCTTCCTTGGCGAGCCTTCTCGTGTTTCCCCAATCGCTTTCTCTCGGCGGCTTCCTCGTAGTTCTCACCTCGCGCCTCGAACAGCTCGTCGCTTGTGCTCGCCTCCCTGCCTACCGCTGCGATGTGCCGCCTACTAGGGCTTTCTTGCCACCGACCAACTCATTCTCAGCTTCCAGCTCTCCCCTTTTCGCGCTTCTCTTTGTAGGAACGGGCAGCGTGGATCTCGAGGAGTTCCTAATTGGAATTGCCGTCTGCTGCCGAGGCACCAAGAGCGACCGAATGTTTGTTTTGTTTCAGGTGAGGAAAGGCTTTTTCAAAGCAACCTCTTTTCTCCCCCTCCCCGTACCCCTTTTCTCCCCACCTCTCCCCGCGTCTTGTGCCGCTGTTTTTGCCCGCTTCCTGCACGTCAACGCTGCATGCCTTGGCGTGCGCTGATAAAACGTGCTGCCCATATGCCGATTCTTCTTTTGAAAACCAATTTCCAGCTGATGGTGCTCTAAGGGCTGCCCTGCCGCTAGTTCGGCGCCTTGCCAGCGCAGCACGAAAGGGATTCGCTGTTTCGGCGATTGCTGCAGGTGTTTGACTTGAATAATGACGGATATATTCAGAAGAGTGAGCTGATTGCGATGCTCTCGAACTTGCCCAATCTGGAGAACTACATTACTGCGCGGCAGCCCGACACGGCAGCAGAAGAGCAGCCGCAAGGCCAGGGGCCGTCTTCGTCGACTGCATCGGAGTTTTCGCCGCAACAGCAGCAGCAGCAGCAGCAGCAGCAGCACGACACCAGCTGGGCTCAAGTCTCGAGCAGGGAAGTCCTCGATCCTGTCGATGAGGAGTCGGATAGCAGCGAGGTGTCCACGCTTTCTGACCTCTTCGTTTATGCCCCTCTGACGTGCCCTGCAACAGCGGCAGCAACGGCGGTGGTGTCGTCAACAAGCTGCGTGGGGAGCAACAGCACGAGCGGCGCATGCAAAGCCTCCGAAGTCGAAAGAGCTGTGTCTGCACCTACAGTTGTTACCGCTGCACCTCTTTTGAGCGCTGCAGGCTGCAGCATCTCGCTGACACTCTCGGAGTCGGGTGCTGCCCAACAGCAGGAAATCCAGCCGCAGCAGCAGCAGCAGCAGGCGGAAGCGGGGTGTGTCGAAGGCAGTAACGAGTCTGGCGCAGCGGGAGAGAGCGAAGGTGCTCTTTTGGGGGCCCCCTCCGCGAGCAGCACAGCCAAAAAGAACCCCTCTCCCGTAGCGCAGCTTCTCATCGACATGGAAAAGGAGCAGCAGCAGGAAACGAGCCAAAAGCCCTCGGTCGACGTGGAGTGCGTTGTTGACAAGATCATCGAGGAATGCGAAGTAAGGAGACTTCCAAAACCTCGCAGACGGCTGCCGCTGCGGCTCCCGTGGGGTGTGCGCCTTCGCACCAACTCCCACACGTGGCCGCAGTGTCTCTGCAGCTGCTCCCATCTTGCGCGAATCTGCTGCTGCTGGTGCGGCTGCTGCAGTTCGTCGAACACGGACGCTTGTCGTTCCCCGAATTCAAGACGTGGCTAGAGCATCACCCAGGCATTCTCTCAATGTTTACTGCATGCCTCCACGAGGAGGTGTGGGGCCTACAGGGAAATGCTCTGTACAGATCTGCATCAGGCCTGAGGTCAGTTGCTGCCCCCTTATCCGCTCGCTCCTACCCCCCTTGAAGCACCATCATCATGCGACGGACTGACAAAGCTGCTACGTCCTATAGGCTGCATATCCCGCCTTTTTTCCTCGCAATCCTTCTTTATGGGCTCCACGCGCATGATCTAAGTTCCCGCTTGACAGCACTTGGCGCCTTTACAGGCCGTGGCTCCAGTCGCTCTGCGTCTTATGGCCAGAAGCCTTTTCTTACATCCGAGTAGCTGTTGTCTCTGCCGCGCGAGCACTCTCCACGCTGCTGCTTCGTAGCGGGCTGCTGAAGTCTTCCCCCTTCCTCTTCTAGCGTCAAGCACTTCTCTCCTTCTGTAACAGTATCTTCTTGCCTACCGCCTCTTCGTGTGCCTCAGTGCCCTGTCAGCTCTCTGTCTCTCTCTCTCGATCGCTTTATTTCTCTCTCTGTCTGTCTCTCCCTGTCTCTCCCTCTTTCTCTCTGTCTTTCTCTCTGTCTCTCCCTGTCTCTCCCTCTTTCTCTCTGTCTGTCTGTCTGTCTGTCTGTCTGTCTCTCTCTGTCTCTCTCCTCTTGTCTCTCTTTCTTCTGCTGGGCTCTCATGAATTTGCCTCTTTCTAATGGGGAGGTGGTGGTGCTGCAGATCGAGCAAGGGGGCGTCGAAGCCAGGCTCTGGGGAGTTTAAGGACTTTAAGGGAACACGGCACACCGAGATTCGACAAGACCAGCTTTACAAGGTAGCGTACATCTCGAGGTGTCGATTTGTGTGGCGTAAATGCGCAATTTGGTGTATGTATATATATGCATATATATATATCTATGTATGTATACATATATATATATATCTATGTATATATGTATACATATATATATATATATATCTATGTATATATGTATACATATATATATCTATATATGCTATATGTATGTACTGTTACAGCCACGCCGCCACGGGAGGCAGGTTTGATGCTTTTGATTGTGCGTTCTGTTTATTGGAGGCGTCTTTTTTGTGGCTGTGTTTATGCATTTGTGTGGGCCTGCAGGTGCGGCGTCTCTTCACGGGTCACCATGGAGGTGTTTCTCTGCAGTCTCGCGTCATTTCTCCGACAAGCCGAGAAGCTGTAGGCTCCAAGACAAAGTTGTCGGGAGGGCAGGGATCGCTCCTGACTGCTGGATCTCCTCCCGCTGGACAGTCGAGCTCGGGGGGGTCCCTTACGCCTGTGCAGGATAGTGGTACGGTTGTTGCAGTGGCACCAGCGAGTGCAGCAGCAGCGACAACGACAGCAACTCCCGCGAAAGCTGGAATGGCGGAGGAGGCTTGTGGGGAGCAACAGCAGCCGCAGGACCAACACCTGGGAGGGGCAGCAACAGCTGTGGCTGTCTCTTCAGGCCAGCAGCCCTCCTCGGGAGCTTCTTCCGTCATTTTGAGACACGAAGATGCTCTCCAAGCAGTAGTACCTACAGCTGCGGCATCTGCAGCAAGACCTCCTGAAGTGCCAGCTGCTCCTGTCTCAGCCGCGGCAGCAGCTGAAGAAGGCGAAGAGGACATGGCGCAAGCGATCGCTCTCCCCACAGCTTCTCGTGATCCTGCTCCGGGGTGCAAACTAGGAGAGAAAGGAGCAGCAGGAGCGCCTACGGCAGCAGCAACAGCTCCAGCCGTGACCCCACCTGCTGCAGCAGCAGCAACAGCAGCTCCAGCCGTACCCCCACCTGCTGCTGCAGTTGCGGAAGCAGCAACTACAGGGGCAGCTCCTTGTGCAGCAGCAGCAGCAACAGCTGAGTCTGCAGCACCTGCTCCAAGCGCAGTAGCGCCGGCATCGGGAGACAGCATGACCAGCAGCTGCCGTCTGCCGTCTTTGAAGGTCTGTGACTTCGACAGATCTCTAAGGCCTGATCTCGACGTACATCTTCTGCTTAAAGGCCAGCCAACTCCGTTGCACCCGCGGCAACAGCAGCACCAGTACCAGCAGCAGCAGCAGCAGCACCAGCTCCTGCATCAGGGGGAAGGCGGCGCCGACAGCCCTGCGTATGTCGCTGACTGTGGAGCAGAGTTGGGCACTCTTCCATCTGTGGCCTCGCTTTCAGGAACCTTAGGCTCTCTCATCAGGGAGCATGCAGCTAAGGAAGCAGGGGGAGGAGCAGCAGAAGCAGCGGCTACCGGAGAACAAGATTTGCATTCGTGCCCTAACTGCCATCGGCCTCTACTCCTCTGCCCCTCCTGCCTTGGGAGGTCCTTGCAGCTGAACCTTTTGCAGGGAAGAGTCGTGCTTGAGTGCGGCAACTGCAGTATCCAGGCAGAAGCATCCAGTTCGGCCTCTTCGCCGGCAGCAGCAGTGGCAGCAGCGGCGGGAGATGGCGGTGCTGCCGCTCCAAAGGTCTCTGATGTGCATGCGGACGCGCTGGACAGCACAGCGAGCGCTCCTGATGCCTCTGCGGCAGCAGCCGCGGGATCGAACGGGCTTCCCAGCAGCAGCAACAGCAGCAACAGCAGCAGCAGCAACAGCAGCAGCAGCAGCAGCAGCAGCAGCGCTGGAGTCGCGCATCGGGGGATCTACACGCATTGCTGGGAATGCCAGTGGGATTTTAGCAGGAGTGCAGAACTTCTTTCCATGAGCGAGGCGGCGATGGACGGCGTCTTGCTGAAGAAAGGGAAGCACCTGCATCAGTGGCAACCCCGCTTTTACGTCCTCATTGGCAACATGTTGTATTACTACAAGAAAAAGGTATGACTCGTCTTCGTGTCGGCTTGGCTTGGGGGTAGGGGTGAAAATGACTCAGGAGCATCCCGAGAGGCTGCGGGCCGGCACTTATTTCTTTTTCCGAACTAGCCCCCGAATCTGCCAAGCCTTTTTTCCATACACATTTCGGAGCTTGTGTTTTCAAGGATGTGTCTCTGCAGGGGGACGCAAAGCCTCGAGGGTTCATGTTTCTGGAGGGCTGCTTTGTGGAAACTCTTACAGATGCCGGAGCGTTAAGGCCTTACGGCTTCGCCATTGTGCATCCCAGAGGAGACTCTGTGGTTAGGCGTGTTCTGTTTGCGCAGTCAGCAAAGGTGTGTTTTGAAGGAACGGCACGTGGAGTCGTGGAGGGTCGTTGCTGTACATACATATGTATGTATGTGTGCTCTTTCGCGTGGGGTGTAATCTGGGTATGCTTGTTTGCCTGTTGCTAGATTGTCGGTGCTTGCCTCGGTGCTCGGTGACGCAATAAAATCTTGTCGTCCTCCGCTGTTGCTGCCTTTCCCTGCAACGCTGCAGGAGCAGCAAGAGTGGGTGGAGGCTCTGCGAGCGTCTACGCGCCAGCAGTCGCTTGAGCACACGTATGACATTCAGGAGCAGCTCGGACAGGGTGGGCTTCCGCATTCTTCTCTAGCCGCCTCTGCTTCCGCTTCTCGATATCTCTTGCTCTCCGCTTTGGTTCACCCGACACAAATTTGACGGAGTAGCTCCGTAGGAGAGACGTGTTCTCGCGGCGTGTGTCAAATTTATGCTGCTGGACCTGTCCCTTCCTGGAGCGCCCTTCTTTGTTATTGGGGTGCGCTTTTACCCAGGAAGCGGGGTGGCTGGCTTGCGGAGGTGGGCCAGGTAGCAAGCGCTTCGCGTCTTGCGAAAGTGCTGCTGTTGTGCTTGTTTAGGAAAATTCAGCGTGGTGTATAGGGGGGTACACATCAAGACGAAGGAACAATACGCCATCAAAGTGATCGAAAAAGGGAAGATCAACAGACACGAGAGAGAGCTGCTCAGGAGCGAGATGGTCATTCTGAGACTTCTTAACCACCCCAACGTCATTCGGCTAAAGGCGAGCCGAGACCACATTCGATGCGCTGCCACCGTTTGTTCCACATACTGCCGTGTTAGGCTTTCTTTTGTCAGCTGCCGCGGCACGACCCTCTTGTTGCACTTGCTACTGCCGCATGTTTATACTGCCAGAGCTGATGCTCCTGCCGCCGCACTTTTGCGGGGCTTGATTGATTCCAGGAAATGGTCGACACCAAGGAGACGCTCTACATCGTTATGGAGCTGGTGCGAGGTGGCGAACTCTTTGATTTGATTCATGCGAATCACCACCTTCCTGAAGTGCATGTTAACAGGTTGGCTACTGGGGAGGCATGGGCCGCGTCTGCTGGTGCTGCTGACTGCCACGCAGGCTGCTGTTGCTTCAGACGTTCATACGGCGTCAAAAGGCTCCTCTGTTCCCCTTAGAGGCGATCCCTTCGCTGCCTGGCTGGCCTTTGTCTTTAAAGCCAGGAAGCTTTTTTCAGTCCGACTTTGGGCACCGCGCTTTAGAAGTCGGCGCAGTTTTCCCTGTCTTTTGTGCCGGCCCTTTTCTCGCTCTTTTCCCCCCTTCCCCGCAGAATCACTAGGTGGCTCCTCGCAGCGGGTTGGCTGCTGAACGGCGAATGCTGCCTCGTCCAGCGTTCGTCCCTCTCCTTTCCGTGACAGCCTCTCTCTGTGTTGCTTCCTGTGCGTATGCATCGGCCTGCCGCTCCCTAGAATCGTGTCGCAGCTGCTCTCGACGGTCTACTACTTGCACAAGTGCGGCATCATCCATCGTGATCTCAAGCCTGAAAACATTCTCCTCTCCGACAAGACGGAGAACGCCACCATCAAGCTCGCGGATTTCGGGCTTTCCACCCTTTGCGGGCCTAACGAAGTTCTCCATCAACCCTGCGGAACCCTCGCGTAGGTCGATTGCGTTGGGAACGCCTGCTGCGGCTTCTTCTGCAGCGGCATTTCCGCGGAAGCCTGCACTGCTGTTGTGTCTGCTGCTCTTCTCTCGCATGCCTGCTGCTTCTCTCCGTGGACTGCCGTGGCGCTGCTTGCGAGAAGATCACAGCGTTTTTCCGGCGTGCGGCTGGGTTGCTGCTCTGCTCCATGCAAGACGCCTCTCTTCAAGGCACTGACCTGCCGACGTGTGTCTTGGGATTCGGCTGGGCAGAGCTCTTGCGCTTCCTGATGAAGCGAGCTGCAAGCCTTGTGTGTTCCCATGGCGCAGATATGTTGCCCCCGAGGTTTTAAGTCTGGAGGGGTATAACCAGCAGGCGGATCTCTGGTCGATCGGCGTCATCACGTACTTGCTCTTGCGGGGCAGACTCCCCTTCCCCATCAATAAACATTTGGGGTCACCCCACTTCCACCAGGTACCGTGTGCTAGTGTGCAGCAGCCGCGTGTTTGTTCTAAAGGGCCACTCGTGCAAAGGCGGCTGGCCATACTCAGAGGCAGAGTATCTTTTTTCTCAGCAGTCTAGGGGTAGTAGACTTCGCCGACATGCCAAGCGGCCCCGTGACATTGTCAGGTTGCCACGCGTTGCGTTTCCGCAGAAGCAACGGCTTTCACAAGCCTCTTCTCACGAGCCCTCGTGTGTAATACTGTTTGCTTCGATGCGTGCGGTCCAGTCTTTCCTTCTGCTTCATTTGCTATCGAGAGAGTGTAAGGTTGCCTCTGTCCTTCCCGTTTGCAGACTTACCCTCTGACGTTTGACGGCCCCTTGTGGCGTCCGATCAGCAGCAGCGCTAAGGATCTGATCCGTAGAATGCTTACTCCAAACCCCAGACAGCGCATTACCGTGGAGGAGGCGCTGCAGCACATTTGGATTAAAAACCCCACGGCTGTCATCAATGAGGCCAACAAGACGGATCCATTCGACCACATCAGTCAGTTGCTTCGTGCAGTGCTTCAATCCTTGCTGCTATATGACCCATTTGCGGCTGCTGAATGTACTGCGGTTCCGCTGCAGAGCTGGGGGGAGGGAAAAGGGGGGTGAGGGGGAAATGCGGGGAGCAAGGCGGGTCGCCGCATCTCCGCTGTTTGTTGTTGCATGCAACAACAGGGCCTGCCATCTTTCTTCTGTTTGACGTAGCCGTCTTCTGGCCATAGAGAGAGAGAGAGAGACACCAGGTTCTCGGTGTTGCGGCGCGTGCATGCAGATCCCTCCGTACAGCCCATCGACCCGCGAGCGCTTGCAGCAGCAGACGGCGCCTCTACCTTCACGATTCCAAACGCGCATAACAGACTGGCGCAACAGCGAGCTCAGCAGCAACAAGCAAAAGCCACCGGGGCACCTGCAGCAGGATCTGCTGCCGCAGCAACGGCTCCGACTCCCAGTCCCCCGCCTGCCGCTCTCAAGGCATCAGCCGATTCGCATGAAAAGGACCTATCAGGATCTGCACCGGCAGAGGCAGCGAAGGCTCCCGCAGGAGCAGCAGCTGCTCCAGCCGCTCAAGGAGGAGCGCCTCCGTCTAGCGCTGCTACCACTACGGTGCCTCAGGCCGCAGCCCAAGCAGTGGCAGTCCCCGTCGCAACGCCAGAAGCGGCAAAGGCTTCTGGTGCGGCGGCTGCTTCACCATCAGCAGACGAAAGCAGCAAGCCAAAACAGCTTCCAGTAAGCCAGCCGCATGCTGCGGCAGCAGCAACGGCAGCTGGCAGTGCTGGAGAGCCACACGACACTCCCGCCGAGCGGCACCCCCCCGCAACAGCCGCAGACCCTGCCGCTGTTGCAGCGGAGACGGCTGCTACTGCTAAGGAGACGGCGAAGGCAGCAGCTGCAGCAGCACACTCTGCTGCAGCGGTGGCACAGGCGGCCGCTGCCGCTGCTGCTCTGCATGCTGCAGCGACGGACGAGGCGTTTGCAGCAGTGCAGCGGGGACCCAGCGCCGATTGTGGGGGGCGGAGGCCTAATGCGATTGAGCAGCAGCAGCAACAGCAGCAGCAGCAACAGCAACAGCAACAGCAGCAGCAGCAACAGCAACAGCAGCAAACCTTCGGTGCATGCGCCAATCCGGCTGCAGCTACGTCAGCCTTGCCCGTCGCTCCCACCCGCGTTCAAACCCCTCCGAGTGCGGCCACGCCCCCTGCTGCTGCTGCACCAGCAGCTCCCGTATCTCTAGCACTGCCTGGAGCTAGTGCATCGCCGGCAGTACCGGCGTCAGCTGCAGCAGCACCCGCTGTAGATGCATCTGCTAGTGGCGCCTCGGCTGATATGCTTTCCAATAGTACAAGAGAGTGCGTTCAGCCTGTATCTGCCCCCGGAGCATCTCCATGTAGCAGCACCCCCCCAGGCACGTGATGTTCTGCAACGAATTCTTGTTTTTGTGCCTGGGCAGTTTCTTCCGAAGCCGCTGCAACTCCAAGAGCAGAGGAGGCAACGGCCCGGGTGTGACAAGTGACGTCGGGTGGCTTTGTCACAAGCAAGGAAGAGCTGCGTTGCCACCTCTCTTCGCTGCGCACCACCGAGTTACTTACGTCATTTGACCATCATTCTCTGGTCTGAGGGTATGACAGGTTCATGAGGGTTCATAATAGTGCTTAGGGAACTAGGATTGTACTGCAGGGAGTGGCGCTCTTAGAGAAAGGATCTGGGGGTGCGAAAAACAGGTTACAGCACTTCACCGTTACGTACACTGCAGAAATTATGAAGAGGGCGCAAGTTTTCTAAGACGTTTCCGATGCCTCAAAATGTGCACCGGCCATTAGAAATGCTGCCTCCGGAGCATTTGTCTTGCTCTTTCCCTGTGTAACCCGTGGGATTTTCCTTGACCCTAAAGACAATCCTTGCCTCGTGGGGGGAGAGAGGATGCGTTTCTATGACAACACAGTCATGCAAATGCACATACACTCGATGAATACGAAGTTTTCCGCTGAGGCTGCACATAAGGACTTTTCCCTGGAGGCCCTCGGGGGCGACAAGGGCCTCCCCAAACGCGGTGGAGACTCCTGAGGCTGTTGCAGCAGTTGCGGCTGATGCTGCGTCTAGCTGCACCTTGAACTTGCCACCTGGTAGACACGCTATCACCTTGCCGGCAAAACGAATGCAGTCCTTGGGTCTATCGCTTTTGTTGCCGTCGCGCTGCCGCTGCTGCTTGCTCCTGGAGTGACCTACTTGATTTGTTTCGCACTGGCTAGCTCCTGAAGTAGCCACAAAGTCACTTCCCTGCCCCCGCTGGGCAGGCGTCCTCAGCGATGCTCCTAAGGCACCAGTGCGTGCACGGGGAAGAGGGGAGGGCTGACAATCCGGTAGCTTGGTGGCGTGTATGCCGGCCGATGCAGCCGTCCTATGATGTCTGAAGAAAGAGAACCAGGGGCCTCTAACATCCCCGGTAGCAAGTTTTACACGAGACCCCTGCAAATACGCAGCAGTGGGGTCATGGGTGACATTGCCAGGGGGGCCCCTGCTCGAGGGTCCTGCATTCTTAGAAACTGGCCGAAGTCCAAGACTAGACGAAACACCAATGCTAAATAAGAGGCCAAGAAGGAGGGCCCCCAGAAGAATACGCCCAGCTGAAACCCCAGATAATAGGGGACCACCCATTACGGCGGAAGGGGGCCCCTGTTCATGGAGAACTGCACACCAGCATACTCGATGTTCCCTAATTGGATAAAAACCAATGAAATAAAAACAGCAGGGAACAGCGTGCAAGCGTTGGTCGTATTTCCCTTGACTGAGGGCCTGCCCTTGGACCCTCAGTTCATCGAAGCTGGGGGTTAGTACGAAGGATCGGAACTTGGAGGGGAGAGGAAGCAGGTGCGCCTCATGGAGGCCAACATACACTGTTTTATGGAACAAAATACTGCTGTTATTAAGCTCTGGATAGAGAAATTCAGCCGACCAAAGATATCTTGGGCACCACGCAAACACTGCCACGGCCCAAATCATGGTCTACAGCGTACTAGCCTATGAATATACCTCTTCGAAATGCACGCTGTACCTGTGTCTAAATGATGTCCCATATTTAGTGTGATTAGAGGACCTGGAAACACTAGCTGTGTGTCTCCTAAGGGGTCACGTCCCCATAAAGCGTAAAATCAGTGGTGCTCAGGTACCACACCCTTGCTGGGGTTCCGAATTTAATGGTAGAGTCGAAGGATGTCAAAAAAATATAAACTGTAGTTCTTTCGTGGTCTAACACTTATTAAATGACAGGAGTCATGGATTCGCTTGAAACGGGCCATACCCTGGATGTACAAGGCGCATTAAAACAGCAGCCCCCCCTATTTTTCCTTGGTACCATTTAAGAACTTTAGCAAGGTTTCGTGTGTAGCAGCTTTTGCGGTATAAACTGCAAGAAGCAGCTGCAACATCTGCTCTGAGTACTCAAACACTACGTGCAGCACCTTTGCATGCACCAAGATGCAACTATTGCATGCAACGAAGTGCAAGCGACACTCTGAGTGAGTGTCAGCCTTCCATCCAGTCCTCCGCGTTGGCTGCCACTACCTTTACAGGCTGCCCTAGTAGCTTCTTCGGCGGCTTTTCTATGCTGTCATCCCTACAAGGTAAAAACACAGAGGAGAGCGGCAGAAATTCACATGGACCAAATCTGGGATTTGAAACTTCATGGGCTACATAAATGTGCGAAGATCAAATTATGTAACCAGGAGGGTGCAAGCCGTTTGACGGGCACATTCTCATACAGCAGCAAGGGCCTCGAATACGACAAAAAGAAATCAACAATGAAGGCAGTGTCAACAGCGGAAAGCCCTAAATCTCTTACTTGTCTGAGAGGTCGCTGCCGGAACTGGCAAGGATTCCTCCCTCCTGGAATCCGTATGCTTCCTCAGTGGATTTCTGTTCCAACAATTTATCGATGCGCTGTATCTCTTCAAACGTATCGCCTTCTTGTCGTTCCGCAGCATCAATCCATTGCAAGTATTCATCTGTACCTGCCTGAAAATCTCCTGGGCTACTACGCAGGCTCTCTAGTTGTTGGGTTAAGAAACGATTCTTCTTGGTAATAGCTTCCAGCTGTTGTTTGACGCTTTCAGCCTCTTCTGGTGTGGGAAGGATTTCCTTGATGTCCTCAGGGGGATTGTTCAATACGCAAGTGGCGGAATCTCTGAATATTTTGAGTTTTCTGTTTTTCATTCGTAGCTGGGATGCCCTCTCCTCCGTTACAATGCCCTTCTTATCCCTAAAAGCCTCGAACTGGCTAGCAATAGCTTGGGGTGACTTGAGCTGTAACTTTAACAGGGATAGATACAGCTCGGAGAGAACAATACCACAATTGAGAAGATTTTCGTCGAACAAATACGTTGTTTCAGCTTGCTCCTCCTCGGTCATTCGTGATACTAACTTTCCTAACTCCAACAAGCGCTCGTCTGAACAAGACAAAACAGTGGAGGCAGGACAGCAAATAAGGGGGATCCCCCGAGGCTTGAAGCTTGTCGTACCGCGGGCATATGACACGATTTATTCATTGCATCTACACGCTGCAAACCTTGTATGGCTGGTTAAGCGATGGCGAACAACGGATCGGGAAAAGCCAATGCATGCAAACATCAATGCAGCGCCTACAACGACTGGTTGATGTGACATTGTAGTGTAGACCAAGAACAAGATCTGATGCAGAGCCCATAACAGCAATTCTAATTAAATTAGCACAGTCACATATGCAAGGGAAACCGGAGTTCAATAAAAGCAGGAAGTGCATCAAGTGAGACAACCAAAAGGTGAAGCCGTATTGAATTCCAAGCAAGAACACAAGTGAAAGCCTATGCATAACCAATGAAGACTCCAGTGCACTTGAGAGCAGTCCTTACTGAGCAATCTTCTCTCTGTATCTCCGTTATCTGATTCACTCTCTGATTCTTCGGATTGTGATTCGCCTCCCTCAAGATCTCTGTTCCTTTCCCTTTTCTCTTCTTCTTCAGACGAACTCAAACTGCTCTTCTCATGTTCATTTGCATCCAACTTTTTTTCAAGCTCGCTGTAGTAATCGTGCATGCGGACGGCCGTGACACTCTTAGTCCTGGCAATGCCCCTGCGTTGTTCCTTTTTAGCTTCCTCCTGCTGTGTCCAATCTAAAAGCTTCGACAAGTCGCCTCCAGCCAGCGCCTGAAGAGAAGCCTTGGTGTTCTGATTGTCTTCTTCTATTTTGGAGAAGGCAAGCCCTAGCCGAAGAGCAAACTCCAAGAAGGACCCAGGAATAACGTCTAGTCGCAAGTGCACGACAGCGAGACCCAGAGCCTCCGCCATGACCTTGAGGAAGTAGCTGCGTTCCTCGAAATTAATACTCTTGTTACGCACTCTGAACAATCTTGAGAGTCTCCCCACCCTTTTTGCAGCCACCAGCTGGATGGACTGGTCGACCTCGTCAAACACAACCACTGGTTCTCTAGCTCTCCTCCTCTCCGAGAGGTATGCAAAGAACCTAAAGACCCTCCCTAAAACCGGAACCCAGAAAAAGCTCTTCGTGGCCCTCACATTATCAAAGTAGGCGAGTATCAGACTCACCGCCACCTCTAGTGCGAACGACAGCACAGGTAAAATGGCAATAGCTAGCAAAACAACGTTTACCATTCCCTGGAACTCGGCCCCAAGCATCAACTGCACAAATATACACAACCATAGCCACCCACAAAAGCGTCACCATCAATTAAAACCGATATCTAATGAAAGATAGTTCTTTTTTCAAACCTTGATAATCAATTATGTGATGAACCGCGATCGAAGTGCCCACTGAATTCAACGGAGATCATCAAGCACTCAAGGAGGCCACTAGGAAGTGCTAGCACACTTACCTTTCCCTACTTATTTGTATATATCGCGACAGCTAACAGAATTGTACGCGTAGGGTAGAAATATCCGTACAGAGGCCTTAGCCCATCGAGTAGAGGGCCACAGGACCGGACGTCTGCTAGGGAAGATGTGCAATATCGCTCAGAAGGACGAAAACTGGCTATGCATGTGACGTAAGGGGAATATAGGGAGACAATCTCACGCTCATTGTGCAAGAAGCCATCGTCCACACTGCCATACTGTGATTTTCCAATCTGTCTAGCGTCAAGTAACTCCTGCGGAGAGCAACAGATCCGGGACCTCAAACACAGTAGGACCTAAAGTGAGGTCGTGATGCTAAAATAAGGTGAGGGGCCAAGCCTCCGCATTCTCTAAAGTGGGATAGGACATGGCCAGAGGGAATACAGCAATAGCGTATCATCCTTCTTGGAAATATGGGGTCAAAAGCACATACACATCAAGAGTAATTAATGGGACTGGTAGGCGGATTACCTTTTGTCAAAGGGTTGGCAGCGCAAGTGCAAAACATTGAAGGCAATAGCAATGGCCGTGGATACGGTAATTGTGGCGGCTGAAGCACTTGAATTGGATACCAAAACGACGGAGGAAACTATGAGGACGCAAAGCTTCCGGGCAAATACAACTGTTTCCCAGTACCAGTACTTTGAAACAAATCCGTTGTGTAAAAAGCCGTACTTCAGGCGGTTCTCCCTGCTGTTTAAATTCTTGCGGTTGACATAGAGTACGAGGAAGGCCCCGAGGGGAACACCAATGCTCCAGAAAACAAGGCCTGTGATCCCCAAAAGGAAGAACGTGAAGTATTCCTTGCTGGGGTGGACCGTGCATTGGACGTTCATAACTGCAGTAAGGAAGGATACGCTCCCGTGTACATCTCCAAAGTTGATGGAAGTGCACTCAAGTAGACTCAGCATTCGTCTGGTTGTCGAAGTGTAGATGAAGAACAGTACTGTGACATATATCGGCGTCATGTCCTCGAAGAACTTGTATATGCGACGCCACATGGACTCCCCAGGTAAGGGTACGTATCTGAACATCATAAAAAGCCTGTCTTCCTCTAGCTTATCCCTCAATTGCTCTGCCAAAGCCATCATGTCAAAACGAATGGTTTGCTGCAGCACCCCCAACTTCCGTTGCGTCGAGTGACGGTAGTAGTGCTTGGCTCTGTCGACGATGAGAAACATTATGAGGGTGGCGATAATGGGCAGCACGATGGGCAGGAGAGCGTAGAAGAGCATGGTAAAGAAAAAGGAATCGCTATACGACAGCTGCAAGCCTTCCCGCAAAAAGCAGTCCACTGCAACCCAATGCGTCTTTTCCGAAGATGAGATTTGCGCCAGCATGTTGGTCTGAACCTGGTAGAACCAGTTGGGCAGCTCAATGAGCTCAAAGTCGACCATCGAAATTACGGACATGCACGTAAGGAAGTTAGACGCGATTTTGATAACAATGGAATGAATAGACCGTCTGTTGAATCCTGCAGCCACGTTCATGTAGGCCATACCAATATTGAACAGCAGCAAACCGACATAATAGCCAGTGCACAGCGCGATATTGAGGCCCATTGACGGGCACTTTGTGCAGACCTCCCCAGGCTCAAAAGTACTCGTGAAACCTTCCTTGCATTCGCTGCAAAGGTAATTATCCATTGTCTCGGAGCACTCTCCATTCTCAAGACAAGCACTAACAACGGGGCACTTGATGAAGAACCAGTCGTCTGGACTCTCAAGCTGTTCATTAATCATATGCAGGAAATATCCAGCGGTAGGGAATGGCTTGATATGGTCCGCAGTGCTGACCACAGCTGTAGTCGCGTCCGCTAATACTCTTTCCTGAGCCTCCTTCGTGAGGCCTCCCAAGCAGACAGCACCAACAGGGCAGGCATGGCAGCCGCCTTCTGCGTAATAAGTCCCCGACTCACAGAAACACTGGTCCTGTTGCTGCATTCCCGGAAAGCTTGTTGAGTGACTACCACACAGGCCGTTACAATTGGAATCATAAACAGAGCTCTTATAAGAGCCCGAGGGACATGGCTCGCAGGTCTTGTTGCCATCTTCGTCATACCCGCGGAACGCAAAGCCGCGGTCGCACAAGCCTGAAAAGGAGCAACAGATCACACCACTCGGCTACCCCGTTAAGGCGCTTATTCTCGAACGTGCGTGTTTGCTGTCTGTGAGGCACTGCTGATTGCGATTTCTGGCATCCCTACGGAGGTACAGAAGCCCAGCTAATTAATCGAAAAAGACATGGGTAGGTGAAAGAGTGAAGATGCGGCTTACAATCGTTCTGGCTACTGGGTGTGTCGAAGCCGGCGGTTATACGTGTATTTTGGGGGCACGGGACAGGGGGAGCTGGCATGAAGCCAGCCACGCATGATGGTTCATCGGTACAGGCGACGCTGCCTCCTGGGCAGTATTTATAGGGGTCCCTACACGCTGTGCACTGCTTGAGTTGATCACTGAAGTAGTAACCTTCCTTGCACAGACACTGTGAGGCAGAGGTGGCTCCTACTGAGCCGGTGCCGGAATTATCGTTACAAGCGCGGCAATATGAGTTGCCTATAGTGTCATTGTAGGTATTTACTGGGCACAGTACGCAACTTTTGTACTCCTCTGTTGCACTGGAAGTGGGTCGGTAGAAACCTTTTTCGCACACGCAATCAGCCGACGAAGTGGCGCGCTCACTGGTGGTGGTCATTTGGGGGGGGCATGCCACCTGGGGCTGATCTTCCTCTGTTTCTGCACTATGTCCTCCGGGGCAGTAATAGCCCATCGGGCACGGCTGCGAAAAAAAAGACCTCAGCAGTACATCGACTTTTGACGTCGGTACAACAAGGTGATTGCATGAAAAGAAATTTGTTAGTTTACATCTGCAAAGAGACACATGGGGTGTGTAGCTACAGTGAAATCTTTGTCCCCTCCGCTATCATTGCAAAAGGAGGATCATGTCCATATGGCTCAAAGAGAGACCCAAACAAGCAGCAAAGATAATAGATCACTCTTCTGATCACGAAAGTAATGAATCCCACTTGTGATCGTAGAGGCTGGCCACTAGGGGATGCGCTTACGGTACATTGGCTAGTCTCTAGATTTTTGTACTCTCCAGGGCGGCACACACACAGCAGCATAGAGTTCGCTCCAGCGGATTCGGATTCAGCACCCCACGGGCATTCCTCAGCTGAAGTGTTCGAATGTGTGTCCTTGAATGATCCTTTTGGAACAGCGGCACAACTTAGTGCTCCTTCGCTCAATTCTACAGAAACAGGCTCGTAGCCAGGCTGGCACCTGCGAAATAAGCAGTGCAAGTAACAGCAGTACAGATCCCCTTTTAAAAGACACAAGGTTTCGACGCCTAATGGAGTTACTTTAAATGCAGACAGGCTTGTTAGCACGGCGAATATGCAGAAAGCCACCTTTCCTTCTACCCAGCTGGCATGTGTACATAAATCGAGATAGGTCCTCTCTACGTACAAGCAACTGAAAGGGTGCGTATTCTTCTCGTTACTCTCGACGGTGTCGGCGTTGAGGGGGCATGACTGCTTGAGTCCAGCGTAGGGTTTGAGAGAGGGGATTTCAGGCTCACTTCCGACACAGAAGGAGCCCAATGTACACTGGCCACAAGGAATGCCCTCATAGGCGGTCTCATAAAAGCCAGGGAGGCACAGATTGCAGTCTTTCCTTGCTTTAGGAGCATAGCTACTTGAATATGAAGACGTGGGGCAGGGCAAACATGCCTCCGCGGAGACGGTCTCCTTGTACCGTGTCCGTCCACAGGGGACGCATACTTGGCTATCTGCAATGCCAGAGTACTCTGGGTTGCTCCTTAGCCACTCTCTAAAGTCGTACTCCACGGTGGAACTGTCAGCGAGCTTCGCAGAATCTGCTGGCTCATACCCCGCTGTACAGAAGCAATCTTGAAGGGAAGTCAGAGGACTCGAAGGGTCGGGCATGGTTGTTGTGTTGTATGGGCAGGGGAAACCCGTTGCCTTGTATCCTCCAGGAGAATACCTCCCTGCTGTGGAGAGGATGCATGAGTCTAAATCCTTATCATAGACGTATCCAGCATTGCTGCAACCCGCAAACGGATGGAAAGCAAAGGCATGAAAACGGAAGCAAATAATAGTGGGATATGCTTGTTCATGCGCAAGTTGGATTCACGAGTTTGTTCATGTGTCTACGTCTCACAGCACACGAAAAGAAACTTCCGTTGATGCTGCCAGTCTGATATAGTAGCTAGGACTACTTCGGCATAATATGCCCTCGTAATACATGAGTGAAGAAGTCCTAAGATTCATAATATGCTATTCATATTGTACAAAAAGGCGGTGTACTCTCCACTGGCGGCCCCAGAGGAGATATGGGATAATGGGTCTCGGTGGCTCCGCGGAAGACTCACAACACATTTAAGGCCTCTTCACAGAGAATAGGAAGATACAATGTTAGGAAAGTACGCAACTGTGGATCAAAAGGAGGGCACCACCGCAAGAAGAACCCAACAGCAACGTACCAGGAGCACCTACGGTCCTCCGATGACTTCGCCCCCGTGACGCTCGAGGAGGAGTTCGATGGGCATTCAATGCCAACACAGCCAGTGTCTGACACAATGTCTTTCCATGTGCCTATTCGCCGAAAGTGTCAAAGCGCAACGAAGAGCGTCAGCATGCAAACGCCACGCACACCTCCAATAATTGAAGTGCAGACATCTAGATGGCCCTCTGCAGCGCTGCAACCATGTCAGCAGGGCATCTCACCTGGCGGGCAAGGGGTGCATCCCTTATCAGGTTGCGTCTCATCGAGGTAATACCCTTTAGCACAGATACACTGTTCCTCTGATGTCGAGCCTTCGGAAACAGTGGATGTAAGATTTGAACATGGCTTGCAGGAACCCCATCTTTCGGTTGGAGACTGTTTCACCAACAACAAACTGTTGTACGTGCCAACTGGGCACTTTGCACACATGCCTTGCTTCATGAAATGGCCGTTTTTGCATGCGATGTTAATAGAGAAGGTGCTGGTCACTTCATTTACTACACCCTTGCCTATTACACTGATCTCCAGAGTAGAATCGGTAAAGGGGGCGATCCGGAGAGTGAGGGTTCCCTTCGTTTCGGCCACATCCGCAATCGTGCTGACATACGCGAAGTTTGAGACATTTGGATTAAGATTAAACGACTTGAACGCTCCCACTGAGGTCCGCCCCGCCATAATGGGCTCCAGTATATCCTCATCTCCCACTGTATACCAGTCTGCATGACCGTATGTGAAAGGTTGGGCAACAGCTGTGGCATCTAATGAGAGTGTTTGCATGGCAACACTGGTGAGAGATGTCCTGTAAAGAACCATCCGTGCAAAGTCGAGCCCTGATCCCTTCTCACCGACCTCTACCACGGCGGGTAGCGAGGGAATCCCCTGACCCACAGACTGCTCCTCCATTGTACTGTAGTAGTCTGTGGTACCGTCATTCTTCGGCACCAAAAGATCAATCGATTGCCGGCCCTCCTGCAGAAGCAGAGCCACTTAGTGAAAGCGCACAGAATTGCCAGAGGGTTAGAAGCCCGAAGGCCAAAGCTCCGAATAAAGGTCACAACACCAAAAGCGTAACCCTAAAGAACAAATATCGAGGAGCACGCGTAACGCACCTGCACAACAAAGAGGAGAGTCTCGCCGTTGTAGTTGAAGGCTACCACATTTAGGGGTCTTGATAGCCTGTCGCCTGCTGTCCCTACTGATGCAAATTCGCGCACCAAAACGGTTCCTTGCTTGACAGCATCGAGCTCTATCTGCACAACTCTGTCTGCATCTCGATCCGCAATGAAGCAGTCATAAACTCCTCTTTGTTTGCTTTCCGGTTCGTCGGAAGAGTGCGATGACGTAACTGTGCCACGAGGAATACATGCCAAGCTACAAGGATATTGCAAGGGTCTCCTGAGACCGCTCCAGTTGTCTCGTGACTCCACAAGCCCAAGAGAGGGATTAAGCCAGACGAACATCCCCAAGCCTTTGTCTAGAAATACAACAGAAGGATTGGATTGCTTTTCTTCATCCTCGTACACTGTGACTAGGCAGCAAGGGGACTGCAGTGAGACAGAGGAAGTTGCTAAAGGACTGACGCTGGCCAGTTTTCTCGGGTCGCTGGCGTCAAACTTATTGATAGCTGGTCGCTTCCCACCCTCTGCTGCATACAGAATGCATCTGTCAAACGTGATGTCCATCGTGAGGGCCCTCCACCCGCTCCTCTTTATAGTTGCAACATGCACGGGGGCAACGTCTTCGTAGGTCCACGAGTAGATTACAACCCCGTCCTCAAATACAGCGAACGAAATGGTTTTCGTGAACTCTCCTGCCGTATAAAAATCCTCTGCCCCTGAAATAAACCCCGTCGTGTCACTTTGAAGCCAATGGAGTCCCAAGGGGCTGAAAGGTTCAAGTATAACCTCATGGGTGCTAAGAGGGACACCTTGAGGGGTGCCCTCACCAGAAACCTGCCAGGTTTCGAACAACCCGAACTCCTCGACAATAGCAAAGCCTGCAAATACCGTCTCCTTTCTATTGTTGATACAAAGATGCAAAGGTGTCCCGGTCGTTAGTTTCCCAACGGCGGTTGGCCTCAGAAGCAAGCCACTATTCACAACACAAAGGCACACATATATGCAAACACATGCAGGCACTGGCCATACTCATCGCGCCTACACGCACAAACCTCCCAGCAGGATGCACAGGGAAATACCAGTTATCAGGAGTAAACATGAGACATAATCGCTACATCTCCACTACATAAGCACGACGGTTTATGGTGGAAAGACGGTACGCATTGCTGGGAGGGAACGCACCTCCCCCGGACGACCTCAGAGTTCTTTGATGACGTGAATGAAGAGACTTGTGAAGACTGTGCGAGCTCCACGCCTTCACAGCGTGAAGCTGAAGCTTCTCTGAGGGTAAAGAAAACTGAATCGTAGTTCAATTGAGAGCCGGCGTAGCGAACATACAGAGAAAACAAGGTGGTGTTGGCGCCAGAGGAAGAAGGTGCGTAGGTAGCCACGTGTCTCGTCGAAGCATCAAAACCTGACAACACCAAACAGGGAAGGGATGGAAGGGATTCCCCTTAGCTGTGAACCCGCTAGCCTAGCATTGCCAATGCCAACGCCAAACCGTAAAGTCCACGAATTATACATATTCAAAGCCTGTAACCCCTTCCCAAAACACTAAGCACTGAGCGCTAGAGCCATATAAGAAGCAACAGGCACTGTTGGGTTTAGGCGTGCAGACTTGTGTGTGTACTGTTGTCGGCACCTGTGGTGTTAAATTTGCCAATTCGTCCAACGGCATGCCCGTCTGTTTCTTCTCCTGTCCAGCAGATGACGTATTCGTCAATACTAGAGACAGTGATCGGCTCAGTGCTTGCAAGGTCGTAGGGTCCTTTCGTTTCAATACTCTTAAAAGTGACAGTGGCTTCCATATTAAAGGCTTGCTCGAGCCATGCGGCGGCTAGTTGGTATGAGGTGCTAATTTGCCCTCCGAAACCCCGAGCAACGCTCAAAGTTCTTCCCAGAGAACGCAAGAAGCAAGAGCTGCTCCCTGTATCTCGTGCGATGTCAACCCTATCCCCCTTCCTAAGCTGCAAGCCAGACACCTCCAACGAGAACGGTTTCGAGGCCGTATAACTTAGTGGAGCAAGCCCTTCTGAAGGTATTGGCCCTGAGCAGCATATTAGAATGCGCTTTGACAGTAGGTAAGCACACATCCCAACATATTCGAGCCCTGATTTTCAAGCATGTAAATGGCAAACTGGAGAAAACAGAATAGGGTTTGGGGTTCAGCGCACCGCCAATCCGCAGAAGTCCTCCGTGCACGTTATAGTCCGAAACATCGGTACACGAGCCGTTCGGGTGTATTGTATATGCGCCAGCGAATTCAAAGTCGCAAATGCAGGCTAAAAGGCTACCAGTCTGACCAAACGAAAGCTTAAAACCAGACCAGACAAGCTTTTGGCTGTCCCCATCCTCGAACAGAGATTCCGGTATTTCTACGAATGCCCCGCGAGGATCAGCGGGCAGTTCCACTCCGAGGGAAAGGGTCAAATCAGAAGAACCACAAAGAGACATTTCTGTCGCTCCCTCGAAAAACCTCAGGGACTTATAGGGAGAAGCTCCTGACGAGTAATACTCCACAGAGAAAGTCGACTCCGGCTGTATATACTGCTGGGTAACTCCTGAACGACATTTGCAGCAAAATTCAAAGGCAGTATACCCTTTTAACGTAATCGCCCTAACACCCCTCACAGAGCTGCAGCGTTTAGTTCATAGAAGTCTCCCAGTATTCTATACAAGTGCGGAAATACGCCCATCCACCCCCAGCAGCCCCAAAGCGTCGTATGAGTTTTTGACGTACCCAACGGTTCACAGGTATCGAAGCGCATTGTAGGGTCTGTTGTAAAGCACCATATATACGACTCTCCTTCGGGGTTCCTGCAGTAGTTGTGCGCCTCCGATTGCAGCAGCTCATGCTTATGAGGAACTTGAGAGGCCCAAGACTGGCAGGTCTTCCCCAACCGAGTGCGCGTCTGGCAGCCGTAATAGAGCCCATTTACCATTCGCTCGTCGCATGCTGAGCAGATTCCCACAGAGCATGACAGTGCAACAGCTGCCATCTCACGAGCCAAGTGAGTAACAAATAAGAGGCTTCCAGGCAGCCAATACGGTGGAGGACGCCACATACTGCAGATGCAAGGGCCAGCCCTGAGCAACAACTCGAAAGGCAAGATTATGGTACTACTGGCGACATACAGCAGTACGTTTTTGCAAGGTCCCGGATTTTTTCCTCCCCGCCCTGGAGGACAGTACCCTTTCCGCCTGTGGACTGCCCGTAGCACACAGCCAAATTTCCACAGTTGTCCACGCAGGTACGTGCCTCCTGATCAGCAGAAAAAAGAGACTTCCGGTCGTAGCATTGCCAGTTTTGTCCGTCCCAGCGTGCTGCCTTCTGATTACCCTCACACATTGAGTCCAATTCTTTTTGTGATTGAGAATTGTCTGAGGAGGGCATAAATACAGAAACATCAAGGACACGATATAGAGCAAGCTAAAGAGATGGTCCTGTCATGATTCCCCTCTGAAGCTTCTAAAGGTCATGCCACATGGCGAAACGGCTGCACAGGGGAGGAAACACGAAACCGCCGGTATTGATTGCCAATGTCACAAACTTTGACGGTTGTGAGCGACACTAGGAGAGCTACATATGACTTGCTAATAAATGCACTCAGTGTCTCTTTTGTCATCTTTCTTTTTGCCTAACTATTTATCTACCTCTACGTGTGCCCGCTTACGGCAGAATTCGGCTAAAACTTTTGTGCTGTCAAAGTCAAGAATTCGTGTCTGGGCAAATGCGGGATCGTTGACAAGGTTGTCCTGCACCTCCGTCGTGAGGGCGCCATGACACATCAGTGGCTTCCCACAGGAATCTATACAGACTTTCGCCTTGGAATAAATATCAATTTCGTCGTTCAGGAAGCAGTACATCTGCAAGACGCTACTGCTCGATCGGGCAGCAGTGTACTTCATGCCTTCGCTCTTGCTCTTGAATTCGCACAGCTCATTCAGGTACATCTGAGCAGCGCTTGTCGTATACGAGTCTATAGATGCTCCATCGTCGGCTGCATAACGCAAAATAGGCCACCCGGTTACTCACGCACAAAAGTGTTAGACCAGCGACTAGAAGCAACACAGCCACTCATTCAAAAGTCGTACACCTACATTAAAATTGTTTTCGAAACTACGGTAGAACAAGTGAAGACACTTTTACTGTGGCAAAAACACATTTACAGACCTTTTGCTTATTGCCCCTCCTCCCTTCCCCCAACTCTTCCCCGTTCGTAATCCCTGCCGTTTTCCCGTTGTCTATTTCTGCAATGCCCTCTCCTTGATCCCTTGTTCCGTTCTCCCCTTGCTTTTGTGTTCTGTGATTTAGTGCAGCAACATTCCCAATATAGGAATCCTTGTAGAGCCACAGTTATTGGCGATCATCTGCCATGTACCTACTGCATCATACCCTACAACGGCTGTGAAAGTGCCTGCTGCCGGGGTAACTGCTTTCTCAGCTGAGCTTACCGACGGCTTGTTGCACGAAGGCCACCTCTGCTCCTTCCAGCGAACCCTCTTTCTTGTCCTCGCCCTTTAAATAGGCAGAGAGCGCTTGGGTCTCTCTTGTTTGAATGTGCACTGAATATGTGGGCGTGGTGACAGAAGCAGTTCTATCTCTCAGTAATTTCAGCATCGCGTCACTAGCATCAGGGGAAGCTGGGCCGTCGTTCCCTACACGAGAGCTTCCAAGGCCTCCTTCCCACGTCTTCTCCAGCTTCTTGCCGGGAGGATCACAGGAGGAGTGCTGCAACGGAAGAGCCTTGGAAGGGCCCTTCTTAGAGCAAGCGGTCAGTCCCACATTTATCGCAGGCTTTTGATGAGTCTCGCAGTAATTTCTTAGCCAGCGGGAGGAGGCACCGTGCAATAAGAGAAGAGTGTCTGAAAAGGATCAGAAGGAGAAGGGGCAAGTTACGCCTCATCAGCTTCATACATAGGAATGGCACACTCAAATAGAAGCAAATAAAGAGATGAGATAAAAGGGAAATACATGAGGGCCATCGGTGCGCTGCAGGACTTTGTCGCTGTAGTTGCAGAGTTGCTTTTGCATGATGACGCACCCGGTGGATCGTGGAAGTGGCTAGGTGATCCGAAAATGTCCGGTGCACTGTCTCCTACGTTTGCATCCAGCTGAGGCACAAGCAGGACAAAAGGCGGAGCGCAACAGCTCCAGATATGCTTTTGTTGCTTGCAATTGTGCTCATGGTGCGGACTTAATATTCATCCTTAGACAAACGATAGTTGGTCAGGCTCACTGTGACCAGTAGGACTGCGCCAGCAGCGGCTGCAGCCCTCAGACAATGCCACATGGTGGACTTTTGTGCGTCTGGTGTATGGACACCCCGAGAGGTCGCACGTTTCTGTGTAGCTGCTGCTTCTCGATGATGACGGAGCCCCTCATGTTGTGATGCTTTTTGCCCTGGCCTATCTTTCCAGGCAACAGGCTTGCATAGCGAAATTAAGAGACTTGACGGTGACCATTCGAAGGAACTTCGGCTCAGACTGAGGGCTTCCAACACCTGAAGAGGAGACCTTCGATATTCCGTAGAGACTGTATATCAGAATGACGGAGGCCGCGATCTAGCCACTTGTTTACACAGTTTGCAGCATCAAAAGCAGTTAAGAAGTATTTCATCTCCAAGAAGCAGCGCAAATGGCCTAAACCGGCTGAAGTAGTAGCGTCAGCTATAGAGCCTGTTTCTGCGCCAGTGGTCCTGCAGGTAGACTTCCACAAAATCGAGACTGCCTCTATCTCCTTTTGCTCACACCAAGCTCCGTGTTTCCCTTGAATATCGTTATGAAATGTTAGGCATGCAAACGAGGTACAAGGCAAACAGAGGACATGAACCCTCCCGGCGGTAGCCTTGTCTCACGCCGAGTCTCTCTGGCAGCTTTTAGATCACTTTGCTTCGCGTATTAGCTGCTTCTTTCCACACTCGTCCATCCTTTCTTAAAGTCCTTGTCTATTTGTAAATTCAGAAGGAAATTCATGATTCGGGCATTATGCACAAACTCCTTTTCCACGACTCCGCACCCCAGTGCCGCGGCTCGCAAGCCTGTGAGTGACGCATAGGTTGCTGCAATGCTCAAATTTAAGCCTGAAGCCCTGAAACCCAAGCCCTCCATCATAATGCCTATCCTTTAGCTACCAGCCGCAGACGATGAAATGTACGGCGGCGGAATAAAGGGGAACAAACACAGCAACTTCATGACTCACAGCTGCAAAACCGAGAGCAGGCCATAAGACTCTTTGATGCAAAACCAAAAATGTGCTCAACAAATGCACATGTGCTAATTCTAAACCTATTCAGTGCGTGTATCAAACGTTATTTCTTGGCATCAAGTCGCAGACACGCCAGAGGCCAGATGAAGCAAGGGAGTTAAGTATTCGTGCAATTTGGGGAGGCATGAAATATTAAGCTGTCTAATTTATAGAGACTCTAATACCCTGCTACTGTGGGCTAGTGACACTTTAAAAAGCCTTGTGTAGGCCTTGGTAACCTCAGACTCTATATATCTACATCCTCGATCGTACGGCGCAGTATTCTCGGGACTAAAGAAAAATCGACTGTAAAACTGGGACTTCTGCAAGCAGGCGCACGCTGCTGCACTGGTAACGCCGTGTTAGCCATCCTCACACTAGTGTACCGACAGCACGCAAGAGCTGCTGCAGCATTGCAGCAGCCCGAGCTGCGGCAGTTGCAGCAGCAGCACAGCTACAATGCTCTTCTGCAGCACCAGGGAGAAATTTAGGGGCTTGCGCAGTGGCAACTTCTCTAGCAGACGTAGATAGAATTTCAGGTGCTTCGGTTGGGTCTGCAGCGTCCCTCTTCTGTGGCTGCCGTATCATGAAGAAAAAAACATATTTATAGTTTCTGCCTTCGAAACCAAAGGTAAACAGCCCCAAGGACAACCAAAGAAAGGGAGGTAGATGCAGCTAGACTGCTCCAGAATACGCCCTCTTTGTCTTCTAATCCGTTTCTAATGTTCATACCAAAGAGCCCTGCGACAGCTGCAACAAACCCAAAAAAAACCGACAGAATGTCCAACGCGATCTCTGTCTTTAGGAACGCATTGCGCGTCGAGGCTAGATGCAATTCCATCAGCTGCAGTGCGTCGTCAAGAGCGTCTTCCGTCCGAACAATCACCTGCGGACAAGAGCACTGCACTTCCTGCCAAGGGCTCTCTGGCACAAGGCTCAACTGCACATTTGCACCTGGTTATTGTGGGTGCCTTCTACTGAAGCGGGTGTCTTCGGCGCGGTGCACCCCCCCACACGTACGAGGCACACAACAAGCAGAAGGGCCACAACGGAGGTCTCGCGCAAGGCTGGGCCTCACAGGAAAGCGTGGGGAAGGCGAGGCAACCGCACAGGATGCGCGCGAGCGTGCTAGGGGGGTACCGTCACACAGCCACCAGAAGATACAGAGCGAGCAGAGGGTGAATGGGAATGCTGGGTCGGCAGAGCAGTTCGCGAAAATCGTGGGGAAAAGCAAACACTCCGCACGCTGCTGGGCACAGGCAAACGCGGCGACAACAGCGTGTCTGCAGGTAAGTCTCACTTGATAGATCGCTTCTACTTCCTGTTCATAGCACTCCAATAAAATTTCCGCGTCTTCTGCATTCGCGGTCTTGGGAGGCGCATCCCATAGCTCGTCGCAGCCCCAGAACCTGCTGAGTTCGAGTCTTGAGAGGTCTTCTTCCTCATTAAGGAGTTCCCTGATAGCTCGCTGAACCCCACAGGCCCTCTCCTTCGTGCTGCACAGCCGGCGTTTCAGCTCGGAGACTTGCCGAAGGCGGCGAGTGCTGCTTGGTTGCTCGTGGAAATAGTGCAACACGCAGTCCGCCGCGTCCTTGAGTGGAGTCAGATCCGCAATCAGGGAGTCGCACGCCTAGGCAAGCAAGCAAGCAGGGAACAGGCCAATCGGGAGGCACGACTAGGGACAGGGTGGACAGCGGAGAGCGATAGATACAGCAGATAAGAGAATATATGCGAGAGCAGCCTGCAACATCGCAAAAAGCTGCTTGAGAGGAGCGGGAGAGAGGATTCATCTCGGGTGGCTGGCGTGCAGAGCACCCCAGAGAAGGAGGTTCTACACGCTTAAAACACTACAAAAGGCAACCACGCAGCTGCAAGGAAGAGGCCACGAACACCGCAGCAGGAGGCGTTTCTCAGATACAGCCGTAGAAAGGCCTTCGCACTGGCGAAAAGACAGGCGTCCATGCAGTCGGAGCATAGGAGCATGCGGTCTGGTGTACGAGGGAGATTTGAAAACAGAGCCGCGGCCGAGAAAGGCATCGAAAGGAATCAAGACAAAAGCGCAAATTAAGAGAAAAACAATTCCGATAATGCCAGACAAAGCGGCGGGTACCACAAAAGCATCCAACATGTGCTCGCAAGGCGCAAAAAGGCGGGCAGAGAAGGCGTCCGAAAGGAAAATTGCAAGCGTAGACACAGGAGGGGACCCCGAGACGCACAAAGATGCCTACATGCGAAGAGGGTCGCACAGTGTAGGGGTTGCAGAAGGGCCGGCTGCATGCGCGAATGCGTGTTAGAGCACAGGCGGTAGAGCAGTGCAGAGAAAGACAGGCATACCGTACACTCTGGACTATCGGCATGGACCCTAGCGGGAAAAGCAATAAAAGCATACAGAACGTGGCAGTATATGTAAGCGCCTTACATGAACAAGAAGAGCCTCAAGCGCAGCGAATTCTGCAGGACCTGATCTCTTAAGTTCGCTCAAGTGCACCAATTTAGAGACCAACATGTCGTACTGCTGATCTCCCGCTTCTTCGGCGGCACTAGAGCCATCCTACACAGACCAACAGAGATAGGGAGACGTATATATATATATATACATATATATATATACATATACATATACATATATATATCCATATTCTTACAGCTATGCAGACTTGGACACATGGACAACGATACACACAAACTCAAGCACAGCTGTACCGAGATGTACGGACATGCTGAGAGGGGGATTGACCTACAAATATGTATAGTCAGACATGCATACATACATTTAGAGAGCCAAACGGGCACACAGAGGTAAATAAGATCTGAAAATACGTATACACAGACATATGGCACGGGTAAATCTGTCTGTAGACATACAGAATTACAGAAATAAATGTACAGCCACACAGCCAGATATCTACAGGCAGCCAGATGTATGAACGTACATCCAGCCAGCGCTAAACAGGCATACACAGAGAGGCAGAGGAAATACCCATATAGATTTTCAGATGCCCGTATACAAACCCACAGAAATGCTGACAGACACACACAGATGCACAGACGCACACATATGCAGATATGCACACACATGCACATATACACACACACACACAGATATGGAAATTCTTACATAGCAATGCAAAAAGGCGCACATCCTAATGTGTGTCAGTCCTAAACTACACGACAGCAGCGTGGCCCTCCCCCCTGGAAGCTGGCCACAGACAAAGCCTGGTAGCAGTACCACGAGTGCTGGTTGTGTATGTATATGTATGTATGCATGTATGTTGTGCGAATGCCAGCATTTTTTCCAGTGCAGGTTCGAGACGAATTTTTACAGGCTGTTGATCCGAAGAGCTTACATCGTCCCCCGTGGCTGCTTCTGACAGTTGGAAGCTGCGTGCGGTTCTAGACACCCTAGAGTTGGTGATGAGCGCGTTGCTTGGTCCCCCTACAGCGGAAGCCCCCACGCGTGGGAAGGGTTTGTTCGGTGGGAGTAGGAGAATGCGTTGGTAGAGGATGATGCAGCGGATGGTCGGCATGTTGACGAGTATGCAATTCCTTCGAACTTCGATGCTAGGACGGCCATCCCCCGAGGAGGAGACCACCTGCCGAAGGTCTCTGAGCTTGAGCGCCCCCACGCGTGTGTCTAGCAGCTCTCCCTTCTTGTTGTGCAGGTGCACCATTCTGAGCAGCTCGGGTGTCTGTACATCGCGGCGGTGGCAGGAACCGCCGGAAATCTCCACCACGCCGAACTTGCGGGGCCTTTGCGGGATCGAGCCGAGGACAGAAAGAGAAGGCAGCCGCCCTTCCCGTCTGTCTTGACTTCCCTCCCCGAACACTCTCGAAGGCAACGAGCTGCTGTTTACACGGGAGGGGAGGCCTCCGAATGAGTTCTGGAGTACCCAGCCGCTGCGCTCTGGAAATCGCAGACGCGCGAACTCGCTATCTGCCCCCGCCTCCCTGCCGAAGATCCACTTACGGCATGCCAGGAGTCTCTCGCGAACGCTGCCTCTGGAGGAGACTGAGGATTCGTTTGTGCAGGCAGCAAGGGGCTGCCGCGTGTCTGGCGTTTCACTGCCCGAGCCTCCTAGCAAGGGCTGCTCTAGAGAGGACGTGGTGTGGCTGCTACCCACGCCAACGGCGAGCGGGAAGGAATACGCGCGATCTTCCTCCACAGCCGCTTGATGCTGCGGCTCCTGGGGGTACACTCTCGAGCTGCCTGCTCGCGGCAGCCCTCCGTGCGATGACACCCCATCCGGGGGCAGCATGCATAGCAGGACAGACACAGAGTCTGCCTCCGCCGAGCCTTCTTTTCTGTACAGCGCATCTGCACAGGGTGCTGCTGGAGCTGACTGGAGTGCAGTGTCTGCTGTCGGGATAGTCGAGGAACTTTTTGCGGTCCATGCACTCCTCCGTGCCAAGACGCCCCCCTTGTCGGAATGACTGCGATGCAGAGCTGTGGGAGACCTCTGGATATCCGTATGAGTCTCACTTGCGGAGGCTCTTGCAAGGCTACATCTGCTGGTGCTCTCCAGCTGCTGGTAGTGCTGCTGCTGCTGCTGTTGTTGCTCTTGCTGCTGCACGTACCGCTGCAGCGGAGAACGTGCAATGCTCAAGTGATCCTCCATGATTGCAAAACCTGTACTATCGATCTTCAACACGAGATCCTGGAAAAGCGCGAGGGACTGCGTGAAGCATGACCGCAATGAGCCGCAAGCAAAACTGCCCCCCTGCGCATCATAGGGTTGCTGGTGTTGCTTGCTATTGTCTTGGCCTACAAGGTTGCCGTTGAAGTTGTTGGGAATGCTGTTACCGCTTCAAGTGCCGCCAATTAGCCAGCTAGTCGCGCTTCCAAGTCCACCTGCTGTATCTTGTTACAGTCAAAAATTTCCCTAAAGGACCTGTTGACTTGCAGTTGCATGCGTCGGTGTAGGTGATTCTTACTGCAGCCGCTGATGCTGGAATAAGCCTTCTGGAATGACGCGGAGAAAAGGACTCCGCTCTGTGGGAGGCATCTAATCCCGCAGAATACCAGCGTGTGTGTGTGCATACAGCGCCAAACGAGACAGGAGGGGTCGCTCGGTGGTAGCGCCAGTTAATGTGCGTTTTGCCGGGCGCAGAGGGCCTCAGAGCAGCTCCAAATGGACAAAAACAAAAGGACAAGTTATTGTGCGCGAATAGCCGGTTCCTCTAAGCCGCACGTTGAGGTTTCTGGGTAAGTCGCACCGCTGGTGTGGCAGGAGGTGCTCTTGCAAGCGTTTCTGCTGCTGCTGCGGAAGAGAGAAAAGCCAGCGGGTGTCAAGCGAAGTTTCAAGAAAGAAAGCGCAACAAGCACTCTGATGAAGTAGTGTAATAGCTGCAAAACTGTAGGGGCCCCGGACTCTGCATTGAGGGGCCCCCCACCAGAGCAGAGCGGCCTTAGCGCGCGTAAGCGTGGTGCTGTGCCGGATGTACAATGACCCACCCACAAGAGGAAACTGCTAGGAACATCTGCTCCTTTAAAATGGACCTCTTTTCCTTTAATTGTGATCGGAACAAGTGTACAGAGTGGCGAGGAGCAAGTGAACCTGGAGGCTAGATTATCGCCATTTGCGTGTATTGAAGCAGAGCTCGCACAACCGAAGGAATGACCAACAGACGCCGGGGGAGCTACAGAGCAGAGTCTTCTGTGCGCTTCAGCTGCTGCTTCAGATCTGCGTTACCGACTAATTGTATTCTGCTGCATTTTTCCTCCTGTCTTTGTGATAGCGCCCCCTCTTTGCCTTCTTCCTAAGTATGTTCGCGCCCTGTTCCCCCTTCTGGGAGTCGTCGATACAAGGGCTCGCTAGTTGGCGGTGCCTGCGAAGCGAATGCAAGTTTCATCCCCCGTATTCTTGATCTTCAGTGTTTTCTAATTTTGCGGCACTTCAGTTTCGGTATTCATGGCCACGAAGCTACTCACAGTGCCTCTGTTTGTCGTGCTGATAACCCCCCCAGAGCACCGTGGAGTTGGAGTTTCCGGATAGAAAATGGTCATTTTATCTTCTCCCGCGGGGGCTTCAGGCATAAGACCCTCAAAGGGGACCTATGCCACAGTGCTCTCGAGGCACTCCGACATAGCCGGCGTCTCGTGCCTTATGCAGGCTCTGGACCGATGCAAAGTGGCATTCCCTTTATTAGTGCTAGTGACGCCGGACTGTAGACACATAGTGCGAGCTCTTATTGCTCAGAGCGTTGGGCGATCCTCAGGAAGCGGCGCTTCAGGCTACCCTCATGCGACCCCTACGAATACTACCACCCCAGCGGCAGTGGGAGGACTGCCGCACATCGCGAGCACGTCTCTGCACTCCCTTGTGGTGAATTTCGTCGAAGTCGAACCCGTTACCTTCGGCAGCAATACAGAAACCCCGCGCCAGCAGTCTAAACAGCACCAGCTACATCCACACCAACAGATGACCCCGCGGTTGTCGTCTGGGGCGCCTTTTTGTTTTACGAAACTGCGTGTTTGGGGTCTTGAGGGGTTTGACAGAGTTGTGTTCCTTGAGAATGATTGCCTGGTATTGCGAAACATCGACTGTCTCTTCCTCCTGGACCTTACAGACGACAAACCCGCCTTCGCACCCACATTCTTCCCTCCAGACGCGTTTGATTCCGGGGTTATGGCGCTCAAACCTAGTAAATGCATGCAACAGAAAATCCTTCATGCCCTTCAGGCTTTTCAAACAGCCACGCGGCAGGGTTCAACAGACACAAACGAACCTCCGGATGCCACTGCCGCCTGTTCATATCCACTTTCACCGCCTCTCGAAGGAATACACACGATCACGCGAGCGGCAGAGGGCCATAAGGACACAGAAAAATTCGCCAATGCCTCTACCGGCCTCGGAAGCAGCCCCTCTAGCAGTGACAAATGTGCACAGCAGAGGGATGGTGCGCTTGCTTCACACTGCTTGCTAGCGCCCCTTTCGCAGGACTCTGCTTCTACAGATGTTGGCGCAAGAATGCAGGATGCTGCGTCGAAAGAAAGCATTTCACCAATGCCGACAGCACGCGCGGAAGTACAGCTGCCACAGGGAGCGCCGGTAGCAGCTAGCCCCCTACCGCAACAACTGCCTCCGCCTGACCTTGAGCTGAGCCCTAATATATTTCTCAATCACTTTTTCTCTTCATGGTTTGCCTGGGAGGCTCCCCACCGTCTCCCGTTCCGTTTCAACGCGCAACACATTATGTTGCAGCTGGTAGGGGGCTGCGCTGTTTCTCTTCCTTCTGCTGCTGCCGCTCCTGCTGGCCCTCTTCCGGGAGGAAACGACATCTCACGGGCCTTTGATCAGCACGGCATTAGTGCCCGCAGTCGGTATACTGCCTCAAAATCACCCCAGCGTCAGGTCCTCTCGCAGATATTCCAATCGCGAGAGCTTCGGTGTCCGTCTCCCCATTCTGCCGAAAACTTTGCAACGCGCTCAGAGAGACGTCTGCCTCTCTGGGAGGCGCCCAGGAAGTTGGAGCCCTCAGCGGGTTCCCCTTCGGATGAACGTTCTCTGTCCGGGGAGAGCTTAGTTCCAGAGACGCCTGTTCTGTCCATGCGTCTCGTGATGGAAGCTATGAAGGGCCTCGTGGGGGAGCTGGCGGGTGTTTCTCTTTCAAGCACAGAGTCGCTTGAACGCGGCGGTGCTTCTTTGTCCTCTTTGAGCGTAGGCTCTGCTGCCAGCCTTTTACCTCTGGAGTCCTCCAGCACTCGCCCTGGCAGGTCCAGCTCTCGGCTTGACGGCTCCAGCACTCGTATTGACGGCTCTCGCTCTCACCTCGACAACTCTCGGCTTTCCGAAGGAAACCTCAGCCGGTTCTCACGTAGGAGTTGCTCAGAAGAAGGTCCGCGCCTACGCGTAAATTCTTCCCTACAGTCCTTGCGCCTCGCTTCTGAGCAGGACGAATACGACTCTGAAGCCTTCCAAAGAGTTTTTGCAAGGGAGCTCAGCGAGCACGTAAAAAAACTTCTACACGGCAGCTCGCTCACTGGCGAGCCAGCAGAGGCCTCTTCGAAAGAGTCACGACAAGGAAGCAGAGAGGAGCGGCAGACGCCGGGGGTGCCGCTCCTACCGCAGCAGCCCTTGCAGCACAACCAGTCACAGGCCAGGGCACTCGCTGAATCAAGGTTATCAATGGAAGATCAGGCTGAACAAGGGGAAACGGCACGGCTACGCTCCTCCAAAACACCCCAGTTCGCTTCAGCGAACTTTAAGCCACCCCCTCTCTGGGCTGCATGCAGGCCCCTTTACGTTGTGCGCTTTTCGAGCAACTCAAAACCTTGGACCCAAGAGGGCATACGGGGGCCTCTCGAGATCATCTGGTGGCGTGTCTACCTTGGTCTAGATCCCTTCAGCGACAAGCAACTCGAGGCTTTTATCTAAGAAACGAGATAGCTCTAGAGTATACTTCCTGTACCCCAAAGGAAAGGGGACATAGCGCCAGATAGACCCCCCCGCACCTACGCCGACCACGAACATGTCAGTTTCTGACTAGCCGTCAGCCTGACTGGCTATCCAGTTGACAGAGTATTCAGCGAGCATGGCTGCTGCATCGCTCATTGCAAGCACCTCCATCTGCTGGCTAGCGGCATTCCTTATTGCGAAGAGGTCCAGCGATAGCAAACTGGTATCTTGTTTCAGTGTGTCCCTACCTGCAAACTCCCACTAACCCCCCTGCATCACCTACCGAAAATCTCAGGAGCGCCTTATGTCTAGCCATTTGAAGCTTCTAGAGAGTGTGAAACGTAGCTAGCCAGCTAGCTATTGGCACTACGTCCACCACGAAGGAGGGCAGCGTTACAATAAGCGACGAGCGAGCAACAGGAACGAAGTAGAAAGGGGGCCGAATACTTCAAATGCGAGAGTTTTAGTGCCGGTGCTTTTTTTCGCCGTTGTGTGGTGGTTGGTCTTTTCGAGGAACACAAAACATGAAAGGCAACTAGCTTTCAATATTGCCCCCCGTCAGCACCAAATGGGCAGTTCCGTCTCCCTCTTGTACTCTTTGTAATGCCTTTAAAGTGGGGAGTGACTCCATTAGGTTCTCTTGCAGCCGCCTCTCTGGAAGCGCATCCACACACATATGCACAATGATGGTCTATAGGGGTGTGGACTCCCCCTGTACATATCCTTTGTCCTTGCATGAAAAACGCGCTGCATGCACGTTTTTTCGAGAAACACCGCCAACTCACCCAGCTCGATCCTTTTCAGTTGCTTTTCCTGTTTTTTAAGACTCGGGAACTTTCCATGGAAGTGCCACGATATCCGGCGGAAGGCGTCCTTCGCATTCTGCAACAAAACCCCCGCAAGAGCGACAGCGCGCCACCCCCCAATCGCCCTGCTGTCCAGACTTCTTTCGCATGCACTATTCCCGTCATCAATGCGCAACCCCTAGAGGCCCCCTCTGCAGTGCACCTCCCCCCCCTCCAAACACTTGCGCCATATCGGGGGGGGGGTAGGCGGGAGCTCTTTCTGGAATAGCTAGCGCGTGCTCGATGGTATAAGATTAGGAATTGCACGGACCATGACGTTGCCGAAGGAGTCCCTGTAATCCAGATTCACTTCCTTTTCGTTCTCTGCATTGTGAAGCGGCAACTCAAGGTGGTGCCCGCGCCTCCGCCTGATTTTATCCAGCGAAAAGAAGTCTGAATGCCAGGCCGCATGCAGAAGTGCAACCCGGACGACCCCCCTGAAGATCCTCGTTCTGCTGCGAATCCCGCTAAGCCCCAGCTAAAACCCCTCAAAAAACCTGCCTGCTCCTAGGCAGTGTCGTAGCAACATACACCCGCCATACAGGTGAAGCAACATGACACAACTAGCACCAGCAACAGAGTGCCTAGCAGCCACTCTCGCTGTACCTTTGCTCTGCAGATACGCAAGTGCCCCAGCAACCGAATTTCCAATTGGCTGCTCTGCCATGAACTCGGGCTGCGACGCAAGCGCGCACATTCAAAAACCTGGGGCACACCTTCCTGCCGCATCCTGCAAACAAACCCTCGCGTACACCTCCCCCTCCCCCCTTTCCCCCGACCTACCGATGCACTCACTCGCATGGCGAGAAACTCGAGACGCGAGTCACCGTACCTCGGAGTCACTGTCGTCGTCTTCCTTCGACTGCTCCTCGACAAGTTCTCCTTCTTCGGCATCCTCCCTCGGCTGACTTTCGGTAGGCGACGGAGGGGGCTTTGCGGACTTGGTGGGGGTGCTATTTGTGACCTTAATGCCTCTGTATGCATGCGGTAGAGAGACAGACAGACAGACAGACAAAACACCTTAGTAAGGCCTCTACCTAAACCTCGCTTCCTTCGACTGAGGCTCGCACCACAACATCCCCAACGCCCTCACAGAAGGACGACCGTTCTAGGTGGCTAGCAAAGCCTGCTTTTTTGACGCTGCAGGCAGGAAATCAATCTCAGTAACGAGAGAAAACGCAAACCAAGCAGAGAAGGCGGGCAGAAATCACAGCTTACTTCGAAGGCTTCGGCCCGAGGAAGGCCCCTCCACCGCGTGCCTCCTGTGCCTTTTCCATTGGCGTTAAAACACTCCTGCAGAACTCTGTGGTATTCGACAGCTGCAGCCCTTCCTCGTCCTTCTCTTCCGCCTTGCCTGCAACACGCGCCAACCAATTCTCTGCCCTGAACCCTAAGCTTGAGGCTTACACGGAGCTCTCTCTCTCTGTGGTGAGAAGCAATGCAAGATTCTGATCTACAGCCACGGAGTAACCGCGCACAAAACAGAGTTTCCGAGATTCCACAGGGCTTACTTTGCTGTGTGAGCTCGACAAGCATCGCTGTCTTCGGCAAAAGGCCCTTGGAGAAAGCTTCTTCCTCTGCTCGCGTCCGTCTGCACACACCCGCCGGGGCACCTGTAGCAGCAGCAGCTGTAGCAGCAGCAACTGTAGCAGCAGCAGCTGTAGCAGCAACAGCACCTGTAGCAGCAGCAACTGTAGCAGCAGCAGCTGTAGCAGCAGCAACTGTAGCAGCAGCAGCTGTAGCAGCAACAGCACCTGTAGCAGCAGCAACTGTAGCAGCAGCAGCTGTAGCAGCAGCAACTGTAGCAGCAGCAGCACCTGTAGCAGCAGCACCTGTAGCAGCAGCAGCACCTGTAGCAGCAGCAGCTGTAGCAGCAGCACCTGTAGCAGCAGCAGCTGTAGCAGCAGCAGCTGTAGCAGCAGCAGCTGTAGCAGCAGCACCTGTAGCAGCAGCACCTGTAGCAGCAGCACCTGTAGCAGCAGCACCTGTAGCAGCAGCAGCTGTAGCAGCAGCAACTGTAGCAGCAGCAGCTGTAGCAGCAGCAGCTGTAGCAGCAGCAGCTGTAGCAGCAGCACCTGTAGCAGCAGCAGCAGCTGTAGCAGCAGCAGCTGTAGCAGCTGTAGCAGCAGCAGCTGTAGCAGCAGCAACAGCAAGAAACACACATTGCCCACCAAGGCCAAAAGGTACCCCAGACAAAAGACAGCACCACCACAGCAATATTTACGGAGCACTATTACCTCTTGATTTGTTGTAGTAGTCGCTGCCTCTCCATTTCTGTGGGATCTATCTCCTCACTACCTCCACCCGTGGTGGGCTGTACGTAGACCCCCAATTCCTCATTTAAAACCTCGGAGAGCTGCCTCACGTGCTCCTCTTGTTTGCTGCTGCTGCCTTTGCTGCCGCTGTCTTTGCTGCTGCGTTCTTTGCTGCTCTTTGATTTGCTGCCTGTGGGGCCACCGTCCTGCCGCGGGTAGTCTTCTCGATCCTTTGTTGCCGCTGCGAGCGCCGTCGCCACCATCTCCTTCTGTGCATTCTTTTCCCTGCACTCGCAACGCCAACCGCCCCCCTCCTAGATCTGTATCCCTCCCTCGCCCTCCGACATCACCACTGCGGGTGCAACGGCTGCCAAGGATCGCTGCTAAGGGCAAATCGTGGCATCGGATCTGCAGACGTACTGCAGCTGCCTGCTACTCCTGGAAGCGTGATCATCTCCCCTTCTCCTGCTGCCACCACCAACACTCTCCGAGAGGTCTTCTTCTAAGTCTGCAGCAGTGTCCTCTTGAGCAGCAGCCAGGCCCAGCCAAAACTCCATTCCAGTCTTCCTTTGCTTCTCTTTCCTCTGCTTCTTCGGCTTCCTAAAGGCCGGCACCCCGAGCACGTCAGCCTCCCCCTCGACTCCTGCTGCTGCCGCCTTCTCACCATCCGCTTCAGCTGCAGAAGCAGTTGCAGCATCCTGCTTCAGCATGTCTTGCAGCATAAACCCCTTCGCCTCTCCTGGGGGTCTCGCAAGGCCCTTCGCTGCCGCCTCTTCCTGCTGCCATTCATCGTAATGCGCAAGAATATCCTTTTTCTCGCCCCCCCCCTCCAATTCCTCTGCTGCGTTGTACGCCGTCTTCTGGTGCGCTTGCTGCTGCCGCTTGTGCTTCCGCTGCAGCATTTCCTTTTCCCTGAGCTGGAGAGACTCAAGAACGTCTCCGTCCTCGTTCAAGGAGCCGTCAGGCGCAAGGATCTGCGCATCCTGCAGGGTCAAGACGACAGCCTCACCCTCCGGCAAATCCGAGGCATCATGAGCCACACGCGCTGCCATGGGGGCGCCTGCCGCTGCCGTGTCTTCGGAGGCTGCTGCCTGCTCTGCTGCTGAATTGGCTGCAGCGCCCTCCTCAGCCTCGGAATCCGATTCATCATCGTAGCGCACACGGTCCACTAAATGAGACACACACATAAATGTATGCATACACCAATTGTGACAGCCACACATAGGCACCCGCCCTTCGAAACACCCCAAAGCGTCGTGCGCGGCTTCTGCTGCCGCCTCCAGCAGCCGCGCTGACAGAGTTCATGCTGCTGCAGAGCAGCAGCAGCACCAGCATCAGCAGCAAGCAAGACCAACAGCAAACGCCTTCAACATTCAAAACACCGCTCTCAGAAAAGCAGCGCCAGGAAGCACACAGGCAAGCGCAAGTAGGATAGCGGCTAACACATGCCAGCACAACCTCGCAAGCAACAGCCATAAGTACCACGGCCTTGGGAGGCTAGCGTTTGCTGCTCCTTCTTCGCCTTCCGCATCCGTGAAATCCACGCAAGGGGATCCAGGATGTCTGAATCTTGAGCTGCTGCCGATGCGATGGTGTCGCCAGAAATCAACAGTGCATGCGCTACCCGGCGCTTCTGCAGTTCTTCCTCTTCTCTCCTTTCCCTTGCGGCTGCTGCTGCAGCTGCTGCAGCGGTATCTGTCGAGGGCTTCGCGTCCTTAGACTCTCCGCCGTCATCTTCTGCTGCAACGGCCGACGCCACGGCTGCACTCGCATCAGCCTCGCGGTGCCGCTTGCCGCTGCTGCTCGTGGAAACTCTGTCATGGCTGCTTGCACCACTGCTGCCCGTTTTGTCCTGCAGCAAACAGCAGCATCGAAGGCAGCCGACTCTAGAAAGGGGCGACGGCGTGCAAACTGCAAGCCTCTGGGGTTGGATGTCTTCCTGTTTGCTCGACTAGGGGTTCCCGGCAGTATGCATGTGCATACCTTCGCATCCAGCCGCAGCGGCTTGAGGCCGAGCTTGGCTCTCAGCGCATTTGTCTCTTCAATAGAGAGCGTCACTTCTTTGCTCTGCGTCGACATTGCTGCGCAGGCAGTATTCTCAAGGGCTGCAACCCTCCCAAACCCTGGCGAGAGGCCGCCGCAAGGGACGCGCCCAAGTGTACACGAAAGAGAAGCCTCAGAGGTTTCCGCGTGCGAGTGTTTGCGTCTTTGAAGATCGATTTTTGCGTTTTCGGAACAAAAAGTTAAGCCGTTAAGGGCCTGGCACCGGCGGGGCCCCATGCATGCGAAGAGGAGCAAGCCTTCGGTGACTGCGGCACTGATGGGTAATAAATAGCCCAGTCTGTTCAAATCCCTGAAGTTTGGGGCTTCCAAAGTCTGTAGCTTTGCAAGGGTCAACGGAGAGTGTTTGGCGGGAGTAACTGATACGCCCCCTTCGGCTTTCTTGCCATTTTTTCTGTTGCTGTGCCTTCTACGCTGGCAGTTGCTCTGTTGCATTCGCTGATCGAATCGTTGCTTTATGACTGCCGAGCGCCGCAGAGTGCTCCTGGGTGGCCTTGCGTGTCTTAAGCGGCGCGCTTCCCTGACGCTTAAGGCGTAGGGTTTGATGATGCAAGACTCGAAGGGCTTATCGGAGAATGTTCGGAGGTTGCGGTTTATGTCTGCTCAGCAGCAGACCCGACCGGTAGCACCAGCAGCAGGCGCGGCGACAGCGGGTGGCAGGCAGGACTGGTGTGCCCCTGGTTGGGAGCAAGCGGAAACTTTGTATGAACAACAGCAACAACAACAACAGCAGCAGCAGCAGCAGGCAGCAAGCGACTCTGCCCTTCACTACGACCTCCTTCTCTTCAGGTGAGGCGGAAGAACGCTCCCGGAGCAGCAGCTGGAGAGCCACGTGTGGCAAGCAGAGAGTCCGTGTGCACTCCCGAGACTCATTTTGATGATGTGGGACTGGTGTCTGCAGGCGGTCCTTCGGCGGGATGAATCCCTTCATCGAGTCTCTTACCAAGAAGCAAATTAGAAAGGCGGCTGCCGCGGAAGCGCACAGAGAAGAGAGAGACCAGGCCCTTCTTCTCGCACGTAGCAGACAGAGTAGGCAGATGCCAGCGGGCCTGTAAGGCGTCGAGCTAAGGGGCCCACGCACGGGGCACGTTGGTTGCCTTAAGTGCTTCTTTGAGTCCAAGATTCTCCGACTTAAACCCCACACCTTTGCTATGGTAGTGTAGCTGACACCCGACAAACGGGTTGGCGGTAGGCTGAAAGCTGCCACTGCCGCACGGATTTCGGAAAGCCCTGTTCAGGTGCTAAGGGCAAATGCCTGTGTCTAGAAGGCACGCAACGACAAGGTCTTCTTCTGCGTGTGCATTAGTACTTAGCAATATATGCGGCCATTTATCGGGTGGGGAAGCAAGCTAGGGACCTTCAAACTAACTCTTGCCGGTCAGGCGTAATGTCTACTGGGCTGTCGCGGACGCTCCGCCACGCAACCAGCTAGCTGAATGTGCGAAACGAAACACGAGGTCGCTGTATGCACACTGGGAGGCACCGTCCGGTCGGCCCTCATGACTAAAAATATACTACGGCTGTTGCTGGGAATCTTGCCTTGCTGAATAACTCAGGAGCTGCGGTTTCGGCGGCAAGAGTTGCTGCTGGTGCTTGTGCAATGCTCGAAGAGGTATGCTTCTTGTGGTGCTTTAGAAGAAATGACAATAGCTTAGGTGTACACTCAGGACTTAGAGGGTCAAATAGCTAGTAGATCATCCTCAAAGTGCAAGAGGATTGTGGGTGGTGGGGGCCTTTCTGCGGGGTCGCACGGAACGTCGTCTGAGTCAGAAACTATATGGATGTCGTTTTGCGTGAGGGATTTGTCGAGGTCTACCGCCCGGCCTCGGCACGACCACGTGTACGCTTCTGCGTGCGAGTTGGCCCCTTTGAGTTGCTGATCTAGAACAAGTTTTAAGGGCTTATCAATCGGGATATGCAGCGCTGTCTTCTGCCCCGTCAGAGTGTTTAGGAAGTACACTGGTGCAACAGACTGTGCTAGTTCGCCCACGATATATCTGGCATCGCGCCACCACGGGGTGCCTGTACAGCCTGAACCGGGAACGTGCAGGAAGGGGGTATTGGGGTGTTTGTACACTTCGGTGGTGTCGCTCCGCACGCGAGCAACGGCCTGGGGTTGCATTGTATCTGGACAGAACCAGTGGGATATGTCTGACCCCGCGTTTTCTATCAGCGGGACGGCGAGCTGGTTCCTATTAAGAGCCAACAACGGTGACAAGTCGTATACGCGCCCGTAAACTGAGACCCAACAATCAGTGGAGACGCAGTGGCGCTGCAGGTCGTCAGGAAGGATAAAACCACCCCTAGGGGGAGGGCGAGCCACTTCACGGGCGTCCACATCGTTGTAAACCTCGGGACGAGCACGCGGTTGAGACATCGTCCTGCTGCTCTTGCTGATCCTGTTGGCTGGTTCTGCATTCAGTGCTAATCGTTTTGCTGCTGCGGGTGAGGTGACGAGCAGAATCAGTAATTAGTGATATAAGTAAGGCTTCGGCAGCTTACTGCTGCGGCAACGCTGCTCTTTGCAGATTCTCAACTTGCTCGCGAGAGGAGTGCGCGTTGGTGGTGCTGTTGTTAGTTGAGCAACTACTGCGAATGCTGCTCCTATTATTGTTGCAGTAGAAGCTGCTATTGCTACTATATAGCTGCTTTCAAAACTGGCTGCCGGATTTCGTGGGCGTGGAACCGTCAGGATGCCCTTACCAACATGGGTCCCTCCAAGGGGACCCCCAGCTGGCTTGCATTAGAACTTGAAAGATAGGATTTAGGGCTTACAAATGACCATTCATTAAACAGCACCTATCAAACCAATTATTGTCTAGTCTTATGACTACTTACGTCACATGTGATGGGTAATAACTCCCGAAAACTCCTGTGGAGGCGAGGTGACCTCGAGCCTCTGTGCGCAGGGCTATCCCATGTACACAGTGCTTCGAATTCACCGAAAAGCGATTTGCTGTTTACAGCTGGAGCATCTGTCTTCAAAACAGACATTTTTCACGGTAAGTCGAATTGCCCACAAGTATTCAATTTGAGCTAAAAGTCAACAACTTTCGGAGTTCTCATCCAGAGTTGTACAGCCCTTGGCTTAGAGTCTCAAGGTTTTGCCCTTCGCTCTTAAGACGTGGTATGCCGAACCTTTTGATATTTTGCCACCTCCCCATCCCTCTCTACAAGTAGTGTGAATGATGTACGCAGCACCGAAAGATATATACAGGAGGAGGCACAAGTGTAGAGGAGGCAGTAGGCGGGAAATGAATGCTAAGGCTTTAGTATAAAATTCTGGACAGAACAGGCAAAAGAATCGGTAGGCACCGAGGGATGCAGAGACCGAAAACTGGCAGTGTCCATTCATAGAGAATCACACATGTAGAACACAACCAGGGGACAGAAGAAATCAGAAAGACTAGAAGACGCACAAATTAAGGCAGAAGCTATGCCTAGGAAAATCAAGCACTTCGTTTCAAGGGGTGTGAGTACAGCCAGTGAGAGAAAGAGCTATAATTTTTGGAACAGACACAAGGTATCCTCCAATGTTTTGGCGCCCTGAAGCTAAAGTTCCAGAGGACTCAAGGCACGACCGACTCAAAGTGACGGCCCCTCTAGCGCATCATAATTTTACGTCTTCATCTTAGTGGCATTCTGCGGGCAAAAGGAACAATTACGTTTTAGTTGTCGAGAGCCAGCAAGAGATGCACCGGCGAAAGGCAATTGCCGTACTGTCAGCAGCACGCGCAGTAGCAGGAGCTGCTGCGCCTGAGCACGCGAACAAACTGTGGCGATTGCATGAAAATTGCTTCAAGAAAAGGGTATCTTACCTTCTGTGCACATAAATTTGTGGAGACGATACCGCCTGGCCTGCTGTCAACCACTTCGTGATTAACGGGCTTGGGGAGAACCACGAGAACTCTTCGTAGAGGTGGTATTTTAGATTTGATGTGGAGAATAAATGCCTCATCAGCTAAGTCAGTTTCCGTCAAAATACAAACGATGGAGACGAGATAGCAGGAAACTGATACTGTCATATTGTTGGTATCAATTCCGATGCTCCGGCAGACCGACTGGAGTCCTTACATATGTGCCGCATACGCTGGCGACTTGGTACACACAAGCTCATGTTTATACCGTGATTCGCCCTCTCTGCGAACATATTGAACCTGGCACAATCAATCTCAGCTAGCGTATAAATGATTGAGCAAGAAGCTATCAAGAGGGAAAAGCTCAGAGGGACATGCACAGTTAACAGGAAGACATGTGCAGGTGCTTCTTTTCGTTACCAGTCACTCCAACACATTAACTTCGCACTAAATGCAGCCTCAGACACAGAGAATGACCAAAAAGTGCGTTTTTCTGTAGATGTCCTATCACCAGAAAACACTGCGTATCTATTTCCAGCGTCAAAAGGGGCACAATAGTGTACAGACAAGCCATCGATAGAAAGCAAACAGACTGTCACGTGTGAAACTGTAAAGCAGCAATCTACCGAGATCAGCCTGTGTAGAGACATAGAAGAAAGTAAAGGGAGATGTGGACATATTGAGTGATGTCCCTTTTCTTCTATCCGCGTGAAACACTGTTTTAAGGTCATAGAGGCGGAACACTTAATCGAAGACAATGCAAACTCTAAAATTCATTGAGTGTTTCCCAGCAAGGCGCCCTAGTTTCCCTGCCCGCAAACCCAAAGTTTGGACACGTGTGGGGAGAGTCAGCTAGCGTACGCGGTGCTGCAATCTCCAAGCACTCTGAGCATTCACAGCTAGTTGCACAAAGCCTCCACCGCACCCGCATACATCATTGCGTCTTCTTGTGTCGAGTAAATAGTCCTCAGCAATGAATAAAATGTATGAACAGCCAAACCAGTTAGTCAGTTCTTTACAATCCTTTTGGCTTCAAAGCGCAGCGTGGGTTACTTCAGCAACCGCAGCACCCCCGCTGTTGCAGAAGGGGCAAGTGTTCAAGAGGCTAGCATCGACCGGGCAGCAGGCACTTGCTCGCTCTGTGTTAGTACAGCGTCAAGGGTTTGGGGTGGCTTACGGCTGAAATTATGCTCTTTTAGCCGCCTAGCTTCTAGACTCCATAAGCGAGGTGGCCGTGCACATGCGGGGAAATTATGCCCCTGGTTATATGTACAAGCAAGAAAACACACGTGCAAATGAGGTAGCTCATGGTGTCTATAATAGCCGTAACAAGCACTGCGGCGGGTGCTGGTGCCGCTGGAGGTGAGTGTGAAGGCAACAAACCAATCGGCAGGGGGGCCCTCTTGGGGCCCCCTCGGGCGCTTCCGGGTCCAGCCCAGCACTTTAAGGGCTTGTGTTCCCCTTGTTGAGGGTTTTGTCATCGGAGTTTGCGGCTCATGACGTCGGTGTTGGATGCATTACACTAAAATTTTTGCCTTGCGGTAGCATCTCATTCGCTATGAGCGTCACCAGAGGGTGCCGCAGCTGCTGCCGCATGCAGCAAACGGAAAGAGTAGAACGGGCGAGAGCAGGGCGATTTTGCACCTTATCCACTGCATTCAAAGAGAACAGCATTGTAGTGTGGCTGTAGATTCTGGCGACAGGCTGGAGCAGACAGAGAGGCCTGCTAGTCCCCTTCAGAAGCGTAGAACATTTTGATATGCAAACCCTATCCCTATCCCGGGCAGTAGCGAATCACCGGTCTCTGTATTTAGGGTAGCATCTCGCCTCGGAGTAGGGTGGAGGAAGTTCGTCGCCGTGCGAGCAGCAGCGGCTGCAGCAGAGGCTGCAACGCCTGCTGCAGCTTCAACAACTTGCGTGCGAGGGGGCTGATTCAGCGGTGAAGATAGGGGCAGGCAGCCTTCAATAAAAGGGCTCTGAGATGTACCGCCACCCATTTTATCCTCCTCTTTCGACGGAGGAGCTGCAGGAGCGTGACGCGCTCCTCGCACTCTGCAAGGGGACCCAGGAAGCGTTTCCCCGAAATTCCATCAGCTCACCTAGCAGCAACGGCTTTCCCAGCAGCAGTGGCGGCAGCCGCGTTTTTTGGGGGAGTATTGATGGGGGCAAAGGCAAGTGCAAGATCAGAAGGAGCTGTTTGGGATTTTCAGCAGACGGCAGCAAGGTGCTGGCGGGCTTTCATGACTCCGTGGCTATTGCCGCTGTCGGTACACTTTCCGCGCATCTCAACATCGGCGTGCCAGGCGTCGGCCTTGTGCTTCCACATCCAGTGCATCCGGAACTTGTAGCTGTTGGATGCCAGGTACAGCTCTCCAGCTGCTTGCTCTGCTTCCTGCTGCACTAGCTGGGGGGGTTATGGCTGGAAACACTCGAGCGCTCTACGTTGCGATCTGCAGTCTGGGGAATATCTGTTTGTCTGTCTGTCTGTCTAGGGGCCGAACCGTACTGGCTCAATTTTGCGGCTGCTGGATTTGCGGCAGCAGCCCCCGCGCTCCCTTGTTCCTGCCGGCAGCAGCAACAGCGATGTAGGAGCTGCGGGGGTGACGTATACCTCGCCTTACGGGGAAGAATGGTGGACAGGGACCTGGCATCCCTCGGGGAAGTATTTGGTGTGTATTGACAAAAGAGATAGACTGCACGCACTTCATCCAGAGCAGCCACAGCAGCAACAGCAGCAGCAACAGCAGCAACAGCGGACAGGCAGTACCACCAGCGCCACTAGCAGCAGCGGTGCTTGCGGATTCAAGCGCAGCGTCATTCAGCTGGAATCAGTGACTTACGGGTGCTGCTTCGGGTTGGGTGGGCGTGTGTTGATAGCCGCTCAAGAAGATGGTTGCTGTCGCGTGCTGCCTTCTGCTGCTACAGTCGACAGTGGAGCAGCAGCTGCTGCGTTGCAGGTGCCTCTCCTTCAGGGTCCAGCAGTGGTGACGGCGGCCTCAGGAAGAGACGGCGAGGTGTTTGCGGTCGGTGGGGGAGACGGCAGCATTCAGATATTGGATACGGCGAGCCTCTCTCCTGTGGGGTCTCTTCCTAGAGGAGATGTGGGGGTGCAATGTATGGCCCTCAGCAGTGACGGATCTCTCATTGCGTGGGCGACTAAGCGGACTCCTCCAGAGAAGTAGGTGTGGCGTGGCTTCAGGGAGAAGCACCAGAGTTTAGGTACAGTAGAAAGCTCTTGCATGGGAGGGTCTCTGTGTGTGCGAGCGAGGGTGTCGCTGAGCGGGGGGTGCTTGGTTACGAATCTGTAGCAATACCGAGGACGCTAGGCGTGTTTCGGGCTTAATGCAAGACCCCGATTCTTGTAGCTTCATGCATGCATGCGACTGTGCTTGTTTTGCATGCAGGGAGGAGTCTCTGATGCGGCGCCTGGACGAAGGCCCACGCCCGGGGTCCCCTAAACTCTGTCTTGCTGCAGTTTCTCCCACTGAGGTGCTGCTGCAACTCGAGACTAGTGGCCAGGTAACAGCGACTGCCTTTCATCCTCACAGGAAGCTCTTAGCGGTTGCCTGTGACTTAGAAAGCAGCGGCAGCAGCAACAGTAGCGGCACCAGCAGCAACCGATATGGCAGCAACAACAAAAATATAGGCATCATCACTTTAGATTGATGCCAGCATTTGCACTAGCAGCGTTTGCAGTTGAAGCGCCAGCTCGGCCTGCAATTTCAGTAACAGGCACGCACACTGCTGCCGGGCTTCCCAATTGCAGCGAAAACGGCAGCAACCGCTGCTGCTGCTGCAGGGACATTTTGCTGATGCATATTTTTGGCGCTCTTTGGGGTTAATCATTAGGCGCAGTACGACTAGAGCGGTACAATTTAGTCTGGGAGCAAAAGTTTGAAGAAAAGGATTCTTCTAGCGCTGTGAGTAACTGTCTACCCAGACACCCCAATTCTAGCATGAGCACGATAGCTGGACAGAAGCCTGGTTGAACGGGCAGCTTACTGAATCTGTGATCGTGCCGCGTCTGACTGCCTCCCTAGGATATACAACCGCCTCCCAGCTGCTCCTGCTGCATACGCGCCTGTTGCACTTTTTGATTCTTGCGTAATCGTGGAGTAGCTGTAGCAACCAGGGAGCGATAAAAGCTCCCAACGCCTATGGACATGTCGACTCTCATTTCCCTACGGAAGGGCATTGCAATGAGTCTCCTAGGATTCTGTAACTCAAGTGCCTCGGGTTTGAATTAAATACAGAGGGTTGTGCGCACAAAGTGGCACTTCGTCATTTCCTGGTACCTCATCGAGCGTGGGTAAAGAGTTGAATGATCGGTGTGTGTCTTAGCAAATCATAACTCTTGCACAACACTGTTGGCTTGATACACGAGGATGCTATGTTGTGTGCAACAGCACTACATGCTCTGTGCAACTAGCTGTCGATGCTCAGAGTGCTGAAGGATGCAACTACGCTCACCCTGGCTGTTTCTTACTCCTTAGGACGGTGGCTCTTGAGGCGCACAGGCCAAAAAAAGCGATAATCTTAATACATGCAATGGGTTGCCATTAAGCTTTTATGAAGTGTGCAGGTAACTGGCGGCCTAGGGAGGCGCTAATTGAAGGGATTTAGAGGTCTTGCACAGGAAGCTACATTGCGCTGTACAAGCTGTTTTCGCCCTTTCTGATGTGTAACGCCACTCTCTGCATGGGAATTCGGGGTTCGGGTAGGCCAGCGGTGGGCCTAGAGGAAAAGAGCTGGACAGAGCCATAGGTACTCCTCAGAAAGGGGTTTGTGGAATGCAATTTGGCCTCCGTACCCCTTCGTTTTCGTGAGTTAGAGCGTTAAATGAATGGCTTAGATGGTTCAGTACCAGGGTTGAGCTGTACGGACCAGGCTAGCACGCTGCGCATCCATCCTTCGCTATGTGCGTTACGGGCATGAGAAGCAACCTGTAGGCTGCGTGCCGTACGGTCGAAGGAGGAGTCTCATGCCATCCAACCTGACCGCACACACCCGAAGTGGTATCCCAGAAATTATATGGAACTAGTCCGTTAAGTGTCGCAACCCACTAGAAGCGGGTAGTGATATCGTGGAACGCCCTCCGAGGTCACTACAAGCGGGAAGAAAACAGCTGAAAGAGCCCTTACTCAGAGTTTATCGTGTTTTCTTCGTCACAGGCGATATTAATTTGGGCAGTTTACTGACTTGTCATGTGTTTCACTCTCGAGATCACCTACCTTACTGTCCTCTTGCACTGAATGTCCACTGGCACGGCACTTGCGGCGAACCCACGCAGTGGAATCGAAGGCCATCGACCGAAATCGATTAGCTCAGAAACGGTCCTGCATCCCTCTTATTTTTACGCGGAGAAATTGCTTAGTGAGATGCTATTGGGGAATTATTGCTGAGGACAACCCCGCCTGCAGCCATGCAATGCAGAATCAGGGGCGCAGCACATCCAAGGATGAAACCCTCAAGAACGAAGGCTTGCGATCTCTCAGGAACGGCGGTCCCAGCAGATCTAGGCGTCTAATTCCCAATGCCGACGCCTCCAGCGAGAACTTTAGCAGCAGCACTGGAAGCGAAAGCTGCAACAAGAGCACGAGCTGCGAACCGACTCGGCAGACTGAGAAATCGGCTTTGCATGTATTTTGCAGAGTGAAGCCCCTATCATTCAAGGAGACGAGTGGTGGCGGCGGTGGCACTGGCAGTGCTGGCAACAGCATCAGCAGCATCAGGAGCACGAGCAACAACAGTCCCCGTACCGAAGAAGGCGCAGTTCGTATTTTGGATGGGCAGCACATTGCCGTCCAACACGCTTGCGATTTTAGCCGAGTGCACAACGGCAGCAGCAGTCGCAGAAACACCTGCGAACCTGCCAACGCAGTCTTTGCTGTGGAGGAAGTCTTTGGGCCTGATAGCTCTCAGCAGCACATATTCGAGTCGGTTGCTCTGCCGCTGGTGCAGCGCTGCTGTAGCGGCCGCGAGGCATGCGTTGTCGTTTACGGCCAGACTTCCAGCGGAAAAACCCATACACTCTTAGGTCCTCAGCAGCAGCCGCATCGCGAGGCTCTGCAGAAGCGAGCTGCCACAAGGGGTTATCAGGAAGCTCTCGCAGTAGATGGTGAAGTGGGCCTGTTACAGCGTGTGGGTGCTGCTTTGCTACGGCTGCCCCAGGAGCAACAGCAGCAACAACTAGGCAGCCAGTTGCGCGTGGAACGCGTGTCGATATCTTTCTTGGAGATATATAAAGAGGTCTTAACGGATCTACTGACAGGCGAGGGACCCCTGCGCTTGCGTCAGCTGCAGCACCCGCACGGAGGAGTGCAAGTGATCGGCCTGAGCGAAATACAGCTTTCTGATGTCTTCACGCTACAACGTGCTGTTGCTGAGGCCCTCAAAAGACGCCGCTGCAACAGCACGCAACTGAACAGCAGCAGCAGCCGCTCACACCTTTTCGCATGTTTTTCCGTCCAACTGAGGGATGTCAGCACCGGTCCGTCGTGGCTGCTGCTGCAACAATCCTGCCAGCTCTTGCTGTTTCTCTCCCTTGCGCTCGCTCGCTCGCTCTCTATCTACCTCAGTCACTCTCCTTCTCTCTCTGCGTATGCGCGTAAATGCGACTCCTGCTGCAAGCACTGGTGCCGCTGCTTAGGGCATGCATCTGCTGGTGCTCTCCGGCAGTCACTCTAGCACACGGACAAAAGCCCCGCAATAAAATGTTGCATCGTTTTTTGAGGTCTTGGGTTGTTGCTGCTGCGGCTGCAGGCGAAGAGCGCAGCGGCGTATTGCGCCTTGTCGACTTAGCCGGCACGGAGCGCAGTAGTGCTGCAATGACGCAAGGCTCTCTGCTGCAGGAAGGTGCTGCAATCAATCAGTCGCTCTTCTGCTTTTGCCAGTGCATTGACGCCCTGGTGTCCAGGCAGCGAGCTCTAGCGGGGGGTGCCAGCAGCTCTGCATGCTGTTGTAACACGCCTACAGGCGTAAACTTCAGAGACAGCAAGCTGACACGGCTGCTGCAGCCGGCGCTAACCGGGGAAGGGGGGGCAGCTGCACTGCTCATATGTGTCTCTCAGCGGCAACAGCACGCGCGCGATACCTTTAATGCGCTGTCCCTTGGCTGCAAGGCTTTGCAGCTCCAGCCCAAGCCCCACCAGCAACAACCGCAAAAGCAGCAGCAACAGCAGCAGCAACAGCAGCAAAAGCAGCAGCAACAGCAGCAATGCTCGGGGGTCTGCAGCAGGCAAAGGCCGCAGACACCGCTGCCGCGCAGGTTCCCGCTAGCAGCAGAAATAGAGGCAGAAACGTCAGCAGCAGCAAGAGCTTTGAAGGCAGCAGCCGCTGCTGCTGCTGCGCTGCCGCTGCACCCTGAGGGAGAAGAAGACAGCAACGCAGGCATCCACCTTCGTGAGGTACCTACTCCTGCTGCTAGAGGCGCAAGTTTGGGAATCTACGGCTTCTTTTTCAGCTGCAGCCTGCGATGCGTGCGGCGGCGGCAGCACCAACAGCAAAAACAAGAGCTGTACAGGCAGCAGCACATCACGACCCTCCGCATGCAGAGTCTGAGAAAGGCGGCCCTCCTGGGGCAGCAACTCGGGGCGCTGCTGCTGCAAAAGCAACAGCAGCAGCTGCAGCAGACGCAGGAGCAGCTCTTGCGGGATACGCGCGAAGCCCTCGCTGGCCAGCTGCAACTGCTGCAGGAGGTGCAGCAGCGGCGCGGCACAAGCGGAGACACTACGTCCGCATAGAAGGTACGTACACCGGAAGCAGCAAGAGCCCAAGCAGCTGTTTTCTTTTTCTGCGCGTCATCCCACTATTACCCGCACAAATAGGAATAAACGTCTCATACGTGTTTCCCTTTGCTGTTGCCATCCTTAGGCTACAGCTGTTTTCTAGCGAAGAAGGTGCAGATGCAAACCACAAACCTCCTTCCCCCAGTGTGTGTCTCTTTGCCAAGCATTAGCTCCCACCACGTCGAAGTGTTAGGACCTGGAAGACGGCAGCCACGGTCCAAAGTGATAAAAGCAAGTAGTCAGGTGCCAACGACATGCACATGGCGGAAAGAAGCACCAATATTTACTGCATTCCAGCGCTGCCTGGCTTCTGCCTCTTCGAGCGTCCCCCCCCCGCTTGTACCGCCTCTTGATGCGCTGCTGCGGGGCTTCTTCCCAAAAGTCTTCGCAGCTTCACGATCGTTCTGCAAAATACCCACACTCTCTGCCACCGTAACGCAAACGTTGTCAACTACCAGGCACCTATATCATCGGCCCGCACCGTTGCCCTCCTATCCGCCACGCGTATTCGCCGCCGAAGCGGCAAAAGCTATGCGGCTCTAGCTCGTTCCAAAAAATAGCAGAGGTTGTAGATCTTTCTCGCTCTCTTAATATAACTACATATATGCTTGCATATAAATATGATCACCTGTAATACTTGGAGTACGTTTCTGCCCACTTCTTGTCGAGGTCCGCCTTCTGCTGCTGCACCGGAAGCTCACAGAGCAGATCGTAGCTCTCCCGTTTGAGCCTCTGCTTCACGCGCTGCCTCACTGCTGCGCACTGGGCACTCCTGTGGAAAGCTGTGCTGTATAAGGGGCCCCCCGAGGCCCCCCGGTTGCAGGGGGTCGCTGCGCGCTTCGCCAAAGGAGCACGCAAGGTTCTGAAACCGTAAACGACACACAGAGGATAGCAGCACCACAAATCGCCTAATTTAAGGATAAGAGGAGCAATAAGAGAAGATGCATCTTCCACGTGGAAATGGTTTAGCAATCCCGCGTGCCACGAAAAATAGTTTCGCTGCAGCCTACCCCCTAAGGCCATGGCGCCGCAGGGCCCCACCAGACCCTTGGCCTGCTGCTGCCTCGTGCCCATGCGGCGGCGTCTGCTGCTGTGCGGTGTCTGGACACCCCACGGCACCGTCGCTCGGCCTCCAGTCCCTTCGTCCCGCGCTGACGGGCGTTTCCTGCACAAGCTCGGGGGCAGGCTCCGGCAGAACTGCTGCCAGGGCCAAGATCTCCGTTAGTCTGCAAAGCACCACACCCCGTAAACCCTACACGTACGAAACGTCAAACCCCTTTTCGACATGACCTGCCTGCCGAAAGCTGCGGGCAGCGCGCGCTGCCAGCGGATAGTCTTTCTAGCGAATATAAAAGCCGCCGTAAAGCGGGTGCACACTGGAAAACGGCTGGCGTTGGCAGGTCCACACGGGCAAGAGGTGGCTCTTAACGCGCTACGTAAGTCCAAATACACATCTCGCGAGCAGGGTAACCGAAGCCCCTTCCCACCTGGCGGCCTGAGTCTTTGTTTCCTTCAACACCCGTCTAAAGCATTCGGCACAAGGAACGCCGGGAGGAGCTGTGTGGAGGGAGATTGAGCCCATGCCTCCCGAGGCCACACCCGATAGGGAGGAAGAGGACGTCGCCGCGCGGAGCTGCTGCGGCTCTAATTCCACGAGACCTGCTGATGCTGCTGCCCCCTGGGACGAGGGGTACAGCATCTCTGGAGAGACAATTCCCAGATCCACCGCCAACTTGAGGCACACTACGTCCCGCAACTGGGAGAAGGATGTGGCGGGGTCTTCCACCGTGAACTGTGCAGCACAGAAGGAACGGCCGTATCAGCAGCGTTCCCAGTACATGCGGCAGCAGCGACTGCAAACGCCCCAGCAGCAGCAGCAGGAGTCGTTACAGCAGCAGGAGTCGTTGCAGCAGCAGCAGCAGCAGGAAGGGTTGCGGCAGCAGCAGCAGCAGGAGTCGCTACAGCAGCAGGAAGGGTTGCGGCAGCAGCAGGAGTCGTTACAGCAGCAGCAGCAGGAAGGGTTGCGGCAGCAGCAGCAGCAGGAGTCGTTACAGCACCAGCACCAGCAGTAGTTACAGCAGCGGCGAAGAGGCCCGCGCGGGGGTGGGCGTCCCTTAGGCACCTCGATAACTTTGGGGTCAAGTATGATATCTTGGTAGACGAACTCCAGCGTCCGCATCCCAATGCCTAAGCCCACCACAGTTACATTTATGGGGGCCGCTGGTTAGTGCCTGCAGTCTCTCTCTATGTGTGGCGGTGTCTGAGAGAGGGCCTCTTAGTTTCGCCTCGCCTGGAGGCACTAGCAGCAGCAAGCGCAGCCCAGCATCCGCAGCAGCAGAAACTCTTCGAGATCGCCAGCAGCCCTGACCTTTGCTTTGCACGTGTGGGAAGACAAGGCACTGACTGAGGCGGCGCCTGTACCCGGTGAGAGCGTAGAAAGTGTACAGCGTGATGATACCGGCGAGCTCACACGGGCCCTCTGGTGGCCTCGCTGCCCCACTCTTTTCCGATTCTTCTCGCTTGCATCGACCTTCCACTGCGGCAGCACCCAGTGTCTCTTGCTTACCAGGGCGTGCATGCGCTCCTGTTGCCGCTGCGACGCCGCTGTCTGCTGCGGCTGCCAAAGGCGTTGCAGCAACGGCAGCCTTCTCTCTCTTAGGCCCCCGGCCGCCTGCTCCCGCTTTCTTACTGTTTACGCGCTGCTGAGGGGCCCCTGCCGCAGCTGCGGAAGCAACAGCCGCCATGTCGGCAGCAAGAGCAGCGGAAGCATCGGGATAAGCCGCAAAAACAGGGGGCGCTGTATAGGCGGCCCTTCCCCTGCCTTCCGCAGCCTCAGCGTCCCCTTCAGACACGGGCAATCCCACCAGACATCCCGAAGCATCCGCGCGCGAACGCATCTCTTGTACGCGCTTTCTGAAGCAAGAGTGAGCAACACAGCCGCAAGTATCGAGCAACGTCTACAGCTGCAGCGCACCCGGCAGCCCCCCGCTGGTGGCTACAGGCTGCCGGTGTGTCTGCACGTATCCGAAAAAAGAGTGATCCTTTTGGAAAAAAACAAGCGTGTGCAGTCGAGAGTTCAAATGCCAGTCTCTCACCGTGCCGTTTCCCGCAGGCTCTTCTCTAGAGGCTCATGAGACGCTTTCGCAAGGTCTCTATCGGAGAGGTAGCATAGGTAAGGCAGCAGCACCACCCATTGGGGGTCAGGATGGATCGAAGACGCCGATTCAATAAACCAATGCAAAAACCACTCTACTCGTCTGCACGCATGCCAAACACGCTGTAGCCTCAGCAGTAAGGCCAGCTACACACCCCTAAGAGAATGCCGCAAGAGGGGGGTTTGAAGGACGCTCCCTTAGGGTGCCTCCATCGCATGCCCGCGCCGCTGTCAATGCATACAGTCCGAGGCGCAAAAGCTAGCGCGTATGGACCTTTCGCGCATAGATCACATACCTATACGCTAATTTACATTTCGGTGCATGGGGATCGGCTATTGGTATGTTACTGGATGAGGCTTTTTTGTATCGCACCTGTGAAGGGCCGCAAAGGCCTTTCCGCTTTCTGTAGAGGAGAAGACACACTCCCGTATCTGCAACAGCACTCTGCTGCCGTTGCTCGCTGGGGAGGGGAAGAGCACTTGAGACCGCACGCGTCCAGGGGGCTTAAAGCTGGCGCTCTGCGAAGGCAGCAACAGCAACAAATAACGGCAGAAGGCGGTGTGGTGGTATGTATGTCTGTATGTAGGGTGTAAGTATGTGTATAGGTGGATGTGTACGGGTAGATGTGTATGCATGGGTGTAATCTAATGCAGCCCCTTGAGTTCTGCAGGGCCAAAGAAGCAGCATCTCAGCAAGAGCTGCAGCGGCTCCCATTATGGGAGGAAGGGCAGCCAGCAGCAATACTGCCACCATCACCATCCTTTCGGGGCAAGCATCAGCGCAAGACCTCTTTGACTTTTTGCTCAAATTCCTCGGGAGTGGTGCAGACGTCTCCTGGGAAGGGCACCTGTTTGGTGAGTGCCTGCATGAGAGCGTTTTCAATGGACTTGGGGTTGGTGGCTTTGCTGCTGACCACCCCATCGAGCTGGATGTACACATGAAAGGTGGTTGGGGTGAAGAAGACTTTCACGCAGACACTGTCGTAACCCACAATCTTCTCGTCGGAAGGGAAAAAATGATGGCAGAAGAGCGGTGTGAAAGAGGTAGACCCCCCCGAACGGAATACGTCCACTGACGAGACAGGAACGAATAACACCCGCGGCAGTGCAGCCAACCGAGGCAATGCCTCAGTCCCGCCATCCACCCCCATCCCCAAAAGGCGCAATTCAAGTTCTGCAAAGCACCATGAATGCCGAATCGTCATGCAACGGGGTGCTTCTAGGACAGGCACACACAGCGCATCGCGGCTGCGGCCCTCCACACTCCAAGAGCCAAGAGTCGGGAAGGCGTATACCGGCAAGATCAAAGAACTTTTCTCCGAATTTACCTTAGAGATCTCTCCTTCCAGCCAAAGGGTGCGGAGGGCCCCTCCAGGGTACGAACGGAACCCGCATGCGCCAACCCCCGGGCCCGCCTTGCTGGGGGCCCCCCTTCTGCCCCCCTCTCAGAGAGGCAGCGGATGGATCGACTTCTTCGAGTTTTGGAGATAATTGGCAGACAGGCCGCCCTTGGAACTCTGTACTTCATAACATTGGAGCGCCAGCCAGTGCGTTTCTTAGCTGTATCGACGCCTCGGAGAAGATCGACGGGAGACTGCACGCCGCCGACTGGCGAAATACTTCTCAAAGGACACGGTTCAACAGGTTACTCAGCATTCGGCGTTATAGAAGCACAGCAATCTAGAGCTCCTCTTCGGTCTTGTTTTGCTGCCTCTCCTGCTCCCCGGGTGGAAGTGCCTGCCTGCCTGCTTCAGGAGTCACAGCAAGAGCAGCTGCTGCAGCAGCAGCTGCTCTTGCGTCTTCCACGCGCCTCCTTCGTTCCCTGACCTCTTTTATGGCTGCCCCCCCGCAGACCTCGCGGCTTCCGCAGGCGCCTGCTGGAGGAGCAGCGGCAGCCTCGGAAGATGTTGGGGCCGCTGCAACTCCCCTACACTGTAATCCATACAGGAGCGGCCAGCCGTGTGCTGCATTTTCGCCCCCTTTAAGGCTTTTGCTTGGCCCTTCTCCACCTCCGTCCTCTGCTAGCCCAAATGTTGGGCCCTTCTCGAAGCGAGGGGAGCTCATGCTCTTCTCTGACAGGAGCAGCCTTCCAGAGGCACTCCTCAGGTTCGACTTTTCGCGACAGTGCAGCGCCTGCGGAAGCGTGCCGCTGCTCTGCCGCTGCAAGACTCGCGGCAACTGCAGCTCCAGCATCCCTGCCAGCAAAGCCACCGAGTGCAAAGCTATACTGGGGGGCCCCGCAGCTGCGAGGATACGAAAGGAGCAACAGCTGCAGCAGCAGGCCTCCTTGTTGCGGACTACGCTACGCTGCTGTGTGGGGCAGCAGCTCAAGTGTCTGCTGACCAACGGCTGGTGGGCTGAAGGGAAGCTACAGGCTCTGCGTGTTGCTCGCATCCGCAACACCAGCGGAAGGGGCTGCCGCCGTCCTAGGCAGGTGCTGCTGCTGCTGCTTTTTGAACCTCTTGTACTGCAAAGGAAAAGCTACCCAGGCCGCCCTAGCGAAAAAGGCCTTCACTTCGCTTCCGGCTGTCTCCGTGTAGCTGAAGCCTGCATCATTAGCCCCGGCAGCAGCGGCAACGGCGATATCACCCTTCGAGCAACACGGGCTGCAGCGAATGCTGTCAAGAACGCAGTGTTTGACACAGCGGCCTCCTTAGGGTCTTGCGCAAGGGCCCCAAAGGGGATTGCAGAAGCTGCCTGAGCGCCTCCAGACAAAGGCACTGAAAAGCACTTTGCATAGTCCAGGAGACTTATTTACGTATTTATATATATATATATATATTGCCTAGCGGTACCGCAGAAGCGGTGTGGCTTTGTGGGTTGCCGAGTGCTCCGAGAGTTGCTTCAAGCGCCTGGTGCAATGCCGTCCGTGCACGTGCGCATCTAGATGGCGCAGTGGAGTCAAATAGGTCAACGGTTTATCTCTAGTCATAGTAACGGTGCCACACCTGCGAGACGCTCGTCTTGCTTGGCTAAAAGAGCAGTGTTAGCTCTTTTCCCTTTGGCTGCAAGCTGCGTTGAGGGTCAACGCAGAGGACGCCGCATCAACGACTAATATTACTCGATAATGGCGGGCAGTGACCGTGGACTTTTGATAAACGCTGTCATGAGTGCCACTGCTGCCTAGCATGGTACAGAGCCGCCTTACGCACGCGTGCTGAGACCAGTGGGATGTTTATACGTACGTTGAGACATCTTCTGTACACGCTGCCCACTATGGAGCGTCACGCTCCCCCAAAGCCCGCTAAGTTTTCACAGACGCTTTTTGGAAGGTAGAGGAGCCATGGTATGTCTTTTTTTCCAGCACACACAAACATCACAGGCGGAAAGTAAAAGGCTTCTGCCCCCTTAACGACCGTTACGCCTTCACAAATCTAAGGGGCTTTTTGCAAATATCCAGCACCCCAACGTTGCAGAAGTTGGGAAAGTGCACACATTGGATGTCGAGTTTCATAGTGGGATGTCCCGAGCGAGTACTTTTTCAGTCAACTTCTGCGGCATGTTGCACAAAGATGAGAAACATTGGCATTGCACTGTTTTAACAACCGAACGAGAGGCTTCTGCATAATCGGTGGTTCAAAAGTGCCGTACAATAGGAATGAGCCCATAGTAATGGAGTTGGTGCCTTGGCCATTCTGTAGCAAGGCTACGAGCTGGGTACATACACCCACGCACCTATGTTGCTTCCTATTGTAGCTCGCGGGTCTTTTTGGTTCCCAGTGCGCAAGCTGTCCATGCCTTAAAACCCACTGATGCGTCTCCTTCCCAGTAATGAGCATGTGCATTCCTGCATTTCCATGAGCAGCACTTTTTGTTGGGAGCCTCTACGTTGCAGGTCTGAGGCATTTTAAAGCCAACCTGTCCATACCGCCACTGCTGGTTGCATTTTCTGAACTTACAGCCATATCACGGGCAGCCTGCAAGTAACTCTTCCTGCACTGCCTGTTCAAACGCTTCGGCGAAGAGTCCGAAAGTCCCTCTTAATGGAAAATGAGGGGCAGATCAGCCTACTAGGCCAAGCGTGCAAGTGCTGCTTGAGGCGGTAACCGCAGCCACCGTGGTACAGGCCTGCCGAACCTACAGACGCTCTTTCTGCGGGGTTCGCTACGGTTAAAGTCTCTTAATGGAATTACGGGAGCTTGCCGAAGGGGAAAAGGATTATTAAGACCTCACAATTTCACTCTTCCACCTGCATGATTCCTCGTAAACTAAACGAACCGTATTTTATGTACGTGTACAAGGTATCAGAAGGCATGTGCTTCCCTTCACGGTCAGCAGAAGAGTGCTTTGGCTCTATCCTTGCTCTCCTTGGATTCCAACAATGCAAATCGATGCGTTTAGTGCAGAGCTACTGTATAATAGATCTTGAGTTAGCTCCTATTATCGGCCCTAATGGCGATAAAACTCTGAGGAGGCGCAAGTTCCATTAGATTCGCAGATCGCTTTTAACCCTCCAATTTTCGAGGGGACGTTGGACAAAGTTTGGGCATGAACGCTTGCAGCTCACGCCCTGGCTAAAAATGCTTCGAAGATTAGTAGAAAAGTGAGTGAGGCTTCAAATGAAACGCCACGCTAGATGACACCGACCAGGCTAAAAGCTTAAGTGTTCATTATCTTGGGGAGACACTATGGTAGTGCAGAAAGTATGCTGGCATTCTGGTGCTGCGGTCATTGCCCCAACAAGGTCAGGCGTAAGATGGCCCCTTTAGACTGTTACAACTTTGCACGACCATGCCACTAAAGATTGCGATGAATGAAACAACACTTTAGGCAGTGAAAATTTCAGCTTAGTCGCCAAACGCAGGTTAGACTTCCAGAGGAAGTAAAATATACCGCTGGCTTAGTATTTGCTGCTGTACAAGCAGCCATACAGTTTGTTGTCCGCATTGCTCCATCTTACCGGCTGCTCCATGCTTTTGCTGTCTCTCTTGCTTGCCTCTAAAGCTGTATAGGACGAGGACGCCCGAAAACACTTCATGCAATACATCATGTGTCAAGCTTAGTCGAATGCATTGCGTACTGTTGCAGCCTCATCATGATTCGGAGCAGCCTTGCAAGAAGCTCACGGGGTCTCCTGAGAGACTGAGAGTACATTGTTGCCATACAGGCAACACAAAGGTGGGTCATCACCAGCAGGCGTGCGACAAAGTGCTCTTCATCAACGTCCTTCAGAAAATTTCACGTAGGATACAGCGGGCTGTGCTACACTTGGGCATTCTCAGCTAAACTGGTTGTATTCAAGCAGTAATTTCGATTGGAATAGGTAATTGGATTATTTGCTTGTGAATGTGATTGATTGCGAAATGGCGTTAGCTCAATACAGTCATAACCAATGGTGTGCGATTTTGCGACCGATACCATACGCAACTAGCACTGGATGTCTGCATTGCTGAGAGGGCGCAACAACGCACACTCTGGCTGCCTCTTTTCCCTACATCGGATCCCTGAAGGGACAAGGCAGGAGAAGCGGGAACTTCCTCAAAAGAGTATGCAATTACTTTTCCTTGACATGTGTAGAGCTGTGGGTGAGTATCTCCCTGCGGAGACTTCAAATCAAGTCTTAGGCGCGGGGTCTCAAGGAGAGCCAAAGGCGATGCTACCACTTTTAGTGAGTGCTTCTGCTATATCGTTCTGTTTTGCATGCAATGATGCTGCCGGGCAGGCGACACTATAGGTATGGTTTTCCCTACTTCAAAAGTTCCTCGGTGTCCTTAGTGATGCTGCTACTGCCCTTGACGAGACGGCCCCTTGAGTGCCCCCAGCAGCCTCTCAAGCTACACTGCACTGCAGCAGAGGTGGTTGTGTCCGTACTGCATTGGTAAGAATCGAACCCTGGGCAAGCATTGGTCGTGGGGAGCGGGCAAATATTCCCCTCTCTATCTGCTTTTTTGCTCTGTAACTAGCTAAGTTGCAGCTGGAGAGACCACAACAACACGAGACCATGCTGCTCAAAGAGGAAACAGAAGGGGCTTGAAAGAATCTCTGTTATGAGGGGGCCCTCCAGTAGGCCTCAGATCAGCTCAGGGTCGAACCTGCAGCCAGCCCCAGCACGAGCAACGACATGGTGTAGGTGGAGCCGCACAGAGGCAGGGAGAAAAAAAGTCTGTTGAACTGAAACAGATCAAGTTTGCTCTGAAGGACGGGTCTTGTCGTTGGCTTTCCTGCCTCTCCGCACTTTCGAGTGTATGTTCATTCAGAAGCCGCATGCTTTAGGGGTGGGGGGCCTTCCTTTTTGCAGGCATATGACCCTCTGCTTTGTTCCTTTACGTTTCCTTCACGATTAGAAGTTTTCTTTCCTTAGTCGGCCCAGAGAAATGGCGAAAGTCGCCTCCGTTGGCATTCCAGTAAAGCTCCTCCATGAGGGGCTAGGCCACACCATTACCGTCGAAACGAAATCCGGTATGTACGCCCCCAAAGTGCACCTCTATCCAACAAAGGACTGCTCTTCAGATACAGCTATGCGTTTATTGGGTATCTTTGGGAATAGAGAGAACCCCCCTTACAGCCACAGCAGCGGACAGAAACCATGTAGACTGCGACCGGAGGCGTACAGCCCACAGCCCCTTCCTCCTCTCCTGAAACTTTTGGGAACCGTGATTCATGGGAAATCTGATTGCGCTGGAGTGCATTGCGCCACTGACGCATAGATAGGGACTGGATGGTTACATTCTAAGGTGCACGAGTGAAATGAGCTCTCCATACGGCTTTCGTAATGAAGAATACGGGCCGCATGGCATGTCGCGTGAACCCCCACCAGAAAATGTATTATTTAGGGCTGTGAGTAGTGAGGGACTTCCTGATATTTGGTCGCATATTGATTCGGGCGTAGGGCTAAAGGCTTCGGGCTGTGTGTTTGTATTCAGGGTCGCTGTACCGCGGGATTTTGGAGAATGCAGAGGATAATATGAACATTTTGGTCCAGGGTGTGACTGTTACTTACAAGGATGGCAAGGTCCTGAATCTGGAGCAAGTCTACATCCGAGGCAGCCAAGTAGGTTTCGAGAGTGTAGGGACACGGAATGCCGGTGCGTGTTCATCGTTTGCCGCCGTGGCGTTTGTTTGCTTGAAAAAGAGTGAAAATGGGTGTATACTACTGCGGCGCATTTTCGCTTTATTGCTTTTTGGTTGTTCATAGGTAATGCGCACAAGGCAGTAGGGTTAGGGGGACACTTTGGGGTGGACCTGGCAGTTTCTGCCTTAAGACCTCTAGCCTTCTGGTTTATCTCTTTTGAAGCCCATGCCATTCGTTTTATCGCATGCGTGCTACTGTAGGCCACTTACTTGAGATCGCTGAGCCTGGCATATATATATATGTAGCCTTGGGGGGGCCCGCCCTTGGGTGTAGGTGGGGTCGCCTGTCGCCCCCGTGTTTTTGATTTTCTGGTTTCGTCTGGTGTGTTTTTGCATTTGAGCTTCATGGAGGCTGCGCCGACTACTCCTGTTGTCTGTACAGGTGCAAATGGTTATTTTCCCGGATATGTTGCGGCATGCCCCAATGTTCAAGTTGCAAGACAGAAGCAAGGGGCGGAGGCCTCTGGGTCTTGTTGGGGTGCGCAGGGCGATGAACATGAGGAATGCGAGAGGACGTGGTCCTAGAGGCAGGGGAAGGGGTGGTCTTTAAGTTTTGCAATACACGGATGGACTCGCATAAGGCTTTGGGGTCGCATCGCACAGTAGAGGGGCTCGCGCTGCTTGTCGGCGGCACTGCAACAACGCGTAGGGAGAGTTTCTCATGAGAGCGCCTCCGATGGGCGCATCGAATACGGCTGCACTGGGTGTAGTCTCAGGGGACTTGCAAACGTTGGTGGCTAGAGGCGGTTCCTTTAGGAAGAAGGGCCTCTAGAAGGGGCGACCGGGGGAAAAGGGAAGAAAGGATGGGACTGTATGTTTCTGTCGGCCTTTTAAGGCAGCGAAAAGAGCTGGTGTTGTAGATGTTCTGAGAGGGCGATGATCTAGTGTCTTGGCTACTGTCGTGTAGCCTGAGCAGGCCTCATGACGCGCACGGGCGCCTGCGGGGGAGGGGAAGTAGTAGCGACCCGGCAAGCCTGGGGCTTCCGCGTGGCATTCAACATCTGGATAGACAAGGTGTGGCCTAGCAGCAGCACTTGGTTGTTACTGCTGCTAGGCGAGCCTGCAGCAGCACCGCATACTCGCGGTATGGCTGTGGTGCTGTTGCTGCTGCTCTTGCGGACAATGGTGTACTGCCTCCCCCTTCCTGGCCTTCTTGAACCCTAGTTTCTCACCTAGCCTGTCTCGCAACTCTGAGGGTCAGCGACACTCTCTCCTTGGCTGTCTCTGTACTCAGGAGCATCCTGTTAGAGGGGATGCTCCCATTCTGGGGCACACAGCCGTGCCACAAAAAGGTGTAAGCCCTTGTTCCGAGGAAGCTTGTAGAGAGCAGGCCATTAGCTCGACGACTTACACATTGAGTGCCTTCTCGGGGGTTCAGTGTCAGGGCAGGGGAACAGGGGGCAGCGCCAAAACTGCAGCAGCATAGCAGGCATGTTAATAGGGCAGACGACTGGCCTTACCTCCTGCGTGGCGATACGTTCAAGAGATTTGAGGACGAGGGACTCTCCCCTCAGGCCACCCTTGATTGCATCACCAAGGGGTTCAATGGGGCGCCATAAAGGTAGTGTCAGTGCATAGTCCCCTGCTCACCCCAAACATGTAACTAGGCAGGTTGGTACGGCATAGGCAGCTGTGTAGAAGAAGGGGTGCTGGGACAAGTCGGTCCGGCTTGTGCGATCGCTACTTGAGCTGCTCGTACACTAGGTTGCCAGCTAGCTGGTCTGGACAGGGCTTGCCTGCGATTAGGGGGATGTTGGCGAATCCATATCCCAAGACACGCTTGCGGCCCAGAGGCGAAACCAGGATGGCCTTCACGCAGGAGACAAGTGGAGGGAAAGACGATGAGGGCAAACCCGACACAACACTCAGGGGAAGGACAGCCTACGCCACACGCCACTGAGAATTCGAGACGTAGAAACACGACAAACAGGTACAGAGAAAACAGCAGGGGGATTATACTTCTCATGTTAGCGATAATTAAAGGAAGGGAGGGCTACGGAGCCTGGGAAAGGTGTTTCGAGTAAAGGTACACGCGGAGTTTGGACCAGTTGCTAAATTGAGATGCATACACTTGAAAGGAGGGTGACAGAAAACACAGTCGGCGCCGCCGCAGTATGACGCACACCTCAGCCTATGGAGACAGGATAGAAAATCGGGAGATTTCGAGTGACAATCTAGGATTTTGGTTGAGGCGTGCAGGCCTTCGGCTGAGGCACAACCCAATTCACCTCTAGGTAGATGCGTGGAGGACTCCCGGGAAGCTCTAAATCGGGAATCTGCCCCATGTAGCCTTTGAAGACAACGCTAACTGTCTGCGCATAGGCCCCAAAACTTTCTCGTCCAAACATTGAAATATGAGTGAATTCCATGAGACCGGGGGCAGCAAAACGAGTCTTATTTTGGTAGTGGACTAGCAAACTCGACTTCTTTTGTCTACCGCCGGGGATTGAACTTGGCATCTACGTCGAGACTAAAGCTGTGTGGCTCGCCTCGCCAAATGCAGCAACGCCGTCTCCCTTGCCCTTGATACTGATTGCCGTGCGGCCTTCCAATCTGAGGGCTCAGCGCACATTGAAGTGTAAATCTTTAGGCGCTACGGAAGATCATGAAAATATGTAGAGTTTGAGGGATGCACTGGACTTGATGCTTGGGAAAAACAATACCCTAGTCCACCCTTGGAATCTTTAATTGAGGTCCCTAGCATATGGGCCAGGCTCAATGGCTTAGACGTTTCGGCTTCTCACGACTTTCTGTCGCTTGAAAAAATCAGAGAGGCACCTCCCACCTCCTCAGCAACCCAGTCTGAACTCGTTACACCCAAGCGTCACTTGCGGCTGCAGCATCTTCCCCTAGGGCCTCTCTGCTAAGACAAAGGGTTAAGGGCCTGCGTTGAATTTTGGCTCTGTCTCACTGCCTTCAGGGGCGACGACCAAGTATCGGAGGAATCTGAGGTGAAGACCAGTCAAATAGGCAAAAGGTTTATAATTCAGGTTGCGCGCTTATAGACTTCGAGTCTTGGGTTTGGTGTCTGCGCTTACACTGCGTGGGGAAGCAGGCGCTCCCATAAAGTGCTCCAGAAACTTGAATTTCGATACAGCTTAGACACTGCGAGGCACAATAAGAGGGTCCAATTCCCTTCCAAGTCAACCTCAACGTACTTAAGCACATGCCTCCTGTACAGACGAAAATACTTTCCCCCAGCCAACGCAACCGCAACGGGAATGCCACTTTTTGGGGGGCCAAAAACAAATTACATACGGAAAAGCGACACCTTCGTGGGCTCCGTTTCAAATCCTTGCGATACCCCAGACTCCTGGAATATCTCGGAGGAGCCCACGCATTCAATGGAAATGCCGACTGATACAAACAGAGAGTTTTGCGACCTGCCGAGTAGACGGCCGAGGCTTTCAGCGTGATTTTGCAAGTTCACGGGAATCCCGCAAACTGAGGGCTTCGCTGCACAGGGAGACGCCTGCAAAGCAGGCAAACGCTGAGGAACTCCACACCCAAGACGTACATCCGGAGCCTCTGAAGAGGGGACCTGGGTTACGCGCACTTCGAAAATCCTGCCCTACGGAAGAAGAGAGAGGGGAGACAGACAATGCCCCTGGCTATCATCTGTGCGCAATTCCTGCTGCTTGATAGCACGCTCATTCAATACATACTCATCATTTCCATATGTCCATGCATATAGCCGAAGAAATACCCATTCGCTTCGGATTGAAGGAGTCACATTTACACGTGCCTCTCGAAGTCTACACCAAAGGCGCCAGATTTGATAAAACGTTGAGAGGCTTGCAAAACTAGATGCATGTGTGCGTCAGGACCTTCGGGGGAATCAGGCAGATATGCAGTGCGAGAGGCACCAGGAGGGAGAGAGAGCCAAGGCACAGAATTGGATGGGGACTAGGCTATGTGGGTCACAGAGATAGCAGAAGTGTGGGAAGAAGCCATGGGGATCCTTCGCTTTCAGCTTACTTTTGGGCTGAGGCATCGATGCCATTGTCCTTGTGTGATGTCCGGCTGCAACCGAGCAGTGGCGGAAGCAGAGTAACCGGTGACAGCAACCGCATTAGAATGCAACAGTTTCTGAGAGACTTTTGAAGAAGGCCTATTATTTACGCATACCGTGATTTGCTGATGGACGGCTGATACTTGAACAAAGAATGGGGAGAGATGGAAATATAGAGAGACAAGCAGATGCGGAAAAGCAAGAATGAAGGGAAAGATGCGGAGCAAGACAGGAACGCGAGAGTGAGGAACTGATGCGCATGCTATAAGTCCACCTCGACGTAAAAGAGTCTTTGGCGAGGGAGAAAACAGCAGCGGCACAATAGCACATCTTCGTTTTCGATGTTCCTGGCCAAATAGGGTGACAGCAGATATAGTAATTACATAGGGTTTTTAGAGAAAATCAAGAGAACTAAAAGAATCTCAGGTGAAAAGACAGTTACGAGGAAATGTCTCGTGGAAAGTGAATGACCCTCAAAGATCGTACAGGACTACGAGCTTCATGTAGTAGAGGCGGATTATAGGGGAAGAATACATTAAAAGAGGAGGCTCGAGCAGCCAGATGCACAGCTGTACAGGCAGACGAGATTAAAACGCCACAAATGACGCTGCAGACAAGCAGAGAGGGGGGATGTGAGAGAAGCATGATACGGGAGCCCCTTACCCCATTCCCTCTAGCTGTGCCATAATGAAAAAGGATTGCTTCTGTTGGGCATCAGCAGGCGGCTCCAGAGGAAACAAAGTCTCTAAAAGGGCCATGTGCAGACATACGGGGAGCCTGCAGCAAACAGTACCTATACGGAAGCCAGAAACAGTACTCTGTTGGACCGACTCTCTACCGTCTACGCTCTCGGACGTAATTGCTTACGCAAGGTTTCCGCCACCAGTCCGCTGCATCCGGAGGAAGAGAAAGGGAAGTGTTTCTCTTATGTCTCCGTCGGTGTAGGTGTAGATACACCTCTTCACCTCCTCTTCCGCGGTTGACCAAGGCACCTCAGTGTTCCTTTGTGCTGCAGCGAGCAACTCCTGGTGATACCCAGCAATGCGAGGACAAGACTGTTGCACATGCACTCCCATTGGCTGCATGTACATCCCGCGTTCCCTGATAATACCAATGGCAATAACAGCAACAGTGGTATGTATACATATATATGTGTGCAGAAACCGTACGTTGCGTAGCTGGGTGTCGTAAACAATTACCAGCAATAAGCCTTATAGCTCTCTAGCTCCTCTGAAATGAGAGTAAGGAATGCAACCAGAAGTTTCGGGGGCATTTTCTAACAAACAGTTGCCATTTTCTCGGCGTCTAAGAAGCAAACAATGCCTTTGGGGAAAGATACACAGAAGGGTTGTTTTGGGGTTTTTCTACATCACTCGCATATACCCTGTTCCTACGTGCCTGCAGAGGACGAGCATCTCTCGTTCTCTTATTGGTCTTTTCTTTGGACTTAACGTGCGCAGCTATCCGTCTCTTTCCTTCGCTCTAGATATTTCGGCACAGCTATTTGTATCCATGCTGCTAAATCTCGTGATGTTACTAAGCAATTTGCAGAGGTGGTCCCCCGTCTGCCCACGTACTTTTGACTAAATACCTTTTGCTGCCATTGCACAGTCAGTGTCTCTTCTTTCCACATATCATCGGGTATGTGCGCATGTGATAGCAACTGTGGAAACTCATGGGCTTCCTTAGTGAGCTGCCTAAGCTGCACCTTCAAGAGGACACCCTCAAGGGTGTCTACGTCATTGCAAAGGAATCCTAATGGCTTATCTTCCATAGTTACGAAAAGTGCAGATGAGGGGGAACCAAGGCACTGATGAAGCTTGCATACACCGGCAGCAGCTAGACCGCGGCTCAGGCGGTGCTCCTGTGGTTGATCTAGTGCAGGGACAAATTAAGGTAGGGCCACATATCCAAAACGTCTGGAGGATATGTGCCATATAGTTGGGGAAAGGGGAAACACACTCTATACAAGGGCGTAGCTGGACGAGATGAACCACCCGCATACGCGCAGGCAGAGGTGTACAAAAACTCCGGACCTAACCACACAGCCAGACACCCCTCCTATGTGTCTGATAGCATCTGTTTGCTTCTTTAAAAGATAATTAATTAACAAGTAAATTATGTGTACGAATTTAATCCCAGGAAAAGCCTGGAGTCGCTCGCTGGCGTGGGGCTACTGGCGCCCAACGGGTGCCCTCATCATGAGGCAAGAAAACAGGGAGAAATTGGCAAGCTGCGCCCAAAACGGAGTAGGAAATAAACGAAACTATGCCAGTATTTTATAGCGTATACCTTTCGAAGGGGGTGAAGAGGATCTCATGCAGCCGTTTCTTGTAGAGGGGGTGGGGTGTTCCAGTGTGCAAAAAGTTGCCACAGAGGTAAGTGCAACTCTTTTCCTCTAAGTGTCTAAGCACTGCATAAGCTAGCAGCTACTGGTATATTATATGAGTCCTTGAGAGTCTCTGTAGTCAAATATTCATTGATACCCTACTTAAGTCGATGAAAAAATCTATCACTGGTCCACCAGTGCGGAGCTTGTACAAGCCACACTGCATTTGTACCCTTGCATACATGGCTTATCCTTCAAAGCAATATATACAACCATATATAAAATGACGCTGAATTTTGCTTGCGGATCCCGCCATGATGCGCTTCTACACAGTCACCTAGAGACATAACTCCTGAACTTGATGACAACCCTGGCAAAGCAGTGTACTCCCCAAACCTTCAAGTCATTCCCATACCCCCGTATTTTTCTACGGCAGACCGACTAAATTCGGTACTACGCCATACACCGTAGGTTCTAGCCCCCCAAACCTCAGTCGTCTTTTGTGACGAAAGTTGCGCCCTTAAAATACGGCCGAAGGGGAGGGGGCAGTCTGATGGCCAGCTCGCCGTTAGGCATTAAGCGCTGCAAAAACAATATGGCGACATAGGCTAGGCAAAAACCAAACACTACAGCAATGCACAAGTAGAGCCCAGAAGTGGAAACAGGAAACTGGAGGGTGATTCGGGCAGGCATCCAGCCTTGGGAGGACTTCATGCCCCCATGGTGACTTCCTGAGCCTTTAAAGCTGGAATGCAGGGTAGAAACTTTATTGGGTATAGGATTGCGGACGCACTTTGTGATTTTCCACAAGGGCTGCAAGGGTTCTCCCAACAGCAAGGGCAGAAGCGTTCAGCGTGTGGCAGTACTGAGGCCGCTGCTTCTGTTGCCGCACCCCGTCGTGCTGCCCCTGTTGCTGTTGCTTCGTGGCTGACACTCGCGCGTCCTTGAAGCGGATATTCAGGCGGCGGGCCTGCATAAAAAAGAAGAGAGCAGTGCGTGCATGCGAATGCAGTGTACCTTATCCTAAGTTTCGAGATAACACCTCGCTTATTTGAGGCGATGCAAAACTTCTGCAGCAGGATAGCAGAATCAAACGCTCAACAGCTCCACCTGAACGAACAGGAGCAGTATAGGCGCGAGCAGGAACAACGAAAGCGTTGAGAGCCACAGTTGCAATAAAAGTTTCAGCACCTGGTGCAGTGGCCGTGCAAATCACCTGGTAGTCTCGGCAGTTAGAAATGGAAGAGACCTCAAGGAACCTTCCAAGAGCGGGCATCCAGACCTATAGACAGAGATGTGTAAAATCGGATGTCGGTGCAACCCAGCAGCCCGATAATGAGGAGGGTCGAAGTAGCAAAGATGCATCCCCGTGACCTACTTGAATACGCCAAATGCATCTAAAAGAGGGGAGGGAAAAACCCAATGACAGGCACAATGACCCCCCAGCAAATGACCAGGTATTCATCTATTACATGCGAGTAAAAGCATTGCGTGCCATAGCAATAATCCGCGTGCTCAAGTCACATTGCCTTCTAGACAGGAAGGCAGCCAAAACAGCATTGCAGGATGGGGTTGAGCATGCACCCGTTTGCTCAGCAACTGCACCCGCTTAACAGCGCATTCCTACCTCTACATCGAAGCAGAGTGCTGCAGCATTCCCCATTTCGCCGTCGCACAGCTGCACGACTCGGTAAGGCAACTCCAGCTCCCTGAACCAATATAGCAGCAGGAATGACAGTGCTCTCAACAAAAGAAAGCAACCGAGATAAGTGGAGAATCATGGTACGGATATACACAAGCATGTAGACTCTAAAGCCCAGAGACCAGAAACGCCCTCTTGTACAATTCAGGCGAAGGCCCCTTGAGAGCAGAAGGCCATCGAGCTGCAGCAAGGAGGAAAGAAGATGCAAGAACAGCAACAAGTTGACGCACTGCAGCATTTGTTCCACGTGCTGCAGGAAGGCCCAGTGTAGCGTTTCGGAGTCCTCAGGCGTACAGACAGCTGCAAGCTCTGTCTTGTAGAATGTGCGCTGCCGATACAAGCCGCGATGTTCGGACCCATAGTTCCCGTCTTCGTTGCTGCAGCAGCAGCAGCAGCGACAGCAGCGATAAGGGCAGCAGCTGGATCAACGGGGAGATAAAAAGCACGTTGTACAACAGTCTGGAGGCACTTTGTGCCCCTAGCAAACGACAGAGAGCGCCAGTTGCAGCAGAAACAGCGGCTGCAGGGGAGGGGAGGTCCTTGACACTGCTGAAAAGGGTGGTCCTTGAATGGCTGGTCCACCAGCAGCAAGAGCAGCAGCCCGCGCACACCAGAAGCCTACCGAAAGCAGGGGGTGGTTGCGGCCAGCTTGAGGGGCAGCTGGTGTCTGCGGAGCGTGCAGTTGCTGCAGCACGAGCAAGTCCAATACAGACGCAAGGCCGCCAAGACTAGGAGACCAGGCAGAAAAAGGATATCCTTTCTCCAGGCAAAGTGGGGGCGGCCCCATGAACAGAGGTAACATGAGGCAACTGGCCGTCACCCACAAAGTACACACGCCAAACAAGCAATGGAGTCCGCGTGCAGGCATGCATGCATGCATGCCGACGAGCTCTCGCGGTGGGGCCTCACGGCTCTCGTTCACGCATGCAGAGACACCTGTGCGTCGGCAGACCTCGACTTCCAGCAAAGGACTAGGCAGCTGCCTCATGGCACCCGATGGGAGCGTTCTGTTCTTGGCCTTCTGCGTACTGCTGTGCAGGCTTCATCGTGTAAAGTCAGAGCATTGATGTGCAGGCGTTGGTATTTCGCGCACCTGTAGAGCCCAATGAGGGGCACTTCTGCCGTTGGCGAGAGGTACATGGTCTCTCCTGCTGCCTGCATGCATTTCCAAAGCATCGAGAGCTGCGCTTGCCCCCAGCACAACCGCTGCGGAGCGAAGGTTCCCAAGGGGAGAAAGAAAGCAGAAGCAAGCTCACCAAGTGCCTCTGATCCAACCGGAAGGCCTCTGCCTCGAGGTGCGGCAGCTGCCCTGTCCCTTCAAGAGCAGAACGCCTTGGACCGCAAGTCGAACCGCACGCACAACAAGGCGGCATAGGGTATTGGGCATGCGGCCCGCAGCAGCGCTAGTTGCAGCAGTCGCACAAAGCATGCAAGTCTCAGCAGCAGCAATACAGCAGTAGCAACAAAATAGCGTCAGCAGATCTGAGCAGCAGCAAAACAGCTGCAGCTCACCTGAGCAGCAGCGGCGGCAATAACAATTCAAATCCGTTCCTGATCGCCGTGTCTTGGAAAAAGTTTGCGAGTGCTGCGTGTAATTGCGCTGCTGCACCCTTCAAGACACAGCACCTACGGCCCCCCACTTTCGCTGCATCCTCAAAGTTTTCCAAGGCCTCTAGAGAAGCCAGGAGCTCGAGGTGACCCTCAGGCGTGCGCTGCAGCAGGCCGCCTGGGGGGATGTAACACCGCAGCTCCTTGTTACAGGTCGCGCCACAGCCGGGTTCAACCTGTACATACACCCAAGCAGAAGCGGCAGCAGCAATGGGGGGGAGAGCGAGAGAGCAGCACGTTTCCGCGATTCTTGCAGCAGTGGCAGCAGCGGTCGTGAACGATACAGGGCAGCATATCATGGGCTTAATAAGGGAGAGAAAGAAGGAGAGGGAGGGTACAAAGGAGGAGGAAAAAGGTGGGGTATAATACTCTGGCATCCAGGCCATTGGGGAGAAGAAGTAAACGCTGCTGAAGCTGCTCCTGCAGCTCCCTTCTCTGTGCTGCTACCTCCCTGCAGCGCGCGTCAAGAGATTCCTCCTAAGCAGACAGCACACCGCCAGGTGTCTCGTCACACATTGCATGCACTGCCCAACGCGTCTGGTCGACCGTAGTATTTGGAATAGAGGTCCTATGCGGATACAAGCCGCTTGTAGCTGGACACCTAGCGGCTCAGCTTCTCCTTTTCCTGCTTCTCCTTACCTCGGCTTTCGAGGAAGCTGCGGAAGAGGGCTGAGTAGGCTCGGGCTGCTGCTGCTGCTGCTCGTGCGGGGGTGCCCTTGCTGCTTCCCTCCGCCTTCGCATGAGAGCGTTCATCTCACTTGACACCCCGCGAAGACGCCTCAGCAGCTCTGCAAACAAAATAGATGCCCCGAGTGTCTGAGCGACGAAGTTATAGGGAGGACTTGTTGGAGGAGAGACGAGGAAAGGACTGGGGTAGGGAGCGGCCTCCGAATAGGTGCGCACTTACCTGGTATGGCTTCTAAGGCATCTTGCACCTCCTTGGCAGCCCCCCGTCGCTTGAGGAGACAGCTCATTGCATCCATATTCTCGACAAGACGGCTAACATCCATTGGCTGCAGAAAGCTGTCGGGGGCTCCTGGGGGCCCCCCTCTAGGCGTGCTGCAATTTCCTGAGGAACCATCGGACAGGTCATCAAGGGATACCCCGTCTTGCAGCGAGTGCGCATCCAATGCAGAATGGAGCCGGTGCTTCTGGGAGGCAGAAAACAGAGGCGAGAACACTCGCGGCTCAAGGCGCTGGAGCTCTTCGGGCAGACAGCCATGCGCGTGCAAGAACCCTGGGATGTGTCTCGCTGGAAGGGGCAGCTTATCCGTGGTGGAAGGCAGCATTCTGCTGCCTTCCACGACTCGCGAAACGGAAGAATGCGCGCAGACCGGCGTCCTCCGGGAGGTCTGGCTGCCCCTGCATCCTGCAGAAACTGCACCGAGGCTGCTAAGCAGCAGCACCAGTACACAGAGGCGAGATGAACGCGCAAGAGTGCGCCCGTTGAAAGAGGCCCTCGGAGGGGGCCCCTCCTTTTGGGAAGCCCTCACGGGGCCCTCCAGCATGCAGGCCAAACAGAAGGCTTCCTTCCAAACGAAGGCGCGGCGCGTTTGAGCCAGCTTGCTGTGAATCCTCGCAGAGGCAAAGCCCTGAATCAGAGATGTGCGAGAAGTCACGCCGCAACCTTCTAGGAAGGTAATCAATAATACCGAAATAGATATTAGGATCGTCCAGTCATGCTGCGAAATGCAGCGATACGGTCTGGCTCGCTGCCCCCCTTGGGGGCCACTACACGAGGTCTGCTGACCCCCGGAGGTGGGGGTGTCTTGCTCTGAACGGGCCCCACCGGTGCTTATCCCTTTAAGTTCTCGGTATTTAAAATGAACAAAACAATAAAATAAGCTGGGAGGCATCAATTAGGGTTTTCCCGCTATGTTCCCCCCTCCCACAAGCCCCATCTGCGTGTGCAAGTATCATCGGCTCGACGATTGTTCGAGGGATGCAAGAAAGCCCTTTTAACGGTGCAGCAGCTGCAGGCTTGCTTGCATGAGCTTCAAAATGTGGAGTTACAGCTTCCTCGTTACGCACTACATGTATATAGGTGCTATCTGAAAGAACAACTTTGGGTGTATAGGCAGCAGCCAGCGATTGGACAAACCCCCCAAATCTAGATCGTAGCCTAGACGCTCTTACGCCACCCCTCTTTAAGTTGAGTTTTGCGCCTACAGTGAGACTCTGGTGTAAGCTGCTCGCCTTCTTCCCATCACACTTGAATGGCGAATCTGCATCGAAATGTGTGCATGGCCTCCTCTCTGCGCGCACGTTTGCGCCTCTTTCTCTGCGCAGCAGCGTGCTCTGGAGGCCTTCTCTGGAGCCTCAGGCCACCCCTAAAAGAGATATGGAGCGCTAGCAGGAAACCAGGCCGAGACCACCCTGCTGCCTCTGATGAGAGGGGGCCTCTTTCAAGAGACCCCCCAACGCTCCCCACCCCCGCAGCAACAAAGCTTTCAACTGCAGAGGATAAAAGCGGCTTTCAGGGCTCTTCGCGCTACACCGCGAGTACCCTTGCCAACTTCTGGATCCGATTGAGAAGGACATCGCCCTGAAAAATGCGGCAAACAGCCGTCAGCAGAGCAGCCACGGATAAGGGAGAAGTTTCTTGTCCTCCGCGCGTTGTTTTCGTTTTTCCGTCTACCCCTATGTCTCGCCGCCGCAACGCGGCTCAGTCTACAGGATCGGCCCGAGAGTCAAGGTGATGTTTTCACCGTTGCGGTGCACTTTAAGAGAAAGAGAGGAATCACAGATTCAAAACACGTGAGGGGCCGCAGGTGAGGATAAAACACAAATGGGACAGACACCTCATGAAACGGGAATGGAAGGAAGGGAGGGGTGGGGAGAGAGAGAGAGTGAGGAATATACATACAGACAATACGATTTGCATGCAAACGCCGTTTTTTCGCACCCGCAAGCGCGAGAGAAAGGACGCAGGGGTTGTTGCCAGATTGGATGAGGCTCAAAAAAGGGTTTGCGAAAAATACACACTGCAGTTGGAGCGAGCAGGGAAGAAACTGAAATGCAGATCAGGACGCAAAAGAAGAGAGAGAGAGAAATAAGCTTATACTGGCACAAAAGAGAAGCGAGATGATGCAGGAAGGCAGACGAATTGATACACATGCATGCACATACGCAGGCATACACGCATAAATGTGCACACACATATACACACACAGAGACAGACAGAAGAGAGAAGACAGACAAGTCGAAAGACACCAGCCGACACAGAAATACCGCCCTCACCTGCTTGATGGTTTGAAGGTACAGCCTGCTCCTTGCGTCTGGCCGGTTGGCCTCCACGACGCCGTTAACTCTGTCAATGCGGCATCCCAATTTTCCGGAAGCGATAAATCCAGCTACTTCTCTGCATTGATACGCACACACATACACATACCAACGCACAGCCGAAAGCCGTAGTTGGGTTGTAAAGCGTCAGGAGACGTACGGCAGAGTTTTCAACGAAAGGCTCTGGTAAGAACGCCACGCAAAGTGCCTTTTATGGCGGACTTCCGGCTGCATGTATGTATATATGTATATATGTATGTATGTATATGTGTATGTATGTATATGTGTGTATGTACGTGCATGTGAATGTGGATGGGTGGTGGCATAGGGTGCAGCATAGGGAACAACAGGAAAAGCCTGCAGCAGAGAGGGTGTATTTGAAGGAGGGTTAGTTTTTTGAGGGAGAGTAATAAGGGGTACGGCTATGATGGGCAGATGTGGAGAGGGCGGGTGCCCCTCTAAAGCCTGAATTGGACGCATGCAGAAATGGGAGGGCCTTTGATTGTATGTGCGGACGGACTCTTCCACGAACTCAGGAGACACTCCGAAAGCCGCAGCCATGTTGGCAATGGTGACACTCTTGTATGGCTCGAGATACTGCTGGTAGGCCCTCAGTCGTATGGATCGGATGAAGTAGAAGTAATGGGGAGACAAGTAAAGGTCGCTTTTTACGCGCTTCGCTATCGGCACTGCAGCAGCCCAGGCAACGCATGCAAACCGTCGGCATCGAGTTTTCCACCATTGTGAAAGGCTCTTCGCAAAGATGGTGGTCCTTCCTTGAAACGGCGGCACGCGCCAGGAGGCCATTAAAGGCCTCAATAGCTCCGTGGGGGGAATGCTGGCTTAGACAACAACGTGCGTCATGATTGTGAGGAACTGGTGCACCCTGCAACGATCTCTCCTCGCCGCATACCGAGGAAGGTCATAAATTCCCTGTATTTTGCGTAGTAGAAAGCGTTGAGAAGGCCCTTCATGTCTTCGTCTGCTCCCTCCATGATGGGGGGGGCAGACACCACCTGCCAAGGCGCACGCGCTGTCACACACGTGTGCTGTATAGAGAAAGCGGGAAGTTCTCAGACGCAGCAACAGCTGCAGACTTTGCTGAGATAAAGAGGCCTGCCGCGGCAGCATGGCCAGCAGCGGTGCCATCGAACAAGGCACGGGAGGGGGGGGAGGTGGCTGCGGCAAAGGGCTTGCATGCGGCAGCAAGGGGTTTCTCTAGGCACCTGCTCCTTCAAAGTTTGCCTGTCGCAACACAGGAGGGCAAGCAGCGCCGCGTAGAAGATGAAACGCTCGAAGGATAACAGTGCGCAGGGCGGGAACGTCGCCAAGACGCCGAGGAAAAGCTTGGAGGCTGCATGCAAGGAAGCGCAGAAAACATTGAAAGGCGGCTCACAAACCCTGCACGGACGGATGGAGAGACATCCAGCGAGAGCGTCAGGCTGAGCGCGGGAAGGCAGTTGCATGCAAAAATCCCAACGGAGGGACTACGGAGCCCTTTGCTCGCCTTGGCAGCTAAGTGGCTCAGAACACAGACGCGCATGCATGCAAGAGCGGCATCCTGGGGAGAAGGATGGGTAGTTGGCTGGTTAATTGGCAATCATTGACATAAGAGGGGGGGGGAAGGGGGGCCAAAGACGGGGGGTGGAGGGGCTGGAGGGAACGAGGATGTGGGGAATCTGCAGAAGAGTGCGGCTCGCCTTCTGCGAAGTTCCTTGAGAGCATAAGATCCACTGCCTCGAATACTTTCAGCTTGTTTCGCCTTTCCCAGTCGCCGCCCTTCTCCATCTCCCTGCATTCATGGAAAGCGAATCGAACGCGTGCAGAGGGTGGAGGGGGGCAACCCCAGAGAAGAAACACGGCGGCCTTCCTCGGCACTCAAAAAGACGCCGTCTAAAGGTGCCCGCCTCCCATGCCAACAGCCGCTGCAGCCGCAACTAGACGAGCAGCAACAACAGCAACTGCAGCAGCACTTTAGCCTTGGCAGCACGGGCTGTTGGCCTACTCCTTTGCTACGATGAGGTGCTTTCTGACGAGGGCTCTATCCCTAAATACGAAGCCGATGCGCAGCAAGGTGAGCGTGATGTCTAGACGCGATCCAATTCCCACTGTCTTGCTGTACGCCACGCCATAGGCTTCGACAGCACGCGGCTGCAGAGACACCCCCCACCCCACACGCCTCCACAGGCACGCGCAGCACGGACATGACGCGACTGCATCAGGAGGGGAGGAAGGGCGGAAAGGGACGGGCAGGGAGGACTGCACCCCTGAAAGCAAGCGGGGGAGAAAACTCAGAGCACTCGAAAGAAACCGCAGCAACACGTGTGCAGAATGTTACGATATCGCCGATCCTGCACAAGAGCTGCGCCTTCGCTAGGAGGGCGTCTTTGACTTCAGTGTCGCCGTAGTTCTCCTTTGCATCTGCCAGTCGCAATTCCAAAGCCTCCAGCTCCTTCTCGTGCTGCGCTTCCATCGCCTGACATACAAGCGGTACAAAACAATTGACCAAAGCCGGGTGTTTTTTCTTGCAACTCTTTCTTCTGAGGAAAGCTGATCCTGTAGACCTTACCCCCTCAATCCCCCCCTTCTTCCTGCTTCCCTCTCTTTTCTCCCTCCTTTCTCTCCCTGCTTCCCTCTCTTTTCTCCCTCTTCCAAGCATCACACACAGAAGCGTACCTTCATCTTCTCCTCATCGACTGACCACCCAAAGGCCTCAACAGCCTTCCGATATAACGGTGACATCGCTGCGAGAGGCGCGGCAAGACAATAAGTGCACACTGCAAAATAAACTACGCCCTGTGCGGCACTTTTTCAGGGTGTTTGCGAGCGGCTCAAGGCACAGTGTTTATGCATACCATCCTTTTCGATCTTTTCCAGCAGTTTGGCCTTCGCTTCAGCGCGCCGCTCCGGCGTGGTGTCGCCTTCGGGAAGCTCTAACTCGTGCCTGCAACAACAGCAAAAGTCGTGGCACGCAGCACTCTTGGCTAATTTAGAGAATTTTACACGTGAAGGACGCTGCTGCTGCTACTGCATCAAGGCGTGTGCAGCAGCAGGAAATCTGACGTAGAAGCCAGCAACAAAGACGCGGCAGCAGGCGTCCAGGCAGCGGCAAAAAAGCGAGCGAAAAAACAACACTCGATGCAGCTGCAGCCGCAAACAGATGCACAGACGACCCTCTCTGTGCCAACGCCGTGGCAAGCCCTTCAAATGCAGAAGCAACAGCACAACAAAAGAGGGAGAGCACGAACCACCAGAGGGCGATGTCGCAACACGGATACGCGATCTCCGCCTCACTAGGATCAAATCCTGCCCTGCAGACAAGACATATATATATATATATATATATATATATATATATATATATATATATATGTATATGTATATATATATGTAGACATAGATGCATGTACATATGAACATACATATATAGAGGCATTATTCATAGAGTCATGTACATATACACCTTGAGGGACAGAATGAGGGCCCCTTGAAGAGCTGTCGAGAGGAGAAAGAAGTCAGGGAGGAGGAGCCAGCATACGATGCCTCATCGAAGAGGAGGAGAGGGGCTGCGCAGAGTGAGCGACACTCATGGGGAACAGACAGTCACGCAGCTGGAAGAGCGGTTTTCTTTATGTACAATGTGCAATGCTGAGACTTCCGGGAAGGAGGGAGGACAAGGGGAGAGAGGGAATGCAAGAGGGAAGACAAGGGGAAAAAAAGAGAAAAGACAAGGCGGGAAAAACAGGGAAGACAAGGGTAAAATGAGAAGAGATAAGGGGAAAAAATGAGAAAAGACAGGGGGGAAAATGAGAAAAGATAAGGGGGAAAAATGAGAAAAGCTAAGGGGGAAAGAGAAGGCGCGGGGGTTTTCGATAAGAGGCGTCACACAGAAAAAGCGTGCGCAGGAGAGTAGGAACACAAAGGAACAACGCGAGAGTAGAAGAATACTGGAAGCGAAATAGCAACAAACAGCGGTACGTGGTGGCATTCGCACGCGTCTGCTTGTCCACTGCCTGTTTCCATCTTGGCAGGTGTCTGGCTGGTCGTTTGTCTGAAGCCTCTGCTGCAGAACGTAGAGCAGGGAGCGCCAGGAGCGCTTGGGAGTAGACGAATAGGCCTTTCCTACGGGAAGACACGCTTTGGGAGAGAGCGCCGGGTAGAGTAGCATATTTCACGAGTGACCTCTTCTCAATCCACACATCAAGGCACCCCCCCCTCCCCCCCTTCTCGCGCTCCCCTGTTTCTGCAGTGTTTTCTGAATTTGCCGCAGTAATTGTGCAGGTGCAACTAAGGATGAGAGGGGCTTCTTATGCGCCTTCCTGCCCTGTTCGGCTGCAGCGTGCGCAGCAGCCGAACTTGGCGCTGGGGGAAACTACTGCACGGCAAGTGTCGTGCTTGGCACCTCGCTGTGGAGGGCAGGGCAGTCTGTTGGCCTTAGTCGGAGTTGCTGCATTAAATCCGTTTGTGAAGGCTCTGGTGACGGCTGTTGTGACAGAGGCAGCAGCAGCTGCTGCTGCGCTGCGGTGTCTGTGTGCTGCTCACCTGAGTGCCCTCGAATACGTGTTCCCGTTCTTGCTGACGACGGCCACACAGACGACGCCGCTGCCTAGGCACCTGGATCATTAATAAAGTGCCGTTTTTTGTTTATTTCTTCATGCGTTGTTGCTGCTGCCGCTGCCGCATTGGCGGCAGCGGCAGCCGTGGCAACTTCAGCAGCCAGCGCCGCGCATGCGTCGGCCGCCCTCTGGCAGGGCGCTTCTAGACTGTACGGACAGCATCTCATGATTCAAGAACGCCGTAACTTCTGGAGCTGGATCCCAAGAAGACGTGCAGAAAACGCAAACTGTCCACGCTGGTGGTCTGCCTCACCCTGGGCGGCCCTGAAGCGTGCGGAAGGCTTCCCGGCGGTTTGTTTCTACGCGGATCGCGGGAGCAGCAGAAGGAGCTCCAGTGCACGTGCGTCTTCTGAGTTCTTTCACCTTGAAGGAAGAGGTGGCCTTCGACTTTGCGGCAACGCCAGCAGCTTGGCCGTTGGGGCTGCTACGCCGCAGCCGCTGCCGCACGCTCGGCGAACAGAATCCTCGCTTCGAAGGACAGGAGCACTGCGTGCGAAGCGGAAAAACAGCGAGAACAGGGCGAGTGAGGCCTTGGTGCCGAAAACGAGCTGCCCTGCTACCCCAGAGAAGGCAGCGGCAGCCTTGACACCCCCGCCTCCACTTAGAGTCAGCTGCGTTGGTCGCAATGAGTAACTTGGCAGACTACGGGAGTTCTCTAGGGGGCTCTGTGGGAGGGCCCACTGCATCTCTGCAGCGGCTGCATCAGCAGCCGCAGCTGCATCAGCAGCAGCAGCTGCTGCAGGCGGCTATCCGCATCACGGAGTTGTCTAGCAAAGTGGTGAAGTTCACCCTCAGCAACTGCGATGCATCCATTGCCAACGCTCTCAGGAGAGTCATGGTGAGCGAGAGAGGAGAATCCTTTCGAGTATCCTTCTGAGTCTGGCTATCGAGCATCATGCACGCCGCACCGGCCGCGTGGCGTGTGACTCTTGCGAAGCGCTCCTCAGGCTGAAAATGCAAGACAGCGCAGTCTGGTGTAGCACCTGTAGATGGAAGCGGGAGATGGAATGGTGCAGGCAGCACGCAGCAAGTCTGGGTATCCGTGTTCATGACGTACGAATTTGCATGCATGCATGCATGCATGCATGCGTGCGGACGTTTGCGTAGATATCGGAAGTCCCCTCGCTTGCCATCGATTTGGTGACTGTTTTCGAGAATACGAGCGTTCTGCACGATGAATACATCGTCCACAGGTTTGCCAAGCACGCCAAGCTTCCCCATCGGTTCCGCCGTTTCTGCATGCAGCCAACGGACGCCTCGTTTTGCTGTGATTAGACGTTAGCGGCTTTTTGTGTCGACACGCGTTCGCATTGGTGGGCTTCGTAGTGTCGGTCTCACGGGGCTACCCTTCTCAGGAATTCTTAAATTGCATGTGTAGATGTACGTGTATCTGTGTTTATGTACGTGTACATATGTGTCTGTTTTCTTCGACTTAGATTGGGTTTGTTACCCATCGACAGTTCGAGCGTCGAGCGCTTTATCTCAAGAGACGTGAGTTGCGCCGTTTAGAGCGTAGAGGGACCACAGCCGCCGGGGCTTGCACGAAGGCGCGTTCGAGGTGGCGCTGATGCGTTTTTTGCTGCTGCTGATGGCTCGCATGACAAATGCCTTCGTGATGTAGCTTGAGCATTATCGGCTGCCAACTCGGGAGGGCAGGGGAATGGGGAGGGGGGGAGGGCAGCCGCTTATCCTTGCTGCTTGTCTGTTTGCATACTATGCTCTTTAATTTTTCTCTGGAGCGCTAGTGTCTTTTGGCTGCACTGTGCTGTCTTGTTGTGCTCTTGTTGTTGCTGCTGTGTTTGGTTGTGCTGCAGCAATGCTTGTGTTCAGATCACTGCGAGCGGTGCTCCGTGAAGTACACTCTAGACGCCACGGCTGCAGAAAGCGATTACTTGGTTGTTACGCATCTGGACTTGGTGGCGGAGAGGACGATCGGCGGCATCACGGGGGGCCCCCACGGGGGGCCCCCTATGCCCGTACCCTCTCCCCAGGACATGCAAGCGGATGGCTTTGCAGTAAGCGCTTGGGCCAGAGCATAAGTTCGCCGCAATAAAAGCTGCACGTGTCATGAGACGAGTCATGTTCTTGCACTCCGTCTCTACCGTTTGGCGCTTTTGCAGTGTCGAGGGTGCTGAATACACAAATGGAATAGAGTCAGAGTCGAGATGTCTGGTTAAAAATAAAGCTTTTGAAAAGGCATTCCTGGGGCTCTGCGCTCCTGCATATTTTCAATCAATGTGTTTCGTTGCATCCCACACGGGGTCATGGCTTCAAATGATATCGCGCTGTACGCATGACGGTTGAGCAGCCAGCCTATTTGTATGCACAGCTTGTTTTCGCTCTTCGCGCAAATCCGAACATGGGACTCTGATGAAATACGCTGCACTCTGGGGTGATGTGCTCAGTCGGGTATTCCCATCGTGAAACTCCGGAAGAACCAAAGTGTTAGCATGTCTTGTCTTGCGACCAAGGTAAAACGTTTGTTGCTGTCCGCCCTCCGCGGTTGTGCGCCTGCTGAAAAGCATGTCTGCGGGTGCAAGGCCTTCTTCTTCAAGAGGGAGAGGGAGAGGGGGAAAGGAGAGGGAGAGGGAGAGGGGGAAAGGAGAGGGAGAGGAGGGGGAAAGGAGAGGGAAGAGATTATGAAAAGGTAGGAGCAGGCAGAATGCGGCCGGGCGTAAGAGGCAAAGCGTGCAGGTTCAGAGATGTTTTTTGGCGGCTTGTCATGAGGGTGAAGCTCAGAGCGAGATGCTTGACACTCGTAGAGCGGCGAGATCCGTGGCATAAACGCAGGGCTGACGGGGAGCCAAGAGAGCGCATGCATTCTTTTGCTGCGGCGACTGCCACGGTCTGCCAGGTAGACGGCGCCGTGTAGCGAAAACTGGGGAAGCACCGAGAGAAGGAACGGTTTCTGGTACACGCTGGGGTGTATGAACACAGGGCATCGGAAAACTTCACGCGAAGTGGAGCCCGGTTGCAACGGCTACGTACAAGTGTCGCCCTATAATCCAGCTGAATGAGGAGATGCTGCAGACGGCCTCGGCACAAAGCAAGAAGGAAATGTACGCGATTGCCTTAGCCACGAGAGCACCGCAAAAAGCGCCGCATTAGCTGCACTTCCTCCTTGCACCGCTCGCTGTTTCGCCTTTTTGAGTATGCAATAAACATAAAGGTCACCGCTCGCCTCTCCCGGTGGCATAATTTTGTTCTTTCACTACTTCATGCAAGTCTTGTAGCTGCCCTTTTTTGCGACCATCATTTGCTGCAGTGCGGACTCGTGTCCTCGTAAAGTTTTTACGTTTGAAGATGACACAGCCGTTGGAGGTCCGTCTTGCATGCACAGACTGGGCTCTCGCGCCATATCGCTTCTCCGCTGTCATTTCGCCGGCACTTCTTGCCCAGCCTCTTCCTTGTATGCTGCCGTCGTAGATGTGGAGTGCTTTCTGTGTCTCGCTGTGCGGTGGTTGTGCCCGCGTTGCCTCCAAGAGTATCTATCTCCCTCCCGTCACTTCGTTTCCTCCTTTTTCGTCTCCTCTATCTGGCTTGCTCTCTCTCTCTGAAACGGGCTGGCATGCTTTTCTGCGTATCTGTCTCGCTGGCCAGATAAACACAGGGCGTGTGCTCCGCTTGCTGCTTCCTTTGCTTTCGGTGTTGCTATTTCCTCCATCTGTGTGTCTTCCCTTGCCTCTTCGTCTTGCTCTGTTGAGGAGGCACCGCGGCCTCTGGTTCGTGCTTTCCGCTTTCTGCTCTTGAGCCGCTCACGACACAGTCTTCTCCTGCTGTTGCTGACCAGCGCCGCTCTTTATGTTGCTTCTGACGCACGTCTTTGTCTCTGCAATGACGTATTTACTCTTGGGATCTCTCCCTCCCTCTCCTTGTTTCGTTGTTGCGGCCTCAGGAACTGGAATCCTAAGAGTTGCGAATCCACTGGACTGCATGTACAGTGCACCCCAACACTTTGCGCTGCAAATGTTGTTGGTGTTCTCTGCATGGCCTTTGCTGCTGCCGCAGTTGGTGTTGCAGGTAAACGCGAGTGTTTTCAGAACGAGAATCACTGCGTATGCGCTGCAGGTTCTGTGATCAATGTACCAAAAAGGCCAAGGAGTTATCGCTACGGGAGGCCATCCGCGTTGCTCCAGATGAACGGACTTTCCACTTTACTGTGGAGGTATGCACAGCACTTTTCGCTTTGGCAGTCGCCTGCACCTTCATGCCTTCTGCAGCCTAACTCCGTGTGGCGGCACTTCCTTTCTGTCTGCTCTTCGGTCTTCTGCTTCTCTGCCGACGTACTGCACTGCCTTACTTGAACGCCTGGTTGCTGCTACTGTCGCTCACTGCCCTGCTTGGTGCCGATGTTTGCATGCATGGAAGAAACGCCCGCGAATATATGTGCGTGTGCGAGCACAGTCCACAGGCGTGATGCCGGCGGAAAAGATCGTACAGATGGCCTTTGATATTCTCAGAAACAAGTTGTCAGATTTAGAGACGCACACTGCCGCTGCCGCCGCGAGAGCCACAGGGCAGCAGCATCAGCAGCCGCCACAACTTACAGCTGTAACAGAACTTTGAATCCTTGTGCGGCAGTAGCTAACTTGCAGTCAGAACTGCTCGAGCGGCAACTGCTCATGCGGCGGTATCTATAGGTAGGGCAAATGCACCCTTCAGCGCTGTAGCCTTTTGTGGTTCTCGCTTTTAGAATACGAGTTACGACACAGAGACTTATTTTGGCGAAGCTCGTTTGTTCGCGCACTGCGGGCTGTCTGTACACACGAGAGATGGTGTGTGGAGTTGCTGTCCTGCTGCTGGTGCAGCAGTGCGTAACTGTTGCTAGTGATGACGTAGTGTTCACAGCTTGCTGCGTCAAGTTCAATAATCGTTGTATTGCAGTTGAGTGATACATACTACTGCTGCACAGATTACCTGGGGTGTGCAACAAACTGGTAGAGCCTCCTGTAGGACGCTTCGTGTAGCAGCACCACTAGTGGCTTAAGGTTTTGTTGCACTAAAACCACAGAGAAAACGGCCGCATGCAATGGGTGTGCGAGATTTTCCCTCTATTTTAGCCAAATCTGGGTAGCGAAAAACATCATCGCTATGCATTCTCTAACGTTGCAACAGCACACGGCTTGCCGAGTATTTCAGCAGGCCGGCTTGCTACAACAGCAACAACAGCAAGCACGCATTTCAATTTGTAGCATTTGGATTGGAGAATCTTCCTGCGCAGGGAATTAAAAAAAATCTCGCTCCGCGCTTGATCCCTTTTGCAGTCTATGGTCAAAGAGGAAGGGCATGTGAATCCACAGATCGATAGACTCCTCACACACAAAGCCTCCGTCAGCCACGACCTTAACCGTAGCTGCTGCTGCCTCTGTCCCTTCCTCGTCAAACAACAGAGCCACCTAATGTATAAAAGCAAAGTACCTTGTTTTTAAGCACTAGGAGGATAAGCGCCTCTTGTTGCGGCATGAGCCTTCTTTGTTTAGATCCAAAACTATTTCCTCGAGTACATCAATCAAGGAGCAACAGTCCGAGTATGTCTAGGATTGAATGTTCGGTAGCCGTATGCAAGCCCATAGAACTTCGCAAAGCTCTTGATCAAGCATAAAGAACTAGGTTATGCTCTTTATTTTCGCTGGATCTGCCTCAATTCCCGCAGCATATAGGATCGAATTCCCCCCAAAATATTCTGTATGGAAAACGTGCACTGGCGCGTCTTCACTTACTATGGCTGGTTCAGCAGTTACTGAATCGCACGCCCTAGATTCCTGAGGTGCTTGTGAATGTCTCGGATAAATACGAGGACGCCATTCATGCAGGCACCCATCCAGCTCTTCTTGATAAGTTCATGGAAGTCTCGACTAACTGCCGCGTGAAGCCGGCCGTAGCCTCCTTGCCCATCGTTGCATTCTGCTGCCCTTCGGCGAATATAAGTTCTAGGCACTGCTCTAACGTAAACAGGCAGACTGCCAACCCTATGCCGTGTCCTCAGAACACATGCCTCGTTGCTGCCAAGCAGTTTGCTTCCGCTGCGCCCAGTCCTTTTGTTCAAGTTCTCCTGACATTTTTAATGGGCTTGCAGTTTTCGAAGTGCATGACCCAATTCCCCACAAGAGAGGCAGGTGCGCTGCTAGGGAACTGCCGGAGGCTGAAGACCCACGTAGTTCCCCTTGTACATCTAACAGTGGCTGATGAGAATATTCGAGTATTTGTTCTTCCTGGCGGCCGCCACCCCTTCAAGGTCGGCATAGCCTCATCGACGCATCCAGAAGTATTTCATTGGTAAACAAATCATGCCTTTCTTCCGCTTGTCGAGTTACTGCGTTCACATCAAGCTGCAGGCCGGCCTCGGCCTCCCCAACCAGCGTTGTGCTACTCTCTACTTCCATCGCCAGAAGCTTTAATCGGACTGCTGCCGGAGAAATCATATTCCTGTACTACCAAGCTAATTGACAGAAGCCATGGCATTCGATGTAGGGAACCCTGGTACTCCACTTCATCCACAGCCACTTGATGATAGGGAGCATCTGCCTTGGACCATCCAGCGCTACAAACTGTAACACTTCATCGAAGGTCTCCGTATTGAGACAATCAACCCCAGACTCAATGCGAACCTAGTAGACAGTTATATAAGGTTTCTAAAGGCGCTCCAATCTTTGCCTTGCCTCACCCCTCAGAGCCTCCACATGAGGGGAGAAAGCCAGCTAAAGTCAGTGTTGTTGCATCCTCCAAGCACTCCGAGTATTCCTAGCTAACTGCGCTCAGCATCTGACGCACAAGCAAACAACATTGTTTTTCGCTGTAGCTATGCAGCACTGCTGCAATAAATAAGAGGTACGAAGGGCCAAACCAATCAGCCGACTCCTCGTTAAGTCTTGGTCAATAGAACTGGTGTAGTGGATGGTGTGCAGGCGTAGTTCAGCCCTCTACAACATGGATTAATATCGCTTCCTCCGGGGATCATTTTTGCAGAGGATCTGTTATTGGGACTGTTGGAATCCGCTAGGGGTGGGTTTTAGGCTAGTGGTGGAACTAGAGAGAACCATAAAAGTGGTCCTATCTGTCCTGTATCCCCCGAGATCCCGTTACCCAATTGTTATTCACGCGTTCCTCAAAATCTTTCTACAGCGTAGACCCAAGTTTGCTTTGGACTACAGAGAGTAAGCACTACAGAAAATGAGCAAATGCAATGCGTATTATTGGCGTCTAAGTACATCTAGTTAAACTGCGATGTCGATTAGTTGTCTCTGCGAACGTGAGAAAAGTCAAACATATGGGTTCTTGATGCCATGAATTCAAGGACCCTGTGTGTGGTCGGCCAGAGAATAACTCCCTCTGGAAATTTATATAAAAGTATTGTAGTTGGTGTCTTGGCTGCTGCCGCGGCTGCCTCTGGGAGATCCTACGCGAGGACGTTAAGGCGAGCTCCCAGGGTCGTGCGCCTCCCTGAGCTACCTGCATTGCCAATTAGAACTCCTTCCTGGTGATTTAAAGCCAAAGGCCGATTGTTCTTATTTACCTGTCGGGCTTCGCTGCGTTGAAACCAGTGACGCCTCCCTCGTGGTCGGCTCTCTGTTTCTGCTAGAGCAGCACTCCAACAAGAATAAATCATTCCCCCCAGTTTTATTTCTTGAACTTTCGCGTTTTGCAAGGCCTATTTTGTCTTTGCTCATTCGACCCTTGTTTCAGCACTACATTCATCGTGGGGCCTTGGGTGACAATCCCCGCGCTTGCCTCGATAGAGATTTAACTCGCTCCCCGTGCACTTTCCGTTTAGACATTCCTTCCGTGCCCACTTAGACCCACACGAATTTGCAGTAAATTGTTTTCACAAGCTTCTTTGCCACGTATACAGCCTAAGGGTGGCCTAAGAATGCGGAATTCCGCGTGCATCCTATACGTTCTCTGCGGGCTGCTAGCAGCAGCATCGCCAATCGTGGTGGCAGCATCAGAGAAAGAATCTGACGCAGAGCCGAAGGACTTAAGGGTTCAGGAGGACTCCGAAGCTAGATCTACGCTTCCAGCAGAGACCATCATGCCGATCGCGTCCCCTAGGTCCCCCCGTCGGGGGCTTTCCACGAAGGCATTTGCTTTTGCGGCTGCACTGGGTGCTTTGGTGCTCATGGTCGCAGCAGGGGTCACAGTTTCTATGAGGCGGGAGGCCCCTGGCCCCCCACCTGTGCCTTTGCCGGAAGAACAACCTCCGCCACCCCCTCAACAACCAGAAGAGCTCCCGGAAGTTCTTGCACGCAAGCTTCTTCTTCCAGAGGGCCCAGACAAAACAGCTGCGGCTCGCTTGGTTGGGGCTTTTTTCAAGTATCTTGACGACATAGAAATGCCTAACTCCGTCTTCTCCCCCGTGTCCGTTCTCTCGGTGTTATCGGTTGTTGCAGAAGGGGCCTCCTGGCCTGTGGAAGAAAGACTGCGCGGATGGATCACTGAACCTGCAGTCTACACGCTTCCGGAGGATCTAGAGGGCTGGCCACACAGGGATGCCCTCAAGGCGCTGCAGGATTACTATGGACCAGAATCCCCCGTCATCGACATGATAGCCGAGTTGTGCGTGGATGAAGACATACGCGACACCCCAGGATTTGCCGCTTTCGAGAAACGCGTTTCCGATCGCCTCGGATACTCCCCGATTAGATCTATGGATTTTACGCAGGTTGTTCGAACAACGAGCAAGATTAACGCGAGAGTAAAAACGGTCACAAGGGGGAAAATAGAAGAATTTTTACATGCACCTATGCTCGTCGGAGCCTCCCTCGTCCTAGTTAACGCCTTTTATATGAAGTCGGAGTGGGCTTCAACCTTTCTGCCTGAACTCACAAGGCAAGGGACTTTCAAAGCATCTACCCCATTTGGTGTGACAAACAAGCGGGCGAAGTTCATGGAGCAGGTGCTAAAGCCTGGGTCGTATCACATTTACCAGGAAGAGGGAGTAACAGTCCTAGGCCTACCATACAAATACCCCGGAGCGGCCATGTACATTTACCTACCAGAAGACGCGGAAGAATTTCGCATTAAAATCAATGAAGACCCTACTCATCTCAGTAGGCTCGTTGCAAAAGCTCGTGAAGCTTCTGTTTCAGGAACAGGTTCCTCTGCAGCAACCACGCCACTGAAGCTGCGTCTTCCAAAGTTTCATCTCAAGACCTATAAAAATAAAGTAGGTTTAAGTGATTTGTTAGGTAATCTGGGACTCGGCGAATTCCTGCTATGGGAACAAAGCATTGCGAACTTGGGGTTGCCACCTGGGGGACGGGTGACGGGCATTTTTCATCAAGCGGATCTGCAGATTGACGAGGAAGGGACAGAAGCAGCAGCAGCAACAGTTGCGATGCAGCCAGAGCCAGTCTCTTCATCTCCAGATGCTATTGAGCTGTCGGTTGACCGGACCTTCTTCTTTGAAGTGAGACTGGAACGGGGACCAAGTGCGGAGCAGGATCTTACTCTCCTCGCAGGAAAAATCTCCGATCCCAGTCTTCTACAGTGAAAATTGTGTGTGCTTGCAGTTGTTGCTTTTGCAGCAAGCGGGGCTGCTAAAAGCTTGGCAAACTGTGGGTTGCTGCACCGCTGAACCATGCGTAGCGATGGTGCTTACTTGTTTTATCGAGCAGCGGGAAATCGAGCTTGCAGATGGCCAAGCTGTAGTGGGGCGCTGCGTCATGCACATCTCGATCATAATAGGAGCTTAAAATATATGGCTAGTGGCTTCCGCTGCTCGTAACTGCAATTCGAGAATATAGTAGATCGATCAAATGCATTGTCGTGTACTCCTGGCTGGCACGCGCTCGAGGTGCTCTGTTCAAGTAGGCGTGAGTTCGACGAGCGATTAGCGGGTACAGGGGGGCGCACCCTCTAGAGAGGCCTCTCCCCGCATGCAGAGACCCTGTTGAGTGGCGGCACCAGCAAGAGGAAGGAAATGTTTTTAAGTGACACTGGCTCGAGGCCGAGTATCTTCATACGGAAGTCCTAGCTAGGGCGCTACAGCTTATTCTTATAGTGGTGCAGAGTGTAATTCTACAGCTTTCTTCGCGCCTCACGCTGCAGCTCCACAAGGTGCGCCTCGTACAACAACGGATTTCGGCTATTGCTGGGGCAATTAGAGGCTTCACCGAGACTTTTACTCGATGCGCTAGTGCTGGTGTACTCAAGCTTCATGTGCAGGACCCCCACACTTTTCTCTGCGCCCTAGATGTTTCGTGAATTCGACGGGTCCGCATGTGGGGCATCGTTCGACCAGCTTCCTACTGCCATTTATGGGTGTCAAAGGCTTGGGATGAATACACTGCGCCAAAGCAAGAAGCCTTGGGCTAGTTGCCTCCCTGGGCATCCAGACGCTCACGACGAGTGCATGGCCGCAGGTCTGTACCCGTAAAAGAGCGCCTCCGTTGCGACACGGAGATTGACCTAAGCCCATAGGAAATGCATTAGCAGGAAAAGAGGCAACGTTCGGTAATGCACTGCCCAAGCAAGCAAGATGAGGAGTAGTTTCCGTCTCCTCCGTCATTCAGATTCCTGACTGCGGGGAGCAAGACTTTGAGAAACTGACTACACGCCACTTTGCGTCCTTTGAAGCTAGTACTGCGCTTTGAGCAACCTCCGATTCACTATTATTGAACAAATCTACACTAACAAGTTGCTAGGGGACGCCAGAAGCCGAAAACAGGAGACGCAGCACTTCAGGGAGACCACTACCAGAACCTCTATGTTTTTTACCAGGCCGTGCAGATTTCATTTTCTGTAGGCTCAGACTAGTTGCTAGCACCTGGGTAGCCGTAAACTGGCACGCGTTATGCATCAAGCACAACAAAAGTCGCAGGTAGGCTTGGCGTATCACAGACCATGCTAAGGAGCGATCGGCATGATCGTACTTAATGCCGATGACCCTATGTCAAAAAAGAGCCGCTCTTAAGCCACTCAAATTACTTAGCAGTGTCAGATTTGGCGATTCGCTTCGCGTAGCTTTCAGCAACTGCGCATCTTGCTTGTTGCTAGACAACCGGTCCTAATAGATCTGATATCTCCCCGCATGACAGGTGTCTCTTCTCCCTCCCGCGCGGTTGTCGGCCGAAATGCCCTTCCCTGTTCCTCCTTTCTTTGTTATTTTTGAAATATATGTTTTTGGTATGTCTTAGCCCTTTGGTTGCGACTTTCTGTCCTACACGTACACCTGGCCCTTCCCGGGTTCTGCTTCGCTCCTCCACTTTGCGGCTCTCCGTGGTAAGCGTGAATCGCGAGTCGTTTCTTCAGCGGTCTTCATCGTCACTATGAGGCAGAAAATGCATTACTGGAAACATTTGTCTCACATTGGATCTCGCATGCTGGTCGCTCGCGTCTTACTCCTGCTGTTGGCAACAGCAGCGGCACTAGCACCAGCTTTCCAAGTAGAGGCAGCAGGAGCAGAAAGAGCCGAGGAGGAACACCCACGGGACGAGAGTGTCGAGCCTACTATAGTATGGCCCTCAGATGTACACTTACAGGTGCCCTCTTCGCCCTCAATTCGACGAACGCCTTCCGTTACGCCTGTTTTGGCCGCTGCTCTGTTGCTTTCTCTGGCAGTGGCGGTAGCCTCAGGAGCAGCATTTTATTTCTTGAAGAAGCCTTTGGCACCCGAGCCACTCCGCCCTCCTTTACCTCTAGAGGATGAGGAGGCTCTTAGAGCCAAAGCGTCTCGAGTGCAGCTGCCGGAAGGCGTGGATAAGACCTCTGCCGGTCGATTGTTTGGAGCGTTTTTGGATTTGAACGACGTGGAGAGCAAGCCTAACGCGGTCTTATCGCCATTGTCGATTCTCTCAGTGTTGTCCATTGCCGCAGAGGGGGCGTCCGGGCCTGACGCACAAGCGGTGCGCGATTTGCTCTCAGATCCCACAGTGTACAGACTTCCTGAAGCGCTAGAAGGCTGGCCACATGCAGAACGGTTGAAGAGTATAAAGCAATATTTGAAGGACGAGGCTCCTGTCATTGATATGCTTGCCGAGGTATATGTGGATAAGGGTCTGGAAGGCGCTCCCGGACTTGATGCATTCACGCAGCGTATCAACATGCTCCTAGGATATCCAGCCCTTCAGACTGTGCCATTCACTGAAGAGCAAGCGGATTTGCTGAACGAAAGGGTCTCCAAACTCACTAGGGGAAAGTTGACCGAACTCTTACCCGCCTCCGCTATTACTCAGTCGCGTCTCCTACTTTTGAACGCCGTGTATTTTAAAGCTGGGTGGCGTACCCCCTTCGCACCTGAAGACACAAAGAAAGACATTTTTAAAGCCCTCACCAAAGATGGTGTAAAAGAAAAGCAGACAGACTTCATGCATGGGATGTTGGAGGCCGGATCGTATCGTAAGTGCACAGTGGGCTCGGTGCAAGTTCTGGAGTTGCCCTACAACTACCCTGGGGCGTCAATGTATATTTACGTCCCGTCTGACATTAAGGAATTTGAGGTTCAATTGCGTGAGGATCCTTCTCTTCTCTCTAACCTCGTTGACCAATCCAGAGGGGCCGATGGTGCGCAGTCTAGCGAGGGTTTATCTTCCGCATCGCTGGAACTTGCTCTTCCCAAGTTTCACCTAGAGGCTGGTGCGAATAAGACGGAAGTTCTTAAGGTGCTGCGTAAGCTGGGTATAACCTCCTTTCTGGAGCAACCAGGCACCGTCGATGGAATAGCGGAGGGCGTAGGACTGCGTGTTCAAGCAATTCAACATCAAGCGGACCTGCAGGTTGACGAGGAGGGGACCGAGGCTGCAGCCGCGACCTTCGCAACGGTGCCAGATGGCCCCATGCCTCGTGTTGAATCTACTAGCATGAAAATTGATACGTCCTTTCTTTTCGAGATAAGGTTGCAACAGGGAACGGAGGCAGCGCATGACCTGGTCCTCTTTGCCGGAAGATTCGCCGACCCAGACGCTGAGTGATAAGGCGTTTGCCTTGTCATGCAATGTTTCTGCTTTTGCAGCTAACATTTCTGTAGACAGCGTCCGTGACTGTATGGTTCTTTGCTCGCTGGTTGAATCCAACAAAGCTTGTGCGGCAAATGGTGTGTTACATTATTCGCTGTGTCATTTACGAAACTGGGCAGGGAACTTTATCACGGATTGAATAGTATAGTTGTGCCAGCGCCTGTATGTGGAGGCACTGCATTTCGTCTGCACGTTTTATCGTACTGTGCTTTGTTCTTCGAGTACCGTAAACTGTTTTCTTCAATGCGCTGTGGCTGGACTATGGATCCCAACGTTTTCCACTGGGTGTGCAGACACGCAGCAGTGCACACACGTAGTGCCCTTCAGATTCAAGGGGTTCTCGAGGTAGTTAGGAAACTTGGGGCAGGACGGAAAGGAGCGGCTGCGAAATGGGGAGCAGTGATTGGGGGGCAGCCATAGTGACTTAGGTGGCCATAACAGCATCGCTCTACTTACCCATTTTTCCAAACGCTTTTCAGTATCAGTGTGCCGATAGGCGGCTGGGAGATCCGATGAAGCAAGAACAAACGGTGTCGCCCTTCAGGGAGCAGGGAAAGGAAATTACTGCTGGAAGTCTGGGCTAAGGCCTTCGCGCAGCCCTACGTGTACGAATATGCTTTACCAAACAATGGTTACCATATTAGCACCTGTAAGTGGACGACTACTACGTCTTCACCAAAGGTGTAAAGCAGCAAAACGAGCATGGCGCAGCACTCCCCTTCTAGGAATCACTATGCACGGAGGGGCACCGTTTTGCTCTTGCGTTTCCACAGCTTCTCTTCAATTATACCTTCCCCTTTATTTAATTTACATGCTTACCTGTTTTCTCGGCTAACGGGGCTCTTTGCCGCCATGTAGGGGTGCCTGTGCTTTTTTAGCGGTAACTGGACCTTTCTCCACTTACACAACTTTAAAATTGTTTTGGAACTGACTATTTGGTTTGGCTGCTCGTACAGCCTATTTATCGTGGAGTCGAGCTACATCGATACCGTCAGAGACAATGCTGTGTGTACGTGGTCTAGATGCGATGGGCAACTAGCTGCAAATGCTCGAAGTGGTAAGAGGGTGCAGCAGCAATTACCCTAACTGACCCTCTCCGCTCAAGTCGGTAAACCGAGGGGTGCATGCAGGAAAGAGAGCTCTTTTTCAGGAAAAATCCCTTTCTATTACGTATGCATTGTATCCAGACTTGACTCCGTGCAGAGGTCCTAGATGGAGCGCTGCACAATTCTTTATTAGTAGGTAGTTGAGTAAAACTAGTGCAGAAGAAAATGCCAAAGTGCAGCTCAGCCTGCTAAATTCACTGCTCAGCTCCATCGCGCGCCTTCGTATTCCTTACCTGTCCGTCGAGACACAAAAGGTGCACGACAGCACGAAAGCTTTCGCCTTAGCATCAGCTTCCAAGCACGCAGGAAAGTAAAAAGCAGCGCGAATGAGAACGCCAAAGTAGCCATCAGTAGATAGAAAAAATTGGACAGGGAAAATAACACGCACGCTCGCCAAAAACAAAGGGGAGATCAAACCAACACGACCGTGGCGGCTTGATGGCTCGCTAACATTGGACCCTTGACATGTGTAAGCCTCCTGGTGCTGGAAATCACAGTGCAAGCAGGACATGTGAATGAATTTCAAAATGCCTACTAATTTAGAAGTGCGTCCGGGCCTTGTAGAGCAAGCTGTGATGCAATTACAGCCGGTGGAAGCAAGATGGTCGAAATCAAGATCCTAGTTGAGGCGCAAGAAACGGTGCAGAGACACGATGCCCCATGCTGCCCGCGCTAATATCTGAGGGTAGGCAACACCAAAGACATAATAACCTGGAGCATTTGGAGCAATACTCAGAGTCGGAGCTAACTTTTCGGTAAGAGCATGCGCTGTGAGACCACCAATGAACGCAAGAAGTACAGTCCATGGCGACTGGGTCCGAAAATTCTCCCTCAGGCAAAGATGCATGCCACAGCTCTCCCGGGAATACCCAAGGATGACGTTCTCTACCCTCACGCAGTCCAAACTCCAGAGCACTGTGTCTCGGCGCTCAAGAGTTCTAGACACCAGCAATTCTACAGCTCCTTGAGGATCCTCCGCCTCCACAGGAGGCCCTTGCCTACGCGACGAAGTCCGCCAATACAATTCGGTGAGTTCAAAACTTCTAACAAAACCACTGTTAACGACTACCTGGAACCTTCAACTTGGAAAAAAAAATCACGTAAGAGCATTGATCTTTTTCAGGGAATCGTTGATCTTTGTAGGCACATGGCCGCAAACTTTATCATTTGGTCACAGTTGGATGCAACTCGCAGAGCCCATGGCTTCACCAAAACCAAGGCCCAGAAAATATAGCCGACCGCCTCTTATCATAATTCTGTGCTTGTCGGTCTTGGGATTTGCGTACACTTTCGCGTGCACTACCCAGCATGTTTTTTTAACCATCAGGTTCCAATCGGAGGGGGATTCCAGTTGAGACCAGAGATGCGAGAGAGCGACGGGTACACGACTGTACTGTTTACTTACAAACCCAATCATAACGAGGCAGGAAATCAAGCCAAGCAGTAGGTTTATTGTGAACATAAGGTCTTCGCAAATGCAGAGGTGTGCGGTTGGTGCTCGCTTTATTTCTACCTGCCTTAGACTGATTCGCAGTGGCGGTATTATGGTCAATGGGCACGTGGGTCATGAAGGCATGCCAGGCCGCAATAAAAATCTTCGGGTAATTGTAATAATAGTCTTAGGAAATCCATAAGCTCCCAGGTATGAGGCAAGAATAATTGAGCGACCTCCTGAGCCGTGAGAGAGAGCTGGAGCAAGGGATGAAATGGGCATAGTTGCCGTGTCTGTGAAGAGCAACGTAGGTGTTATTCTACCCCTTGACCTCCTGCACTCCAGCAACAAAGTTGAACAGATCAGGCCATATATATTCAAAATGGCCAAAAGGTTCTGCGAAGATCCGGCCCTTGGAAAGTGGCACGACTTCAGCTGCCGACAGTCTGGTCAACAACAGTGCATACTCCTCTGCCGCGGGAAGCATACCAGACCACTACAGAAGACCAGGGAAGCTATTCTGATGTACGTTTTGAGCCTCACTGCCACCCAAAGAACAGGATCATGCAATTTGCGAGAAACACCTCAGCGGGGCAAAGTTGGAATGCACAGGTGACAGAGCCTACGCTTTGTATTTAACACACGGCAGGTCGTCCTTGACGTGGTACTGCTTCATCTCATCTTTGATTCTGGATATATGGATGTTGACAATGGCAGCAGATGCATGGATGCTATAAGCATCCGAGTTACGCACCTTTTGTATCTTTTGTGAAGCGTCATGGAGAAGAACGGTTGCGCTGCATGGTAGTGAACTGCTGGGGGTAGCGAAAACGCGTCCACGGCCCTCTTAGTGATGTCATCGAGAGAGTTTATAGCGAAGTCATACTGCAGGAGGCACACAAGACAGCGAACAACTCTAGGGCTATCAAAGTCCTGAAAACTTTTTCTAGGTTACAGTAAAGGCGATGTTTGTTCTGGTCAGCAAATGGTGACCCTGCAAACAGTGCCGGGATTGCTTCACCCCTCATCACACCGCATAAAGGTTTTATCCCTTTCTAGATACCGCTGTTCGCTTACGTTAAAGCGATTAGAATAGTAGGCAACAGTTTTATACCGGGGACAGCCTGTAGCCTGTTGGGAGAGAATAGCACTCATCGCTACGTCACTAGCACCGGTTGTAAAAAACGCAAGTAGCCCATATTCGGGCAGGGCGAGAGCCAGAGGAGTTTTGAGACGGCCAATAAGCGTTTCTTGTTGTGCCACCAGCCTCCTCTGTCCAGGTCTCGTAGACGGTGTTTTCTCAAGTACATCAGTCAAAGAAGCTACAATGCGAGCAAGTCCACAAATGAAATTTCAGTAACACCACGCAAGCCAAAAGAACGTTGCAACGCTTCTCAGAAAGCGTGAAGACAAAGGTCATGCTCAATCTTCACTGCATGCTGTGAAAGCTTTCGATCTCGCGGAAAATAGCTTTGAGATGGCTCGGCGCACAGCTCAATACGGTGCGCAGGACGAGAATCAGATGGCCAGTTTGATGGCAGCTCGTCATTATTCAGCCCACCCGCGAACTCGCGAACTCCTTCCTTCCTATTTACTCACTTTTGTCCTTCCGCAGGTGGAAGTTGTTCAAACGCGTTCTGTGATGAAAAACCACCAGCAGACCCACGAAGACGGGCTGCAAGCCTAGAGTGGTCTACTGCTACTGCGCTGCTGGGCCACCCACAAAGAGATTCTGCACCTGTTTGTTTAGGCACTGCCTGTACCACGCTCACCAAATGTGAAAGCAGCGTTGTTGACGAGACCAGGAGTTGTTTCTTTCTAGTGCGTCCTGGTACACTGAGATCCGCAACGCACAGCTGTGGTCGCATGCGTGTCCTTTATTGGGTCACCCTTGACATGCCTAGAATTACGCAGGGGTGCACGAGTCCAACGTAGAAGTCACGGAAAATGGTGGTAGCCGCGAATCCGAAGTAAAAGACCACTAAGCTCCCGTGACCTCCTTGCCTATCGTTGCATTCTGCTGCCCTTCGGCAAATGTAACTCCCAGGGCTGCGTTGACGAGGAAACAGGCAGACTGCACTTCTTTTCCGTGTCCTAAAAAAAATCTTCACTCTGCATCCAATGTCGAGTAACGCTAGCAACTCTTAGCCAACTGTATGAACCAGTATCAGCGCAAAATTGACCAGTGGGACGCATCCATCTGCGGCTCTCTGATATGTGGTCCCCTCCACTCCGCCTCACTCCGAGACTAGGAGGGGGGCGGGGTTTTCGTTCTCCGAATGCACCTTCGTTGCTGCCAAGCAGTTTGCTTCCGCTGCGCCCAGTCCTTTTGTTCAAGTTCTCCTGACATTTTTAATGGGCTTGCAGTTTTCGAAGTGCATGACCCAATTCCCCACAAGAGAGGCAGGTGCGCTGCTAGGGAACTGCCGGAGGCTGAAGACCCACGTAGTTCCCCTTGTACATCTAACAGTGGCTGATGAGAATATTCGAGTATTTGTCCTTCCTGGCGGCCGCCACCCCTTCAAGGTCGGCATAGCCTCATCGACGCACCCAGAAGTATTTCATTGGTAAACAAATCATGCCTTTCTTCCGCTTGTCGAGTTACTGCGTTCACATCAAGCTGCAGGCCGGCCTCGGCCTCCCCAACCAGCGTTGTGCTGCTCTCTACTTCCATCGCCAGAAGCTTTAATCGGACTGCTGCCAGGGAAATCATATTCCTGTACTACCAAGCTAATTAACAGAAGCCATGGCATTTGATGTAGGAAACCCTGGTACTCCACTTCATCCACAGCCACTTGATGATAGGGAGCATCTGCCTTGGACCATCCAGCGCTACAAACTGTAACACTTCATCGCAGGTCTCCGTAGTGATATACGAAGCTTCAAAACCCGATCGGCACACCTAGACTGCGTGTTGTTGCATCCTCCAAGCACTCCGAGTATTCCTGGCTAATCGCGCACAACACAAGACACGCCTTCTTTACTCAAGGTAGAACAATCCTGCAATGGAAAAGGCAGCTAGACCAATTCGTCAATTCAGTACTCCTTTTTAGTTATGGAGCTAGTGTAGCAGATGGTGTGTAGGTGCTCTTCATGCTGCTGAATGTGAAGAATCACACAAGCTTCGTGCAAAACGCGAGAATTTGGACGCCGTTGACCATTCTGCATACTAGCGTCGACTTGGTATTTGTACTGGAAGCACCAAAAGATAACGTCTGGCACGCAAACGCGAGCACAGCAACTGTGTAAAGCCTTCGGTCTCTTAAAGCCTTCTTTAAAGGCCTCCTAGGTAGAGAGCACCTGGGAATAGGGCTGGACCGTGCCGACTGTGGGGGTTCAGCCTGGAGTTCTCCGAGAGGGCAAATCTTGCGTAGTGCTTTTGCATGCATCCGGTTGCCCCGCATCACTGGTTTTGGCGCTATATTTAAATCCGCAATTCGTGGGGCCTAAGAACGAAGCTGACGACGCCTGAGACTCCACCACTGACACTTTGGTGTCTCTTTGTTGCAAGGCCCTATCTTGATGGGGGTTACTAGCAAGGGAAGCGACTGCAGTTGTTGCTACAGGAGATGATCCTCTGAATACTATGCGCACATCTCTTTGAAACTAGGCGCTTTGCGCCAGTACCCTTAGCTGCGCGTGTCGTCATTCCTCTATCGAGGCGTTTTTCCTCGGGCAGTTGTGAAATCTGGTGCAAACTCCGTCCTATTGTGGTTGAGGCTGGTGTTTTTGCAGGCGCGTGCGTAACCCCAGCAGCATATTCTACGGCTGCGCTTCGTGGGGTCAATATATATATACATACATACATACCCCCGTGTTGTTACACTGACGACGGACGTCCTTAGAAGAAGCTGCATTGGGACACTGTGGGAAGCTCAGGTCTCACACACCTAACAAGACGAAGGAGTCTAGGAGCCGCTTGATATGTAAGAGGCTCATCGAATAAAAGGTGTACCTGGAATGGTTAAGGTAAGCGCAACAGTTCCTAACGCCAGCTGCAGACCGAGGCGTAAAGGCAAGCGCTGCTCTGCGGACTCTTCCGACACACTTGCTCACTATGTGGCTGTACGAATCATCCCTTGCTGCGTTTACAACAGGTACGAATTGGCAAAACTAGAGGGTTTACTGCTGCTTGCAGTCTGGCTTCTGGTCGGGACCTTTACCGTCAGCGCCTGTGATGCCCTGCAGCAATTGGAAAGCGGCAGACGAAAGCGGCAGTATACCACCGGAGACACACACGCACACACACCCTACACCAAGAGAAGAGACAACCGTATACAACAAGCCAACGCGTTCGTGTGTCTCAGTACCTTGGCCGCACCTTTGAGAGAACGCGGCGGCTCTTCATCAGAAGATTCCTCGTCTTCTTCGCTCTCGTCGCTGTCGCTGCAACCCACCACACATCAGAGCAACCCCACTGCATAAGACGCTCGCGCTTTGCAGCCACACGTTGTGGCAGCACGAAGAGAAGAAAGTACTCATTTCCGCTTCCCCGCTCCCCCTCTGCCCCACTAACTGACAATTCTTCATCGTTGAGATCATAGTCTTCAAAGTCCGAATCATCGTCCACTTGACCCAAGAACCAGTCCACAGCCCGAGGGATTATCTTGTCCTGATAAAAACAACAACCCCACCATTCCGTTTCAAGAAGACATCCAAAAGCCGCGCTCCCTCACCTCCTCACTCACCACCCGCGAAACCTACAACCTTTTGAGGGTTGCCTGTGCGTGACATCTGTGATGCAGCGAAAAAGACGCACTCTGATGGTGATACCAATGTCGTAGTCGGCCTCAACGACCATCTGCAACTCCTCGACCTGCACATAGAAGACACACAGACACACACGCACAAAGACACATAAAAGACACACACACACACATACACACATACATAAAAGCCCCTTGAAACAAGAAGTCCACAGAGCCATCCTTACGAAAGGCTCCACAGCACCTTGCGCGTACTGCGTTTCCCTATATGTATACATATACACACATTCCGGAGGCAGCCAGCCGCAAGAAGAGAGCGATAAGGAAAGAAAGAGAGCGAGAGATAGGAAAACAAAGAAGAGACCTATAACCCGCCGTCTAGGCGCGTGCTGTGCGCTAGCCTGAAACGTTGCGCTTCCCACCTCCTTTTCTTCCATCTGCTCGAGCTTCTCATCGGAAGGAATTTCGTGGTCGACGAAGAGGTTGAAGAAGGAGTTCGCGTCCACAGTCTCGGCTACCGTTCGTGTTTGCTTTGTCTTTCGGTTCCTCTGCTTCCGAATCACGGTTTTCTTCGTGACATCCTTGCCCTCCAGCCACTCAATCGGCGTGCTGTGAGTGCTTGTCAGCTCCGCACCACGGCCTCCTGGAGCTACAGACAGCCGGTAATCCTTTACTAGCGTGAGCGGCTTGAAGTAGGGATTCTCAACAAAAGTAAATACCAAGCGGAAGCTCTCGGGGTGAGGAGCGCCTGCCTCCGGCTTCGCGGATTGCTGCTGAGAGGCACCTGCTGCGCCCTCAGTAGGAGAAAGCCACTCGCACTGAATATTCCGCAAATACGCGAGAGGACCCTCGTCGTGCTCCTCAATTATATCTGCCAACAAGCGATTCGCCTTAAGAGCTCGCAGCCAGAAAGAGGGCAGCCCCTGAAAATCGCAGTCCAACAACATAGAAGGAACGACATACAGCCATACTGACCGAGATAGATACAGAAAGACAGAGAGTCATACGGAGAAACATATATAGGCATACACATACATACAGACACCCACAGACATACACATACACATATATACATACATACATGCATACACACACGTATATATACATATATATATATACATATATATATACATACACATACAGACATATACATGCATACATACATATAACATATATATATATATACACATAGAGACCAGCATCCTCGTATTGCTGCAGCTAGGCAGGCGGCAACAAGGCGCTTTTTCCCAGGAAAAGGGCGATAGAGCATCGCAGCCACCCTAGAAAAGAGACGCCCTGTGCTTAGAAGATTCGCATTTCGCATGTAAACACCCCCCTCAGCTGGCAGACGCTCTCCCTTCCCTTCCTTACCGGCGTTCCAGTGGCCTCAGTCTCTGCGGACTGACCCTCCGCACCCTGGGGAGACAGCGCTTCGAGCCGTTTCTGGTAGAGGGGCTGATACTTCGCCTCATATTCAAGCTTAAGGCGCAGCACTGCTGCCTCGAAGACTGCCGAAAGAGCAGCGTGCTCTTCCTGAAGGCAGCCACGCAACAGCTCTCTAGCGGACCGATCAGGGGCCCCTCCCCCGTGTTCAAGAGAGAATATCGCCCTTTTCAGTGCTGCATCTTCTTAACGGAGGCAGAAGAGGTCGAGAAGCAACTGTAAAGCGTCCTATATATACATATGCACGAGGGCAGGCAGAGGCCCCCCAAAAGCCGCGCGCAGAGGGGGCCCATACACCAGGTGCGGCGTTTTTTCGCAGAAAAAAATACGCCGACGCGTTCCCTCCAGCTAGTATTATCAAGCCCCCTCCCCCCCCGTACTGCCCGCCCTTGAATTTTATTCCCCTTGTTGCTGCCCTAAGCTCCGTGAGCGTTTCAATAGGCACAAGCCAGACACACGCTCATGTACGAATACCTGCAGCTCCTTCAGCTTCACCACAACTGCCCTCTCCGAGGCGGACAAGGACTCCTCTATTCCAGCCAGCTCGACCTCCCCCCCATCTGAGCCGAGCACGCATCCAAAAATCGCCTGATTCCCCTCGCTGCACGTCTACAAGCAGCCTTTTTGCCCCTAAGAAAGATCCGAAGGAGAGCGTGTTTTTCTCCCCCTTCTCTCCCCGCTTGCCCCAGCTACCACCCCCCAAGGGAGACGCCACCACAGGGACTGGAAATATCGGCTCCCACGCAAAACTCGAAAAGGGCCGCTAGCAGCGCTCTGTCTCTTCACCGAAACGCGCTGGGAACGCACCAACTGTCACGCGCTGAAGCGCTCCAGTGAGAGCTTCCATGTCCTTTACGACGCAAGCACAACGCAGCACCCACAAGGAGAAGGCGAAAAGGTTCAACTTCCTCTTCCCGCAGACACGAAAGGGCCCGCTCTAAGCAAGCCCGCAGTCCAGGAACGTCCCCAGACAGCGACGGTTGCAGTGCGAAATCTCAGATGGAAAGCAAGACACGCTCAGGAAGCCGAGGCATGCCAAAGTGCCTCAAGGCCCCTCACGGGGAAGGCGAGGAAGTTCGTGGGGTTCCCACGCCGCGTCCTTCCCCAGGAGGGAGGGAGAGCCACACGCGTCGTTGGGCACGCCTGTGTTACGCATCGGGGCAGGAAAGGCCTACTTTCTTGTCTTGCGCCATCTCCGGAAGGAAGCGGTGAGGGTTCTGCGTTTGGAGAGTCGCGAGGTGTCGAAGACTCAGGTGCGCGCAAGAAAAGAGCCGAAGCAAGACGAGCGCGCAATCTCGAGGGCTTATTGCTCAGAGTCGAGGACGTCGAATGTATCGACTCCAGACAACCTTGCAGCTTGGACGGAGAGAAAGAAGGGAGAAAGGGGAAGCAGAAGCCGCGGATTTAGAGTTGGTGACTCGTTTTGCAGACCCCTCCTCCCCGACACAGGCCACAGGACCCCACCCCCCTGTGGCTTCTGGCAGGCAGCAGCTGCAGCCGCTGCAGCTGCTGCCTGCCAGAAGCCACAGCCGCTCTCCGCTGCCCCCTCCCCCGCCTTCCGATGTCGAGACCCCTAAGCAAAGACGGCGTTTTCCCTGCCTTCATTTAGAAAAAAAGGACCAGAATATTCAATTAAGCATGTCTATGCCCATCCGAGTCGTCAAAAATAGTTCCAAAGGTCTTCCTGCCCAGAGCAGGACGCGGTGTACGGACACCGGGAGGAGTAGGCCATGCGATCATTGCTGCCGGGCAGCGCGGAAGCCAAGCCGGTTTATGACTCATTGAGATACTTCGCATAGAGTTTTCAGAACACGGTAGCACCAGAAGCCGCATTAGGCGCATTCTTCGGCTTAACACGCTGCAGTCTCTCGCGCGTAGAGCCAGAAGAGGGGCTCTGCGGCGGAAAAATTGACTGGGTTCTCTCGCAATTATCCTTCCTGCATGCACAGTCTCATGCCGTCATGCCGAATTCGGCGGCTGCGGCGGCGGCGGACCGGAGGAGTTCCTCGGGGGATCTCCCGGGGGGCCCCTCCGAGGGGCCCCCCCAAGGGTCCAATGGAGGCGCTGCAACGCTGCTTTCTACCGCGAGGGGAGAGCACCGCTCCGAAGAAGAAGTCCACGAGGCGTACGTAAAGGTTCTGAAAGAGATGACGGGTACTCCCCCTATGAAGCTGCGTCTCGATGCACTGGAAGAAGTTGCTCTTGCCCTTGGAAGCCCCCATCACAATTTTGAGGCCGTTCATGTCGCCGGTGAGTGCTGCGCAGGTGTGGAGGACGGTCTCTCGGAAGGAGTTGCGTGCGTCGGGTGTGTATTTCTGTGAGATGCATTCTTGTTGCTTAGACACGGCACATACACACTACGCATGCGGGTTGGGGATCGCACCATGCGCTTGCAGGAACGAACGGGAAAGGCAGTGTGTGTGCAAAGATCGCCGCTTGTTTGATGGCCAAAGGTACTTCCAATGAATCAGGGTGGGGGGCGTTGGAGGGGCGGTGGGGAGGGGGATGTTGGGGGTTAGCCGATCTTTTAGGGGGGCTTTTATTACCCTCCTTTCTTGGATTCTGGATTTTTTTGGGGGGTGCAGTTACTCTCAAGGCGCCCGTGCAAACGGTGGCGGCTCTCTCGTGAAAGCTCGGGCAGTCAGTCATAGCAGCCGCAGAGCTGCTGCCAGAGGCTTTTCCGGATGCCTCGAGAACGTCTTATCCTCAAAAAATCATGCATGCAGGAGTGCCTGTGTGCATGCGCCTTGGCAGGCTACCGAGTGGGCCTCTTCACATCGCCGCATTTGTTCAGTCTGAGGGAACGGTTTTCTCTGAATGGCACTTGCATTTCGGAGTATTCGTTTCTGGAGGTCTTCGCGAAAGTCAAGACTGCTGCATCCACGGTTGGCGTCGAGCTCACTTTCTTTGAGGTGCGCATGCGCCGCAAGCGTCTGGGCTAGGTGGCTAGCCAGCTACCTTGTGCAGCTAGCCAGCTACCTTATGCAGCTAGGCTAGCTGCCTGGAAACTCCGTGCTGAGAAGGTCCTCAATAGTAGCGTCTAGCGCAAGCAAGCGTCGTCTCCTCTTTGCCACCTGCCTTGGGGGCTAGGAGCTTTAATCGTTGCTTCGCAATAACGCCCTGCCCCTAACAGAGCTAGCGGGAGGGAGGGAGAGCAAGCTGCTCAGATAGCCACACACGACGCTTCCTTCCCCTCTTTCCTTGGCGCATGCGCATTGCAGGTGTGCACGCTGATGGCTTTTGAGTTCTTTGCGTCGGAGAGGGTCCAATGGGCCGTTATTGAAACCGGACTTGGGGGGCGTCTAGACGCTACAAACCTTCTTGTCAATCCGCGGTGCTGCGTTATTACGTCTATAGGTATCGCTTCCTCACACGCGCGCATGCAGGCAGGAAGGCATGCAGGCAGGGAGAGAGGCAGGCCGTTTATTTGGCCGCCTTGTCAAGACTCCCATTTCATGGTGGTAGTGGTATTACTGGTGGTAGCGGTTGTTGTAGTGGTATTACTGGTGGTAGTGGTTGTTGTGGTGGTAATACTGGTAGTAGTGGTTGTTGTAGTGCTATTACTGGTAGCAGTGGTTGTTGTAGTGCTATTACTGGTAGCAGTGGTTGTAGTAGTGGTAATACTGGTGGTGGTTGTTGTGGTGATGCTGCTGCTGCAGCACGCTTTGTACGCCATAAAAATTCTCCGACACAACAAACAAGGGCCTCCAATTAATTGTCTTCTGCGCATGCTTTTCTGGCGTGGGCTCCCTTTTCGTGGCGTTTTTGTGTTGCACCTTTACAGTTTGGTAGCGCTGTGTTGTTCCGTTTGTTTTGCGGTGTATTGACGCTTCACCAGGCTGGGATCATATGCATATTTTGGGCGAGACGCTTGAGGATATTGCGCAGGAAAAGGCGGGAATTTTCAAGAATAAGGTCAACGTGGTGCTTGGTAGGCAACGTCGCACGGGGTGGGGGTTTAGGATACAGCGCTCAGCGATTAGGCTGAGGCCAGGGGGCCCTTTGGAGAACGGGCGATTACGAGAAAAGCTAGAGTGACTGCATTGTTTGCTGCAGCAGGCAGCCTGTCGTTCCGCTGCTGCTTTCTGCAAAGTTAGCGGCCCCTCTGCCTCGAGCGCTACTGTCTTCTGAACGGGGGGAGAAATGGAGGGGGCAGGGAAATAGCGGGGACAAAAGAAGGGGGGAAAAGAAGAGCTGAGGGAGGGGGGGCAAAACAAGGGGGGAAAAAGAAGAGGAAAAGGGGGGGGAAGAAGGGGGAAAAGAAAAGGATGAAGGGGGAGCGGCTTCTTTGGGGCAGCTTTGCGGGGGGTGCCTCTGGGTGTCGAGCAACGCGGAGAGAGGTTGCAAGGAGTGCCGCGTACATTTATGAAGATGCCTCTGCACGCTTGCAGCAGCAGCAGCTCCTCAGCTGTTGTTGCTCTTTACTCGTTCAGCGTCTCTCCGGCTGTGCGCATTCCTTAGGCCCCTCTGCAGCTGCGCTACCGCTCCTGTGGGAAAGGGCGGCAGCTTTGCAGTGTGACGTGTGGGAAATACGGGTAGATCCCCGGGGAGAGGATTTTGATAAAGAAAACAGCAACATTGCCGAGTAAGCACGCTTAAAAACACGTGCGCTGAAGGAGGCACTATCTCGCATGTGGAATTTTTCTGGCGGTTGCCCTCTTTCTTGAGCAGCCTCCTCTCGAGTGCCCTAGTTGCTTCGTTGACTTGGAGCTATTATGCATCCTCGTGTCTATATCCTCCGCTGATGCTACTGCTACTGTTGCTCTTACTGCTAATTGAGGGACAGGCAGCATGCGGGTAGACACGTATAATGCTGCCTGCCCCTCAATAAGCAGCAACGCGTTGGCGTGCGCTCAGAAGCTATCGCGTTCTGAGATGCATTAAATTCCAGTCTTTCCCCCCTTTTTTCGCAGAAATCCTTGTCCCGTAATTGCTGTCGGCTCTGTGTGTGTGTGTGTTGATCGCCTCAGGCTTGTGGCACAAAATGTGCTGCGGCTGGATCTTACGCAAAGTCAGCTAGCTGCAGCGCTTGCGGTGCGCCCCCCTGCGAGGGAGCAGTGGCTGTCTCAGCAGCAGCTGCGAGTTGCTGCTGCTGCTGCTGCTGAGACCAGCGGCTTTTTCAGCAGCAGCAGCAACTGCAAGACGCAGCAGCAGCAGCAGCACCAGCGACAACAACCCCTGGAGGCCCCCTTGGCAGATCCTGCCGCGTCTCTTCCCTTAGGGGTCGTCATCGACGTGGGGCATAATGAGTCAGCAGTGGATCGGCTTTTTCAAGTAGGGCATCTTCTGCCTGTTTATTGGGCTGCATGCGTTTTTCCTCTGTCGACGCGATGTGCCTCTCTCGCTTATTGCTGTGCAACTGCTTCCGCGAAAAACAGAGTCGACAAGCAAGCCGGCGAGACGGCCTGTGCAGAGAGCATTTCTGCCAGTGCGCAACAGGAGGCTCAAGCGGCTGGCATCTTCTGTTGCGCTGCTCCCTAACACTTTTCTTTGAATCAGCTTTCTGTGGCGGCCTTCTCTTTGGAGTGCCGCATGTGTGTCCTCTCTCGTGCCTCTTTGCCCGCCGCAGTGTCTGTCTTCCTCTGTCGGGCTGCTTTCCAGTTTTTCATTCTGTCTGCGCGCGTAGTACCTGCGTGTTTTTTCTTCCCTGCGTCTGCAACAACACCGTCTCGCGCCGCACAGCTTCTTGATTCCAGCCAGCCATTCAGCCTGGTCATGACAGCGTTTTTTCTTCAGGTTGTAGGCCACCAGCATTTCGGATGCCGCGTGCGCGTCGTCTTTTGCCTCTCCGGGGAGAGGCCCCCCACAGTGCTCAACCCCATTGTTGCTCAGCTCTTCTTCCCGCTGAACCAAAGGCTGACGGTAAGGCGGCCGGCTTGCAAAAACTCAACGCGGCTGCACACGCGTGCATCTCCAGAGGCCTTTTTAAGGCCCTTTTCCTCCCTCTCCCCTGCATGCAGCAAAAACGGCTAGCCTTGCCTTCTTTGGGGCTGCTGCCTCGCGTGCCGGCCTTCCCGGGATCCCTGAAGCGCTTCGTTCTGCCTTGAGGCTCACTCTCCGAGGGGCAGGCGGCTTGCTGCGACTCCCCGCTTTCCCCTAGGCTGCCTCATCGCCACTGCCCCCAGGCGAGGGGAAGACGGTCCAAGGAAACTCGGCTCGTGTCATGTTGAGAGGTGTCGACCTTTTCTTCTTCGTTCTCCGCAGGGCCTTCATCTTGCAACGGCTAACCACCCACGGTGTCAGCCCGCTGCGGCAGTGTTTCGGGATATCTGCAGCAACAGCAACTGCAGCGCAGAGTAGGCGGCTCAGGTTCTTCACCGCCCCAGAGTCGCGCGTGGGGGTGAATGCATATGCTCTCAATCTTTATTGTGTGTTGGCTACACGCATCACGCGCTAGCCATTTGCTGATCTCCCTTTCCCCAAGAATTGTGAGGGCTGCCGGTGTCACGGTCGCCTGCGGGGGTTGCAGCGGATGATGCGGCTTAGCATGCCCACGTCTGTCTGTCCTTGCGCCGAGCGTTCATATCCACCGTTTCGCTCGCTAGGTGCTACTTTGGGGCTTTGCAGGCTTCGCACGCTGGTGACGGACGGCTTCAGGGAAGCGGCTCTCTGGCTGTCAGACACCCCAGACAGGGCAGCAGCAGCAGAGGCAGCAGACCCCATGCAGCTCGCAGCACTTATCACCCCAGGTAGGAGGTGACTGCTAAGCTCGCTGGCTGTGATGGCATCCAGGATGCGAAAAGAAAGGCACCTGACGCTCGTGCTCCCTCGAGAGTGCATGAGGCGGCTCCAGATGAATGGGGGGTGGTATTTGGATATGGTGGTATTTGGATATGGCGGTAAATGGATATGGCGGTAAATGGATATGGCGGTACAGGGTGATTTTAATTATGGATATATTGGTGGTGGCATATAGAGGGTGGTATATGGATGTGGCGGTATAGGGTGATTTTAATTATGGATATATTGGTGGTGGCGTATAGAGGGTGGTATATGGATATGGTGGTATGTGGACATGGTGGTGGTATATGTATGGTGGTATATGGATATGGTGGGGGTAAATATATGGTGGTATATGGCTATGGCTATGGTGGTGATGGTGGGGTTTTTGCAGGAACCCTTCCTCGTCTCTTGCAGAAGGCCTTTGCAGCTGCTGCAGCAGAGGGGTCTGTCTTGGCTGTCTGCGGCACCTTCTTCATGATGCGTGAAGTCTTTCAAACCTTTGGCATGAATACGGGTGAGGGTGTTTGTGGGCATAACGGTCTGAAGGGGTCGCGCCTCCTGGTGAGCGGGAAGCGGGAGGAAGGGGGGAAGGATTATACAGCACTCGCATCCCTCGCCGAAATGCGGTGTATGCGCACCTCTCAGGCCCAATAGACCCCATGGACATGAACGAGAGGAGCCCCACAACAGCCTCGCCGCAAGAAATTAAAGCCGCCACTGCGTTGCAACCCCACGATTAGATGCAGCAGCCGTGATGACCATCCCCACGGCTGCAGCGCCTATTGCAGTCGCGCACGCTGTGTCGTGTCTGTGTCCAGCTGACACTCTCTGGGGCTGCGTCTTTGGAATTTGCGCGGCATTGACTGACTCCAGGCCTCGTCTGCCCCTCCCTGACAGCCGTCCGCTGCAGCTTTTTGTTTTTTCTCTGCCTCCTGCCATGTACGCATGCAAGTGTGCATGCATGTATGTATGCATGTATGCATGCAAGTGTGCATGGGGGGCTCCTCGCGTCTTCTGGACGTTCCGCCGTGCTTCCCGTTTCCCTTCGCACACAAGCGTGTGGACGCCTTTGTAGAAGATCTCTAAGGCCACTAGCATTTCGCTGTATTCAAAGGCCGCAGCACTCCGTTTGAAGGGACCCGCCCCGTTCCATGAGTCTTCTCAGCGCAGCGGGTGGTTCCTGCGTTTTTGTATCATAGGGCGACCCTCTTGAGTTTCGGAGAGTGGGGATAAGAGGGGGTGGGGGAAAAGCGCGTCAGCTTCATACGCGCCGCTTAGAGACTTTTTAATTAACGCTTGGACTTGCTGCGGGAGCCTTTGAGAGGGTAGAGATAGAGGGCCTCTCGGGCTCTGGTTTCGCTGTCAAGCGACTGATTTGCCTTTAGCCGGGGGCGGAGCCGCAGCTGCTGCTTTGTCTGCTGGTTTGGACACATGCACGCGAAAGAAAAACCCGGTTGTACATCAAGTGGGGGCGAATAATAGGGTGACCTCCCTTCAGGAGTGCCCTCTGTTAGAATTGGAATGATGTACCGAGAGAGGGTAGCATGCCCCGTTTCATGAGTCCTCTCAGCGCAGGGGTTGCTCCTGCGTTTTCGTATTAAAGGGCAATCCTGTGCGTTGAGGGCCGTCTTTTCGGGCAGGCAGCACGCTGAGACGTAGCCTCTCTCTTAGAACTCGATACCTCAAATACTGATTTGGAAGCCTCAGCTTCAGGACGTTTCCTTCCGTGCACTGAGAGACTCCTGTGCTGCGAAGGAATAAGCAGGAGCCTGTTAGACGCAGCTCAAAAGGCAGGCAGCCCTTTCGGTCCTAGGCCCCTTCGCGGCATGCACGCCACCTACCGCGTCTGTCTACGCATATCCCGTGCGCTTCCCCCTGTTTCTTCGTATTCAGCGGTGCCAGCTTTTGTAAAAGTGCCTGCGGGTGGTGCTGCTCTGGGAAAATGACGCTTGTAGCCCGTTTGGTGGCCTATGTGTGTGTGTGTGCGGAGAAGGAAGGGAGGAAGAAGGGGTAGGGGGCCACGATGGTTGCAACGAATGCGATGGGTGTTGCTGCTGCAGCAGCTGCACACCTCGCTGCAGTAGTCGATAGAAAAAAAGGTGCGCGCCTTCCCAAGGAGGCTCAGCTTCTGCAGAAGCTGAGCCTCCTTGGGAAGCCCAGCTGTCTGTCGGTGTCGGCCGTAGGGACAGAGGGGCCTTTGCGCATTTCGCAGACCCCTGAGAGAACGAATCTGCGTTTGACGCCTGCCTGCCTCAGTCAGTCGCTGGCTGGTGCTGCTGCGAAGGAGGTGCTGTTTGAAGGTGCGAGAAGAGCATATGCGTTTTTTATTCAAACGGTCGATAGGCAAGAAAGCATTCGAAGCCGCATATTCTGTCTGGTTCAGGGAGAGCAACACTTGTCGAGCGAATGCCTCATGGCGGGTTTGTGTCGTGCGTGTGGCGGTAGCTGCTGCATTGTGTTTGTGCTCCTCCTGGGGGGCGTGGGGTCGGTGCTGCTGCTGGCGCTGTTGCCATGGCAGCGAAGGCTCCGCGCGAGCAGCAGCAGCAGGGGCAGGGGCAGGGGCAGCGGCAGTGCAGCAGCCGGTGTAGCCGCTGCTGCACTGCTGCTGCTGCTGCTGCCCCTTGCCTTACACGACGTGAAGAGTAATAGGGACAGAGACAGACACGAGCTGCACAAGGCGCCGCCGCGCGGCCCCTAGTTGCGCGGCAACTTCGGGTGCAGCCCTGCGGATGTATACCAGCGCTAGCGTTGCCTTGTACACGCCACGCACCAGCCTCTTGGCATCTAGGGAGAGAGTTACGGTTTCTGCAGCCTCGCCGTCTAGGTGCAGTGCGTGGTGAGAGGGGAAAGCGAACAGAAGCCGTGCTAGGAGCACAGACCGGAGGGCGTTTAGCCGTCCCTCGGTCAGTGACAGCCCGACGTGGCGCTTGTCTGTCTCGCCCCCCCGAATAAGCACGTCTATGACTTGCTGCGGAAGGGCCAAGGGTGTCAGCGAGACTATTTCCGCGGCAACACCACTCACCATGGGAGCAGACATGCTGGTCCCGCTAGTTACGCGATAGGACCCCGGAAAAAGCAGCCCTGAAGCGCCCCCTGAGGAAGAGGAGGTCGTAGCGGGGGGAGCAGAAGAGGCAGACGCAGATTCTCGCGTGCGTTGCACTGCGTCTCCAGGAGGCCGCCACGTGCTAGCGATCAGCTCGCCAGGGGCAGTTAGGTGAACAGATTCCTTCCCCCGATTTGCCCATGAGGGAACCGTTCCTTCACGCGTATACGCGGAAACCGTGACTGTCCAATCTCTCGTAAACGAGGCAGGGTAGTAAGGAGCCACCGATATATCTTGGCCCTCATTTCCTGCTGCGATGATAAACACGGAGGACGAGGCCCGAGAGACTGCTTGCTGCAATAGAAACCCTAAAATGTGTGCAGCCGCGCCTGCAATCCCCGACATACAAATTTGCCACAATCAACACAGACTGACAGACCTGCAAACTTGCAAACAAATACTACGCTGAGGAGGGAGGCGTCTATATATATATATACATATATAAGCGGCAACTAGAGAAATTGAGCAGTCCAAAGCACGAGATGCCGCAGCACCTCTGTGCACGTATAGGCCCGCTGGCATGCGGCACAACGCAAATGCATTCTATTTCTCCACCTATCTACTGGTGTACCTACAGCCTAAATCTACGCATAGCAGACTTTTATAGGCAGCCAGCCGTGACAAGAGAGCAGATGAAGAGGACCGAATTGCATAAAGGATATGTGTATATATTATATAGACATAATTATGCATATTTGTAGATATTTATATTTGTGGAGCGGCATTTGTATGTACAATTATATACTTTTGCATATATGTGTACATATATTTGTGAATGTAGAGGCAAAGATATAGGCAGAGATAGATGTCCACTTGCACAGATAAACATAAGAACGCAAAATGAGACAACTGTAAATACATAGCACCTCAAGAGAAGGGGCACGCAGTGTCGTTTGTTTGTTCTACGGCTCACCACTAACACCTCCCCAAGAGTTTGTAATGACCCTGGCGCCGTTATCGGTTGCATATTTGATTGCTGGAATTGCGTGAGAGACGTCACCTTCACCAGAGGCGTCAAGAATTTTGAGGGCCATCAAACGTGAGTGGTGGCTTATCCCCGTAACGCCTTCTCTATTATTTCTCTGAGCCGCTATGATTCCTACAGGCCAATACCGCACGGGGGAAGGGGGGAGGCAGAGCACGGCAGAAACAATGAAGATGACTAAGAGTCGGTGTGAATGGGCAGACGCATACAGCTATATTACAATAAAAGGACTCCTATGGATGCCGTGCTTGCTGGGTGTTTGTTCATGGAGGAGCTGCACAAAGGAGGGGGTTAGACAGGAAACGTGGGAGTGCAGAACAAAGAAGCTTGCGCTTTTTTGACGTGAAACGTTAGGTTTCACCATGAGCAACACAAGATCTGCGAGGAAGATGTAGGCACGGGAGACGGTCTAGTGGATGCAGCAAGTGTACATACACTCCACAATGAGCAGCAAGCAGTCCTTGACCGGAAAGTAAATCCTACTGCGTAATACGAAAAATTGATTTATCATTACACATATATCATATACCATATATATATACCTGCAACATGAGAGCCATGTCCATTGTCATCCATGGGGTTGTTGTTATTTGCAAGAAAGTTCCAGCCAAAGACGTCATCTACAAATCCGTTGCCATCGTCATCTACATTCGTCTGGGACGCCCATGCAGCGCAGAATTTTGCAAGCGTATGCTGCATTCGACTGCAGATTGATCAGGTTTCCCTTAGCGCTACCTCTGTGTGTCAGTTCGCCTGTCTGTCTCTGCGTAAGGCACTAGAGGGAGAGAGGGGCCTGAAAGGGGAAGGAGAGGCCCTGTCTGTTATCTCTCATCAGTGGGCCCCCTGTTTTGGCCAGTGTAACAGGCGTCTCTGCCCCTATTTTGTTTGTACAGCGGGAGAAAAGGCGCTGGCACCAGCCCCTCTATCGCCTTCTCCCTGTTTTCGTCTGTCTCCCTCAGCCTGCAGTCTGCTGCTGGTCTCTTTGCCGTGCCGTGCTCTGTAGGCCCCCCTCGTTTGCACTGCAAGTCACTGCAACGCTCTGCTTTGCAAGACAGACAGACAGACGCTAGAGCGACTCACCTGCCCGTACACCTCCTTGAGATTTAGCCACATCGATGGAAACAGCTCGGGATGCAGATAATTCACACCTAGCACAGCACAGCAGAGCAAGGTAGACGCAGGGGATGCCCGCAAGCTTTGGCGGCAGGGTGGATGCACAATAGATGAGGAGGCCACTACAGACAAGCCCCAAGAAAGCCTTCATCGCAAAGAAGGCCGCAATACAGCGCACGCAGCCCCACAAAGATGCGCAGGAGAACCACAAAGGAAGGCAGAAGCAAGGCACGCATGTCTGTTTTCAGAGAGAGAAGATATGCGAGGGACAGACGTCGACTACTTCTTTCGGAAAACAGCACCACCCAAAGGCGCCTCCTTGAAGGCATGCACGGCGAGGGCAACACGACACGGAAAGAAAAGGAGGAGGGATAGAAAGAAGTGAGACACATAGATGCATGCCTCTATGTGCACATGCATCTATGTGTGAGTCTCTGCCTCTTGCCTGTGTCAACAACGGCCACCGGCACGGCTGTGTCTTTAGTTTGCTCCAAGGCTCCCCATTCCCATGTTCTTAACATGTCGATACCCCGATCCACATGTGCTGATCCGTGCGGCTGTTTGAGAGGGGGGGCCCCGCCGTTGTTGGCGCTGCCCCGCTCCACAGCAATCAAGGGGCTGCTGCTGCTGCTGCTGCTGCTGCTGCTGCTGTCGATGTCTCTGCTAACGCCTTGGCAGAGGTCTCTGACCTTAAGCAGTTGCGCTCTCGCTTGATCATTTCTCATTAGCCACTGAGAACCCCAGGCGTCCCCCAGAAGAGCCGCTGCATTGCCCGCTTCGCACGCCGCAGCCAGGGGCCCCCCGCGAGGCAAGGAGGCCCCCAAACCCCACTGCAGGCCAAACAGCGGATCGTTGGGGGCCCCCAGCGGGGAGGCTGCCGCCACCGACGAACGGGGACCTTGTGTCGCGTTCCGCTGAAGCAGCTGAGAGCTGGACGCCTCAAGGGGCTCTCCTGCAGCAGCTGCAGAGACTCGAGACACTGTCTCCTCCATGCCGATCCCCGCTGCCGCCTTGCGGAGACTTTGGTCTGCAGGGGCCTGCTGCCCCACACTCTCCGCTGCATCCCTCTGTGCCCTTATGGGGGCATCCGGTGCAACGAAGAGGATGTCTCTGCCGTATGCCGATCCAAGAAACTGCAGCAAAAAGGCCCTCAAAGAGGATAAATCCCTCTCTCGGCTGCCGTTGTTGCTACTGCTGTTACTGCTACTGCTGCTGTTGCTACTGCTGCTGTTGCTACTGCTGCTGTTGTTACTGCTGCTGTTGCTGCTGCGGAAGTGCAGCGTGAGGAGGTCAACCCCGCAGAGGTCATCCGACTCAAGAAGCGAAGCGGGCGCTGCTGAGCGGCTTTTAGGCGGAAGGGGGAGGCTCTCGCTTTTCCACTGCTCTTTTCCCCCTTCCTCTCCTTTGTTGGTAGTCCTTGCCAGCTTCTGCATGCGACGGGAAGTGGCGCTGTCCGCAGCAGCCGCAGCGGCGGCAAATGCCTGAGCGTCCACCAGAGTCACCTCTTCGGAGTGAGGGGGGGGGCCCCCAAAGGAGGCCCTCGCCGGCGGGGAACTCTCCCGCATGGGCTTCCCCGGCAGCGCTCTGCTGTAAATGTGGCGAACCTCTTCCACGACAGCCCCAGAGGTGTTCGCTGCTTCCAACAAAACCTGCAGTCTACGCCTGCTGACGCTGCCACCTTCGGTGTAGGCCAGCTGCTCAGTGTCGCTCCCACCAGCAAGCCGAGGATCGTCGTGCGCTGCCTTCTCCGAGACGCCCCCCGACAATCGCCTCGCCGCATGCATCCCCCCATCCAGCCTCGTCAAAGCGCCGTTAAGGACCCCCTCCAGCGCCTTCCCGGGGGAAGGCCTCGCGGCGTGGGCTGCTGCGGCTGCATCTTTTGTCGCGGCGGCAAACATCGCAGGGTCCAGAGAGATCTCCGGGGGGATGTAAGGCAGGGGGACTGTTGAAGGCACCTCCTCGCCAGAGAGCGTCGTCGCGCCAATGCTCTGGCTGCTGTCTTCGCTGCTGTCTTCGCTGCTGTCTTCGCTCTCACTGGATCTCCTTAAACCCGTAGGTGCAGAGACCTCCGCAGTCGCGGGGAGGGGAGACACCCCTCCAAGCAAGCGCATATTCGCTTGCCTCCTCAGCTCCCGCCTTTCCTCATGATTGCAACGCCACCCCACAAGAACTCTATCGGGGTAAACTTCCTTAGAGCTGAAGGCCGCAATATCTACTACGACTACCCGCTGCCCCTGCTGCTCCGCCCCCTCCTCCTCATCAACATCATCAAACGCAACACTCAGTTCCTCATCCTGCAGCTGCTGTCGCGCTTGGCCTTGCCGCCGCCTCTCCTCTTGCTGCTGATGACTTTGCTGCTGCTGCTGATGACTTTGCTGCTGCTGGTGCTGTTGTTGCCTTTGCTGTTGTTGTTGCTGCTGTACCCCATTAGGGTGCAGAGACTCGCCAAACCCGAGAGGAGGGGCCTCCCATGCTATGGCCTCTGGAGCATCGGCCTTTGCGTCGCGAACTGGCAACTGCTGCAAGATCCTTGAGAACTTTCGCCCCACTTGCATTTGTTGCTGCTGCTGCTGATGATTTTGCTGCTGCTGCTGATGACTCTGTTGTTGTTGCTGATGATGCTGTTGCTGCTGCCGTTGTTGCTGCTGCCGCTGTTGCTGTTGCTGCTGCTGCCGTTGTTGCTGCTGCTGCTGCTGCCGTTGTTGCTGCTGCTGCCGTTGCTGTTGCTGCTGCTGCTGCCGTTGCTGTTGCTGCTGCTGCTGCCGCTGCTGCTGCTGCTGATGCTGCTGTTGCCCTCGCCTCTCTGTGTGGGGCCTCCGGCGCGTGCGCGCAATCGCCTCTACCCCCATTGCTGCCCCCAGCTCTGCAGCTACAGAAGCATCCACACGCTGCTGCACTGCAGCGGAAGCTGCTGCTCCTGCTGCGATTGATTCTGCATTGAGCACCTCAGACAGTGTAAGCCGCAAAAGATGCGCCTCCCGCTGCTTCTTTTGCTGCTGCTGTTGTTGCTGCTGCTGCTGCTGCTGCTGCAGCCTACGCCTCGGACTCTGTCCCTCGTCGAGCTCCAGGGGCCCCAGCCGTTGCCTGATCGATGAGATCGGGGAGGCGGTGAATTCCACAGGCCCCTCGAAGAAGGGCAGTGTCAGAGAAGTCTTTTCCCGCACGTCTTTTTCCCCGTTTCGCTCTTCTCGCCTCGACAACTCCGCCTTCTGCTGCGGCTTCTGCAGGTGTCCTCCAGCGGCAGTCATCGTCGCCTCCTTGAGAGTAGCGGCTGTCTGCTTCCAGTCTGTTAACAGCCGTACCGAGAGTTTCACGGGGGCCCCCGCCATCACGCGCAGTGCGACTGTGGCAGAGCCTCCCGGGGGCACCCTCGCCTCGATACGCCTGAGGCTGAGCTGTAGATCCTCGATGGCAACCCCCAAACCGTCGAGACGCTCTTCGCCAGCGTTTTCCCCCTCCTCCTGCGCAGCATCGAGGCTTCCCTCCTCGTCAGTCTCTATAGGCATGCCCAAAGGCACTGCAATCGTAGAGGCAGCGCGGGCACTGCGAGGCGCTCCTAAAGCTGACAGAGGAGTTTCCAACGCGTATGTTTGAACCACTGCTCTTAGGCGCTCAGTAGAAACCCCGCGAGGGTCTCCGGGGGCCCCAAGGCCCGAGAGCGTGGGCTTCGGTGGGGGCCCCTCCTGGAAGAAAATCTTAGGCGCACCTCCACTAGGAGGCTCCCCAGGTGCTCTGTCTACGATCTGTGACGCATGCAAATCGGCAACCCCATCGCGGCGCTGCCTGTGTGGCCGCCTGCCTTTACTTGCTGCCGTGCCTGCAGCTCCCGCGGCAGGTTGAGGCGTCTCGTGATCTCGTTCCCCGTAGACTCTCCGCTCTCCTCGCAAGAGAGCGGCTGAGGACTGCTCCCGGAGCTGCGGCTCCCGCTGGTCTAGCGGCAAATCTAGTGACGCGTCTAGTGACGCGTCTAGGGGCACGATCCCCTGGGGGCCCCTTTTAGCTGAGGGCCTCCCTCCCTGCCCTGGGGACGCCGCAAGGCCTTGCCTGGCAGGCCCTTTGTTGGGAGTGCCTCGTGCTGCAGGCGCTTTGCGCAGCAGTAGAAGGAGCAACACGAGCAGGAAAAGGCATAGCCTTCTGAGGGTCCTGGGCATAATAAGTGGAGGCCTTCTCAGAGGAAGGCCCCCACCAACACTGCGATGACACCCAAGGGGGAGCAGAGGCCCCCTTGGGGGCAGGGGCCTCTGTCCCATGCCAGCTGGGGACTGCCCCTAACCCCGTAGAAGCCTGATTTGGCGGCCACAGGGTCGGCCGTTGCTGCTGCATGCTGCTGCAGGGGCTGCAGCGCCCGTGGTACTGTTCAACGCGGTCCTATGTGGCCTACATGAGCGGGGAGGGCATAGACCCCGCATAAAACGAAGGGGAAAGAAGACAAGGACCTCGTGATCAGAAAGGGCGGGCAACGCGAAACTTTTGCGATAAACACTCACGATTCGCCTTCCTAGAGGGTTCTCTACCTGTCAGGTCAAAAACCTGAGCTGTATGTACAGCTGAGAGAGCCCTGCAGCTGGTGTGGTTTGCCCCTTCCCTCTGTGTCTTGTGCGGTACCACAGACCAGGGTTCGGGCCTTAAAAGGACTTCTTATCCGATAGACGATCTCTTTCAAGTGCACCCAGCACAGCAAAAGCCCTAAAATAAAAATGTGATCTGTAGTGATGCAGACGCATGCGCATTGGCAGAGGGAGGGTCTACAGGGTCACCGGAACGTTGTCACCAGCATCCACACCAGCAGCATTAGCACCAGCGGCGACAGCAACGGCAATGCCACCAAAACAGAGTGGCGCTTCTTATTTGCTCCCTATTTCCTTTAGAATATCTTACATTTGTTATTTCAAAAAATCTGGTCACCCCGGATGCCTGCATTCAAGAGAGCAATAGTTTGGGATGAAAGGGTGCAAGGTGCACCACCGGTGTGGACCGCTGAACTGAATGGTACGTACGCCTCGGCCGCCTACGGAGAGTGACTACTGTCACTTCTCCTGCTAGTTCCGTTATTTCCTTTCACTTGTATATATGGCTAATTGAACAGGAGGGAGGACGTCCGTGCAAAGAGAGGCAGACAAGCTACAGGGCCCATCCTCGAACACAGAGTAGAATTTTTCGATAAAGAGGCATTAATCCTTGAACAAAACACGAAATCGCCAGCAATATTGTTTTGCTCGCTTCGCGCTATGCCAAGCACCCCAGCTGAGTCCCCATAGTCCCTCCGCATACACCTGCGAGGCTGCAGGCATTGCCTACAAACACACTGGTACACGGAAAAACTGGCCTAACGCCCGGTTCACAATTGGCACCTTCATTATTTCTGCGTCTTCCAGCTGTACTGATGGGGTGCAGCCATACTTCTGGGACGTTTGCACCTTGTAACGACCCAAGCTACACCTAGGCACATTTGACTACACTGGCTATGGAAAACACACTCGTCTCTCCAGGGCTTATGACGCAACGGTACCGCAACTGGCTCAAGAACAGAACGCTGGGAGTTTGAGTCACTATGGGCTCCTTTTCGCGTGTGATTCCTGGTTGGCTTCCTTTTTTTTTTGCATACATCTTGTTTCTTGCAGAGAAGCGCCAGCTGATTGCAGTAAGACAGACTATTTTGTGCATGCGGACGAGATGCTATGTGCGACTAGCTGTGAATGCACGAAGTGCTACGAGGGTGCAGCAGCGCTTAGCCTAGCTGCTAAAGACTCCGAGACTACAACCAGATATAGTAGATGGTTGGCAGAAGGCCGCAAAAGGAGTGAAAATGCAAAACAGACAGCAGGAAAGCCACAGGTTGAAAGGAGAGCGTGTACAGGAAATCTGAAGAGACGAAAGCAGCCAACGGATTTCACACAAGACTTTTAGTGCAGATGGGGCACTGGCTGAGCCCTTATCGGATCACACGGAGACGCTCCCTCCTACGTTAACTTATGCTCCTGGCTGTAACGTTGATGAGAAAGAGACTGAGCCTCAAAATACTCGGTGGGAGAAAGGTGATGCACTAAGGAAGAAAAGCTAATTAACACATAAGAAGAAGAGCAGTGCCTCACTAAGTCACGGAAGGGCATGGCTATATGGACTCCAGGCACTAACTCTTTAGTTCAGCTGGCGAGTACTTTTGGCCCTCCCTGTGATTACAGAGTCAAACCAGCTTGAGAAATCCTCAGTGTGGCTGCAGAAACAGCTCCACTGGAGTAAACACGAGCACGCTGCAGGGCAGCAGGTGCAAAACGCTTCATCAAAAGCCTCCGTTGGAAGGCACCTAGCTCCAAAGATAAATAAAACTTGATAAAACTTATCAAATGTTCCTTATAAAAGACTTTTTTCTTCACCTGCCTGCGCCTCTCAAATTTTTTGGCATGAGAAGAGATGGTCAGCCAGGGTGCGCGTAGCTGCACTCTTCATGCAACCTAAGAATTCACATCTGGGTGGACTTACCGCCCAGCACATACTTACCTAACGTTGCATGTTCGTATATGGAGCTACAAGTGAAGTGTAATTAGAAAGTGATCAGACCGACAAACCAAGTAGGCGTTTCCTTGCTGGCTCTCAGATAAATGTAACTAGTGTTTGCAAAGGGCTCACGCGTAGCTTTGTTCGCTACCCTAAGAGTTGTTGTATTCGTTAGATCGGGGGCGGGGAAGGGGAGGAGGGCACGCACAGAGCGGGCTGCGGCTAGCCAGCATTGCAAGAGATGTATGACGCTCAACATGAACAGAAGGGTGGTGCCTTGAACCTTCACGCGCTTGTTTGCATAGGGGCAGTCTATTCTGCAGTAGTCCCTTATGATAAGCTGCAAAAGAGGTCGGTTGTGTTCTCAACATGCATTCTTGAGGGCCAGCACCGTTGAGATACCCAACTTCTGGCATCTCTTCTACTTCCTTTTTCGGTGTGTGTACACCTCGTTTGTCTTTTGTGCCTCCCCGACTATCGCGGAATCGAAGCACTCAGGTTTGAGCGGCGCTTGTACTGCCAGATGCGCAATGGTTCATGCCTCTCCATAGCATGAAATAGGCTAAGATAAGAAGCAAACAGTTTTGGTTCAGCTTGATTCGTGTATTTAGTAGCCAGCCACCGATTTTTGGTGCGTACCAGCCAGAGGCGAGACACCATTAATAGGCAGCCTTTACTTGCCAGCAGGAGGAACACGTGCGAAAATGCAAAAATACCGAACGACAGATGGTAGAGCAGAGTCAGTGTACCAAAATTTTGAATGGATGAAGCAAAAGAATTGATTTCGTATGCACACGCGTGGCAAAGCGTTACGGTAGTCCTACACATGGGGTCCCTCGACCCTGGAAGGTGCAGCCAGCGTCTGCTGCTGGTGCTCCTGTTGGTGCTCCTGCTTCTATCAGCACCCTACACGATTGCTTTTACGCTGCTATTTATTCCTTTGATTCATCTTGACGCACGTGCTGCTGCACACATTAGTGTTCTGATACGTGTACGTTAAGGGTTTAGAGTCCACGATCTTCACTAAAGATGTCTTCCGAGTTCCTTTTTTCCAGAGCCTGTGGGCTGCTAAAGCAGCAAAAAGGTCTGAAGCACAATCTCAGGGAATTGCTCAAGGACGAAGCCAGAAATGATCGCATGTTCAGAGAATTTAACGGTATGACTTCTCTAAAAGCCACACCAGGCCTTGAAAGCCAGGGCTTTGTGGCAGAGGCTTTCATCGCCGCCAGAAACTCAAGGGCTCAAATCGCTCGAGCCTGAAGCTAGTAGACGAAATGTGCCGCGTTACCACCATGAATTTCCACGCTCGCAGCGCGCCCAGTGTCTCAGGTGTACGTCCACGCGGCTTGGGGTTTGTGTGCAGGCATCTGCATGGACTTCAGCAGACAGCTCATTGATCAGCAAGGCCTCGATGCTCTGTTGGAACTATCCAGGGAGCGCCGAGTACGAACATTAAGGCCTCACGAGCTTCACAGGGCAACTGCCTGCTTGTGTTTTCTATGCATGCCTGCCTGCGTATAACATGTCGAACAGGCCCCTATGCTACCCGCGGCGTGCTGGGGTCGTGTGGTGCCGGCGTGTGCTGTGTGACTGTTGCAAAGGGGTCAGCGCCCCTCCCCCTCCCCCCTCCTATCCGTGTATCACTTGCGACGTATGTTGCAGTGTGAGCGCGTGCGTTGGCGTCTAGGTCTTGGAGCAAGCAAAGGCCATGGCTGCGGGAGAGAAAATCAACACAACAGAGGGCCGCAGTGTGTTGCACTTCGCTTTGCGAGCACCCAAGGGCCAGACGCTTCGAGTGGGGGGAGAAGATGTCGTCGCCGAGGTTCACAAAGTCTTGCATCGCATCAAGGAGTTTGCAGACAGCATCAGGAACGGTCTGTCTCGAAGGCCCCGCTTCAAAAAATGTGCCTAAATCAGAAACCGCCGTCAACACAGCCTGCAGAACCTAGTCACAAGGCTCTCACCTTGCAGCGCATATATACATATATATGTGCACATGGTGTAGTAATCTGCTTCTCCCTTGATTTCTGAATCTCTTCCCCCGTTAGTGCAAAAAGCAGAATTGGTGTCCTTGGAATTTCATGCGTGGTTCCTGGACTTATCTGCACGGAGCTGTGCGTGCCTCTCTACATCTCTCTCTATATATGCATATTCGAATGCATGTGAAACACTCTGTGCACCTACACCTCACGGTTACGAGCAACGAACGTGCGCTGGTTTTCTGTTTAGGCACTCTTAGGGGCGCGACTGGCAAGCCTCTGAAGAATGCGATTTGTGTTGGCATTGGCGGCAGTTACCTGGGCAGCGAGTTCCTCGTGGAGAGCCTCAAGACAGACGCCTCTGCGGCTAAGCAGTCGGAGGGGCGGACTATCAGGTCCGCAAGCGCGAGCAGCCTGGGGGTCTCTTGCGCATTGCGGCTGAGGGGTTTGTCTTGTGCTGTGCTGGGGAGCATTGAGGCTTGAGCGTTTGGGTGCTGGACGCTTTCCGAGGTGTACGTACTTCCTCAGATTCCTAGCCAACGTTGATCCCATCGACGTATCCCGCGCGACGGCCGGCCTTCGCCCCGAGGAAACTCTGGTGATCATCATCTCAAAGACCTTCACGACTGCAGAAACGATGCTGAACGCACGGGCGCTGAAGCAGTGGCTGCGGGAGGGAATCCACGTGGAAGAGGAAGCGCTCGGTAAGCTGGAGCGGCGGGCCGGGGGGCACATACTGTAGCGACACTGAGGAAAAACCCGTGATTGCGCCGTCGCGTCTCAAAATAGGAGGCTGCGAAAGTAGGAGGTAACGCGAGGCTTCGCAGGCACAGGCCTCTCTAGAATAGTGGCAGTCTGCGCGCCTCGTGTATTGGCGACCCCTAAGGGTGCGTGCGAGACTCCAACATGTCCTCCCTGCTGCGCGCAGGGAAGCACTTGTGCGCTGTCAGCACCAACTTGAAGCTCAGCTCCGAGTTTGGGATTGCTGAAGAAAGGGTGTTTGGATTCTGGGACTGGGTTGTGAGGCTGCCCTTGAGCTAGTTTGAATTTGAAAGCACAGGCGTTCCCGCGATTTTCCCCAGTAGCCTCTTGCACTCGGGGTCTAGGCTTCGGAGGCAGCAAATCTAGTGTTGTATTGGGGGAGTGGCTTGGGGGGCACTTTTTTGAGCGAGGATGGAGGACTGAGGGCCAACTAACGCCCCTTCGCCGTTACTGTAGGGCCTAACAGATTTGCGTTCTGGGCTGTAGACTGGCTTCGGTGTCTGTTATGAAGAGAGCTTCCTCTAGACATTTCTTCGATTGGGGGTGTTGCTCGCTCAGGGAGGGCGCTTCTCTGTGACTTCTGCTGTCGGCGTTTTGCCACTGGCGATTCATTTCGGGTTCGACGTCGTCGAAAGCATCTTGAAAGTGAGGAGCAAACAGCAAGCGCGGGACCGCTCTCCCCTGCCGTTTTCTCGAGCATTTGCTCCATTTTGTGTCCCCTCCTCGCGCGGTTCTTTCTCTGGAGTTCCTCTGCATGGTGGTTTGGAGCTTGCGGCTGGACGGCTAATTTGCAGGGCTGTCATGACATGGACAATCACTTCCTGCAAGCGCCTCCCGAAAAGAACTTGCCCTTGCTGCTCGGGCTTATCTCCGTGTACAACTCCTCCGTCCTCCAGCTGAACTGCGTTGCTGTATTGCCTTACTGCCAGGTGACCAGCGAGGCTGCGCGATAAAGGCGCTCCGGGAGAATATTTTTCGCTACACCCTGACTAGTCCTAGTCGTGCATGTCCCCTTGCACACTGGCGTTTCGCCTGCATCTTACCGGGAGAGTCGTTGTTCGAGGGCGTTCTGACCGTCCTTTCAAGCGCAGCCCTCCCTAGTGTTCACACGGCCTCTGCTTCTTCTGCGCTCGCTTTCTCCTCCTCAGGCCATGCACCGATTCGCTGCCCATATTCAGCAGCTCACCATGGAGAGTAACGGTACGCCCCTATGCTAGGAGGGGTCCCCCAGAGTCAAGGAAGGCTCTGCGCCTCCCCCAGCAGCTCTCTGTGCGTAGCTTTCTCTTCTCTCGGAAGACTGAGCATGACCCGCCTTTATTTGCCCTGAGACTGCTGAATGCATTGGAGACTGGGCAGCTCAAAAAGGAATCTTTGCATGCCACCCTGCGCGCGTCGACCCCTGAATCACTGATGCTCAGCAGCGCACGGAGGAACAGGCGCATCCAACAAACGCGCGACTTAGGGTATGGTTGGTGGCCGCTGCAGGCAAGGGCGTTGACTTGTCGGGAAAGCCGCTCGCAGGTCCAGCAGGCGAAATATACTTTGGCGAACCAGGAACCAACGGGCAACACAGGTGTGTGCCAATCGTGAGAAATAGAGATCCGTGTGGCGGGAAGCTGGCCGCTTTTTCCAGGTAGTGGTCCGAGACGTAAACAGGGGGATCTTTGTTTTGGAGATGCGAAACGCAAATATTCCTGTCGTTTCCGGGGCCTGGTGTGCATGCACGCAGCTTCTACCAGCTGCTACACCAGGGCCGAATTATTCCAGCCGAGTTCATTGGTTTCAAAAAGTCCCAGACCCCGATCAACCTTCCGGTAAACCTCCAAAAAGCGCTGGCGCCTGCCCACACCGACACCCAGACGCACAGTTACAAACATACACATGCGTACAAACACTCAAACATCCATCCATCCATCCATACACACGTGCATGCAAATACACGTACATGCATCCATACGCATGCAGTCATAGTACACTCAAGGGCTTTGGGTTTGCTTCCCGTGGCAGAGAGGAGGCGCCTGTCTGTTTCTTCGGAAGGTTCCTTTGGGGATATCCTCTAAGCGGCTCTGGCTTTCGGCCCTTTACGCGGAGAAGGTTTCGCGAGGTTATTTGTTTGCTTGATGGTAGTTGGTGCTGTGTGTGCAGAATGAGGAGGTTTCCAATCATGACGAATTGATGTCGAATTTCTTTGCCCAACCGGACGCGCTTGCCTTTGGGAAGACACAAGAAGAGCTTCAGCAAGAGGGCGTTCCTCAGGAACTTATTCCGCACAAGACGTTTGGTGGAAATAGGCCCTCGACCCTGTGTGTCAAGAAAGACTAATCTTATGCGAGTCCTTCGAAGCAAAATGCGGTCTTTGGCTTCTCCAGAGATTTCTGTGCATTCGCTCGCCCCCAGCACTGTGCAAACGAGCAACGTCTGCGGCGTCTCAAGGTGCTTCGCTGTCTGCAGATTACTGGTTCCCGAGTGCAACGCCTACTATCTAGGGATGCTCCTTTCCCTCTACGAGAACCGTGTGGCGACTGAGGGCTTCGTCTGGGGCATTAATTCGTTTGATCAGTGGGGGTGAGAGCGACCTCCGTAGGCTGCGTTTTCTTCTTTTCCTGTTGCTGCTGTCCCTTCTTGCAGGTGCTGCGCTGCTTGTGTGGGGGTGTGGGAAAGGGAGGGGGAGGGTAAACACCGCGCTGATGTTGCCTTTTGTGATGTTTTTGGGGACTGCAGCGTGGAGTTAGGCAAGGTGCTGGCGAAGGATATCCGCAAAGTTCTGAGTGCTGCACGTCACGGCAAGCAGTGCGTTTTCACGTGGCGTTCTCAGTGGTTGTGTCGGTGTATTTTGGGTGGGGGATGGCTGCGAGCGCCTCAGGGGCACCTCCGGACGTGTACATGCCATAAACGACCCGCTGTGGCTCATGTTGCTGCGCCTCTGGGCACATGAATTCTGATGTGAAAGTGTATACGTGTATGTATGAGCATATATGCATGCATACACATACGTGAACGCATGAGCGCTACATCTGTAGGCACCCAGGACTTGAATCAAGTGCCTGCATCCTTTCCTGCGTTGGTGAGGGGCCGCCTCGCGTAAGGGGGGAGTTTTTGCCGTTTATGGCCTCTTTCGAGTGGAAGAATCTGTTAGGATATGTTGAAGCCTGTTAGAAAGGGGTTTTTGTAGCATTCTGTGAATCGGAAATTTTTCCAGCGGCACTCAAGCCTTCTGCACGTTGAAGGCGATGAAGTCGTTCGCATGTACACACATACACATATGTATACATGTATACAATTGCAGATAGTCCAGGTGTTCACGCACCTGGGCTATGGAAAACGCTGGGTGGGAGAGTGCGTATTTATATTGCAAGAAGTAAATAGTGATGAAGTTGTATATCTACGTATCTACAGCCATATCTGGACAATGTGTGACCCGCTGCGCATGTGTCGCTGTTTGTGGACAACTGCAAATGGGGCTGTATATAGCCCTCTGTCCATAGCATTAGCATGGGTTAATTGCAATGCATGAAATACTTACATCGCTTCAAGTATGTCGATTTTTAAATGGCGCATTGGCGAATGTGTGTCGGGTGCGTGAATTTGTGCACAGGCCGGACGTCAGCCGCCTTTGCTGCCCAACGCAGCGACTCCTCAAGTACTATCTCTCGTCGTAAACTGTGTACATGCACAGTTTCTTTTATTTTGCATCAACAACCACAGAACATTGTAGTTTGGCAAATGACAGGAAAGAGCTGCCCCTCGCCTGCCTCCATACGCCCGAGCTGCACGTGTATGCCAACATGTTTTACGCCCCCAGCAACGTCGCTGCTGCCAATAAGATGGTAGCGACGTCTGCCACGACATACCGCATTTGTGAGGTGTGTAAACGCAACGGCTATTCTTACATTGCTGCGTCATTGCAGCGTTTTTGCTCGTGTGATACTTCTGAGCGCCGTGTATATACGCTGCTGCCTCTACACTTAGGGCCTGCCCATGGGCAGGCCCTAAGTGTAGAGGCAGTTACACCCAAGCGTAATTTGCGGGTCTCTGCTAGCTACGCAGTTTGAGGCATGGCATAGATGGCTGCAGAGATACACTCCCTTGGTCGGTGCCGCCGCCTGCACACGTTCGAGCGCAGCTCGCCAAGCAACCCGCGCAGGGTGCACACCACAGAGGGTGCAGCCAGCAGATGCCTTGCTTCCGTGTTTAAAATGAGACTGCGAAAAGGAGGGCAGCGCGCCTGACAGAGGCACGAGGGGTGCAGCATTCTCTTGCAGCCCGTGCAAGGACTTTCTGACGACTGCGGCCCCTCGTTCTCCCACAAGGAAGGGCCTCTCAGGGAAATTGGTTGGCAGTGCATGCACCTGATGATGCTTGCTTGGAGGGGCGGAACACGTAACCCGCACCCAAAAGAAAACCCTCGAGACGCCATGAGAGAGCAGCAATCAGCGTGTCAGTGCATCTACAGCGTCAACAAGCGAATCGCTTCCTAAGGATGCATGCGAAACAGGGACTTTTGACGTGCAGGAGAGGAAAGAGGAGGCGTCTGCCAATGGGGTGATTGCCCTGGTTAAGGTGCACCGCACCCAAAAGAAAACCTTTGAGACACTATGAGAAAACAGTTTTCAGCGTGTCAGTGCATCTACAGCGTCAACAAGCGAATCGCTTCCTAAGGATGCATGCGAAACAGGGACTTTTGACGTGCAGGAGAGGAAAAAGGAGGCGTCTGCCAATGGGGTGATTGCCCTGGTTAAGGTGCACCGCACCCAAAAGAAAACCTTTGAGACACTATGAGAAAACAGTTTTCAGCGTGTCAGTGCATCTGCAGCGTCAACAAGCGAATCGCTTCCTAAGGATGCATGCGAAACAGGGACTTTTGACGTGCAGGAGAGGAAAAAGGAGGCGACTGCCAATGGGGTGATTGCCCTGGTTAAGGTGCAGCGCACCTACTGGCATGCCCTCCACAAAGCCATATGCCCTACTGGGGCCTGGCGTTCACCGGAGGTGCAGACGCCCCTCTCCTTGAGTGAGTCAATGAGGTACATTGAGCATGCGGACCTTGATCGCCAATGCGTTTAGTGCGCCTTAGGCAACTCAACTATTGAGAAAGAAATAATGTCACTTGGGTCATGAGTTGTTTTACTTTGAGGGTTCGAGCGCCAGTTCAGGTGCACATACACTGCAGCACGCCTGATGGTTAGACCAGTGGCAGTGTTCACCTGAAAAGGGCCTAGTAAACAACGGGATACTCTCCATCCAGAAGCGTTTTATTAAATGCCTTTTCATTGAACTCTGCCCCCAATTGCTTGACGATTTCTTTCAAGTCGGTTTGCGCAGTTCCCAAGCAAGTGGTGCCACCCGGCGAAGGGGTGATGTTGAAAATTATATTTTCGCCTGCAGCGTAAAAAGCATGTACAAATACAGCCACGCCAATGCGCGAAAACACAGAACAACACACACTGGCCACAAACAATATCTACATACACAAAGACCATGCGAACACATAGCTGATGTCCACACACCTTCCATCAAAAGGCAGAGTCAAGCTAACGGGCACTATATGCAGCAGCCGTGGAAACACGCGTCACAAGAGTTTTTTTTCAAAAAAGAGGATGAGTCGCGCAGGCGACGCACTGTTTCTCAATTATGCTATCGATTGCAAGAAAAAAGAAACGCCCTCGCCGAATGCCAACCCTACCCATTCCCACCAGTGCCGCCGCCATATTCACGCACCATGCCCAACGCACACGTCTAAGCAACTGACCAGTCATGATCTTCCCTTCTCCCAGGAGCAGTTTCTTCTGCTCTTTGTCGATGAGCTGAGGCCGCACCCCTCCAAATCCCTTTGCGTACTTCAAGTCTTCTGGCTTAATGGAAGGCACGATTTTGCTCACATCCTGAACACAAGAAAAGAAGGAGGCCGTTTTTGAACTGCGTTGTCGAGGTTCAAGGGCATCCCACGGGGCGAGCAAGAGAATCGTCAGCGCGCATCACGAAGGTATTCGAAGGAAATTTTTGCGACAGCAGAAATTTCAAAATGCTGCCACAAGCCTCCCGCAACGGCATGCTGGTGGAGCCACCCCTCGTCGCTAGGCCACCTCCCTGCCTAAGCACAGCACCTACCTTGGCGAAGAGATGATGATTCAGCACGGGCACTTCAAAAAGGAAGTTCCTCAAGACGTAATTCCGCATGTGCCGCGTGTTTAAGAGCTCAATATACACCTTCAGGAGATTCAGATCGGGATTTACGACCCGCAAGAAATCTGGAAGGGTGCAGATGTTGAACCGTTCCAAGAGCGGCAGTGGCAGCGCCGTCGGGCCGAATCGGGTAAGTCCTTGCGCTACTACGTCTGGATCTCCATGAACGGCAGCGAAAGGCAGGCGAGAATCCTGCACTGTATAGACCTTCCCGTTGAGCCTGCGGCAGCGAGCAGTACCCATGCCAAGGCCACAGCACACGCGCTAAGAAAGCTCGCTTTGGAGGCGAGTGCGCACGCGTAGGACTGGAATGGGAGGCGCAGGAATAGAGCACAGACGAGCAAAAACTTCCTTGGAAAAACAGCCCAGCGAAGAAACAAGACCGTAAAATACAAAACACCCCATCCTTGCCTACATACAGACAGAGCTACAAAGGGAGAGGCAGTAAAATGATTGCAAATGGCGATCGGGCACAACAATGAGTTACAAACGCCAGGATTTCGACTGCTCTACATAAGAGAGATGTATATAGAGAAATGTACATGCATACATATCCGTATACCAATATATATACACATATAAATATATATATGCATACATACATATATTTACATATATATTTATGAATATATATGTATATATGTATACCTGTATATAAATATATATATACATATACATATACATATACAAAGAGCGAGACAGAGAGGTAGAAAAAAGATGATTACTAGCGGAAAGTGAAGAGAGTGCACTGACGCACATGCGCTCCGTAAAGTAGAAGGATCCGGCCATAGGCAAGCAGGAGTACTGCAAGCCGTATCCCATGCGTTGGGCAAATAGCAATGAGTGCCCGCATGCACTCACCACCACGAAGCGTGCCTGAAGTGCGTCACAGCAAGACATCCACAACGGCAGCATAAGAGGGCTGACAACGCACGTCGCGTGCTTTCAAAATTGCCCGTAAGAAAATCGCCGTGGGAAGGCAGAGAGGGGGCTGCCAGTGGGCGAAGAAGAAGCGCAAGCAGAGAAAACAGAAGTGCGGCACATAGAAACGCGCATGGTGTTGTACAGATGCGGGTAGAAAGAGCGATGTTGGAAAAGGGGAAGCATCTCGAGACTCTTCCTCTCCAATTACCTGCTTCACTCCACGGTTCGTGCGGATAGAAAAGAGATCCTCCCTCTCCCGCCGAATTTCCAGCACCTCGGTATTTAATCCAAGGTCGATCTTCTAAAGCACAAACGCAGATACGCGAAAAAAAACAGCGAAGCAAACCTCCACGAAAGAACAGCGAACGTCCATGCAGAAGATTCCATGCCTAAAACAATCACCCTTTCTCTATTCTTCCCCTTCTGCTGTGCTGCTGAATCTCCCTAGCGAGCCCGCGGCCGCATTTTCGCGAGAGAACAGCAACATATCTACTATTAAAAGCCATTCAAATTACTCATGGGTGTGTGTATATGTATGTATGTGTGTGTGTATATGTATGTATGTGTGTATGCACATGTATGTATGTGTGTATGTACATGTATGTATGTGTGCATGTGAGGGTACGAATGCATCTGTAGTTGTGTATGTGTATGCTGATGTACATGTAAAGCTGAATGTATGCACATGTATGTATTTAAGGTGCATCAATGGCTCTGCTCTTGCGCTTGCCTTGTCGCTTCCAAGGGCCTTTGCCTGCTCAACAAAGGCCTCCGCGAGGTGCACGTAATCCACGCCGGTATACTCGTTGGGAACATACATGGCGCAAACTTCCTCAGGTCGCTCGAAATTAGAAGATCTCAGACCAACGCGGGGTTCGACTTCGCAAATCTGCAGACACACGCCGGCAGGGGATGTTAGCGACCCCACCACAACAGTGTTGCATCGCCTCGACGCGAAGGCTTCCCAGTCTGTGTGGCGCAAGAGGCCTAACCCCTTCCCCTTAACCCCTTCGTGCAGTGGCTGCGAGCGTCGCCCTCTTCTATGCCCACCTGCTGCTTGTTGATGAGCTGCAGAGAAGTGAAGAGTTCTCGGAAAATCTTGAAACGCTTCTCCATGAAATCGCACTCCTCCGGACCAACTGCTAAGGCCATCTTTGGGAAGCGGAAGACGACCCTGAAAAAAAGCGGCCACTCTTCCAACAACAGCCATCGGGCTTAGTTGAGCCCTTCAAGCCTCATGCCAATCAACAGCAGCGCACGAAGAAAAACGCAACACGCGCCGTGTGCGCCGCTGCCGCATGCGGGCTTCCCCTTCCCCCCCCCCGGCAGACAGCACGCTTACTGCATGCGCAACTGAGAACTTTAGAAACCACGGCATGGAAGCCTAAGAGACTGACTTATCGCGGACGCTAGGCGGCAGTTTTGTGGCGAAGTTGCGAAGCATATCCGCCTGCCGCTTGACCACTCGGGCCTTTTCTGCAGGGCAAAACACACCAAGCAGCAGCCCCCTTGCTTCACAAAAAAAAAACCTCCAAGCGACCCCTCTGCCCCCGCTCACCGACGTTATCAGTCCCCCGCAAGCACGTGCCCCTTTCGCTGGATGCCAGAAAAAGCTCACGCAGAGTATAATTCGTCTCTATGTCTCCGCAGTGGATCGTCTGGGAGTTGTTTCTCGGGTTTGACTGCACAACGCCAAATGCTGACCGCCGTTCCACGAGGCCGAGCCTCCTCAGATCTTCGCGCACACCCCGCAAAAGAACGGAGACACGTATAAACACATCCATACACTCCACCGCCTGCAAGCGCCTCCCGTAAACTCCCTTCCTACCCCCCTGAACCACGCAGGCACGCCCCCTGTCAACTTCCTCGCTGCTCGAAACAGTGCAGCCATGAGCGTCTAGAGCGTTCACAGAAAGCCCCGCCATGACTCTCCACTCACAAGCGCCAACACCCTGAACCCCTTGTTGCGCTACACAGCGAACGCCGCTAGCTATGCCCACTCCCATCCACTTTCCCTGCGCTGTGCAAGCGTCATTGTTCGACGCAGATTCATCAACCCCGCACCACGACAGCGGCAGAGCTGAGTTACTGGTTTGACTCTAGGTTGCCCCTTTTGGCCTAGGCCGTTCGTAAGAAGGACACGCACTCGTGAAGGCTGCGAGCTCATACAGAAGCGCCGTGCCCGAGACGCCTCCCCCAATGATGAAGACATCGTATGGCTCTCGACCGCTGGAAGCCCCCTGCCCCTTGGCACTAAGGCTCTGTGAAGATTTTGGAGGGGCGGCCTGAGCTGCTGACGCCCCAGCTCCCGACGCGGCAGACGCGAAAGATCTGCATGCGAAGGGCGATGAAAATCGGGGGAGGGATAGGGCGCAGCGAGCTGCCACCCCCGCAGTCCGTGACGCAAAAAGTGTCATCGCGAAGGGAGGGGAGAAAGGAACAAAAAGATTCCACAATTAAACAACCCCCCAAACCCTTGGCTGCTGCGTCCACGCAGCTCGGGTGTGTATACTCAGGTATATATACACCGCAAATTAAACAAAGGTGCTGGGGGCAACAAACACAAAGCCAAAACAAATCGTCATCCCATAACACAAGGCTTCCGTACTGTCCGTTTTGTACATGCCTTTGCCGTCCTGCATGCAAGTGCTGCCAGCGGCAGGTAAGCCCCAACCAGCGATAGCAATGTGCTCAGAACCTGCAGGGGCAGATCTTACGCACACTGTGCATTGAAGGAAAAATCCACTTTTTTCGTATGCCGTCTATATTTCTACGAATCACAGGGAGAAAAAAAGGCCACACAAGCTCAAAGAGATGCAGCAGCAGTGCGAAGGTTCGTGATGTGTGAGGGGCAATAGAAAGCTAGTGTTATGACACACGCAAATAGAACGGACTGTCTTCCTTCCCTCGAGGACACTTCCTCATATAGTAGCTGATGCCTCTTATACTCTCCCTAGCACTAGCACACAGCCCGGAGCACCAGTGTGCTCCAAGGGTCATACCAATAGGGTATGAACTTCTACACTCCCACTGGAACATTTCCAAGCATTACATGCGCTAAGATTGAGAAGGCCTTGAGGGCCTGTAGCTGGCAGGAGCTAGCTATCTGCCCCTCTGCGCCAGCGGCGCCCCAGGGTTCGCTTTTCGCAAAGTTGTTTGCGGCAGGACTGGTTTGGAGGTACAGCGGACAAGAGCTGAGCACACAGAGCAACAGCTACCATAATCCTCGGCTCTCTATGGGTGTATCTAAAAATCAAACTCTCATATGGTAACACTTGCTGTGCGCAGCATGCCCCGTTGTAGATTCTGCAACTTTCCATTCAAGGTCTCTGTCCGGGGACACTCAACTCCTGACTCACTTCAAACTTGACACGAAGTCGCATACGGTTTCTTTTTACAAATGATGAGATTTCTCCTTCTCCTACCCATGCCTCTTGAGCTTTGGACATGAGAGGAGCGGGGCAGCTCGGGGGCGCGTAGCTTCCTTCACTGAGCATTCCAAGCATTTCCAACAGCTTGCACATGGCAACCAGAGCACAACCAGATAGCATTTGGTCTTGTTGTATCGCGCTAGAAGATCCTTGCAGCAAATAAAGTATACGAACAGCTCAACCAGATGGTCATTTCTTTCCTAATGCCTAGCTAAGTATAACTGGTGAACGAGAGCACCAAAGTGTAGTTTATCCCGCTGCAGCCTGCGCTCCCTAGCAGATCGGTGACTACGGTTTGGGGCGTTCTCCCGAATACACCTACAGTAGATACATCCAATGTCAGAACACTTCCTCCGCTCTCACCTCCTCCGTCCGAGGCGCTCCCTCAACAGCCACTCTTCGCTCGATCTCTTGCTCCGTCCCTATCTTGTGCGCTGCTGGCTCATTCAGATGAGAACAAGACGACAGGGTTCCCCGCGTTGCCTATCATTCTGAGATAACACTGCTAAGAGCAGCTCCCAGGCGATTGCCCTCCCAAGAAGACTAGTCGGCATTAAACTAACGGATTGGGGGTTTTTCCGCACTATGACTATGTGACCCTCGTCAAACTCTCACGAGATACCCGAGCATGCGTTGCCGCTTGTTTGCCAGGGTGCGTGTATGAGAACTGTGGGTCTTGCTGCTGTTCTGGATGTCTATCACTTTGTTCACTCACAATGTGGCCTCGCGTGTCGCCTCACAAAAAGGGGCCGTGCATTCCTCTGCTCTACCAATCGCGGAACCCCGTCGTTCATGCCTGGATATGCCCCTTCCCTCAAGTCACCCTGCACCAGTATAAGACATTTCGCCTAAGAGAGCGTCCTACACTCCATCAGACGACCTCGATTCCCCTTCCTGCGGCAGCTTTCAGAAGTTTTCCAGCCCAGAGCGCAGCCGTGGACTACTAGTCAGGCGATCTACATTAAAGAGGGCCGCTCTTATGGGTCAGGGACAAGTGCATCTGCAGAGGATTCAGCCTCAGCACTTGTTGATTTAAAGAAGCTTTTCGGCTGTACGGAGAGAGGGGTTTACAACGCAGCTCGCAACCTGTCCCCGACTGGCCCCTCCAAAAAGACACTAAGCGCGCGTTGATCTGCACAGCGGGCTGAGCTATGTACTTTGGTAGTCTCAGCTCAACTAGCTACATGTTAGGAGATGAGGAAAGAATGGGGGATGGCTTGGTTTGACTCGTCGCTTATCTCGTTCATTGCAGAGCAGTGTCAGGTCCATACACCAAGATGCAAGATTGTGTACACGCGCATTATACGTTGCCATGTGCAACTGACTGTGTATCCTTGGAATTTGTAGAACGCAGCTACGGGCACCCTAGCTGTTCGTACACCCTGTAACGTCGAAACCCTGTTGGCCACAGGCAGGGCAAAGAGAAATATCTTTGAGAAGACCACTTCGCGACTTTCTATGAATTTTGTGAGGGTCTAGAGTTACAGATTTCCCAACAGAGACGTCAGATGCAGCAATACAGAGGCCTTTCCTCTTGCTTCCCCCTGTCACCCCCACCCGTTCCCCTTTGCCTCTCTCTGAGTGGCGCTGTCTCCCCGTGAGCTCCGGATGGCGTGGGGCCGCGTACGTTGCGCAGCTGTGTCGGTTCTTCTCAGATGCATCTGTAGCAGCACTTTCTAGAGGTCGCCTGCACTGGTTGATGGCGGTTCAGAGACCCTCCGTCGGATCTCTTGTCGCACACTTGTTCCCTCCCTACCCACCCCCTCCGCTTCATGGGCAGCGACAAAGACCGACTCGGCCCGCCTCCACCCCTCCCTACACCCTACTCAACAAGGTCCAGGGCACCAAGCAGCAGGCAATCACAGCACGCTCCGTCTCAAATCAAGCGTCGAGCGGCTTGATTTTACTGCCACAGGATTTTAAAAACGGCCACCGGGCAAAGGCGGCACACGCACCCGAAGGCGTCTCATTTAGGGAGGCGCTCGGCAGCAAAAAGTATCGGAATGAAGATGCGCCACATGGCGACAAGCTGTTGTTGACACCGCAGACAAGGCATTTGAGAGCGAATGCACCCGCAAGTGGGACACGCGGCAGCAGTGCATGCAACTGCAGAACGGCAAAGCCAACGCCGGAGGGAGAGAAACGCCGATCAAACGTGACGAGGGCGTTGCAGTAGACGCGCAGAGCCCCACAGGCATCAGGAGATAGAGGTCTCGGCAAATAACGGCCGTCCCATTGAGACAGTGTTTCTCAAAAGCGAGAGCAAGAGAGAGCGAGAGCAAGAGAGACAGAGAGAGCAAGAGCACAAGACAGACACAGGCAGACACGCAGGGCCCTGCGTCGCTAAGCACTCAGCTGATGGGCCTTGTAACAAGGCCCGAAGCAACGGTCTTGCCGCCCTCCCTTAGAGCAAAGCGAAGGCCTTCCTGAAGCGCCACGGGGTGCAAGAGCTCAACCTCCACTTGCACACTGTCTCCTGGCATTGCCTGCGCAGAACCACAAGAGACGGCGGGGTAGCGGGAGCCATATGCACCGAAGGGACGCAACGGGCTTTCACAGGGCTTACTCTCCATCACATCGGAACGGCAAGCTGAAGAGGCATGCAGGCCCCTTTTCATACGCCTTTCAAGGCAGCCAGGCTCCCAGACTCTCTGTCTGTCTGTCTGTGCGTCTGTCTGTCTGTGTGTCTGTCTCTCTCTCTGCGCGCCCCTCCCCCCTTTTTCCTTGATGCAGACTCTCAGGCGTTCCCTGCCATTTGTCGCGCCTCACCATATCCTTCCCTTCGGGAAGGGTAATCGTGCAGGCCATATCGCCTGTCCGAATGAAGGCGTGTGGTTTATAGTATGAAAAGAAAGGCTTCTTCCGGCCCCCCTCATCCTCCTTCAAGACGTAGATATCCGCAGAAAATTTCTTGTACGTCTTCAAGTATCCAGGCGCACCAACAACCATTCCCCGCTTTATATCATCCCGCTTCACACCCTTCACAAGGGCCCCAACCTGTACACCAAGAGAGAACAAACCACTGGCATGCAGACTGACGCGCTCTCTCGTCCTTAGCCGGCTGCTGCCCGCAATACATAGCGGTCCTTCCTTTAAGCCAAACCGACAGATAACAAGGGGTGCTCTGCAAAACACTACCACACTTCGGCACCTTATTACCCAAACTCCTCTCAAATTCATTCCCCCAAATATCCCTTTCTCTCTTCCTATGCGTCTGCATCTATCTCCAACTCTATTTGTCTCCAACTCTATCTATCTCCATCTCTATCTATCTCCATCTCTATCTATCTCCATCTCTATCTATCTCCATCTCTAGCCTCTCTCTATCTATCTCTATCTCTCTTCCTCTAGCTCAAAGTGCACGCCCCTACCAAATGCTCCTCGATCATCACAACACGCCTTTCGACAATCCGGTGGTGTTTCTCTTTTCTGCCTACCTGATCGCCGGCCCGAGCCTCATCGAGAGTCTTTTTAAACATCTCCAGCGCTGCGATCTGCGCCTTAATCGGCTTCTCCCGCACGCCAACAATCTCTACAGCCTCCCCCCCCTTTAAAGTTCCCTGCTCGATGCGACCTGTCAACACAGTGCCTTTTCCTGCGGAGAAAGACGCCGCAGACAGCTCCGCCAACAGCGTGTGAAGAAACTCAGGAGAATCAAAAGCCGCCGCAAAGTCTCGGGCAAGACACACGGTGCACCAGAGGCAGACGCGATGCAAGAAGCACACGCGCTAGCTCACCAGGAATCGAAAGCACTTGCTCGACAGGAAGAATAAGCGGCAGGTCAGCCTTTCTCTCAGGCTCCGGTATGAACGCGTCACACGCCTGCATGCAGAAGAGGGAGAAAGGCCCCAAGGATCGGAAAATTCATCACGCACACCACGAGACAGACACTCCAGACTTAGAGCCAGCAATTCCAAAAGACACCATCCACACATGCTTCCATGAATATATATACGTATACATACATATATATACACAAACAAATATATGTGTATGCACACATGTACACATATATAGATAATATAGCGAGAGACAGCTACAGAGAGCGTGTATGGTTCCCTGCACCTCCACGTTGATATTTATAGAGAGAGAGACAAACTAGCTAGCTAGCTAGCTAGCTAGCTAGCACACACACACCTCCATGAGCTTCAAGACAGAGTCAACGCCGTATTCTCCTCCTTCACCATTTAGGGCCTTCAGGGCAGACCCTCTGATGAAGGGCGTGTCATCTCCTGGAAACTCGTAAAAGGATAGCAGCTCTCGCACCTCCATTTCCACCAGGTCCACCAACTCCATATCTTCCGCCATATCCATCTTGTTCAAATACACAACGAGCCGCGGGACGCCTACCTGGTGGTAACACAACACGACGCAGACTGGCACCGAGCACATGGCAGCAACACGCTGCTCGCCTCTTTAACGGGCGAGGCCTGTTAGCTAGCTAGCTAGCTAGTCAGCCATGCCGCTCTCGTCAACGGCTTGGCTGTAACGGGCAAAAGAGGGAAGTCGTGAGGCAAAGAAGCTCTTCGTGGAAGGCCATGCGCGTTGGTGCCCTCCCACACCGCATTGCCGATTTGTATGGCGCGCCCCTTTCTGGGCCTGGCGTCCGGCCTCTTCAGAGTTAAAGCCCCATCGTAACATGCATGCGTTTCTCGATATCATATAAACGCGCATGCATCCACCACGTGTCAAACACCCAACGGGGCGCCTGCCTGGCGCGCTGCCTTCTTTGCACAAAGGCATCTGGCATTGGTAAATCATAAAAAGGCCTCACAGTGCCCTAGCACTGTGAGGCCTTTTTTTCTATCCATCTATATATATATATATATCTGTCTCTCTCTTTCTCTGTCTCTCTTTCTCAGCTTCTCTCTCTCTCTTTTTCTATCTGTATCTCTCTCTGTCTCTTCCTCTCTCTTTCTGTGCGCATACATACCTGTTTAGACAGGAGAATGTGCTCCCGTGTTTGCGGCATGGGGCCATCGTATGCCGAGACGACCAGGATTGCACCATCCATCTGTGCAGCTCCTGTGATCATATTCTTCACGTAATCGGCGTGCCCTGGGCAGTCCACATGGCCGTAGTGTCGGTTGGCTGTCTCATACTCGACGTGCGTTGCGTTGATGGTGATGCCTCTCTTCTGTTCTTCGGGGCTTTTATCGATTTCGGCGTATGACTTGAACTCGGTTTTTCCCCGTGTCGAAAGGACTTTGGTGATAGCCGCGGTCAGCGTGGTTTTCCCGTGGTCTACATGCCCAATGGTTCCAATGTTCATGTGCGGCTTGTTTCGCTCGAAAACACCGACTGCGAAGCCGCGGGTGGGCCCCCTGCAAGCGGGGCTCCCAGCGGGCGAGGCACTGCGCTGCAGAAGGTCAACTCTGCTGCCAGCCCGTCCCGACGAGGAGAAGGCGGACAGCACGGAGAGGAGAGGGGCGAAAAGGGGGGGGCTCGTTGGCTGCGAGAACGGCGCCTTGGTAGATGCGCAGGGAGAAGCGCGAGGGGGGGCCCAGAGGGCCCCCCGACGTACAGCCGCCGCGACTGAGGGGCCCCGCTGCAGTCGGAAGGCCGGCGCGGTCAATTTGACCGCGGGAACAGCCATGATGGCACTGGAAGGCTGGACGTACACTAGGGTTGAAGGGGGGAGGGGAGCGGTGTCGGTCGGCGGGCGAAGATTCCTGCACGCCGCCAACAGGGCGCTACGAGGAGAGGCGCAGAAAATCAGTTTCACCGAAATAAAAAGCGGGGAAGGAGGGAAAAAGGAAGAATAACGCCGGAGGAGGCGGATTCCTGTGGAGGGCCCATCGTGTCGGATCGTGCATGCAGCAGCCACAACAGCCCCGAAGCCGCCATGATCTGTATGCATAATAACACTACAGAGATGGAACTACTAGAGGGTGTGCCGTGCTTGCACGCAGTTCATGCAGGCGTGGAAGGGGGGTCGGGGGGGGAGGGCCGCAACTCGCATTTCAATTCGCCAGGCTGCTGTGGAATTCTCTGAAGCACATGCTTCTTATAGCCCATCTTCGATGCGTGCATGGGTCGATTCCGAGAGGTTGCTCAGACTCGGGCAGAAGGGCACTGTCAACACCAAAAACAACTCCCAATAAAGCAGCTCTCCCCAGAAAATGGTCGCTTGGAATGGCACGATTCTTGTTCTCTTGCGCGTTCTGTGGCTATCTATGGCTTGCAGAAACGTATGCCCGAACGCTCCCCAGTAAACACCAGCGCTCCAGAGAGTCTAAGAAACACCACGTATTTTTTATGCATTAGCATTTTCACGAGCTTCAGAGGAGATCGCCTACTAATTTTTGCGGGGTGTGGCCATACAAGATTGTATTAGTGGCGGGCCAAAAGCCACATTTAAAGGTGCTTTCTGCTGCACCAGCTATACGAAGATAGGAATGTGTTGGCGATACTTATTTCTAGTTCAAATTTATGTATACTCAAACCCTTAGTTGTGGAGTAGTGTTTGTTAGGACAGTGTTGCAGTGCGAATTAACAATCCGTGCCAATGCATGAAAGCGTTCTACTGTGCGCAAGTTGGTGCAAGCGCAGCTTCTCCTCATTTAGGAAGAGCAACGGCTAAACGCCCAAGTAGAATATCTCACGGGCCTCACCTCGTAGTCTACCTTGCGGGTTGTTTTACTGTGGGCTGTCCCCGTGGGTGCACATCGTCGTGCGGAGGGAAAAAGGAACACCTGATTACGCACTTCTCTCCATCATATTCTTTTCCCTTGTAGGTTGGTTGGGAAATACAGACTCCACGGATGTATCAAGGATAAGTGCTTTAGTGCTGGCTGTCCGTAAACAAATGCTTCTGAAGCTGTGCAAAGGTTGGCTCCTTCTACTACCCCATTTGACTTCACTAAATAGTTCGTAAACAAATGAATAGTATTTTATTCGGCTTTAAATATGCATACGACTCTTGTTGCAGGGTGGTGAAGCAGGTCAGCCACACACAAGCACTTTCTATCGGACGTTATATTGACAGCGATGTAACGGTTCATCAAAGGTCTTCCTAGAATGATGCTTAACTCCAGACTCGGTACAAACTTGATAAAAGTGATTGAGCTTTAAAAAGCTCCCTTCTTCGTCTGCCCTCGCCCCTGTGAGTTCTGGACGAGAAGGGAGAGACACAGCCAGGATGCGCGTAGCTACACCCTTTAAACGCTCCAAGCGTTCGCAGCTACGTATATGTAGCGTCTGGAGGCCAAGCACGCTAGGGTGAAATTCGTTGTGGCAAGGCAGGAGTATTCTGCAATAAATAGAATATACAAACAGACAAACCACGTCAATATTTACTGGTTCGCAGGAAGGTATAAATAGAGCAATCGAAAGTAAACAAGTGTAGCTTGGCCTGGTACATATTCCTCTTGCCATTTTAAGACCTGCGCCCTTGTGCTCCCCACCTCTCCCTAAAGGGGAACGGCATACAGGATAGCCAAAACGGCCCTGCACTAGCACCGCTTCACAGAACACAGAAATGCGGAAATCAGGCGCATCAAGAAACTAAATTCGTGCAGTGACCAGTGAAGAGAGACAGGCAAAAAACAAGGAGACATACACCAACTACAGAGGAGCGAAAGACCAAGCCAACACGATCATAATGACGCGATGGATCCCTGTGGTCGATATGCGGAAATGTGTAGACCTCCTGCTACGAAAGAAGAGACACTAGTTCAACAGCACCTCCCCTCCAAAGAGCACGTCGGTATAAAAGTACAGTGGGTGCATGCAGAAGCTGATTTTAATACCCCAGAACAGCTATGAAGAACAATGTAGGTAAAAGATACCGAGAGTACCTGCACAACATAAATCTGAGTGTAAAGAACACTTGAAAAATTATACCCCACAACGTTTTAGGCGGTGCCCATAAATGAAGGTAGCCATTTCAGGCAAGACATAAGCTGGGGAAGGATAATTACCGAGAAACGTGAGGAATACCCGTCCGTGGCGACTAGTAGTGCCAGACAAACCGAGCCGCATATTCTCCCGAAGGCAACCAAGTCTGCCACTTCTCCTCAGTCAACTGACACTAGCGCTCTCTACCCATGTTTCTACAAACTCCTGTCCATTGTGTCCTCGGCGCGCTGGGTTTTACAATGCAGTATCCTGACCGCATCCTATGCATCCTTCCCCTCCACGTGGGTCACATGCCTGCGCGGCAAAGTTCTTGCATAGCTTGGTCAGCTTTGAAATTTCTCTAGACGGTCGTGATTTATAGGTCTGTGGCACGTCCAGCCATCGGGGAATTCGACACGGAATGGAATAGCATTGACTTGTGAGACAAACAGAAATGCTCCTAGCCACCTAGCAGCAAACGCCTTCACATGGCCACATTCTGGTGCAATTTGTAAAGCCTTCCGATTCACAGGAACGAATGTTTGGGCTAGATTCACATAGCCGACCCCCGTTTTTCGTAAATCCGTGCTGGTCTCTCTTGAGCTCTACGCATACACTCGCTCGCCTCAGTCAGCTGCTCTCCAAATTTCTTTCCTGATGGGCGTAACTGCTAATGCCAGATCACCAGATACATGCTCTTCTACGCGAATGGCCCTTTTGTGCAACAAGAGATGCAGGAGAGCAACGCGTAGCCGAATTTACTAGAGTACAATAAGTTCATTTGACCTACGGAAGTAAATGAAGCCAAACAATCAGATATTTGTGGGTACTAGTACTAAAACTAGCCCAGGAGAATAAAGTTGCTTTTTTTCTGCCCAGCTGCCTCGGTGTTTCGCAGAGATCTCCGACTATGGGCTGTGTGTAGACAAGTCATACAGGACCGCCAAAAGGATCCAACGAACTTCGAATCCCTATCGGGGAAGATACCCTACGAAAATCCGTGGAGCTTTCAAGCTTAGGAAAATAATAGTTGAGACACCTCCTGATTCGTGACAGTTGGAGCAAGGGATGAAATAGGCACATCCGCTGAGTCTGTCGACAACAACGAATGAGCTGTTCTGACCCTTGACACCCCGCAGTCAGACAAAAGAACTACATAGTCAGGACGCTCATTACCTTTGACAATTCGATTGCTTTGCAAATGGCCGGACTTTGCAGAACTACACGGCGTCAGTTGCTGAAAATGTGGGCATGACAATGCAGAATGCGCGGGCGCGAGACGCGTCCCAGATTAGCGGTACAATATTTTTCACTGTTGTGCGACTATAACCTTGGCCAGGAAGAGCATGATCGTGAGCAACGCAGCACTGCACAACAAAGTCTGGATGTGCAGGGGACGGTATTCCCGCCGATAATGTGGCAGCGCAAGTATTGGAGAAGCTGCAGGACGGCTGAATAGCGTCCTTCCTGCGGCATGAGCGTTCTCTGCACAGCGCATAAACTGCACGTTCCGATAAAAATCAGTCAAAGTAGCAGAGATTCGAGCAAATATGCAAAAGAAACTTCGGCATAAAGACGCAAGCCCATAAAACTTCACAATGCCCTTGTGGTCTGATGAGGGTCAGCCATGGCTTCTTCCAATTTAGGCTGTTGCCAATCAATTCCCCCAGCCAAAAGACCAAATCTCGAAAGCGCTTATTTGTGAAAACCAAACAGATGCGTGCTTCAATATATCACTCCTTGATCCCGCAAACCGCTGAAGCTGTGCCGCAGGTGCTGGATGTGCTTGTGAACGCTTCGGGTAAAAACGAAGACATCAGCAGCAATACAACCTTTATTCGTAGGCCCGTAAAAGTCCAAATTAACTTTTCCGTGTAGCTTAGTTGAGACAGTACTAGTTTGAAACAAAGTACAGACATACTCGTTTGCGGGTGCGTCTGTGGAACGCTTATTTATTCCCTTCATCCTGGTGGAGACGGCTTTGTACGTGGCTATCAGTAAAGTAAAATGCCTACTAGAGTGCTTATATGTGCAGGTTGTCAAATAAATCAACATAAGGCACCTTAACCTTCTATTTCGCAATGATTATGTTCGTGGGCTGAAGTGAGAGCACATGTGCCACCTCCAGTCCTTTCTCGACAATAAACCAGGTTGTGCCCAACGACGTTGGTAAAGTTCCTTGCTTTGCCTGTTTACAATGGATGATCTGCTTACCGCTCGATCTTCTCTTGATGCTCCGAGAAATTTCGTTACGGCAGAACATAGGTTGGGGCTGATCTAGGGGATAGTTCACCACGGTGCGCTTGACGCCCAGTAGGTATTTTGGCCTACTGACAGCGCGTCATTATTTATATAGTATATTGGCGGAAGACACCTTGATATTTGCTTATTTGGATTGTTCCTTAGCTGAAAGAGTTTGTTGCAGAGCCACTAATAGAGAACGCGCACTTCGAAGCGTCTTCTCTTACTGTGCCGCTTATCAGAAGACTCACACTTACCTTGCTAAGGTACCGATCCTATAACCGCGGGTTACACAGGACAGCTATTCTCCGTACGCCGTCCCCCGCCGCCAAGCAGCCTGATTGAGATAGGCTGTACCGTTGCTCGAGTTTTTGACATTTTTCGTGCTGTTGTTGCTCCCGATTGTAAAACTTCCTGGAATTATTGGATACAGCCAAAAACACCGAACTGTGATTCCCGGCTCGGCTCTTCCTTTTAAGGTTTTTGAATCAAGAGGTGTGCTCATTCGCTCCTCAAGCCCTAAGCCATCCATCAGATGCAGAATTCCCACCGGTTAGGTTTTCAATCGCTTAGTAGTAGCTCATCCTGTTATCATCGGACGTGACATTTCAGAAACCTGAAACAAACCGCTAATGAGGCAGCTGTTTGTCCGCGCGTTGGCTGTTTGCAAGCCAAAGTTTCGTATCCCTGGGTCTGCCAACTTTTGACATTCGTCTGCTCAAGCATTCTAAGTTTTACCAAAGCTTCATGTTGAGCTGATCTTTGCATAAGTCAGTAAAATAGAGCCTGTTAAAGTAATCTCTCCCGGGGGGCAGCTTTGCGTACGTGAATAGAGAACCATTGAAGTGTCTCCCGTCTTAATAATCATGCCTGAAGGAGCAAGTGATACCTCTTTATCTGGAGAGTATAAAGCCAGGTACGTTTCCAATAGGACGATGAATTCTTGGGGTTATTCACCTTTCCTAAGGCTGTCGTGCGTTCACGGTCTGTATAACCCGTTCAACGAATACTTTAGCATTTAAGTGCCTGAAAATTAGTGCCTTTATACCAGCTGTAGATCCGCTGGCTCACGTCAGCTTGCAACCGGCCATAGCCGCCCCAAGAGCCGCTGCGCCATCGTCAGTTTCCATCGCTAGAGGGTGTTCCCTACACTTTTCTCAGGGAAAATTAGCTTGAATTATCACATTATTTGATCGAAACTAGACAACTGTTATTGGGAAGCCTCACATTTTTCTGCTTTCACAGCCAGCTGATGAGCGGAAAAGTTCACTGAAACCTTTGATGCTGTGAACTCAACGCTCCATCAATGGTTTCTGCTGAAAGACACTTTACTATTAATTAATAGCAGGGTATTGAGTCTCATTCACAATTAACTGCATGTAGCTTTTGATGCACACAACATAGCGTCTTCTTGTTTCAAGTCAACAGTGCTCTGCAGTAGATGAAGAATCTAAAACACAAGCCAAACAGTTAGTCTTTTACAATAGATTTTATTGTTAAATTTAGCGTGCGTAGTAGCATGTGTTAAAAGTGTAGCACAGCCTGCTACAGGCATCCGTTGTCCCTCTCCGGTGACATTAGGTGGAACGCTCGAACCATTGTGAGGATATAGTAGCTGCTACACTGCTCTGTGTGGCGGGAGGTTTGCTTGGAGGAGCTAGTAAGCCTGGTGTCTAGCACCTACCGTCCTCTGTTAATATCTTTTGGGACCCTGCCATATACCCGATAGCTCCTAAGAAGAGGCCCTTTCTAAATCTCCTAGGTCTACCACATTTGCCTACCGGCAATGTCTAAGCAGAGACGGCTTATTAGCCTCGAGTCTTCCCACTGTGACAGAGCGGGAGCGTATACAGTGTCTATTCGAAAAGACCCTCGCTTCCCTCTGCCTGCCCCTCTCACCCTGCAAAGTGACTGCACAAGGGTATAGGATTGAGGCACTGTTACGCTGACTGGGGGTTGATACACCCTAAGTAAGCACTCCGAGCATTCGCTGACGCCAAATTGCACATAGCACCAACCTTGAACCCGGCTGTTACCCTAGGCCTTTCTCCTTTTTGCAGCTACCTTTAACGATGTACAGAGAGTATTGCGCCTAAACAGCAGCAGAGGCGACTGTGAGCACTATGCAGAGCATGAGTGACACGGTTAATAGTGAACGGCAAACTCTTGCTCCTAGGCACTTGCCCATGGCAGCAGAACATAAAAGGCTTGCTATTGCCGGTAATTCTGTCAGTGAATTTGCATATTACTACCATATTGAGATGCGCACTAAAACTTCACGGTACAGAAAATATTACGCAGATTGTTTGGGCACTCTGGTCTCCCACCGTGAAAAATCCGCGGACCACATCCTAGCACATTTCATTGTTTTTTGATTTCACCAGGGTAAACCACTCTCAAAATTCCTGGGACCGCAATTCGTTTCCTTCTGTCGTTTTACTTTGCATGAGCATTTTACTGAGACCAAGTCATGGAAACCAGAGTGACCCTTTGCGTTACTTGCCGATGATTTGATGATCGCTCTTTTGGGCTTTCCTACGAACTTCTTTTCCGCTTGGCCCCTCCTTATTTTTCCCTATATGCCGTCGTATTAAAGCCGTATCACCGTATACTACCACATAGAATTGTAGCTTCCGGATCTGCCGGTGCCTTAACATTGATCCGCGGCACATCACCGGAGACGGTCAGTGGCGCAAGAACAATTTGCGTCGACCTTCTCGACGGCAAGTCACTCTTTATTTCCCATCCTGCTCTTTCATACTTCCTTATTGTAACCCAGGGCGAATGCTGGATGAATCGGCGCGTACTGAGTTGGCGCTGCGTAGGAAGAACGAAGAATGCAATTCCTCCCAATTTTTACTCCACGCTCCTTGTTGATTCGTGAGCGAGCCAAATGATGGAAGCGAATTCCTCCTTTGACGCTAGAGCGGCAGCTTCTGCCACTGATGGAGCTGCACGAGGCAGTGAGCCACTGGATGGCAAAAAGGCAAGCGCAGCAGCAGATGTACCCGGAGGGCAAGCAGGACGCGAACATACACAACAGGAAACTTACTGGGACAGTCTATTTTCTGGGAATGTATGTTGCAAGTTATGGTTCACAGTACCCCGAGCTTCCACCAAGAAGCTTCTCTCTCGTCTAACTGACCTCCTGAGGGCTGCCATTGTTGACCAGAGAGAAGAGATAAACTCCCATATTCCAATTGATGTCATTAGGACATTAGCCGGACACACCAGAGGTAAAGTGTGCATAGTGAATCATAAATCATTCTGGCCTCACCCCCCTACTTTGTTGCATCTATTTGGAGATTTGAAGGTAAGAACCCAGCTCTTTGGCTGATAGAAGGCTCCCTTTCCTCCTCAATGTCTATTTAGCTGTGGATTTAGAGATGGCCATACCCTTCCCACCTACTTCTCTATCATTCTAATGGATAGATACAACTGGCGAAATAGAAATACGTCCTTTTTCTGTCTTGCATTTTCGGATGGTTTTGCAAAGTGTAGTAGACTTTTTGAGTGTTTGTCGTCTTTTTCAGTGTAGAAATGCAGCTGCTTCAAGACTCCTTAAATTGTCCCCTCCTTCATAAACGCATCTCTATTGCATCCGATTAGTCCTCTCTCCCTTTTGTGCGTTCACCCTGTCTTCTCGTGATGTTTTGTGCGCTGCTTCTGTTATTTCCCTGGGTCCCAACAGGTCTATGGCGGCGCGCAGTGCATGGGCGACATGGTGGTGCAGAATTCATCACAGCTCCACTGGGGAGTTAATTTGGCTCCAGGAGTAAAGGCAGAGTCTTCCAACTGCGCAGGAAGCGATTTCATGAATTTGTGCCCAGAATGCTGCGACGGCCTCTTCTGTGGCAATGAAGAAGAGCTCCTCCGAAGTATCTTTCATCGAGCGAGAAAGGCAAGAAATACTTATCTTTTTGAAAAGCAGCCCATAGACATCCTGAAAATACTTCGGACCGCGTGGGCGTGCAGCGGGATTGAGAGAAAAAAGGATTTTTCGTGTATACGAGCATGGCTCGTGCCTCTCTTTCTCTGGGGTGTCTGCTTGCATGTTTGTGCATGTGTACCCTCTGATATCTTTGAGCGGCTTGCTTCCCTTTTCTTTGCTTCCCCATATGGTGGCGCATGCGTGTTGCTGGAATGAAGCATTCCCTGAAGCTTGTGCTTTGCGTGTCTCTCTGTTTTCTCATGATTTATAGTTGTATTGGGCGGAGAAGCGAGTGCGAAATTGGCGAAAGAGGAGTTTATGCTGGGGATATCATGGTCTCGGTTGCATCAGGCCGCGCGCTTTAGGCTTGGAAGAGAACAATGTCGCTGAGTCAGCTCGCGCAACGGCAATGAATAACAGTAAAGACGAAAGCATGCTGGCCATTTGCAGCGGTTTGCCTGCTGAGGAGGCTCGCAGGACGGGGGCACCAGAGAAACACAAAGCAGCAAAAAGAAGCAAGCAGGAAAAAGAAGCGGCATCACATACAGTAAAGCAAGGGGGGGGAGGCTTGAGTTGGGGGCGCGCGTTCAACTGGAAGGCAGTGTTTGCAAAGCACAACGTGAATTTGTGTTTTGACAAATGGGTGGATCTGGAGTGGCTTCCAAACAACGCTGACAGCAACGTCCGTCCCTCCTCTCTTCTTAGCCTCCTAGAAGACGAAACATTCGCAGCCGTGGACCTTCAAGGTCGAATTCTAGTAAAAGAAGGAAAGGGAGAAGGCGGCAGAGACAGTGACAGCAGCCGGAAAGGGGAGATTCATGGGACTGTGGCGGAAATTTGTAGCAAGGGCACAGCAGGGCATGATACCACCAGAAAAAAGCCGTGGGAAACCGATCCGAATGCTAGCTGCATTCGAATTGTTCGAAGTGTATCTCCACAAAGATTGGGAAAGAGCAGCACATGTACACAAATTGACATTTCGCTGCGAGTCCAAGAAAGCAAGCCAGACCAAAGTAGAGCCACAGTCGAAGAAATGACTGCCACTGAGGCCACAGCAGGTGGGAAAGAGGATACGGTGAAATAATTCAAGTATCACCGTAAAGGAACCACGCGAAATGCAGTAATGCAGTATTTAATCGTGAAACACTTTGAATCTCGATGGCATCGATGCTGGTGGATTTTAGTACGTAGAAACGTGAGCAGCACGGAGAGAGGTTGCCTGTTCTCTATCTCCTCTGTTTTGATATTTGATCAATATAAAACCAAGCATGCGAAACCTACACATAACGATGTTTCATTTCGTGACTTGGCTCGTTTGATTTGTGCCTGATGATTGGTGGACGGACACGCAATGGCCCATTTGCTTCTCTTTCACTTTAAAATGAACACATATCGATTTTTTCCCGCGCTAAACATGTACTGGCCGACCTTCCTTCGAAATATGGTATTCCTCTGTCCCATTATAGGTAGTGCTTCCTGCTTGTCTGTTTTCGCGTGTTGACACCCCACTGAAATGCACTGTTTGTGGCTCTATTTATCCTTCAGCTTCCGGTTCGTCCCCGCCACCTCTAACACTTACAGAAGACGAAACTATGGAAACGAGTAGAGGTATCAACAAGCTCAGACACAGATTACACGCACTGCAGCAAGCGGCAGGCACCATGCGGCTGAACGTGCTTGAGCCTTTTCTAAGGTTAACGAATAAGGTCGACAGGAAAAACCAGCGCAGTCATGATGGGATACCAGAGCTACTGCTCCTACTTTTCCATGTGGATTTTCAGATCACTTGGCGACAGTTGAGTTTCAAAGGATGTGGCCGGTGTTTATTCGTATCGACAGACAGACCCGCACTCCTGTATCGTTCTCGCCTTCCGGATGCACTGCTGCCTCTACACCGTCTTCTACTCCAGCTGGCGTACGCGAGGCTGCATCCTCTTCTGCTGTTGGTTCGGAAGGTGCATGTGCATCTTCTACTGCCTCTTCAAGCGAGGTTGAAGTTCTCTTTTTAGGCTGCATTTTGGAAGCCTTTCATATGCGCCTGAAGACTCAACAAGATATTTCTGGTTGCCTGAGCGCGATTGCTGACGTGACAAAAGCAAAGGGAAAACAAGCGCCAGAGAGTAAAATCAGTACATATAGTGCTGCTCTCAAAGCCTTCAACATTTTAGACACCGCAGTATCTTATTGCTTTGTCATTCTGCTCGTACACAAAGCCGCTTTACTGCAGTTGCACTGTTAGCGGCGCAAGAATCCGAAACGACGGTTTGAACGAGGGTTTTTCAATATTTGCACTGCTTGCAGAGGATGTGGAAGAAGCGACGCTGGCAGCCTCCTCTCAGGTGTATGTGAAATATTTGCCTCGCACTCTGTTCGAGCCTGCCCCTTCTTTCGGATCTTCACAATATTCAGAAGAACACACAAGGAGAAGAGAAAGCCCCAGCGGAGCATGTGAAAGCACCGGCCGAAAAGCAGCAGGTCAGTTTTTGTCGAATGCGTCGGCGAATAGTGGTGTATCGCCTTTCGATTGTACCAGTGCCTCCAGAAACTCATTCGGTACGCATGACGATAGCGTTGTCGATGTTGCTGTTTGCCGTTTTCAAGTCACACTAATAAGGCTTCGATGAATTTTTGTGGGAGGAACCTTGTTTTTCGCATGAATCTGTGTGTGTAACTTTTCGTTTAAGCTTTGAGTGTTTCTCTCACGATTAGCATGGTTTACCCTCTGGTGGTGCTTGGGGTTGATACATCTGCGGATTCATGGCTTTCACGTGAACCTCCAGGGTCGGAATTGAGCAGGAAAAGCGGGCATTCCAGGCAATCACCTCGTTGTTATATGTTTTGAACATAGCAACCACATGAAGAGCAGTGCAAAAGCCGACTGATGGCGGCAAACCAAGTTTTGATGCCGTGCGCCTTTTTGATCCAGCCAGCGCAGGACCTCCGGATAAAGCGACCTTCTCCTCTTTCGCCGCTGGCTCACTGCCAGCAAAAGTCCCTCTTCGTCACACGAGCTGTTCAGAACCTCGCTGGTGTGCCGTTCCGCATGCTCTAGGGGGCAGCGGAGGGCACATGGGTGCATCGACGATGCGTGAAAACACCGCTCGCATACCAGAACTTCATGCCGGCAGAGGCGATCGCATCGAGCACGCACTTCCGCCTTCCTCTTTTCAGGGGCAGCGAAAACCAGAGAGCTCGCAGGGAAGGTCCTTCGCCACGACTGCTCATGGGCATGAAGAGAAACAAACACTACAAGTCTGTAGCCGTGAGGTAGGGTTGCGGAACGGAGTAAAAGCAGAAGGCTTTGATGACCCTCAGCAAGTCCTTGCCGCGTCTTTGGACTTCTCACACCCTTTAGCACGCAAACGGCGATGCGATCCTCCGTCAGCTCTGTACCAACCACACGCCAGGCATGGGGACAAAAGCAGAAGAGTGGCGTCCAGAAGCCTTCATCACCCAGGCCCTGGGGAGCTCCATCGAATGAATGATTTCCGAGTCGAAACAAAATCCTGGCGCCAAGAGGGCGTTGCATTTCTACTGGTCAGTTATGTTTGCATGATTGCGCTCACAAGACGTATTTGTACTAGCTGGAGTATCTTGTGGGCTGTGTAGTGCTAAATGTTTTTCGAGTGGTACTTGTGATGCATACCCTGTCGTCTGAAGTGGTCTTCACAGTGGTGCATGCAGAATATAGTCCGTGAGGTGGGCCGCTTTACATCTGCAGCCTCCACCGGACAAAGATATGGTACAATGGGCGCCTCACAGGTCAGGAAATCTACAAAGAGTGCCAGTTTCCAGCCTTGGGGATGTCTTTGACCGTGGTGATACTGACCGACCCCGTGTATTGCTTAGCTCAGTACCGCTCGAACAGCCACCTCGGATTCCTTTTGAACACTATGCTCGGATAGACAACACTGTCAAAGACAGGGGGATACAATGGAACCGAGCCTTCGGGCTTTTTGCTTCATCTCATGTCATACCTATACAGCATGTCATGCACAGCCACTTTGCCGGTCTACTACATTTGAATAGAGTCCATCCACGGGAATGTGCATCCTACAGCAACGTTTCCGTCTGCAGCGCGTCGCAGTGTGAGCCGTTCAGCGGCTTAAACACGTCGCTTAAGACCGACAGCAGCTCATTTCCCGAAAAACACCCAAAGCAAGCATATAGGCAGCAGCAGTGCGCCCCCGTGGCTATGCAGCGGGGCAGCAGTTTGTCGAACCCTTCGGCAGGCTTGAATGGACAGTCATACGGAGCTGGCGACGATCGCACTTCGTTACGTGGTTGTTTGACGTCTCATGTTCCTGCACGGGATGCATCAAGAGGCGATCCCTCCAGATTTGCGGAAGGTAAAAAGAACTTCTCGCTCAGCGCCAGATGCGGTTCAAACGTTGAGCTCCAGCATGCTGACTTTCGTGACAGCAAGGCTTCTCACGCCACTGGAAATTCGACTCAATCGAGTGTAACCAACAGCAGCTCTAGCGGTGTAGGGCAATGCAAGGCTGGTGCCGACAGTGCCGTGGAAAACTTTACACAGAAGGACGGGATCGCTCCAAAGACGCCTGACATTTTTCTCACCTGTCCCGCTGGCGAATCACTAGTCAGCAGCAAAACTGCTTCGCACACGAAATATGGGTCGGATTTACGAGCACGCTTCGAAGCAGTCATTCGCGGAGTTTGGCGGTGGAGTTCCGATTCTGTTTTTGATTTCTCGTCATTGTATCACGATAAGCCATTCTCGGCATGCGTGGCACAGGACGTAAGTAAGGCTCTGATCTGCACAGAGGACCTCACGCATGTGGTAGGAAGCTAGATATGGGTTTGAGCGTCAGAGTGCAGTTGCAGAAGTATGATGCGCTGTTTTGCAGGCAATTAGAAATGGATTTACTCCCTACATCCTGATGCACTACGCCTCCACGACGCGTTTCGAACAATCACTGACACCCCTCGATATGTCTGTATGTGGCAGAAGAAACATACCCTTCCATGGTTTCTCTAAAGATTTGGTAGATTCCTTTTGCAGTGGAATCGGTCACGGTATGATGTATTACTCAGTAGTACCGGGCAGTGTGTTTCCTATTCACTGTGAGCAAGGGGGTCTTGGAGCATTTAACATGATTGTGGGAGCACTTGTATCATATACCGAGCAGCTCCAGCAGTGACGCGGAATCGGTAGGAAAAACGCTCAAACTTCTCAAGTTGCGGCAGAAACCTGTCCAGAGATGTGCATGGAAGGCTATCCACTCAATAAAAGGCACACGCGACGAGCTGTGCAAAACGATTTCCGGCAATGCTGGCTGGGTAATTCCACTTTCATCCCACTTGTTGATTACAGGAACTAGGTTTTTAGGCTCTTGCGACAAAATAAATTGCCTGCGGCTTCATTCACAGGCAAGCGGATCTTACAGCTGTTCTTATTTGCGGCACATTCTCTCCGGGAGCAGCTCGGGAAGTACTGTATTCCTAGTTTAAACAGACCAGCAATTGGCTATTTGCACTATCGCAGACTTGAAGCCGCTGTTTCCACTGTATCTTCTCTCGTATTGTCGGTTCTGAGGCGTTGCGCAAAATCGTTGAACTTTTGGATCAGCTGGACACCTGCCACAGCCTGTGCAAAGGGCTCCCACACAAGCGTCACATGCCATTTGAACGTTTGAAATGCTCCAAAGAAATCGCTAAATTCTGTCTCGTTCCGCGTCGTCGTGCCAGGAGTGATATCCTGGATGCACATGGACTTGAGCTGATGAAGCTGAGCCGATACGTCGAACGTAGAGGCCAGTGCGTCATGGATGCGCTTCACGGGCAGCATTTCCCCAACGGTTTTCACATAGCAAGCGACGGCGTCCTGTACTGCGTGGCTGCCTTCCGTTAGAAAATTCAAGTTCTTTGGCTTCACACTGTCGACGAGATGAGGAACTACATAGTCCGTGATATCAATTCTTGGAGTACGATTCTACCGTGGCTTGCCAAGTCAATAGGCGCATGGGAATCGCGTCACGCGATTGGCATGCAAAGTTTGGTATGCCCTCAATGATCTGCCCCGCGTCGTGGGACAATGCCTTATCCACGGCTGCGCGCGAAATGTCGAGCATCTTCGATACTCGAGTAGGACGAGGAAGTGTATAGGCGGCGGCACGGCTTGTGTGACGCGTTGGAGAAGGGACTCTTATGCGTGCTGCATGCTTGGGAAGGAACGAGGAATATTTCGGCGTTCGCCGGCATTCGAGTTACCAAAACTTACTATTTTCGCGAGTTTAGTAATCTCTGATTTGGATGAAGTAAACAAATAACGGCCTAATAACTGTGCAGGCGGTGCGCGGTGCTTCTACGGTGTCGCGACAGCGCACACCCAGGTTGCAGGGTCACCACTGCGAAGCGACCTTAAAACAGTTAATTGCGAAGGCACCACGAAGTGCCGCATGTGTAGTTGCAAAAGCGAATATATTGCAGAGACATGTAGCCTGGTGATTACGTCAGCGCAGGATGCCCTCCACATTAATCCTGGGAAGCATAACTCTTTGCCGTAACGAAGTGAACACCCTACATCTTTAAAAACCTGCATCAAAGTAGGATAGAAATTGAGCTTCAATGCACTTTGGATGGACTGATATTACAGTACGTCTCACAGGAATACTTCCATGGTCCAGTGGTCTTCTGCCCATTCAGTGGCTTGCAAGAGGCTAGCGAAAGTATACGCATTTGAGCACCCCAACACACCCTCACTATGGCATAGCGCACCTCTATCGACAGAAAATGTGTAATTTCATTGGAAAAGTTGCATTTCTTTTCGAGGGCAGAAGCCAGCTGTCCGCACGCAGCCACGCTTGCTATGCAGGACTGCATGCAGAGTAGCACACGTTTCACGCTGCAGCGCCGTTCAATCATTGTAGCGGCGCTTTTTACTATCAGACATTAAAGAGGGCTGAAGGCAATCAAGTGAAAAATCGCTCAGTAACAACGTCTGGCTCGGAGGGGCCAACAGCACGAAATGATCCCCCCAGAGCAACTAGAATACTACATGACCGAATGGGTTGCAGCATCTCTAGAGGCCATCATAGCATATAGACTATTTCCTTGTCTTGGATCTCAATCTCCAAGGCGAGTTAATGTGATCACCCCAACGCACATCCCCGATGAACATTCTGTCCCCGGCGTGCCCGTCGAGGGACGCTCTGGTCTGTTGCTGTGGGATGCGACTCCTGATGATATCGGATACAATGAGGACGCTTCATGTTGGCCGCACAGCGGCAAAACTCGCAGTGCTTTCCAGTTTTCTAGGGGGTTTACGCCTGAGTCTGTTCGGCATTTCGGGATCGAAATTCCACAGGTCGAAACCCTGCGTGCTGCTCTCCTATCCGAGCCAAAGTTTGGTATGCGCTTCCCCTGGCAGCTGCGAATTGTAATTGTGCTGCACCTTCAATCGCCTCACGTTTCGGGTTCGAGACCCGCAGGCGGCAGCGCCGCCTCTGCAGTGAACTCTTCTCTTGGACGGTGCACTGAGACTGAAGAAAGTGAAATGCATATGAACTGCTCACGCAAGGACTGTGGAAACCAGAATTTGCACGGCCACTCCAGAGACACCGCTTCTGTTTGCGGCGCCAAAGAGGCTGCAGAGCTCCAGGCCATGGATCCATCTTTGATATTTGGATTTCGAGCAGCTGGTGGTCAAACGCGCTACCTGCTGGAGCAGTGGGTCCTTTCCTTCCAGCCTCTTGCCATGGCTGATCAGCAGATCAAGTTTGAGCACCGAACGTTGTGCACTGGGCTGAAGGGTCTTTTGGCTGCAATTCATTTCCTGCCGTCGCACTCGGCGCTCCTCGCCTTGGCGAATGCAGAAAAGCCGTGCCGCGGCCAAAGCGAACGGACAGTCAGTTCGCTAAAACAGAGGGCTTTTCTGGAGTCTCACATTTTTGCTCGATGGAAAGCACACCACCCTAGAGCTCGTCATGAGCGCGCTGCTGCATCCTCCTGGAAGCCCCTGGCTTCTTACAAGTCAGATCTCGAAGATAGCTTGGCCTGCATGCGATTCGAGACACTGGCGAGGCTCGCCGAAAATGCGACAGAGAGCTCCCCTGCAACGCGCTGTCGCGTCCAGACAAGCCCCAGGGGGTCTGTCAGACCTCAGCCCTCTGCTGTCTCGAGGCAAGAGCTCAAGCAGGCTGCCTTCTTCCAGGAAAGCAGCACTGTTTCCCGTCAGCCTTCCTTGTACGAGACAGGGTCTGGCGGACTAGGCGCAGCTTCAGGAGACGCTTTCTTGGACCAACTCTCACTGAAAAGTGCAGTGCCTCCTAAAACGCTTCCTAAGTCGTTAGGTGCCCCCGAGGCGGAAAGCGGGGGTGGTCCTTCCCTTCCTGACCCTAGCTGTTGGTCTTCGGCTTGGGGGTTCTGCAGCCTGGCTAGCGTGTCGCATCTTGACAGCTTGGAGACGCGCACCGTGTGCATTGTTGGTACTGGCGTAGGAAGCGTCGAGTGTACAGTGACCTACAATGAAGAGTTGGCTCAGAGCATCGTTGCCGCCGGAGAACTGGAAGCCATTGACGGCAGCTTGGCAGATTTCCATCCAGTCGCGCCTTCGTGCATGCAAAGCAGTCCTCGAGAGGGCCCTCAAGAGGAAAGCAGTGCGCTTTCTGACTCAGATCCTTGGTTGGAAATGGAAGACCTAGCCGCTTTTGCGGGCTCCAGTTTGGCATCGAGGAGCCTGCGGCAGGAGAAGTCGCAGGCCGAACAGGTGGGAGCAGACTTGGAGTTGAATGCCTCTGCAAAACGCGCCAGAGTCGCTCAGGGGCGTGTTGCTTCCAACTACGTTTCCGGCAGCCCAGAAAGGAGGACAAATGTTTGGCATTCCTTCATGAGAGGGCCCTCGAGGGGGCACGCTTGCCGTTTCGCGTCCACCCGGGTTGGCGAGACTGGCCAGGGGTACCCGTTAGAGCGCAAATGCCTTCGAACATTTTTGCAGCTGCCTCGTGACGCCTTTGATGGCGCCTTTATTGCTGCTGCTGCTGCTGCAAGCGGGCAGGGAGCTAAGGAAGAGAGAAATGCATCTTCTTTTATGCAGGTTTCCTCTCCGCCTTCCCAGGCGTTCCAGACGGATACGACATCTCTGAGCTTTCCTCCTTCTCGGCCACTCATGCGCAGCAGCTACAGCAGCAACACCAATTGCAGCAGCAGTTGTGCGGGCGGCTTCTTGCCGTGTTCTTTCTCGCCCTGGAAAGTGCGGGATCGGTTAATTGGAGGGGCACCTCCGGAGGAGGTGTCTATACAGCTGGGTGGTGATGAAGGGGAGCTGTTGCCTGAACGGGAGGAGGAGCTCATGAACGCCCTGAAACTCGAAGAAGACATACTTCTAGATGACACCGAGTTTGGTTGCATGTGGCTAAACAGTGCCAGCAACTTTTGCCTGCAACAGCGCCGACGGCCCTCCCCCAACGCAACTGTCACTTCATCACCCTGCTCGCCGCATCTGCGCAGCAACACGTATTCAGCAGCAGCAGCACCGAAGGAGGCAGACGCGCGGCGGCAAAGGGGTTTCTGGGACGCTTCTGCTTTTCAGAACCACCTCGATGTGGCACTGGCTTCCAAGGAGTCAGCTTCCATCCTTGAAGACGTGAAGCACCTCACGCGTGTGCTTTTGGCGCTTGAAAGAGCTGCATGCGAAATGCTGCGGACTGCCGATGCAAGTGTTTCCGCGCCTCGCATTCACGCGGGAGATACAGGCGAGGATGTCTCTTTTCTCCTGGCACAGCTAGAGGCCATAGACACAGACCTAAAGCCCAGCGTTGCGGCTGCGGTCCTCTGCCCTTGGTCTTCATTTGAGTCAGAGTGCACACCACACGCAAGGCATGCGCTATGGCAGAAGCTGAGTCGCTGCGCTGCGCTCGTAGGGGCGCAGAGGGAAGAGGCGAAGGCACTGAAAGAACTCACACTACATGAGTTCTCGCTAGCGGGAATTTCGGGAGACGCGAATGCGACTGATGAAGGAGGCGCCTCCTCCTTACTGCCGCAAGAAGGCGCGCACACAAAACGCATTCGCAGATTGCAGAGCGAATTCGAGATGCGCGCGCGTGCTTTCGAGCAGCAGCCCACCACAAAGCAGTGCCAGAGGGCAGCCAAAGAAATGCCTGAGAAGGAGCCCACGACCCTGCGAAAGCCGCTAAGGCACTGCCACTTAGTAGGTGAGAAGAACAGAGTTTCACTGGCGAGACGAGATGCGCATTTCGGGCTCTTGCCGTTCATCGTTTTGCCGCTGTCATAGAAGCTGCTGCTCTAAGGGTAGTACTAGTAGGAGACACTACACCACACTGACAGTAGATGTATGGCAGAGGGGGCACTGCCTGCATGCGATCCAATCGATCATAGAAAAGCGCCTTGCCCTGTAGCTGAACCGAGTCTATTTTCTTTGTTTCGTGCGTTTGGGGGGAAGCGTGTGCAACCACGAAATTCGCTCGCACGACCAGCCCAAAAGGCCATTTTAGCGACATATGAAGCACCATAGTCTTGATTGGAATGAAGACTTCCGTTCCCTCATGTGTGTATCGCTCTGCAGCGGCATACAGACTCGAGCCACCTAGGGTGCCGAGGGAGGCGGACTGCAGTCCGCCGTGCGGTCCGGTGGAGATGCTTCTACGCCGACTTGCTGAAGTAAAGGCCGAGGCGGAAGGAGCCGCCGTTTACAATGAAGATGCAAACGGAGGAAATGCAGAAGCAGGCGCTCATGGCCAAGAGGCAACTGGAAGGGAGGGGGCAGAGGTACACACGGGAAACGAAAAAACAAGCTCTAGAAGGAGGCGCTTAGGGGAGGAACGGGTAGTGAGAGGAGCAGGGACTTCTGGCGGAGACACAGGGGAAGAAGAAACCGAACAAGCAGGCGCGGGGGAGCATAAGTACCTCGAGGGTGAAGAGCAGTCTGGCGCTGGTACACAAAATGCAGGATCGAACAGAAACAAATATCTAAAACACGTTTCTCATGATCAAAAGCAATGTGTCGCCTCAGAAGAGCCCTTTCTTCAAATTTTCAAGGAGAAGCAGTACATAGAGCGAGGGGAAATGAAAGACGCGTGTTTTTCAACTCGACAGCCAAATGAAGACGAACTTCCTTGGGGCATCGAGGAGATGATTCAGGCCGTCGAAAGCTTTGAGGTGAGAGCCGCAGTTACACCGCAGCCGCAAGCAGTAACGGAGCACAAGTAGAGCAAAGCTGACTAACTTCTCCAGCCTCTTTTCGTACGGGAGGCGTAATCGCCGGCATGCGTTGCTTGCCGACTTTGAATACAGGGCCTGTCAAAGTGGGATGTTAATTTGTAGGGCATTGAAACAACAGTATGATGTAACGTGGGTTGGAGAACCCAGGTGAACCAGAGAAGGGAATAAAATGACACAAAAATCTGTACGCACTATTTTACTGGGTTTTGGTTTTTGCAGGCATTGGAAAACTCATTTCGACCATTGGGTTATGTGGATCTTTCCTGAGCGCACCCGATGGCCCTTGTTTGTGAAGGCATTGCTGTTTGCTTTGCTGAAATCTGTCTTTACGGCTTCTTTTTGCGTCCACCTCGTACGCCCATAGGGTCCCCAAGCAGTCGATACTTTGTTTGTCGGTTCACCGTGTGAAACTGCATGAGCAGCAGCCGCCGCAGTGCACAACTTCTGCTAGGTGTTCCTTTGCTTCTCTCGCTTGCTGTGTGGATCGAAAACCATTGAACTTTTCTTTATTGCCATAGCCAGTAGGCGTTTGTAATCTGGTCCGCCGCTTCAGTCGTTTCGAAGCACGATAGCTTCTAAGCAGCAGCGGATGTCTTTGCAGCTTGCGCTGGTTTACTGCTAACCCTTAGTTTCTAGTCATTAACTAGCCGGCGCCCAGGGGGCTGCTAAACAGTGTCGGGCACCCTAATGGGAATTTTCTAAACGATGATGTCCTCCAGAATTCAGGGATTGTGCCAATATGGCACTGCTGCACTATCGACTCCAGAGAACTCCTGCATGATGGATTTAGCACAGACGATTAAATGCCGCTAAAGTTTGTGCTTTGTATTCAATATTTCTGTGCATTAATCTTGCTTTCTGCGCTTCGTTTCTTCGAACGTGTAATTCAAGCTTTCCATTAACTTTTCTTTCAGTATACATGCAACCATCAATTTTTAGCTAGGAGGTTCGTCAAGATGTCTTTCCTGTAGCCAGACCCAGACTAGTTACTGTCCTTGTGTGGTAACTGCTTCATTGCATGCATGCGTTGCTTCCGTGATTTCCGGGCAAAAATGTCTGAGGCAAGAAAAAACCTGAATTAAATGGTTTTCAAAGAAGGGAAACACCATGAGTAGGGTTACCCATGCTTTACATCCCGCCCCTTTCTCATCAACTTGTTTATGTAGAGGAATCTGCAGCCCCTATCCTGCATATGCGCCTGCCTTAATACTCCTTCGAGGTCGCTGCTTGCTTGCTCAGCGTGGTTGTACCGCACTGTTTAATCCCCTCCTGCATATGTGTCTGCCTCCATACTCCTTCGAGATCTGCTGTTTTCTCGCTCCACCTGTCTGTTTTTCGAGGTTTTGCACCATTTTGAAGATACTAGAAAATAAGGGCGAGGCATTTTATTGACTTCTGGCTTATTGAAGCTCTGCGGGGGGCGGTAGTCCTACTAGGGACTCGGCAATAGTCTTGTTCAGCACGCTCAGAAATATTAGCTCGGGCAGAGTGAACCGCGGTTCGATTGTTGCTTCTACTTCAGCATCCTCAGCTGAGGCTGCCGCTGCAGTAGATAAAAGCAAGAAGGCAAGTCGAAGGAGGGCATTCATCGTCTTGTGGAGGCGAAACGGACGGAAGATCGAGGATGTTAGAATCGAAAAGTGAGATACAGAAACCTGTGAAGGGCAATGAAGTAAGGAGAAATATGTTTTACTTTGTAGATAATCAGAATTAGGTAGCAAAGGGAATGAAAAGAGGCAGGGGGATACCAGGCAATAGGCAGAGTCGAGTACCAGCCTGAGTCTGTACCGCCATCTATCGGAATGACTTGCGCTTGAACATAATCAATCTTCTATTCCCTCACAAACTATTCTCCTTTGCCTTGCTTCTCAGACAATCAAATTCTCACTGGCGTGCTCGTTTGCTCATTATTTTCTTTGATCTATGCAATGAAGCAGTAGCTCCGTCCTATTCCCCCTCCTGCAGATAACTGTACCCCTCATAGCGCCCACTTTCAAGTTCTCCTTATTCAGCAGTGCTTTTAGCTGGAAAACATTGATTAATATACGCAGAGGTTTGGATGGATCTACCTATGGGTCTTGACTAGCTTTTTCTTCTCTTTTAGTTTATGATATGGGCCCCGAGCGGAGTGACCCACGGGGCCCTAGGGCTCTTTTGTGCCACTTGCATGCTTCACTCTCTGCACAGACCTCTTAAATTTCATCTTTTTAGGCTTTAACCGGGCCTGGGGCTCTGTCAAAGGCAAAACCGGATTATTGGATGTCTGTTCTCCTACCTTTCATCACTTCAGTAGCTGCACTAAGACTGTTGGCCTCTCTCTGATGGTATCCTTTAGAAACGGTACTTTGTATTAGCTACGGTGCAAGTAATTACCACCGCCGCACTACCGTGATTGCTTTCGCTATCGCCTAACCGACGCCACCTTCTGTTGAACTGCTCCAAACACTAGAACAGTTATCACGACCAGGCCTGTAGGCCCTGAGCTTCACAGCAAAATAAGACTTTTAAAAGATTATCCCTTAGTTTCTACAGCTGAAAGTGCTCTTACGTAACCTCGTGATTCCACTTGGCTGCCAAAGCACCTGGCGTTGTTGCTACCCTCTCTCGGGACCACGACTACGTCCAGTGCCGAAGTGTTTCTCCTTTCCATTCTCATCCACATTTCAAACGCCACTCCTCCCGGCACCTTTATAAAGGTGCCGATGACCAGGGCTTCGATTTCTCCATCTGTCCTTTCTCATCTGCCCTCGTCTGGCGCCTCCTTTTCTGGCATTCCGCCTCGTGAGCGCTTGCATACACTATGTTCGCCGGGTCCTCCCATAGACCTCTCTTTCAAGGGCATATCGCATGTAAGCGAGATCGCGCCTGTAGAAGAGGATGTCCAGCAGCCAACTTCCGCTCCTGGATGCGCTACTCGGGGCTCTAGGCCCGTACGGGAGGCTCATCACTCAGCAGCATTTGCACTGGACTCTGCCGAGGGTCAAGATGGCAACAAGGGTTTTATGCCTTTTCCTCACAGATTCTCTACTAAAGACCATATAGGTGCTCAGGTAGCAGGGGAATCGAAGTCCCACACTGGAGGACTCCTCTCCCCTTCTCTGGCGCCCATCCGTAAATCCATTTGCCTAACCAAGAGCGACAGAGTGGTTTCTATTTGCTGTTTGTCTCTTCGGGACCAACAATGTTTAGTCTCAAGGGAAACGAAACCTGCTAAAATGTTTGTTAACCTCGTGCCTACGGCAGTCCGACTCAACAACAATGAGTTAAGTGAAGTCCCCGATCTCCATGTGCACCTCTTGCGGGTCCTACCGCGTGCCTCTGAGAATCTCCGATGGCTAGACCTGTCTTTCAACAAGCTGAAAAGCATTCCTTCTTCCCTAGACGCGTTGAGGGGCCTTGCCTGCCTCTACCTGCACTGCAATGAGATCCAGGACCCAGCAGGTCTCCTATTGCTGCGGCAAAATGCAAACCTAAAATTCTTAACACTGCTGGGCAATCCCTGCTGCAACCAAGGTCGAAGTGGTGAATTTCGGTGAGACTTGGCGAGCACAGGCATAAAGGGGGAGTTGATGAGCGAACAATAGACCAAATGTTAAGAAAGGTGGAAAGGGGGAACTCGCGTGAGAGAGGAGGAAGCAGGCAGCCAACACGCACAAACATACATACGCAGAACGATATATACACACACAAACACCCAGACACAAATACACATGGCACAGAGACAAAGACATTTAGCACAGAGACAAACACACCGGCGCAACAGCCTAAGGGCAGACAGACAGGGCGCAAGAGGAGATAGAAAGGAGGGTCAGGGAAGGAGCGTGTTAAGGCTCAATGCTGAGTAACAGAGGGCACAAAGAAAGAGAGGTGAGATGCCAAAAATGAGACTCTTCAGAGAGACAACTGGAGGCAGAAAGGAGAAAGCACGCTAGTAAAGCAATGGTGTTGAAAAAGGGAGGGAAACGACGCAGTGGTAGGCAGGTAAGGGGAGATATAAGAGAGGCGGGATCAGTGTAAGTAAGTGAGGTAGAAGAGAGCCATGCTGAGCCCTGACGGCGGGGGAGAGGGAAGGGCGTAACCGCCAGACTGAGGCATAGGCAGCAAGCATCCGTACAGCAGCTTTTGATGCGTGTCAGCTTACCACATGCCCTTTGGCTATGGCCTCTGTATATACTTTATTGAACTGCTCGCGAAGCCTTCGCTTTGACATGCACATGCCGCATGCGGTTGTTGGCTTCGAAAACAGGATTGCTGTTGCCGCCGCGCTACCGCATCTTCGGTCCCTGGACCACACAGCGTTCTCTGGAGACGAGAGGGAAGCAGCTTGCTTCCTCAACCCAGAAAAATTCTTTCAGCGGAAGCCAAAGAGGAAAGATTGTAACGAGGAAAAGAAGCAGTGGCGGTAGCCCACAGCAGCAGCAAGATCGGCCACCTAGCGCCCGAAAAAGAACAAACAGAAGTAGGTACAGGAGCAGAGGATAGGGAATACCAGAAGGCACAAAGAAAGAAGTAGAGTCTCGAGCGCATCCTCGTTTGCTACCCTTTTCGTTTGCGGCCTAACCCGCGCTACTTTTGGCGGTGAGCGTCTCCCTGAGTACCTCACCACTTTCACCTTTTCTAACAACAGAAAACAGGGAGTCAGCCCATCGCCGATACCCTATCGCACGTCTGCTCGCCTGTTCACTCCGACGCCCAGTAGTGAGCCACACAATGACAATGCTTAAGGGGAAGCTTCTCCCCAGTGTTCCTCTGCTCACAAAAACTCAAATGGGGCTCCTCAGGGGACCCCCTAAAAGCGTCCCCATGTGTCCCGCTGGGACAGCCGGGAGGCACAGCACGGTAGCCTCTAAGACATCTTAGGGAGTCTCTACGGTGCTGCCAATGCTTCCTCCACCTCAGACCCTTGAGGTCTAAAAGGATGCCAACATGGGGCGGTGCGAAGCCTCTCTGGGGGCCTCTCGATGGCTATTAGAGAAAAGCCCCTCACAGCCACAAAAAGGCGCAGTTCTAATGGCCTGCGGAGTACCAGTTCGCTGTGGCGAGCAGCATTGGGATGGGTGTCAGGAGATGTGTCTGTCGTTGCACTTTGACGCTACGGGCATCCGTGAACCTGCGCCTCCTCGCAAACTGCGGCTTGGTGCTTTTGCTCCCTTCTGCAAACGGTTCTCCTGTGCATGCCCTTCGCTGCCACCTATTCCGTGTGTCCTCTCCTTGATTATACACTGCCTTGTCGTGGCCGGTGCCCCCCTCACAGAACAACATCCACGCCGCTTCACGCAGCCCCTAGTCCTTCCAACCGCGCAACGCTGCCATTTTCACCATGAATCCGGCTAAACAAATATACCCCATCATGCTAAGCCCTTCAGCTGCCTTGCCTTGAGCTCAAAGGACAAGATCGCAGCGTATCTGAATTCCCTTGCGCCGCCATGGTCACCCTGATGCAACCTTGCGACAATACTCCCCTACGTGAGCAGAGCTTCGATCTGCAGCGACTTCTCTTTCACACACCCTTTCTGTTCGTAGCCTTTTCCTACCACCAACATCTCTATGGCCCTCGCCTGTTTCTCGACCTCTTTCATCATGCGGCTCTCTACCTCATAGCCATGAATTTTTGGAAGGATTCCACCTGCTCCTGCCAAGACACCCGTTCCTCCTTCGTCTTAAAGCTGCAAGCCGAACCGCACAGGCCCCAAAACAAAGCCCCTAAATCCAAGAATCTATATTCTAAAGATAAGACACAAAGCATGGGTGGCATGAAGGGTGCCTAAGAAGACCAGCAACCCCTCCCTCGTTTCGTTGTGCATACCCAGCCTTACGAAAATCTCGCAAAACGCGCAACTCTCACTGATTATCAGTTATGCATGATTGATAGATAGATACACTACTGCACAGAGAGGGCAGATGTCAAGCGTCCACGCACACACGGGTGGGTCAAAGGATGAAATGCTGGGGAATATATACCCATTCCAGACCCCAATAATCCATTAAGGCCCCCCGAATGAAAGTGCTCGTAGACTAGTGCATGCACAGATGGTGTTCGTGAGGAAAACGCGTGCGCGACGCGGGAGCGAAAGAAGACCTCACGTGAATGAAAAGGTTGTCGGTGAAGGATTGTTGACACTGATGGTCAGTCCCTTCGGGTTGTCTGCTTGCGATTTAACAGATGTAATCTGCAGGCAATGGGAGACACGCAACAAAAAGTATAGTATTTCGAGATACGGTTGTAGACCGCACACGCGCCTTTGTGAGGATATCTGAAGGCGGGGGTATCTTGAAGAACGCTCAAATTGTTGCTGCATCCCTTGAGTTGGCGGAATCCTGAAACCATGTGCACTTAAATGAACCAGTTGGATATGACTGAGAGACACGTAAAAATCGGGTGCAGGAACAAACAACACATTGCATTTCCTGACCTTATCTACGGGCATAGAGCCCACAGGCTTGTTCCGCCCTCCCTCGGCGCTATGGCCTTTGTACCACTCAATATCCTTGCCATCCCTGCTGCAGGTGACCTTCACGGTGGCACTAAAGAGGTGAGTCTTCAGCTTTACGATTTTTGTTAGATTCCTACGGTATGTGAGAAGCTTCTTCTGCCGTACGTCGCTTGTGGTAAGCTGTCAGCACAAGGAACCGTTTCACAAGACACGAACTGTCCACCAGACCGTACATTCATCACTCTCCATGCCAAACGGTTTCCTGCAAGTCTTGGAGCCTCCACATGCACACGGCCTAAACGCACATGCCCCCAAACCCAAAGCCTTACCTCTTCCTCTTCCTCAGATTCGTCAAAGTCATCTGCTTCATCGTAACTACTAACTTCCGTATCTGCACTCTTAGGAGCGTTGCTGCTGTACGTTTGCCGCCTGCGGGTCGAGCGCTCCGCGGGAGCAGCAGCCTGCTACACACGAACACACATGCACAAAAGCCTTCTCCACAAATGCGCACTCCTTACCTTTCCTGGTTTCTGTCTGGAGAGAGTAACCAAAGAACACAGACCTATACATGCACATACGTATATAATTCCCTAGATATACAACTAAATGCAGATCTGCAAATGTACAGCGGGGCAAGGCAACTGATGCAGCAAATGCTGCAAGTTGGTATTCCTCAAGCATCCCCCAAAAAGCCATGGGCACACCCTGAGCGGCAGCAGCAGCAGACCTTGTAGCACCGCCCTTGCCCACAATCCCACCTTAGACTTCGCAGCAGATGCACTGCTGCTCCCTGCGCTTGCTGTCGTAGATGCAGAACCCAATCCGACATTGAATGCGGAAGGACTCTTCCCGCTCTCCCCACCGGATTTCTTAACCGCGAATAAAGGCCCGTCAGGAGCTCTCTTACCCCAGCGATCAAAACAACTCATTGTGTTACCCATTGCAGCAGCAACAAGAAGACCTCTGTATCGATACGCGAGCACAAGACTGAACACCACGGAAAGAAGTACGCCGCACGATCACAACAGCCCGCAGGGTTCTGATTTAACGGCATGAAGCTGTAAGCGGAAAATAAGAATGGATCATGCGGTAGGGGAAGTACAGTTCAGGGAATGCAGTGGTCAATGCTGCGCGGTGCTCGTGTAAGTCGAGTCGCAGTTGCTGTTGCCGTTCCACCGTTGACGAGGTTTAACGCCGACAATATGTGGATGAATGAGTGGACACAAGAAGGACAAAGCAGATAAGCTCAACTGAAAAGAATTAGAGAGATAGAAGGCCCGCTACATGCCTCGATGGTCACACCAGCATACTCAGCGGCTGCTCCACGAAGCACTGGCAAATCGGCAGAAATTATGAGGGATTGCATCAACATGTCATGTGTGACGTTACAAACGCGATAATCAAAGTTACTCAAAGAGAAGAAAGCGTTTGGGGACGAAGGCGGGCCCAGCAAGGATCCTTCTTGAGGGCAATTGTTTACTGCATGAACACACACGGCTGCTACTCATCCTCTACGAAGCGCTCAGCGCGAGCTGCAGGAGAGGGAGAGTCTCGGATTGTTGTTCGGTTTGCATTTCATGAATTAAAACATAGCAAACAGAGAGCTGAATCCCAAAAGCTGCGTGTGTAGCACCAGCCTGGGAAAAACGGTCATCTAGCACTGCATCAGCCACGATGGTAAAACTGGTAAGCCGATAAGGATCGAGGAATATAAAATCTAGGTGGACTGTTTTCTTGAACAGTTCTGAATTGCATATTCCAATGAAATTGAGGGGATCTGCGGCTTGGCGACCCATATTTATACACCTGTGCGCCCTCCCCTACAGCCTATACGTCCTGGTGTACGCCGGAAGTTTGTATCTGGAGAGCCCAAGGCACATGTAATGATGTGGCTTTTAGTTGGCGGCTTCGCAGCACTTAATTACGTTTGCATTATAAAGCAACGCGAAGTTGCCTGTGAAGCTATTATCTGGCTCGGACATTGTTGCCGAGCAAGCTTGTCGCTTGACTCTTACATGGGGTTTTCTGGCACTGGCTATCTTGCCTTCTCAATATCTGCCTTTCTGATACCATGTATCTACTAGTTGAAGGCACGTAGTATCATACGCGTTCTCTCAATGGGATGCAGATGCCTTTAATGGAGGAAGGCGTGGTTTGGTGCCATCAATGCAGAAGAAAAAGCATAGACAAACACGGCAGAATGCCGACGACAGAAAGGAGGGGCGAGGGGAAACGAAGAGCACAATAACGCTGCCTATAAAAGGAAACTCCCAGTTGAGGAGATGAATGGGATAGGGGATGTATAGACGACGCCCACATATCCCAAAATGAAGAAGGGGAACATGTGGCAGCACGTGGCAGGCGATAGAATAAATGAATTCCCCTCAAAAGACGTAAGCTGACTCGTTCTTTCTGTCGGTGGAAGAAGCAGAGCGGCTTCCACTTTGTTTGGGTATAGTAAAGTACCTTTTTTGACATCTTACCGCTTGGCTCCCTTCCTGAACAACAAAAGCACAACTGTGCACAAACCATCAAAAATTCTCTAGTAAAAACCTGCACGAGTAATCCATCCATCCAAACACGGTCTCGAAAGCTCCCTGAGCAGTGTAGCCCTCCCTCAATCCATGCATTTCCCCCGCAGTGGGCCGTACGTATTCGTTTTAGCGGGCTGATGGTGCAGGTGGTGCTGGTGCTGCTGCTGCTGGGCCTTAGCGGACGCTTTTTCTCGGTTCTTCTTTTCGATGGAAGCCCGAATGCGAGTTGCACAGAAATAGCAGTACCAGTCCTCATCTGCTGGGGGAGGGTGATCGTCCGTGTAACCCGAGCAGAGCCAGTGATACCACTGCAGACAGCCTGTGCAACAGCAAAGCACAGCAGCAGCAACCAGTAGGGAGGCCAATGCAGAAAGCTCGAACCAGCGAAGGCTCCCTCCAGCCAGGCGCAGCGCGAGGCGACGGCTCGCACAGGGCAACTCCCAAACAACGAGGCAGTTCACGACGAGTTCACTGCGAAGAGCTGCCAGCCGAGGCTCACAGTCGCATCCAATCCAATGGAGGCCGTCACCCGGTCCACCCCCTGGCAGCTCCTTATACAGTCCGTTGCAGATTGGGCAAAACACTGGCTTTGTCTCGCCTTCCACTTGGCCTGGGGGCCCCACTGGCAGTGCGGCGGGGCCTTGTTGCTGCCCTTCTTGCTGGCGAGTCTCGGGGCCCCCCGAGGAGGCATCCTGGAGGGCCCCCGAGGGGGGCAGGCCTGCGCAGGAGATCCCCCCATACCACTGCGCAGACAAGAGGGCAGCAGACGCAGCAACCTTCGCAGGAGGAGGCGTCGGCATGCGGGCAGCCGAAGCTTTCATCGCTGCACTCGCTGCTGCACCGTCGCTTTCGCGCCGCCGCTTTTGCAGCCTTTGCCCAGCGGCGTCCTCTTCCTCAGGAACGCCTTCCCTCTCCGATGCCCTCCGCTTCCCCTGCAACTCGCTCGTCTCCTCGAAGGGGCCCCTGTCCAGTCGAGGGGCCCCCGAGGGCCCCTTCGGAGGCACCCACGTAAGCTGCTTGGGGCTGTAGAGGACGCTGTCGCCTCCCCGCTTCCGCAAAGCTTCTGTAGCCACAACACGTGACAGCTGCAGCAACTCGCGTTGCTCTGCCAAATGCATGGGAGACGGAGGCGCTGGCGTTTGACTGCCGCTGTCACACTCATCCTCCTCCGAAAAGTCCACGTCGCCCGTCGCATCTACAAGACGGGGGGGGCCCTTCAAGGGGGCCCCCCCCCCGCCGACGACCTTCGAGGATGCCGCCAGACGAGGTCCGTGATCCGACAGCCGCTCATCTGCAGTGTCGCCACCAGCACGGCAGCTTGCCGCTGCTGCTGCTCCTCCTCCTGACGGCGACGCTGGCAGCGCTGCTGCTGATGCTGCTGCTGCCGCTGCCGCTATGCGGGAAGGCTTCGCATGCGGCAGCCCTGTCAACAAAATCCCAGGAAGGAAACGTTGCTGCAGCAGAGGACCCCACGCGCACCAACAACACAAGCTCCAGCATGTACACTCCAACAACAACACAACCTCCAGCATATACACTCCAACAACAACACAACCTCCAGCATGTATACTCCAACAACAACACAACCTCCAGCATATACACACCAACAACAACACAAGCTCCAGCATATACACTCCAACAACAACACAAGCTCCAGCGTGACACACCAACAACAACACAAGCTCCAGCGTATACACTCCAACAACAACACAAGCTCCAGTATATACACTCCAACAACAACACAAGCTCCAGCATATACACACCAACAACAACACAAGCTCCAGCATATGCGCGCACTCCTACTCCCCCGAATACCACACGGAACAAGAGCACTAGCGAAGATTCCGACAGTCAACAGATCCGTCCCCGCTGCTGCTGCAGAATGATAGGGGGCCCCACCTGAAGATATTCGATGGGTCGAACCCCCAATTGGTGCAGTGGATTCACCCAGCCGCCTCTGGTAGCGGGCATCCTCCCATCATTGCTCCGTGCCCCCAAAAGCTTCTGGGGGGCCCCCGGAGGCCTTTGGGGCCCCTGGATCGAATGATACAGACAGTACACCTTGTGCGAGGCTCCGTGGTGCCCCTCCATCCGGCAGCCCAACACGCGAGCACAAGAAATATGAAACCTGCGCGGCAGCAGCAGCAGCGACATCTGCACATATGCGCATGCACGGATGGCTCTCTCACCCCGCGCACCTAGTCTGCAAACACACTTGGTGCTAGTAGGGGGGTGCTCTCGCAGGACGCCTGCGGCGGGGGGGCCCCTTACACGTAGGAACAGCGATTCCCGCTGCCGTTGCTGCTGCAACTCATCGTTGCGCCTTGCTGTCGACAAACAACAAAACACACACACACGCGCAAACATACATACTCACACGGAAATCCATAGATACACACACATCCATACATCCCATCCATAGACACACAGACACACATGCTCACACACATGCTCACACACATGCTCACACACACACATGCTCACACACACAAACACACACAGAAACACACACACACAAATGCTCACACACACAAAAAAACACACACAGAAACACAAATGCTCACACACAGAAACACACACACACATCCATAGACACACACAAACATCCACACATCACATCCATACATCACATCCACACATCACATCCATACATCACATCCACACGTCTTCACGCTAGCCTCCACACACCCGAACCTTTAACCGCCAGGCCTCAAACGAACAAGAAGCCCCCTCTTCCCCCCCCTCGGGATGTATCACCGCTTCCCTCCCAATCCACCCCCTCCTCCCCACGCGCTCACCGTCTGTCCGCAGAAGCAGCACGGCCTATCGAAGGCAGCCCTTGCAATGCTGCGGAGAGACTCTGTTGGAAGGGCAGCAAAGCGTGGGGGAACAAGGCCCTCTGCACAAATACAGTGGACCCACTGTGGCTCGCCGTCTACAGGATCTGTCGGATGCGGCGTGCGACTGCTTCTGAGAAAACACAGCAGCAGCACAAAAAACGCCAACTCAGGATACCTGGAAGCACCCAATCAGAACGAGGCTGCCATCCCTTCCCCCCCATTCAAAACTGCCAAACGCAGATAAATACGAGCATCCAAGGAGGCCTACAAGGCTCTCCCTCCGCCTTCTGACACCCCAGTCCTTACCCCGAGGATCTCGTATCCGTCCGCTTCAGAAGAAGGCCGTCAATTCTGCTGCAAAGGAGACAGCGGCTCATCGCCACTGAGGGGACCTCCCCAGACAAGAGGGCGTCGCATCGGGGGCAAACCCAGGAATCCATGAGGGCCTCATCACAAGGCCCACTGATGAGATCGTCTCTCCCTGCAGTTGTTGTAGTGGCCGATGAGGATTTTGCAGAGCTGCTTCCTGCATCCCGCCAAGCCCGTCGACGCTGCAGGCGAACTGCTCTCGCCGCTGCGTCGTTGCCAATGGATACACTCGAGGGCTGTCTTTCCACGGCTCCCCAGCAACCCCTGCAGACCTTGACGTGACACACAGTGCAGCAGAGCATCATCTCGCTGCTGCAGAGCTGCTGCGGCTGCAACTGCTGCTGCTGCTCGCTTTGCTGCTGCTGCGAGCCGAAGCCAACGCGTCCACAAAGACAGCACGCAGCGCCCTTGTTCAGAACGGCGAGACGGGATAAGAGCGAGACACTCAGCTCTCCTGGCAGCCGTCCCTCCTCCAGCAGCGCAGCTTTCCGCAGCGAAGCCGAAGGGACTGCCGGGAGCCTTGTTGCAGCGACGGCCAACTTGCCATTGCTCGAGTAGTTGCTCGAGTAGTTGCTCGAGTAGTTGCTCGAGTAGTTGCTAGAGGCGCTGCTGCCGCCAAGCTTCAACGACGAGACGGCCCCCGCACTTGCCACTGCTGAGGACGCTAGTGCACCCGCAGCATCCCCTATGCTGCGAGATCGCACATCGGCAGCAAGCTGATGCAGCAGCTCCCTATTCGACCCCTCCGCCTTGACGCCGAGGGAAGCCAACAGCAGTGCCAGCGCCTCAAGGAGGCAGCAGCGCGCATGCAAGCCCTGACCTTCCCTCATCGCCGCGAAGCTGGCGGGCACTACTCCGGCGGCGAAAGTGGTGGAGTTGCCGCCGCCAACTGGCAAGTCTCTCGGGAGGCCTACGGAGGGGCCCCTGACTCCCGCGAAGAGACAGCAAAAGGTCTTTTCGTCGCACAGGAAGGAGGGCACTGCCGTGCCAAAGAGGCATGCCGCGATGCGCGCGGCTACCCCTGCGTCTCCCACCTCCCTGATCGCCAGAATTTCTTCTTCGTCGCCAGAAGGCTGCTGGCCTGCGGAAGCGGTGGAGGCTGCTGCTGCTGGTGCTCTTGGTGCGTTCTCGATGCAAGGCACTTCTGGCGAAAAGTCTGGAAGACGCGCTTCGCTGCTCCCCCCCTGGACATGCCGCTCTCCACCTACCGACCCCTTGCTGTGCCTCTGCCCTGCACGGCATGGTGGCAGCTGCTGAGGAGACCGCTGCTGCTTCTGCCGGAGCTGCTTCAGACGCCTCTGCTGCTGCTGCTGGGGAAGGGGGGCCTCCTCTGCCCAGTCCGAGGCGTTGCTGCCGCAAGACGCCCTCCGTGTCGCAGCTTTTCTGCTTTTCGGGGGACTGCTGCTGCTGAGGCACTGGCCTTCCCGCTCACTGTCTCTTTCTTCCGGAGCCTCGCCACTGTATGGTCTTGGGGTGCGAGACGCTGCTACGCATGCGTCCCCTGCGGCAACTGCTCCTGGACGTCTCTCCAGCAGTCTGCCCTCCACCGCATGCGCCTTCGCCGCTTCCTGCGGCTGCCCCTTGGCGACTTGCTCTGTGCACTCGTCACCAGCGAGGAGATCCTGAATAACAGCAGTCGTCTGCTTGTGAGACGCGAAGAGCAAGTCTGCAGTGTCTAAGGCGAGACGCCTCCGCCCCAGATCCACCTCCACTGGCAGATCGAGGGCCCTAGCCTTCACCTTGTCCTTTTCTCTATTCGCTTGGTACCGGCGCAGAATCTGCAGCACTCGCCGCACGCAGCCTGTTATGAATAAATATAAATATTTCGATATAAATAAAAATATGTGTATGAATATACACACATATATATATATATATATAGACGCACACACACACTGGCAAGCGGAAGGGGCAAGGGAACCAAAGCCCCTATTTCTCCCGCCCCCCCTCCGCTCAACCCGCCAGACACTGCGCAGTAGGGGGAAAGTGTGTGGCGGCAGCTTTGCATGCGGGAATGTCTCCGAAGGAGCACGGCGCTTTGCCCAGCACCAGCGGCACGCGATGCTTGCAGCAGCAGATGCAGCAGCAAGGCGTGCCTCGGGCGGCTGCATCTGCTGCTGCAAACATCTGAGAGGGTCAGAGACGTACAAGGGTAGGGGCCCTGTCTTTGGAGTGCGGATGGCAGAAAACAATCGGCTTCCCCTGATCCCAGTCCGTTTGCAAGGTTTTGCTGGCTGTGGCGCAGGGGAGGTGGAAAGGCCTTGGACAGTTTTGCTGCGCACACTGCGCGGGTGCTGGTCCCCAGTGGTGGCACAGGAGACAGCGAAGACGCGAGCGATTTTCTTCGACTGCCACACGAACGGTCTCCTCGGAGACTAAGCCGCTGACTGCCAAGGCACAGCGGACATGCGCCCACACCTTCGGCTGCAAATCGCGACACACGCACATGCAGAAAGCAAACAAGCAAAAGTGCATGGATGCAAGTGCAAGTGCATGCAAGTGCAAGTGCAAGTGCATGGATGCAAGTGGAAGTGCATGGATGCAAGTGGAAGTGCATGGATGCAAGTGGAAGTGCATGGATGCAAGTGCATGGATGCAAGTGCAAGTGCATGGATGCAAGTGCAAGTGCATGGATGCAAGTGCATGCATGGATGCAAGTGCATGGATGCAAGTGGAAGTGCATGGATGCAAGTGCATGGATGCAAGTGCAAGTGCATGCAAGTGCAAGTGCATGCAAGTGCAAGTGCATGCAAGTGCATGGATGCAAGTGCATGCAAGTGCAAGTGCAAGTGGATGCAAGTGTATGCAAGTGCATGGATGCAAGTGCATCGGTGGCACATTCAAAGCCCCAAGGGGGAGGCAGAGTAGACGAGGAAAGGGAGCGGCACTTGACTCACCTTGTCTGTTTTTCGCATGGGGCCTCCCCCAGGGCAAAAACCGTCAAAACCGCAGAGGCAACACACGGGCAGACGGAGCGTTACTACCAGTCCAGGCACTGGCGACACCTCCACGACGCAGCGCATCTTGGGATCCTTGCTGTGGTATTTGCTGCTCTGCAGCAACTCCTCTTCCTGCTGCTGCTGGACGCCCCCCGCTCTGCAGCTGCTATTCGCCGCAGCGCTGCTCCGCTGCTGCTGCGTCGTTGTGGTCGCCGCTTCGGCGGAAATCGTCTCCTCCTCCTCGGAATCCGAAAACACAAAAGGGACCTGCCGCAGATAGTCCATCGGATTGAGGGCTGTTGCAAGCCTTCCACAGGTGTCGCTGCTGCTGCTGCCGCCGCCATTACTGCTGCTGTTGCTGCTGCCATTACTGCTGCTGTTGCTGCTGCCTCCAGAGTCTGCGGAGGGCAAGGAGACCTCCTCCACAGATACTTTGTTTCGAGACAGGGCCTTCTCCGCCGCTGCAGCAGCAGCAGCAGCTGCTGCTGCTGGTGCTGCTGGTGCTGCTGGTGCTGCGAGCAGTGCTGCTGCTCCCGCTGCAAGCTGCTCCCTGCGCACTGACAAGTCAGCACCGGCACCAGCGTTAGCAGCGGCACTAGCGGCAGCAGCAGCTGCTGCCGCTAGTGCCGCTGCTGCTGCAGACTTGTCAATGCGCACAGACGGCAACGCTGCTGGCGGGTGGTGGGGAAGGAGAGCAGCTCTCCTGTGATTGAAGCCTCTTGGGCGCCTTCCATCGCCTTGCTGAAGCCCAATGAGCGTGGGGGGGGTCCATCGATCGAACGCGGAAAGCTGCTCGTGCCCCCAGTTGCTGTGTCTTGCAGCCTTCGCGGCTGCTGCTTCTGCCAGCGTTCGCGGCGAGGCTGCCAGACGGATGGCTGCCAGCGCTGTTTCCTCGTCGAGAAGGGGCAGCTGCTTCCTCATGAATACACACAACGGACACAGCCACTCTTCGTCTGCACCGTGGCCAGGCGCAAAGCCGCCTGCACCACACACAGGACGACGATCCTCTCCTGCAGCGCTGCTGCTGCTGCTGCTGCTGCCGCTGCTGCTGCTGCTGCTGCTGACTGCCGGAGCCCTTCGGCTGCTGCAGCCGCCTCCAGCGGCAGTCCGATCGGCCCCTGTAGCGTTGCTGCTGCTGCTGCTCCCGCTGCTGCTGCTACTGCTGCTGCTGCTGCTGCTGCTCCCGCTGCTGCTGCTGCTACTGCTGCTGCTGTTCCCGCTGCTGCTGCTGCCAACTGCTGCCGCGCGAGCCGCAGCAGCTACCGAGCGCCCCGCCTCTCCACCCGCTTCTCTGTCTCGCCTTCTCCTCTTTGCCGCAACGGCAGCAACTGCAGCGTCGAAGCTGCCTGCTCTGCCCCCCAGACATAGAAAATGCGTCGGAATGTAGCAGCCATCACAAAATATTATCGGATCCTCGTCCCAGTCCTCTCCGCTGCCACATACAGTACACAAGGCCCTTTCCGCCCACTCGGGGGGCAAGCAGCTGCTGTTGCTGCACGTCACGCGAAGCCTCAAGACATCTAAAGTCTGATCCGCCAAGGTATACGTGTGCCGCGTGTCCAACGCATGCGCTGCAGACTGCTGAATGTAGTGCTGCACCATTTTCTACGCAGTCCAGACACACATACATGACAACACACACACATACATACATGACAACAAACACACATACATACATGACAACACACACACATACATGCATGACAACACACACACATACATACATGACAACACACATACATACATGGCAACACACACATACATACATGACAACACACATACATACATGACAACACACACACATACACGACAACACACACACATACATACATGACAACACACACACATACATGAAAACACACATACATACATGACAACACACACATACATGACAACACACACACATACATACATGACAAGACACATACATACATGACAACACACATACATACATGACAACACACACACATACATACATGACAACACACACACATACATGACAACACACATACATGCATGACAACACACACACATGCATGACAACACACACACATACATGACAACACACACACATACATGACAACACACATACATACATGACAACACACACATACATGACAACACACACACATACATACATGACAACACACACACATACATGACAACACACATACATGACACGCACACGCACAGGCACTGGCACAAGAAAGCAAGGCACATACGGCTGTGCGAGGAAGGTCCTTAAACTGACTAATCCTCATGGTGAAGCCCAAGACAGAGAGAGACAGAGAGAAAGAGAGAGACGCGCAATCTCAAAACTACGAAATCAAACCACAGCAGCAGACACACGCAGGCTCCAGGAGAGCGACGCCAAGGAGGCACAACTCGCACAGACACACAGACACCACTTTTCACGAATCGCACTCTTCCCCCCTCCCCCCAGCTAAAGCCACATACCTCTTCAGCCTTTGCCCACTCTTGCAGAGCCGGTCGCCTTTCTGATGACACCGATGCTAACAAGCTCTTGAGTCTGCACATCACCAACACCCCAGAAAACACCCCCAACCCTGAGAATCGCTTCCCTGACTGACCCCCCAAGAGGCCCCCCAAGGGGCCCCCCTAAGGGGCCCCTAAGGGCCTGTTCGCGGAAGAAAACTCTTCTACACCGCAGCAGCAGCAGCCAACACCGCCAGTACCACTACCACAAGCAGCAGGCAACCCTTCTCTACAAAGCTTCAGCCTGCTAACCCACCTACAGTCCCCACATTAAGGCCGTTTAAACCACCAGTTGTACGTCTGTGTAGGGCTTACAGGTAGCGCTTCTCTCGCGCTAAGCGCACAAGACGCCATGTCAGGTTCTCAGCCTCTATCTCCAGAGGCATATCGCCTGAAACTGCGTCGTTTACCGCCTTCGCTTGCTGCTGCTCTTGCGTGTCTGTGCCTGCGCCTTGCTCTACGGCATGTGGGGGCTTGGCCGTCTGCTGCGCTGATGCCTGCATTTCAACCAGCGGCAGCGGCACCATTCCTCCATCCCCATCTTGCTGCTCCCTCTGCCGCTTCTCCTTCGGCATGCAGAAAGCCGTCTCCTGAGAAGCTCCCCCGCTAGCGCTGCTGACACGCACCTTCGACGAAGCCTTCAAGGGGTCTCCACACGCCTCAGCAGCAGCAGCACACGCTGCGGAAGCTCCTGCTGTTCCCTGCCCTTCTGCTGCTGGTGCGTCTGACACGTCAGTCCCCTCTAGAGGCAATCCCCTCGGAGGCTGGCGCTCCTCTGTCTGCTCTCCAAGCACATCGAAATCACCCCTGCCTGGAGCTGCATCCACCGCTGCTTTCCTTGCTGCTGCTGCTGCTGCTGCTGCTGCTTCACTCGGCGTACGAACACGCTGCATCTCCTCCTGCAGAGGCTCAAGGCCCTTAAGCGGCACAAGCACTCCCCTCTCCCTGCAATATCCAAGGGCTAGAGGAACGCCCGTGCGCTTGGCAGCGTCTTCTGGAGGAACGCAGGCTGCTGCAGGAGGCACAGGCGACACAATCCGCCGCTGCTGCTCCTGCTGCTGCTTCTGACGAGGAGGCTGCTGCTCCTGCTGCTGCTGCTGCTGCTGCACAGGTCGAGAATGCTCATCATCCCCGTAGTACTGCAGGAGAGGCGGCAACACGTGAGCTGGCCGAATAGGAAGAGGCCCTTCATCCCCTGCACACGCGGCAGCAGCAGCAGTGGCAGCCGCGGAGCCGCTCGCATTTTCTCCCTGAGGAAGCCTCCTCTGCTGTTGCTGCTCTTGCCGATAATCATGATAATGACGATGCTGAGTTTTCCCCAGACGCGTTGCAATGGAATCGCGGCTCCTGGTATCAAGGCTCTCTAGGTAGGACTGCGCATACACCGGCAGTTCTGCGTCTTCCTCCTTGCCGTGCGCGTTTCTTTCCGCCTTCGCCGCTGGGAGGGCAGTGGCGAGCGCCTCCCCCGCCCCTCTTAGTGAGTGCGGGGAAGAAAAAGGTGGCGTTTTCGCTGTCAGTCCGACAGGCGCGGCAGACAACCACACAGCAGACGGCCCACAAAGGATCTGCGGGAGGGGCATTCTTCCAGGCGGAAATCCTGAAACTGACGCCGCCGCCGCTACTCCTTGCGCTCGTAAATGTGCTTGTGCCGCAGTTTTTCCCTTGTGCATTTGCTGCTGCTGACTGCCTTCCGCCTTGATGGGGGCTGCCTCGTCCAGTGCAGCTGCAGCCGTCGTGGACGTCTCCGCAGGGGGTGACTGCAGCTGCAGCTGCTGCTGCTGCGCTGCCGCGGAGGCGGGAGCTGCAGCAGCAGCCACCACTCGCAGGAGCTCCTCTAGGCTGGTGCACTGGTCCAGCGCAGCGGGAAAGTCTGCTGCGGAGAGCTTCGAAGGCAGCAGCAGAGAAAGCACGGCTCCATTCGGCGACGGATGCAAAGAGACTGGAGGCAAGGGCTGGCCAGCCCACTTCTTGTTGGCAAGCGGATCGAAAGCGGCTTCATCGGCTGCTTCTTCTTCAGCAGCGGCAGCAGAAGAAGTAAACCCTGCGCCTGCAGGGGGTTCTCCGCCGCTCTTGCTGCAGCTCCCTCCCCCCCTCTGACTGCTGCTGCTGCTGCTGCTGCAGCTGCGTCCTCCCCCCCCCGGTCGTCTCTGGTGTCTGGGAGCTCCCGCTGGGCGCTTCTTCACGACCAAGTCGATGAGGGAGGGACCCCCCGAGTCTCGCTCCTTGTACGCCATTCCCGTGTCGCGCGTCTGGTACGGTGCATGCGCTAACAGCTGCTGGTGATGCAACAGAGAAAGCAGAGAAGGGCAGTGAGACACCGGCAGCCACGAGAACACACTTGACTCCACGCAAACGCTGCTGCTGGTGGCACCGCTGCTGCTGCCAGTGCTGCTGCTGCTTGTTGTTGCTGCTGTGCTCGTGCTACCCGTCGTCTCCGGCGGAAGGCATGTGGACCCCTTGCTGCCAGGAGTGTCGCTCTGCTTGCTGTCGCACGTGGCCTTTAATGGGGCTGCCTCTCCTCCCATGCCTTTCTGAGCACTCTTTACACTCGTTCCTGAGACAACAACAAGGTCCGCCTGCTGGTGCTGCGCATGCGCCAGGATGCCATCTCCCGATAGAGCCTCGGAAGACACCGAGGCGTTCTTCCCAGTGGTGCTGCAACCTTCACTGCTCCCCCGTGCAGCAGGGAGGCCATAGAAAGAAGCGGCCTGTGCCTTATCAGCTGCACTCTCAGCGAAAATGCTGTTGGTGCTGCTGCCTGCTTCTGTTTGCTGCTGCTGATGTTGCTGATGTTGCGGGTGGTGGTTTTGCTGTTGATGTTGCGGGTGTTGCTGTTGTTGCGGGTGTTGGTTTTGCTGATGGTGTTGGTTTTGCTGATGTTGGTTTTGCTGATGTTGCTGATTTTGCTGTTGGTTTTGCTGATGTTGCTGGTTTTGCTGATGTTGCTGTTGCTGTTGCTGTTGTTGCTGCTTCTGGTGCTCCTGCTGCTCTAGTTGCAACCGTTGCTGCAGCTTCTCAAGCTGCTGCAGGAGCTGCAGCTCCTCCTCTTCGTCAGCCTGATGCAGCGGGGTTTCCCCCTCAATTGCCGATATATCGTCCGGCTGGAGGACGAGGGAGGCTGACTGAACGGCCGTGTGCTGCTGCTGCTGCTGGTGATGATGGCGGCTAGCCCTCCCTACCAGCAAGGGGACAGTCGCATCGAGAAAAGCCTCGCTCTCCTGCTGGTGCTGCTGCAACAGCATCAGCAGCTGCGGATGTACACGGGAGAAGTACTGCGTGTCTTTGGCGAACCAAAACAACTCCTCCTCAGTCTCCCCGCCTACAGACCCCGCAGAGGCCAAGGGAAGCCCAGAGGGGCCTCCATACCCGTCAGTCGGCATCCCCCTTCGACGCCTTTCGCGATTCTTTTCGTGCTGGTAATGCTACGTTGTGCTGCTGCTGCGGGATGCAACCATTGGGAAGCAGCAAGAGAGGGGCCCCCTGCCCCCCAGGGGCCCCCGAGAGCCACGCGAGCAGCGCCCAGCAGACTCAGCCATACACGAGGCCCCCACCACCCGGTGTAGCTACTCCTCTGGGTGCTGTTTGGCCGCCTTCAATGGGAGCAGCTGTCTTCGCCGCAGCAGCCGCAAGGCGGCGAAAACCTCTGTTCCTCGTTGAGGGCGGACTTTCGTGTCTCGCTTGTCGCGGCAGCTTTGCCGAGCCGCCGCTTTCCCGCGGATAAACAGCGGATTCTTGCAGTGGCGCTGCGAACGCAGGAGAGAGAGGCCCCCAGGCACCCGGCGCTGCAGCTGCTGGGGACTGGTCTGCTGCTGCCGCTGCTGCCAACGGGGGCTCTGGTGCAGCAACACGCGCAAAAACCGCTGCTCTAGGGTAAAACGAAGCAAGTTGCGGCCACTTGCTGGGAGCCTGGCCCCCCGCAGCGACACGAGGGAAACTACACAGCAGCGGGGGGGAGGGGTGGCGGGCAGCAGCAGGAAGGTCCCGCTGCTGGCAAGCGCATGCAACGCGTTAAAACCCTAAAACCTGCTCCCAGAACCAAGAAATAAGAAGGCTCTGAGGTGCAAGGAGCACGAAGGGGCCTCCCGTTGAGGTGCAGCGGCTGCAGCACCTAAGGGACCCAGCGCTGCTCGCATGGGGGGGCCCTGATAGAACAGCATGAAGAGCTCTCCGTGCAGGTGTTTGTTTCTGCGCAAGCCTAAAACCGGCCTAACAACGATAGAGACAGAGGGATGAGCTCGTGGTGCTCGCGGAAGGCATCTGGAGCTCCACGACATCCCATGGTGTGTTGCGCCAGAGGTGCTCCCTCGGAGGGCCTCTGGGTCTGGTGCTCTGCAGTCGCTTCCTTTGGTCGGAATGAGAGGGCTTCAGACTGCAATGCTTTTGCTCGAGGTTCTCTTTTCTCCCGGGAAATATCCCGGGAGCTCTGCTGTCTCCAGCGACACCCAGACCTAACCCGTTCCGTTGCGGGTGCTAGCTCAGGACTGTGCTGCTTGCTCGCTCCAAACTGACCAGTTGCACTGCGCCGTGACTGTAGAGACTCTCCGGCGACTTCGAGTGCTTTCTGGGCCCCCGAAGCAGCAGACACGCACAAGCTTGCGGCCTAGCCAAACACAAGTGTGCGCAGCGTGTGGAAGGCAAAAATTGCGCGTCGACACTTTCCACTGCCCTTTTAACGGAGACCGAGGACGACTCTTTGAAGGGCTGCCTGGGGGGTGGGGTCGCTAGCGATGCGAGCTTGTTGCAGAGCGAGCACTCGTGCTGAAAAGGTCACCGATGAGCGCCTGCGCTCTAACTTCTTGCGGATGCGTGCACGTGCTCGAAATGCTCAGAGGCAGCAGGAGGGCTCGTTGCGGCTGCCTCTTCTGCTGTCCACCCGGAACTAGCCGCGTGAGGAGAGCTCGTCGGAGGTGGCACTACTTGACATTTTCAAAAACACAGAAACCGATTTGGGCTCAGGAAATCACTCTCTACACTCCAGAAAACACTGCATAGTGAATAACTTCGTATACAGTAGCCTCAAGCCAAAATTTTATCCGGAATTCTCCAGATGGTTCCCCCGCTTTTTTACCCACATCGTCCCAAGGATTTGTACGGGAGAAAGGGTGACCAGATTACACGCTGCTGCACCCTCTGAATACCTCCATCGCTTACAGCTAGTTGTACATAGCCTCTAGCGCACACACACACACAGTATGATGTCTTCTTGTATCGAGTTAAGAGTTCTTCACAATAAGTAAAATGTACGAAGGGCCAGTGCACCCAGTCAATCGGTCACTAATCCTTAAATAATCCTTAGATGTATGACTGGTATGGTAAAGATTGCCACCTGTAGCTCAGTCCACTACATCTTTTCCCTTTTAAAAAAACACTTCGTCGTGTTGCAAACCCGTTCGTTGAGACTAACTGAGTGCAGGACAGTGGAAGAGCTCCTGACCTATTGCCATTCCCCAGGCAGGTTGGGACGCAGAGAATAATTCAAGTAAAATAGAAAACGGCGTAGAAGAAGCGATGGGGAGCAAAGCCACATACACCAGCCAAAAATGAACGAGGGATCAAATGATCACGATTGCTGTAACGGGGCAAGCTAGACCAGAACACGTGCACTACAACAGTGGTACTTGTCAGAGAATTTGCGAAGAATTGACTAGCAAGGTCATGTGTTCGTTGATCTTACTTTTTCATAGAACTGTTGGCTAGCTTGAAGGAAGCGCAAGGCTGTATGCGTGTCCGCTGACTGCTATATGTATTTATCTGTGATTGTACGAAGTGCTTACAGGCTGCAGGAACGGGTATACTAGCTTTTCTTCTGCCCGCTAGTCGGGATTTCTGGGACATCTAGGCAGGAGAAGTCAAAACCTATTCTGAAAGCAACATATTGAGTTTCTACGGTGTTTGGATCAAACCCGAAGTTAAGTGTCTATGTGTAGAGAGCTCAGATGGGGAGTCATACATGATAGCACCACACTATTCCCCACCGCTGTTCCCCGCTCATCCGCTAGCAGCAAATGCAATTAGCTTCCATATTTCCCTAAGAAAGTGTTATGGGTGGATATATCTACCTATTGGATTGACACTTTGCTTTTCTATACGGAGGCTGACGGTGGCTCAACGCCTGGTGAGGTGACACAGGGCCGCCTGAAATCTAACTTGAACACAGTACCTCCACAGCTGGTAAAAAGGCGCGATTTCGCAGCCGATGAAATGCTAATGGATTAGTCCGTAAGGTTATGGCGGCCAGAAATGTCCTACGGCGGTAGGGAAGGGCATGTACTCGAAGTGTTCACTACTTTGTCGGAGATGTACCTTGCTCCATACTCCCCAAATGGAGAAAACCATGCCGTCCTTGTGGCATGTTGTTGGAGGGAGAGGCAATTCACTGGTGGTTTTTTCATTGCAGAGAAAGTCTTCTGTTTGCAGAGACTACAATATTTCAAGCCCTTCTACACGCCCTGTCCCATCAGCTTATGCCGTGATTAGAATAAAAGCATGTTTTGGCACAATTGAGAGAGCTTAAGCACAGGAATCGATCATTATGTCGGCATATCGAAATGTGAAACTTCAGCTCGGAAAGCCCACAGCGTCTACGAGCAGCACTTTATCCGTGATTTGTTTCAGCCCAAATAAAAGTG